TGATTTTATCGAAATCAACTTTGTTGTTTTTTTTATTGCACCCTACTAAATTCAATATATTTTTTATGAGTTAATTTTTTTTTTTTAAAAAAAATTAGTTTATACTACACACTCTAACCAAATAAGTAGTGTCATAATGTATAAAAAATATATTAGAGTTATTGATTTTATTGGAAATTAATTATGCATCTACACTCATAACATCAAATAGTGCTATTATTTTTCATATTTTTAAATTAATTTTTTAAATAAAATAATTAAAATGATGTTTAGAAGAACCACCTAATAATTCTAATATAATTTTTTATACTAATATTATTAATTATTTTCTGTTGTTTATATATATATATACTTGTTTAAAACTGTTTTCTTCGATTTTTCATTTCTTATAAAAATTCTCATCATATTAATTTTTTATGTAATTTTATATTTTTATAAATATGATTTATTTTTTCTTATATATGGATTTGTCACGACCCCCGAAGTGGGCCATGATCAATGTGAGAATCAAAGAGACTGTGAGGCTCGTCTCAATTAAACGAAGCCTCGAATATCTAAACTATAATTTTTAAACTCGTATCACATCAAATATCATTTCGATTTCAATATCACAACCTAATGATTAACACTTATAAGTCCAACACAATGATAATTCCATAGTATTGTTGTATTTTCCAAAAACAATATCCATAATCAAATTCTAGTACAATTCCCATAAGTATAGCTGTAAAAATTTTAAAGAGTACAACAAAATCAAATCGCAAGTCCAAGAGATTACAAGTAAATGAGTCGCACGATCAATGTGCTTGTTTTAAGACAAGTAACTTCGAAAGTAAAAGACAATCTAACAATCCTGTAAAACTAAAATGGTGGAGTGTGAGTAAATCAATAGTCGAGTGAATAGATACTATATAACATATCAAAGGAAGAGAAATGAACCAAGGATGATAATTTAAAAACTACTTAATATGCAATGTTTATTTCTCAAAGTCAAATGCTCATTGTAAATATCAAATCATATATCATATCTTAAATAATTCAAAACTAAATCATATCAAACATCAAAATCTATATACAAAATAATCAAATCTAATCAAGTATCCAAATTTACACTTAGGGTGAAACAAATATAATGTATTATTGGATGTAAACACCCAAAGGCTACACTTCCTGTAGCTAGGTTTTGATATGTTGGCCGGCATACGGACTAGCACTACACCTCTCCCTGCTAGCCGAGTATTTTCATATTAGCGAGCTCACAAGTTATGCCTTTTATAACCGAGTACTCTAAGGTAACCGATCAAATAAAAAATCACATAACTTATATATATTTCAAAAATACCTAAATCCAACATATCAAATACAATTCATACTCATGATCGGATTTGATAATGCAATTCAATATCGAATAAACACTTTCTAAAATTATATGAATAAATCAAGATAAAAATATAAATTAAACTAGTATTTAAATCCATAATCACATATCAAATTATAAGTAAAACACTTATTCAAACATATATTCAAATCCCTTTTTAAAATCATATCAAATCATTTTCGATATTAAATAATTTCAAATGCACAAGAGGTTCGTTTCCGCCTAAGTTTTGATGAATGTGTTTGTATCGCGGTTAAATCAATGATGCATGATAGATATACCGAAAGAATAAAAGCATAATATGCTGTATATTATCCACTTATAGTATAATCAAAGGATCGAACAAAATCAAGGTTGTTGAGATGGAGTCACCCATTTCAAAGAATCTAATGATACAAAATGATGGAATAATGATCAATATCACATATCGAAGAATAATTCAAAAAAAATGAATTCTTATAGAAATTGAGATACAAGATAATTTATATGAAAGAAATTGATCGAAAAGGTTCAAAACGATGACTTTAACTAAACTTTTACTTTCTCAATCGATTCTAGACAATTACCTAACTATATTCCATCGTCAATTCCCAATTCAATCTTCACATATAAAATCTTTTCTCTACAACTCATTATCCCAACCAAATTAAGAATTTCTCAATTAAATCAATAATTCTATTCTCATTCACTCAATTCTCATTTCATTTATCTTTAATTATATTTATATAACTTAATTCTTCATTTTCTTTAAATTCTTTTCAATTCAAAACCCAAATTTTGAATTTTATTATTTATCATCATCAACCTCTCCAATTAATCAAATTTACCTAATTCAACTTCATAAATCACTAATCCAAAATAATTAAATATAATTTAATTACTTAGAACTACTTAATCAACTTCTTCCCAAATGAGTCTCAAAACCTTAACACAAATCTAACTAAATTCTTCATTACAACAACAAACCCAATACAAATCAACTTCAAAATCATCAATAAATACGTATAAACATCTCAATTTAAAGACTACTTGATAAAATTTCTTACCTTTGACAATTGGCTCTTCAACCCCCAACTCCTATCCTAAAATAATTAAATATTATTTAATCATAAGTTTTTTTTTTAGTTGTTTTTATTTGCTTGTTTTTTATATAATCAAATTTTAAAAATAGAATTCATGTGTTTATTTACTTATTCTTTATATAATCAAATTCTATCAAAATCAACTTTGTTGTTTTTTTATTACACCCTCCTAACTTTAATATATTTTTTACAACTTATTTTTTTTAAAAAAAAAATCAGTTATATGTTGTACACTCTAACCCAATAAGTACGGTCTTGATGTATATAAAAAAAAAATTAGAGTTATTGATTTTATTGAAAATTAACTATGCATCTATACTTATAACATCAACAAGTGCTATTTTTTTATATTTTAAAATAAAATAATTGAAATAATATTTTAGAAGAATCGCCTAACAATTCAAATACAATTTTTTTATACTAATATTATTCATTATATATATATACTTTCAAAAAAATATTCTTCTTATTAGTATTAAACTAGAATAAAAAAATTATTTATTAATTTTTATTTAGGTTTTTATATTGTTTTATTTCCTCGATACAATGTTATTAATAAAAATATTTTTCAAATTTTATATTTAGATTATTATGGATTTTTATTCAAGAATAAATGCATAAAAGAAAATAAATCGTGTTTTTTTAACTATGAAAAATAAAAAAAAAGATGCAAGATTTTGATTAAAATTATAAAATTCGATGAAATTTTATCTTTAATTTAATATATTTCTATTGACCAACGAGTATAATACATGTTATCAAACTGAAATAAATATGTTTAATTCGACCCGCAACGTAACGCGAAAAGCCAACTAGTTAAAAAAAAAAAAGGCATGGGGTTTTTAAATAATAATTTTAACTGTTCATCCCCTCACAATTCACTATTTATAGGCTTGTAGATAAAGGTGACATTTATGTGATTTTTCAGCTGTTTTTGGACATTTATATTCAAAGTTTATATAATTTTTCATTTTGATCCTTAAAGTTTTCAAATTATATTTTAATCTGTGGGTTATTCAATTATACGGCTCGCTTATATTAGGCGAGTTGCATTAGGCTCGTAGCAAGCCGAAAGCACATAAGCTCGCCTCCACTTTTTGTTTTGTTTTTTTTTTTTTATAGTTTTTTCTCATAAATTTATGTCATTATTATTATTATTGAATTGGGTGTGAAAATTATGAAAAATGCTATTTTTATTCTCTTTCTCTGTTTTTTTCCCACTAATTTATGTTTCTTCTTTTAATTATTGAATTGGGTGTAAAGATTATGAAAAACCAATTATTTTTGTTTTCTCAAGTCGATGTACTGTGAAATATACATAATATGTTTTTAGATATATATATATATCGGATTAGAATACTCTTATTATTTAAAATTGATCTTTTCAATTTGTCTTTTCTTATAAAAATTCTCATTAGATTAATTTTTTTATTCATTTTTATGTAATTTTATTTGTTAATAAATAAGATTTATTTTCTCTTATGTATGGATTTTTGAATATTTTTTTGTTGTTGTTTTTTTTTTTTTGCTTATTTTTATATAATCGAATTTTAAAAATGGAATTCATGTGTTTTATTTTCATTTTCTTTATATAATCAAATTTTGTCAAAATCATTTTTTTTATTGCACCCTACTAACTTAAACATATTTGTTATAGCTTTTTTTTTTTTTTTTGTAAAAATCAATCTATGCTTGCATACTCGACCCAATACGTACGATCATGAAGTCTAAAAAGATATATATTAGAGCAATTAATTTTTATTAGAAATTAATTATGTATCTTCACTCATTACACCAATCGGTGCTATTATTTTTTATATTTTAAAATTATTTTTAAAAATAAATAATTAAAATAATCTTTTACTAGAATTGCCTAATAATTCAAATACAATTTTTTTATACTAATATATATATATATATATATCAAATGTACACACTTTTAAAAAAATATTCTTCTTATTAGTATTAAACAAGAATAAAAAAAATATTTGTTAATTTTTATTCGAGGTTTTTATGTTACTTTATTTTTTCGATAAAATGTTATATATATATATATATATATATATATATATATATATATTACATATTTTTTAAGAATAAATGTATAAAAAAAATTGTGTTTTTTTAACTACAAAAATTATTAAAAAATAAACCAAAAAATAGATGCAAAATTTTGATTCAAAATTATAAAATTAGCTGAAATTTTATCTTTAATTTAATATATTTTTACTAGTCGATAGTATAACACATGTTATTAAATTAAAGTAAATATATTTAGTTTTATCTACAGTTGCGGTAACTAATAAAGTTCTATTTGTGCTCTTTATATCAGAGTATGCATAACTATACATATCACTCATTACTAATTGAGTATTATAAAAGCGGCATTTCATTTATTTTGTTAGCTGCATTCAGCAAAACTTGGAAACATTGGGAGAAGAAAGAAGTGACAGACAAAATTAACCTTGGCATACATTGAGAGAGAGAAGAAATAACAAAGACAAAATTAACGAGCCATGTATAGGGTAATGGATGTGGAATTAATCAGGATATGACGAATATGAAGCAACCAACTTAGAAGTTTCCCACTCCACAGCTTTCTTCAAGAAACTGTTTTCTTCCAGGACCATCTGAACAGGTAAGAAACCCATCCCATTGGCCATGGCTATCATCATTTGCTTGGTCTCTGCCTTGAACTCCTCTAAATCCACTGTCCCATTCAAGTCATGATCAAATTGGACAAACAGAGAATCATAGACATGAACAAGCTCATCCGGGTCTGTTTCCACATCTACTCCAAAGTGGGTTTCCAATACCCTCAAACCCTGCAGCTCCTTCAACATCTCCGAATACGAAAGCTGGCCGTCATGGTCTGAATCAAGGTGAGCAAAACGGTCACATATCAACGCATTGAATGCTTCCTCGTCCTCTAGAAAGTTGACAATGGTGGCACCATCCAAAATTTCCACACTCATTTTGGTATTTTGCAATTCACTCCCAAACTAGAACTGGAGAAGGTTTAAAACCGTAAAATAAAGAGAAGCTTTAGAGGGAACTAATGTGATTTGATAAACAAGAAGTTGGTTTTGTGCTCACTTATATGTAGTTGAGGGGCACATAGATGGTCGCTATGCAGTCAAATACAATTAGCAACCGGTTTCCATGAAGTTTTTGCTTTTGTGACAAACTTCTAATTAAATATCTCCTGCATGGCTATTTGACTCCTTGTGTAATTTGATGCTTCGAGGATGGAGCAGCCAAAAAAAATTATTAGAACAATCTTAAATAGTTGACCTATCGGTCGTAATCCAACGGCAATGACAACTTAGTGGGCTAACCGTGTGGGTTTACCATTGTTGAATGGATGTGTGGCCTTTCCTCTAATAAAATCCAGTGGGCTAGACCGTGTTTTAAAAAATGAATTAAATACTCTCTCATTTCAAAAACTAATTAATTAGTTCATTTCATCTATTTTATGTACTTCTTTAGTATTTTTAAGAAATAAAAAAATATAAATAGATATTATAGAAAGTTTGACAAAAAAATAAAATATTATTTTGAGATAAATTAATATTAAATTAAACATGGGCAACATTGTAAATGATTTATTTAATTAATTTTTAAAATTAGAAGGATTATTTAATTCATTTTGCAAACATTGAGGGATTGATTTATAAGATACGCCTAATTTCAAACCCACCGTAAAAAAGCAACGGTCCATTTCCCTTTCCTTCTGAACAAGACCAGTTCTTTTGTCCAATCTGCAAGAGAAAATTGCAAATTTGGTACCAAGTGTTTGATCCATTTTCTATTTGAATACCAAACTTTCAATCCTATCCATTTGAGTTTCTCACTTTTCTTTTCTTTTTTTTTTTAATGTGATACCCATAGTGAGTTTCTTAGTTAAGGAGTACCACAGCCATTATCTCGTGTAATTTTATTGTTGGAGCTCCAAACAGTGTATCGAACAAAACAAAATGTGAAAAAGTGAATTACCAAAAAGCAATACCGCATAACATTTCAATTCATTTTTAGTTTTTGTTTTTAAAAATTCAATTAACTAAAAGCCGTTCAAAATATTTCAAAGTCAAAGAAAAAAACTGAACGAACACCCCTAGCGAAGACTTACAATTTTCAATTGAAGACGTATTTGTAAAAACATTAAAATTAAGGACCAAAATAATTCTTACCTAAACATCTTAGAAACTAAAGTGTAAATTAATAAGCTACTTTTAGCTGGGGTTGGAAGGGGTATACGTTTTGGGTATAAATTTAAAGGTAATTGCCTAATGGATACGGCCCAAAAAAGTTTTTCATCAAATTACGAGACTGTCATAATGGACCAGATACAGATACAGTTCCCCCGCCATCCCTACTAAAAGTTGAAACCATGGGGGCTAATGAGGTATAACGACAAATCATCAATGCATGAACACGAGGACAGTCACCGACGACTCCAAGTCTCAAATGCCTGAATAGTCTTCTCAATCTATGCCCTCTCTAAATTTGATCATTTACTTGCACTGTACCAATTGCCACTATGATTGCCGCTCAAAAAGACAGTTTATATACATATATATATATATATATATATATATATATATATAGAACAATAGAATTGAAAAAAGAAAAAGAAAATAAATTTATACAGAGAAGGTCGGACAAGGAGGGGAGAGGTGGAAGGAAAAAAAAGCACTCCAATATTTACAGCTATTACCCCTTTTCCGGGGTGTCATCACGCATAATTTTCTTGTGTAGCTTCATCATCTTCATCCATTGCATCAACCAGTTTTTTATCCTGAACAGGTTTATCACTGCATTCAGTGTCTGTATCTGATATAGATCCAACTTTGGCACATTCTTTATTATCATCACTGTCAGTACAAGTTTCAGTATCTGAGTTCGAGGAAGAACCAAGTCTCTCCTTCCCTCCATCACAATCATCATCCACATCAACGCCAAATTGACCTTTTAAATCGGGAGCAACAATTCCAATCATCTCACTCAATGCTCGACATTCATGATTCCGTCGGGTGGCTGCAGCATCAGAAGATGGTGCACTTTGACTCTCAGCCACTTGACCATTAAAATCATGATGATCTGCATCGCGTTTCTCATCATCTCCACTTCCAGGAGATTCATTATCACCATGGATTGAAGGAGCCGTGCTGCAAGCCCAACTGCCAACAACTTCTGAAGCTAAAAGATCTTGTGTTCTGATTATGCCTCCAGGTTCTGTATCTTCCATGGCCCTCTGATTCTCAGGGAGATTATTTGATTGAGAGTGATGCAAGGCATCATGATGAATTGTGTGAATGTCCTCATCGTCTTCATGTACACGAGCTTCATCTTCAACTTGCATTGTGTCCCCAGCCAAAGAGCTATATTTGTTCAAATCAAAACCCCTCTCCCCATCAACACCAAGGCTTTCTGTTTCAAGAACAACAGGTGCAGTGCCAACACCATCAATTTCAGAACCAAAGCCACCCTTAACATGATGCTCAACACTAGTATATTCTTCCTCTTGAGTATTTTGGTCTTCTCGACTTCTGCTATCACAATCATGCTTCTCAGTGACACTTATTCCATCACTAGAAGTATCAGGTTGGTTTCTGTCAAATCTCTGAGCTGAAGTACCTGAGCCAGCCTTTGCCCTGCTGTTCCTATAATACCGACTCATTCCATGGTCTCTTACCAAAATGCCATCTACGTTCCCAGGATTTACATTCAGATCAATATCCACTGATGTGTTATCATAATTCTCCTCATCTTCCAACGTCCTACGCATTGCCTTCAGTTGTTCCTGCTGCTTAGCAAAGAGTCCAGATATCTCCTCAGTTGTGGAATAAAATGCCCGTAATTGTGTCTCCCTGCATCACAGCCATATTACAAATTCACAATGACATAGGCCATCATTACTCCTGTTAAGAGAATTTTCAAACATGCCCAACTGGATTTATATACATATGCCAAATGCAGAAAATATGCAATGTCTCCGAAAGACAACTTGATGTAAAGTAAAAAGATAAGATCAATAAGAGGTTTAATGAAGAAGCAGATAAGGAGTATAAAGTAACTTCTCAAGCACTGTCCCCTGATCATAGTAGGACTGGGAGCAAAACACACCTCGTTATCAGCGAATACCATATCGAAAACAGGATCTGTTCTATTATTAGCATAAAGCAAACTCTAGCAGCTGCTAACCACCCCCCACCCCCCCAAAAAAAAAAAAAAAAAAAAAAAATCTTTTTAATTCTTACCTCAGCATTATTCTTTCCCTGGCACCTTTTAACCTCCGCCTTTCAAACTCAAGATCCCGCATTGCAGCGTTTATCTCCAGTTCAAGGGTAGAAACTTTAGCCCAAGCTTCTTCTCGAGCCGCCTGCTACCAACAACAAAGAAAATCTCAGCTTAAAAATTAATGGATTTCAATAAGGTGCCAAGGAAATTTTAAGTCAGACGACTTTTATTATAATTTTTGCCAATTCTACCACACTTGCATTCATTATTAAGCAATCTCATTGAAATTGATAAAAATGCACATAATTTACAAAATCTAACAAGAAGATTCAGGGTTCACATGCATCAGCAACATATTAGTGCTGATAACAAAATCAGAGCGCTTCAACTTTGACTGCAATTTCAAAAGCAATTGTTCTAAGATTTTGACCAGACTAGTTATTGGTGAATTCATATCAAACTGCATGTCAGTGTTCATTTCCTATTCACTCCCCCCACCTCTCAGCACACTTTCCAAAAAGAATTAACAATAGTGAAAAATAAGAAGTACAACATATCTCCAACAAGCAGACATTTAGAAATTGGAAGTGAAAACAACAACTTACTTGCATCACAGAAGGGTGTGGGTGTTGGGGTCAGGACATTGCACATTGCAAATTAAGTGCTCTTACTGAAATTTCAGAAAATTTGAGGAATTGAAAAGAAAATGTTCATGTATACCTTTTCGTTCTCGAGCTCTTTCCTCAGCCTTTCTGTTTCTTGTTCAAGTTCCTCCATTCTCTGCACATAAACACATAATAGCAACACAGAAATCAGATCCAGAATCTATTCTCAGAAGGGGGCAAACTAACAAGAATTTAAGGTATGAAAAATTCAAGAATCCATTATGAGGTAACATTACTTTTCTTCCATTTGCAGAGACCAGTTGCTCTTCACAAACTTGAGCTTCTAGCTGGCGAACTTTATTGTCAGATGCAACCAATTTTTGCCTAGCTTCTTCCTGTAGGAGAAGATATCGAGAGCAGATGTTAAAACCGTTCATATAAGATGTTGAAAGCATGTGAAGTTAATGTAGATTGTACCAGTTTGGGTCTCAACGTTTCTACTTGGGAGCACCATTTTTTCTCTCTTTCCTGAAAGGAAATGCATAATATTTAACATTTCCCAATGAAGTAAACACCTATAATGTCCATTCATACAGGATAAAAAAATTTACAACCTGAAGCTTATTGATTTCTTCTTGCAGCTCTCTTTCCCGTTGCAAGGCAGCATTAGATAGTCGTTTAACTTCCTCTTGTGCCTCAGACTGAACTCTTTGTACTGCTGCCTTTAAGTCAGAAGTAGCCTTTTGTCGTTCTTCTTTTCTCTGATCTCGTTCTTCTTCTAGTTGTGCCTCGAGTTCAGCTATAGATGCCTTTTGACTGAAAATAACAATTCAATCCACAACTGTATTAATGAATGTTCTTGAACAAGTTTTGCAAACAATACCATGTAAAGTGTCTGTACAGCTAAAAAATCATCCATTCATTCTCCTCTGAAGGTCAATCCAGACTAACATGAAAGTACAAGACTAAATGTTCAAAGTTAAATGAACCTCCACCCCACTCGTTTTACCACTTGTGCTGATTCCCAGCAGCATTTAGGGTAAACAGATGACGTAAAAGAAAAGAAAAGAAAAGAAAAGAAAGAAAATCAAGGATGAGTATCGTTGAAAGATTATTATAAGTAAAAAGCAACCAGTCAGTTAAGGACAAGTTATCCACATTTTTGCATCACTTTTGAAAATGTATGCTGGAAAGCAAACTTTGAAACCCATGATTAATGTGCAAATCAGTATGATGCAGCGCACATAATTGTTTAATTGAAGTTGTGGTATAGTTATACAGAAAAATATCATCAATCAGCTTGAGTATGCTCCTTACCTCTTCATTATTTCATTTGCTTCATTACATGATTGCCTAGAAGCAGTAAGTCTTTCATTAAGGTCTTCCACGACATGTTTTTGTTCAGCTGATATTCTATTGACCTCCACAAGATCCTTTTGTTTGGCATCCAACAAATTTTGCAATTGCTGAACTTGGTCAAGATACAATTTTGCAACAGATTCTTTCGTCTCTTTCATTTCCTGCAGAGTTAAAAACACTTGATATCATCTGAGATAGCACCTAGATAATAATTGACAAGGACACAAAACATGATTCATTATACATACGAGCACCGGAAAATAAAAATATAGACATAAGAATGAAAAAAAACGAAGATAAAAGGTCTCACATATCCTGTGAATGCTCTAATTATTGCTGAATATAAAATTTAAGACATCCAAAAGAAAAATGGCGAATCTCAAAAGCTTTGAAGGGAAATGGGTATCGCCCAATCACAGTTCAATTGATGCAGGGTTGCAGAAAAAGAAACCTCTGAGGCAGTCCTACCATCTAGCATTGCATTAATAGTCTGCTGCTCTAGGTCTCAAACTACAAAGTTTTGAAAGGAATAAAACCTAACTCATCAGCTACGATTCAAAACAAAACAAAACAAAAAACAGAAAAAAAAAAGAAAAAAAAAGAGAGATAGTAATATGCAGCTTGAATCTTCACTAAACAACTCAAAATTGAAGCTAAGCTAACTATCAATCCTTTGCACATCACAGAAACTAAAGCTCTTCATCAGATTAAAGCACCACTTATTTTCAATATGCTCAAATCAAATAGGGACAAAGAAGTCCTTTTAGAAGAGCATACATTTTCATGATGATCAACTGTATTTCGATGCTCATTGCGCAAGGTATCAATTGTAAAGACTTGATTTTCCAATTGCTTCCGTAATTCCTGCAAGTTGCAATACTTGCCATATAAAAATTCTGTTACAGAAACTTTTGATGGCCAAAATTCATTAAGGAATATCTGAGCCATCAATAATACAGACAGGAATCAAAATAATGATACCTTGTTTGACCGTTGAAGGCTCCGAAAATCATCAAGAGATATAGGACCCTCAGGAGCACCAATTCCAATACCTTTCATTCTCTTGTTTTCTACAACAATGTCCTCTGTGCATAAAAGTAAGAAAACCATCACTTTAAGGTCACAACTTCAGTGTTTTATCCAGATTACCAACGCATGACAATAGCACCCACTAAACTCCTGGCCCAATGCAAACATTGTATCATGGTTGCCACAAAGAAGAAGACTAGAATATGTATTAACTAATACTTCTGATGTCCTCAAAATTTAAAAACATAATAACAGCAAGTGCAGAACCCACGTTTTTAAACTTAAACCGAGAAAAACAAAGCATAAAAAAAAGGTATCACAGGATGGAATAATAAAGATGAACGCTGTGATAAAAATACCTGCTTTTCTTTTAGCAACTGCACCCTCCATTGAAGAATTAGACCTGAAAACTTCTCGAAATACAAATGCAGCTGCAAGTTCTGTAACCACACAACACATTAAACATTCATTAACTGTCCGAGTTGTCACGAATCTCAAGTTGTCTCTTTGATCCATAATCCCAACAACTATTATAAAAGCACAAGTCACATTTTCCTTCAATGCATTCTTTTTTGAAACAATCACTAAAAGAACAATTCAACCTGGGTAAGTAATTGGTCCTGATAGATCAAAAGGCAAAAATTACCCTACCATGCTGCGGAGGAGCAGCAAATGATATGATATCCCCATGTTTAACTTTGGCTTCAGGGCTACTCTTAGTCAGTTTCTTCCAATTAAGAAATGTCCCATTCGTACTGCAAAAAGTTTCCGCATTCAGAAGACCTGAACAAATAATGCCAGGGCGAAAAAGAATTAAAACGTGCAAACGATGATAAGTTGATAAGAACCTCGTATCTTTCAAGAAAACAGAAGTGTGAGATATCTCGGCAGCGGCATTTTTTCTAAATATTTTACAATGATTTCCACTAACAGCATTCGCTTCAACTTGAAACCGCGTATCCTCAACTAATCTCCCAATGCAATGCTCCTCCCCGGTCAACACAATATTAAGACCCTAACTCAATAAAACAAATCAATTAAAAAATGTTATTAACAGTAATTAAAATTAATCCAAGAATAGGAAATTAGGTGAAAAATTAGGGTTTTCTTCATTTATTACCTGAGGGCGTTTCCGGGCATTATTGGAAATAGCGGTGAGGACACCCCAAACATTAGCGTCAGGGTTAGTGAGAGGTTGCGAAGAGAGTTTGGAGGCTACTGAGCGTATGAAATCTTTTGGTGTTTGTGGTTGTTTCTTGGGCGACGCGTCATCCTGAGGGTTAGGGCATTGAGGGGCATGCTGTGAGGAGTCTGATTGTGAGACTGGAGTAGCTTTTTGAGCCGACGGTGTCTCAGGGTTCTCGTCTTCTACCGCCATTGAAGAGGGGGAGGAAAATGGCGGGGATTTTCAAACCCTAGCGGGTACTGTTTGTTTATGCGAGAAATAGGAAAGCGACTGGGTGAGAATTTGAAAGTGACAGTAGCTTCCAGGTGAAGATTGGTACTCTCTCCGGCTAAGTTCAGTGAAATTAGTGCAATTTCGATTGTATTATTGGGCCTGACACACATTAGGGGCCTTAGCTCTTGATTTGGAAATTATTATAAAATGGACTCAACTGCTGTGTGCGCGCGTATAAACATTGATCATAAATTATTATAAAATTAATTATAGTGAAGCGTATTCCGAAAAACTAAGACATCTTTGAATCTCTTTCAAATTCATCCTATTTTTTTATTTTTGGTGAGTAAAACGAGTGTATGAATAAGTTGATAATATAAATATTGTGTCTTTTATATCTATACATATATAAAAAGATCAGATCATACTTACTTGGAAGTGAAAAAATACGACAATAAAGTTATAGTTAGCTGTCTAATATAGACATCAAATATCCAGGTTTGTATAAAAAAATCATTTGCCCAAGGCTCATAACTTGTTTTGCTTCTAAAAGGAAGAGCAAGGACTATTGAACATGGTTAGTGTAACTTGCCTTCTTCTTGTCATTGAGGACTTTGAACCTTCAACTACTCTGCCAAGCATGGTCTGAAAATTACAATTCGTTGAGATGGGATTTATTTGCATAACTTTTGAAAAACTAGATATGACGATTTTAACGTTTGGATTGATTATATTCGTTGTTCAATCTCTTTGAGGAATTGAAAAAATAGTGCTGATATTTTTAAAATCCTACATGCATGAAGCACAAACACCAAAGTTAGTAACGTTGAAATATACTAGATAAAGTCAATTTGATGGTAAAGTTGTTGTTTTGAGATTTTAACATTTGGATTGATTATATTTGTTGTTCAATCTTTTTGAGGAATTGAAAAAAATAATGTTGGTATTTTTAAAATTCTACATGCATGAAGCATAAATATCAGAGTTAGTAGTGTTGAAAAATACTAGATAATGTCACACTGATGGTTGTTTTGAGCATATAGACGAAAAAGAGAAAAAAATTCTTTGTATATATATATATATGTGGAGGTTATTTAAGTTAGAGTATAAGTCATACTTTTCGTCTGTTGGGCTAAATGATTATAAAGTCATAAAGAAAAAATAAAATTGATAATTGTGAGAATTTGTAATTTTGATGGGCTTTATAAAAAAAAAAAAAAATCTAAATTTCATACCTCATCAAGATGTATTAGAAATAATTTATGAAAATATGGCTTACATTAGTATTTGACTCATTATTTGCCATTGAAGATACTCATTGCATGATGCTGGAAATAAATAAAAAATTATTATTTTTAAACTAAATCAACGTTAAATTATATCGAACTCTTAGTTGATTATTGCATGGTTTTTTAAATCAAATTAGTCTAAATCTAATATTACTAAAATATAATTATAGTTAGTTATTGATAAATAATAAAAATTAAAGTTTAATGTTAGCCAAACTAAAACAACCTCTCCATGGATATACAACATTCTTTCATGTTACTAATCAATTTTTTTAAAAGAGAATTTGTAGGTGGAGATGGATTTTAACTTGACTAAGCTGGATTGAAAACCGGCTCCAATATTTCATACCATGTGCACAAGGCCCAGTACCTACCTATTCCACTCCTAGTGAAAATCGCTCCTCCTACCTTCAAATTAATTACATCTTCAAAACTGAAGGAACCCTAAAATCTCATTACCGATCATATTTCTAGAACTTCTCAAATATTACATAATGCATAGCAGCCTGTAATTTGTCAAGTACGTCTCTTTCAAGTTGTGAGTCCTCACCACAACCATCCCATATCAACTCCAGCTCCTCAAGGTGCTCTTACCCTTCAAATTGGCTTCTGTAGGCTCTTGAGCATCAACAATGTTTGAAGATTCCATAAACTAAGTGTCACACGTGGATAACGAAGCTATCTCAACTCTTTAATGCTAGAACCACTTCGCGCTCTCATAAAGAAATTGATGACCTTTAACGCTACAGCTATCTTGCTTCCATGTGCCACATAACTTGAAAGTTAGTTAATATGATCGAGCCACTCACTGTTTGCCAGAGAATTGTTAACAAATCAATGACATTCATAAGCTCATCCACAAGTTCCTGGCTTCATATGCGGAATATCTAAGCTCGTCAAGCCACTCTTTACGTTTGCATCAGTGACATGCTTCTCCTCTGCAGCTTTGAGCACTTCATTAACAGTGAGCATTGATATCGTCAACTTCTTCAGCAGCTTATCATCCGAAAGAACCAAACCTGGTGGGAAGCGGATAGAAAACCTCCTACTAACGCAGCAAATATGGTTTTTTTTTTTTTCCTGCCGTTATATGGTGAAGGAAACAAACAGGAAGAGAAATTAAGATTAATTAACTCTCAATGCAAGCAAGTACATTTTTTTACGTTAGGGTGCTTATGACTTGGCACAGCACTCTCTGTAGTACAATCCCCTGTTTGACTTGGAATGTTGTTGAAGGAACACAAATAGTTAATGCGCCGGTCAGGGTTTACTTGGAATCAGTTGTTTCAATGCCAGTGTCGCAATGCTCAAAGGGAAGTGAACTGGGCTAGGCACAAAGTTTCTTCTCTCTTTTTGCTTATTCTTTCCATGGCTCACTTTTCGCTCTCCTCTTCAGCAAAACTCAATAAGAGGCAGCAGCCCTTTAGAATTTCCACAAAACCAGAGCACTCCCAAGCAACCATAATTCATCTTCGAAAAGAAAATTTGATTTTTCTCCTCTCAACTACTAATGATACTGCGACTTAAGAGGTTGATGAAAATAAACATTGCACAGGTGGCTAAAAACACTAAACCACTACGTGACGTTCTTGTCCTCTGATCTGTTATAAAGAAGAAAAGCACTACCATATACAAACAAAACTCGCAATCCATAACGCATTTGATTAACCTAAAATGATTATATTTCTTCCTAACAATGATACTAAAAGCACTTTCTTCAAATGTTACATTTCCTGAAGCACAAAAAATGTTGCTTTACGTTATTCTGCAGGTAATACTAGCTGCCCGACTTTCGGTATTTCCTTCTTGTTAGCTTTAATTAAGTTCAGCTGCGACTGCTTAAAGGTGAAAAGAATATCCAGAGATTCAATCCTCAATACACCAGTATCTCACTGCAATGATATACAGACAGACATTCTGAGGTAGCATCTAGCCAGCAAGTGGGTTAGCATGTATCGTCACACGATTGATCCTTATCTCTGCAAGAGGTCTATCTCCCGGTCCTGTTTGAGTCTGCACAAAACCAACTAGCAGTCAACATTGCTGTATCTGGTGGGAAGATGCAACGGCAAAACATATAACATGAAGATTAAAAGTCACAGCCCCTAACACAACTATCAAACAACAAGGTTTAACTATCTTTGAAACAGAAGTTCACTGTCCCAAGGCTAACTAATACTTCTACTTCCAAACAAGGGAAAAAAGGACCATCCACAATGGCTTGCTCAACATACCTTTTCCATGATATCGAGGACTTCAAACCCATGAATTACTTTGCCAAACACAGTGTACAATCCATTGAGATGGGGTTGCTTTGCATAAGTTATGAAAAACTGGCTTCCGTTAGTATTTGGCCCACTATTTGCCATTGAGAGTGTACCCCTTGCATTATGCTGAAAAGAAGAGAAACAAGCATCAGGCATTACCGTTGCTCACATCTCACAATTGGCATTAGAATATGCCAAGTTCTAAATTGTACAACTTATTACAGCAAATGCAGTATAAGGTCAAAAGCAAAATAATGAATTCTAATACAACTAACAGTCTCCAACTCCTCGCACCTCGGGCTGTTGGCATTGATTGGGTTGGAGGAGGATGGTGATAAATTACCACACTTCAACCCACTACAACCCACGCTATTAGCTATTTTGTGACCATGCAGCCAACAAAAGAAAAGAGAAAACAAGTGTCATGATCGTCTAGGCCTCTATATCAACCACGCTCTCATTTCGTTTTAGAATGTCCTTTGTAGAGGCACGGGCTTGGTTTGCAAGGTTTACCAAAAAGAACAACATTGTATCCGACAAGAACACAAGTTAACTAACAACCCCAAATCTTAAAAACGAGGATAGCCTCATACAAAAGCAACAGCACTATTAAGAATTCTTAAAGAGCGACACTAAAAGTTCCCAAAAATGAATTCAGATTACATAATGCATACAAAAACTTGAGAAGCTTCAGACGAATTAAATTAAAATACCTTGAGAGACTCCCTAATCTCATCATTGAACTTCTTGCCCCAAATACTGGTCCCTCCTTTGCCTGTCCCTGTCGGATCTCCACCTTGAATCATAAACCCTTTGATATTTCGATGAAATATGGTTCCATCATAATACCCACTGCCACACAGTGCCAAAAAATTCTGTAAAAATTCAAACAAAGCACAAAAACTATAGGATTAGCTCATAACTTAAAAACCCACTTCTATTTCTGGGGATTAGAAACTTTTTAAAGAATTCTAGTTACAAATACAACTTCTAATTACTGCAATAATATTGAGCTTAATTTTTCAAAACATAGTTAACGACTGACCTCGGAGGCTTTAGGGACTTCATCGCAGGCGATTTCACACTTGATATCACCAAGGTTTGTGTGAAGAGTAACTGACTGAAAAGCAAAGAAGAGAAACGATCTGTTTTTTAGTTCATAGAGAAACATAGTTAAGGTGTTCGATGAAATTTCGCAAAGGAAACTAACCATTCTGTGTGGTGAATTTGCTCACAGATAAGCAAAGCCTGTTCGTGCACTGGTCCTGGTGGATGCTAATAGCTTCAGCCTTCAATAACTTCCAAGTTCGACACCTTTCGCGAGCTGCAGACGGTTTTTATAGGAAGCGATATGACCCTTAGTCTCCTTGGTTCTGGGTCTTGGTCTGTTGTAGGCCTTCTGTAGAATTGGGCCTTTATACCCATTTCAATTAATGAAGAATGAATAAAAATCTTGCGAAACCTAAACAATTTTTCTTCTTCGCTTCAATGAATTAGGTTTCATGGAATTACAAATATATATATATTCAATTTAAATTGATTTGGTCTTAGACACTAACCCAGTTAATTATTACAGTGGGGCACTAATGTTTAAGAACTAAACAAAAATTATGAATCTTTTGCTATAGTGATAAATAAATAAATCTAACTTTAGCTTAATTAGTCTTGGCAGTGCTAGGGTTTTGAAGTTACTTTTTTTTTAATCTAAGAAATAAATACAATATTTTGTTGTTATTAATTAATTGTGTTTTTAATTTATGATTATATGTTAGTATAAAACTCAAGTACATAAAAAAAAAATTATAACCATATTCATGGGTGCGAAATAATTCGTCATAATTTTTGTGCTAACAATCAACAGTGTTATAACCATCGGAGCCTTAGTCCAAATGGTAGAGAAGCCTTGTCTTTGAGAAGCCACTCTCGGGTTCGATCCTTGTGGGAGGACAACTCCAGTTGCTGCTAGCAGACTGCTGTCGTCCAATGTGAATGACGTAGGACAAATAAGGAAAAAGATCAGAGCATTCACCGAAGTGATTATCTTACTTGTCGGTTGATGATCAGCTGGTAAACTCGATTTGGTTTTGTCGCTTGATGATCATCTCCTTCAGGATATGAGAATGTCTCAGCAAATAAAATGCCAAACTCGATTTGGTGGGAGGTATAGAATCCTGTAATTTCCACTTTCCTCGGATATTTAAAAGACAAATCGATCACAGAATTCAAGCCTTTCTTGTTCAGTCTTAACTCTTACGGACAATATGTCTACGATTGCAACATAAAATACAAGCATGCTTTAGGATAGAATAAGTGTTACAATTATATAAATCCAAACTAGGCTAAAATACAACCATAACTCACCGTCAAATAAAGTCTCTTCAAATAACGGCAGGCTTTAATAACCGAAATCATCTTCAAGAAGCCAAACTTTGCACGGTTGTGGAATTGCAGACTTAGCAATTCAACACGCCAAAAGGTAGTTAACTCAGTCGGTATGCCCGTAACCTACGTATAGAAATACCCATATATATTAAAAATAATAATAATAATAACAGGGAAAAAAAGATGAAAGAGGATAATTTTGCAGTGGTCAGTTGTTTCCTAATCACATACATACCCAATCGGCTGAGGTGTAAATGAACATTGTGATCACATCAGGGGGCAGCATGGAGATCAAAATAAGATCACGTCTTGCATGACGACCCCAGATAGAGTAGACAGTCGATCCATCAAAAAGATCAGCATAAACTTTCAGGTTAGGAGGCCCGCTTAATTGGATTTCATTCTTTCCTAAGAAACACAACTAGAGGTGCAAAGATTCTCGTTCCACAGCTCAATTTCCTCGACTCCGTGAGTTTGTGGTCTCTCCATCAACTTGCTATCCTGGATAGTGGTGATGTGGCAATTTTATTGTTAAACTAAGTTTCCTTGGTTTTGGGAATTTTTTTTATTAACCCTACGTGAGAGTTTAATTTTTTTTAATTATTATCTCTTCTTTTGTCGGTGATTGGTACAGTTTGATTTATACATATAAAAAATTTCACAGAGAGAAACTGTGCTGATATTCTTTGTGCTTATTATCCCCCCAAATAATAATTTCCAATGAATGGGGAATTTAACAGAGGGTATTAATCAAATGAAACGCTAATCAAACGAAACGCCATATCATTCAATACAGAACAGCTCAGGAGGGATATGCACGGACTAGCTTTCTTGTGTCCAACCAAACAGAAACTTCCATTCAGCTCGAGTGCGTGCACATATATATACATTTTTTTTCTCCATAAAAAAAATTGTTACTGCTAGTTTAGATGACTCCATTAGATGTGAATGCTATTGCGAAAGCAAAACACCAGGACGAAGGGAAATGAACAATATTTATAGTTAAGCGAAGCTCGAGAGGGTTTTGAAGAATTATTAACATATTGCTTGCCCACACCCCCCACCCACCCAAGTTTTCTATGAACTTTCTTGTAATCCAAGGACTTGATTTCATTTTCCTTCTTGAAAAAGCTTGCATATGACAGCAGATCGCTGCAAACAAGATACAACCCTTTTGTGGCAGATTTTGTACGTTTATCCGTTTACAATTTTGAGAATGTATAGTCTGGTAACACATTGATACTCACTATGAGATAAACGAATATAATGGATTGGTGGCATGAATCTCTATATGCCATTAAACCTAACCATAATGATATGAACAACAAATTCGCATCAACCACAAACGAATAACATTGATTCGTCCTCAAGTCCAGAACAAACTTTCTTAGAAAGATGGTTGGCATCTGTCTTGTTAAAAGTTGCAAAATCGAACAGGTGATGTCTGGGGTGAAACGAACCATAAATCTTTAGGCATACAATTTGAACCCGTACATGTATGGCATTCAAAATATGATTAAATGTGAAGAAATAAGCTGTCAAACTAGAGACAAATATAGAACAAGAAGATAACACCGATGTACAAAAGAGAGGACGGGAAAATGCATTAACTCTTTTTATTAGTTATAAATATGCAATTGCAACTACAAAATAATATTTATATATATTTGCTAGAAAAAAGAAATTGACAAATATCTGCTAAAAGCATGTTATTCATCCTCAAGGATCTCTCTGTGTACATGCATGCATGACGTGCTGCAATACTTGTAATTATATCTATGAAATGGAACTTTACCAGCTAACGACACATTACAACAGGAGCAGGTTATATCTGATGTTAACCCACTTTTGAGTTGTGCTGTGGCTGGCACAGTGCTTGTGCCACTGCTTTGGGCATTGATAGCTGCAGCCGCAGCCATTCTCCTCTCTGCAGCAGCTGCCCTCTTTTCCCTCTCAATAGCTTCTGCCCTCTTGAGTTCCTCCTAGACAAGAACAGGATAGCAATAAAGAAGAAATTTTAAACAATCTATAATGGATCCGAATTCTGAAGATTATTAAAAACTAAATGATGACAACGTAAGAAGACTAACAAGAAAACAGTATTAAAACAGAAATGTGTTTAGCACGGACTCCATTGTCACAAATTATTCCTATCCTCAACCCAAAATCGTAAAAAGAAGAATAAAATCCTAACCTCTCTAGATACTTTTGATCCTCCACTAGGCTGAGACTGTCCCTTTATAGCTGAAATTGGAGTAGCTCGATTACCTATAATTACTGCAGCGTTTTGGGATGAAGCAGCCTCAGCCTGCATTAACATCACAAAAGAGTTGACATGCTATAGAAATTTGGAACCATTCAGAGGCAAAAAACAAAACTAATTAACGGTTAAAACAGGATAATTTGTTGCAAATCCTGAAATTTTCATATTCCAAGTAGGCCACAAAAATATATAGTGCATAACTGGCATGTTGTTGAGCCATTAGATGCAGGATATGCTCACATGATTCAAAAGTCATCTTAGCAGTCAAGATGTCAATCACCTATTTTGGTATTCTGCTATTGAATTACAGTACAAGCATAAGATTGAGTTATCTTTGTATGTGAGATGATGATCAATAAGAGTGCTAAATAAGAATCAATAAGGGTGCTAAAGAAGAACTCCCTTAAGAAATGATATTACTAACAGAATTTTCAGTCAGCTTTTTAATACATTGAAGATAATCTGAACACTATTTCTTGAGAACAATTTAATAGTTCAAAACAAAGCATCATATAATCAGCTCCCATGGATTTCATCATCCTATAGAATCAAGAAAACCTAGTGATTGATGAAACAGAAGTGGGTGTTTCTCTTTCCAGCTTGAATATGAAGCACAGAAGTTTCAATAAAAAAATTTGTTTCCTTGAACAAGGCACAGAAAACACATGCAAAAAAGAAACAAAAGTTATGGCTGTTTTAACATCAATAGTTAGAAGCACTTTTATTTAATGTAGAATTAGCAATTGTTAGTGCAGTTGTTTGTCTGCCTGCCATTCAAATAGGAAACTTCTGGATTTTCAAAAAATGGTTATAATATATTATACATTTAAAATGTCATGTCAATGCTAATGCCTGCTGTGTCCTTGAGAGTTCATTCTAAGACAACGAATAAATAGGTTAAATCAGCATAATATTCCAAATGAAAGAAAATGTATCATAAACGTACCTGGGCCTTCTTTTCTCTAGCTTTACGTAATTTCTTCAATTCCTTTGCTCTTGCTTTCCTCTTTGCCTCTTTCTCGGCCTGAACAATCACAAACATAAATTATCAATTTAAGCATCTGAAATTGAATGTCAACTCAAAATCAGAAAGCAGCACAATCATGAATGCCATGAAAAGTATATGGTTCTGCAAAAAGCAACTGACTTTATGAAACACATAATAAGTTTCAGTGACTTCATAATTCTCATCTCATACAAGATAAGTAATGATGGTTTCATGAACATAGGATTTATGAACCAAAGCTCCAATTAGAAATGGCAACGAAAATCTTCTGCCAATAGGTTATAGTAAACTAATGTATTTGACAAGCTAGGATGAGGCTTTGCAACTAAGAATCGGCTAAACACCCCCCCCCCCAACACCAAAACCCATATTTGAAGGATTCCAGAATACCCAGCTTTTTTGAGGATTTACAAAGGAATGGGCGAACATCAATGCCCAAAACTACCCCTCAAAAGGAAGCTAATTTCATCTATTCTGTGCTTAGAAGAAAATTTTAGTAAATTCATTTTGCCTGATGATTTTTCATGGCAACCATATCAGGGCCAGAAAATGATAGATTGGAATTCAAAATTGAGATGGAAAGAGTATGATCGTTTTTGTGGAGATATTGGTGAAAAATATCAATCAAACTGTGTTTCCAACCAAAAGAAACGTAAGCAAACAGATGCATGGAGAAGTAGCAACAGGCAGACCAATCAAAAACAGCTTAGCAGCTTGAGATTCTTCCATGCATCTGTTTTTTGTTACTACCTGCTTAGCAGCTTGAGATTCTTCCATTTCTTTTGTCAATGCACTAGGCACATTAGCAGCATGCCAATCCCATCTATCAATATTTATGGCCATGAAACGTCTAAATGCATTTCTGACTTCCTTATCATTTGCCAGCATATAAGGAGTCCGCCCCCTTTCATCTTTGATACAAGGATCTAAACCCTGCTCTAGGAGTTCCAAAACCCGATGAGCATCACCAGATTCTGCTGCTTCATGCAAAGGCGTTGTTTTGCCAGCAACTTCACGTTCACTCCCACTTGGCATAAGTAGATCATCAGATTTTTTTTCACTAGAAGAAGCTTCAGCAGGTTCCGCATTATTAATGCTTCCATTCAAGTCCTCTTTGCTGGGGACAGGGCAGCTATCTGTGACAGTGCTTGTATTTGACACCAAGTCATCTATGGTGCCACGTAGGCTTTCCTTCTCATCCACTTCATAGGTAACTTGTGTCAATAAATTATATACACGTCGAGCTTCTTTCAAAGTAGGCCTCCGAACACTCAACGGTACATTTCGAACACGGTGCTGATGGCTGAAATATGCTTTATCTCCATCAAAGAATAGTTGCCGATTACTTGAAGGTGCATATAACCAAATACACGATGAAGCATCAAAATAAGGCTTCCAAACATCAAGTAGTTCTTGAATGTCCTATATATTTATGAGCGAAAAATCAGTTAACAAGAACAACAATCAAAACATTCATGTCAACATGATGTCATGCGAACTATATGCAAAACAAAACTATAAATTGGTGGATAAATTTGAAATATTGTCATGCCTCTTTTTATTAGGATAAGTTAGCTTGAATACAAATTTCTGCACGGTTGTTATTTCGTTAAATCACCATGGGTTAATCACAGACTACAATTTTACAAAAGATCCTCAAAGCCCAAATGTTTTTAAACACATTCAAAAACTACGCACCAACAAGTTTCAAAAAAAAAAAAAAAAAAAAACAAAACAAAACAAAACAAATATGACTGCACAACAGTTTACACTTGATACCTTCTTTAAAGCAAGTTCATTATGCCGACGAAGTGAAGCTCCAGCAGAATGTGCAGCTCTACCAGTTCCATCTTTAGATGACTGTTTTTTACCAGCTTTGGCCCTTACAACGTATCTAAATCGCAAGAAAAAGAATTCAGCATTTCCACACTAAAACTACCTGCAAACTTTAATAAATTCCCAAGTAAAAATCAAAAAGGAACCAAAAGATCATAACTTTTGGCCAACCTCCCCCTAACCTGTGAAATGTTTTATGAACCACAACCGAATTCCCATCAAGAACGCACCCAGCAAAATGTCCACCACTAGCAAGCAACACAATCCGCCATCGGATCCCATTCCTCTCCTCGTGAATCAGAAACCTCAACCTCTCAATCACTTCAATCTCTCTCAAACACCCCCCAACAACAGTGTCATTTTCAAAACAAACCCTTTCACTCTCATTCAGAACCAAACTCTTCCATATCGAAACTCTCTCTCCAGTCTTAAGACGAATAAATAACTTCTGCTTCGCACTCTCTACTAATCCTCTTTGTGAATCATCCCGCAAAAAGGACACCCTTTCAACTTCATCTTCTGATCCTGACACGCTCGAAATATCACAATCTTTGAAAGATTCATCAAAATCTTCCTCTTTTACAATATCTTTTCCAGCAATGCTTAATTTAACCTGAAATTGAAAAAAAAAAAGATTTCTACTTAAATTATAAAAATGAGCCAACCAAATATAAATACCGCGACGGAGAAATTGTTTAAATAATTTATTTACATTGATTCGATGAATATCTGATTTGAAGTGAGAGCGCTGGTCTTGGAGAGAATCGAATTCGGCTTTGCAAGTGTTACAGGTCCATCTAGGAATTGTAAATTCGACGTCGTTTTTCGAAATTGTCTCTTCTATCGTATTGACGTCATCTAGAGTTTCGATGAAAGAGGGAGCTTCGGGTGCTACTGAAGTTGAAGCAGAAGAAGAGAAGGAAGGAGAGATTAAACGACACGCGTCGAAGAAATTGGTGTGGACGTCGAAGATAGAACGGTGCCGTTTCTCTTGGGAAGTTGAATTTGTGTTTGTGACTGTTGAGGCGGTGGTTGTGCGAGGAGGTGCGGACGCCATGATCGTCTACTCTTGCTTGCCCATTGGATTCCTCCTGTACACGTACTAGGGATTTTGTTGATTAAAAAGAGCGAGGTATCATGCCGGTTTGTCTTCCTTGAACGACGTCGGCTCACAAAGGTTGTTTCTCAAATCTCTCATTCAAAACGAGGTCGTCACGTCAGTCGTTAATATAGTCCATAAGTTCAGATTTTTTACTTTGATAAACCGATTGTGCTTCAGATAAACCACTCAAATTTTCATATCGAATTATATATATATATTCTTTTTGATTGGAGAAATTTTTTTAATAACCTTCTTTAATTTCAAATCCAATATAATCATGGATAATTGAGAAACAAACTTATTCACCACAACACTAAAATTATACCAATTTATTATTTAAGTCTACATACAAAAATAAATAAATAAAAAATCATTTGAAAGGAACATTTTCTTAAGCGATTATGGACCGAATTTCTTATTCTTTTCACTCTTTCGCTTGACGTTTTTAGTACTCTCGATAAATGAATACATATCAATTTGCTATTTATGCCAATCGAGAATAATGCTAATCTTGCACAGATTATTCTCAAAACTACTCCCAAAAACAAATTTTTATGTGATCACCGCATTCAATGTATGAGATTTTCAAGAAGTGATTTAAGAAAGGATATCAAGTAAAATTATATCAATTTGGTACAAAACCATAAAGTTTCACCTCTAATTTTCAGTCTTAGGATATCAAGTAAAATTATATCAATTTGGTACAAAACCATAAAGTTTCACCTCTAATTTTCAGTCTTCCAAAGCAGTAAACCAATTCGTTCTTAGATCTTCTTCGTCCCCATCAACCAACACCACCCACCCACCCCCTCCTCTTTCCTCTATTGAGCTCATTAAGCAGTACAGAGATAAATACAAAACATAATACTGCCATTTATGGGCGCCAAAAGAATACAAAGAACTCGACATGAAAAGGAAAACAATGAGGAAAAAGATAAAGGAGTGAAAATAACTACAATGAACTGCGAAGGAAAACAATCAAACTGCAAGTAAACCTAACTATATGAATGGATAAAATCCAACTCCAAATATGCCTAACTATTTGAGCAATGAGGCGAAACAGTAGCCAGAGTACCATAAGCACCAAAGGGTCAACTCATCAAAGGTTTGGCCTTACGTACATGGCCCATACTATTAACAAGATCTTTTCGGATGCAAACTGGAAACCTATGGATGTCCTTGAGCACTTTCAACCGCCAAAGAACATATGGGAAACTCATCTGATCCCTAGATGTAAAACGAACTACTTCATTGAACCAGAGGCACATAAATAGATTAGTCAGTCGTGTATGCTCCCTCACAATGATCGAAGCTTCGTTTAGAGCTGCAAAGACCAACAATGTGTTGATTAATTCCATTATGCAACTCATCATATCCTACAACACTGAAGGAAGTGTGTGGGTGTTGGGGTGGAGGGGTCTGGGTATGGGATCAATGCAACTGATTTCTGCTGATACAAATAAGGCCGTGGGCTTTAGGGTGTAAATATAGATGTGTTTTTGTGACTTTCCCTTTCCACTAGTACATCCAAATATTCAAGCGAAAAACTGCCACGTAAAAGGCAACTGCTTGGATCGTAAAAACCTGGTCTAGAGTTAATTACACAAAGCCTAGTTTTATTAATGCCATCATCACGTTAAGAAGATAGATTTTACCTTTCTTTCCATTCAATCTTTTGTCTTCAGGCAAGCCATCACGCCGATACTGAGTTATCTGCACCTCCACTTCCTCCGGGGTGGCTTTGTGTTTCTTGACAACAGCCTTAGCCTCATCATACACACTGCTGCGAGCTCCATGTTCAGAAATTGCTAAGACAGAATTTGATCGCCAAAGAAGGGCTTCCAAAACACCTAAAGGATCTCTCCTAAATTGGGACTTCGAATCTACCCAAATAGAGTACTTTGCCTGAGGAAATAAGCGATGTCCCAACATCTGGCAACAGCAGAAATTGATAAGAATATCCTCCAAAGACATTCAATACACAGAAAATCACATGGATGAAAATGCAGACATGTAATATGCCAACAACAGAGGGAAAGCAGATGAGTGATGCTATCTTACAAAAAGAATCTACAAGGAATCATGCATGACTTTGATGGATGTGAATTTCAAAGAATCTTTTTTCACATAGGATCATGGTAATTTTAAAATGTATTACTATACCCATGTTGAAAAATATAAAACACTCAAGCTGCAACCGCTCTATCTTCTATGTGATACTGGCAAGTTAAAACTACTGTTACCCAAACAGTTGCTGTTTTCGGCTGGTACTAATTAATGTTTGACAAGGCAATACCAGTTTACAAACAAAAACAACAAAAGATACTCAACATATGGAAATGAAAATACGTTAAAATTGTTTTGCTGCCTTGTATTGTCCTGTCTTTTTAAACTGAAAGTTGTTAAACATGTTTACAGATGACCTAGTAGCATCCATCAACTTGCTACAGAGCCTTTCTTATCCCCCTCTCATCAATAATTCTTGGAAACAGAAACATATTGAATCGAAATAGATTAAGTAATAGTGGGTTCTGTCATTCCTGTGGTTGGTTCTTAGACCGTGACCTACTTGGATCCTTTTGATTTGAATTGTTTTCCTGGACCATATCTTTATAGATGCTATCTGATAGACAGACTTTATTAAAGGGGTAATGATACACCCCTAAAGGCACTAGAAGCATGACACCGTAAGGATGAAAGGAAAACTACTATCCCATAACAGATTACTGGAAGTGAATTGATGCCTGAAAGTTCTAGTATTTCTCTCCTGCTAAATGCACCGAAAAACTGACTCACTGCAGCCATAAAGTGTCAATCTTCCCTCAGCCCAAACCCCAAGACTGGCCACCATAAGCCACTGGACAAAGTAAAAATAAAAAATGATTGTGAGACTCTCCATTTTGGCGATGCATTACACGAACATTGGGAAATGAGGCCCTATGGTGACATCCAATCTGCAGCAAATAGTTAGTAATAACCTTAGTCCACATGAAAGTCTTCGCTTTGGATTTTGGTGGAAACCTCAGCTTTCCAGATATGATGAGATGAAGTAAAAGCCAACAAGTTTGGGGTCTGGGAGAGATATCACAAAAAAGGCTCAGAAGAAAATTTTCAGATCTCCCATCTAGAACCCAGTTATTCAAGATAGGAAGTAGGGAAATTAGGTCTGAGTGTTCCTATCATTAAGATTTCAAAAGATATGAAAAATCCAATTAATACCCCCTCACTCCCCCAACATTGTTTTGAAACAAGAAATAGGGAAATTTGAAGCAAATCACCAATACTAATAATTGAAAAAAAGACTACAATTTTGAAATATAAATTGGGAAGTTTTGACAGTCAACTAGTGCACTTGAACTGAACACTCAAATACACTTACCAAATAATACAAGAATATAAATTGGCAAGGGTAAATAATGGCAGACAATTCACATAATCAAAACTTATGTCCAGTCACTGTATGAGCCGAAATTATTAATACAGTAAATAGAAGGGAGATAATAACCATGAAGACAGAAACAAAATTTCGAATGAAGTAAGAACTAGCAGTGGAAATATAGCATGTGAAAAAAAAAAAGGAATTCCAGAAAGGAGTGATTGCATATAACTTTGATACCTTGGGGATTTTACCATTCAACCTTTGGTCTGCAAAAGGAAGGTGGGGTCTGGGAAAGATGGCACAAAAAGGCTCAGAAGAAAATTTTCAGATCTCCCATCTAGAACCCGATTATTCAAGATAGGGAGTAGGGAAAGAAGATCTGAGCGTTCTTATCATTAAGATTTCGAAAGACAAGAAAAATCCAATTAATAACACAACCCCCCCCCCCCCCCAACAAAAAACATTGTTTTGAAACAAGAAACAGGGAAATTTGAAACAAATCACCAATACTAATAATTGAAAAAAAGACTACAATTTTGATACATAAATTGGGAAGTTTTGACAGTCAACTAGTGTACTTGAACTGACCACACAAATACACTTACCAAATAATACAAGAATATAAACTAGCATGGGTAAATAAAGGCAGACAATTCACATAATCAAAACTTATGTCCAGCCACTGTATTCCAACAATCTTTAGATTAAACAACAAAAGGGAGGTAATACAGGTAGCATTGTGTGGAATGAGCCGAAATTGTTAAGACAGTAAATAGAAGGGAGATGATAACCATGAAAATGAAGTAAGAACTAGCAGTGGAGCGAATGTGAAAAAAAGGAATTCCAGAAGGGAGTGGTTGCATATAACTTTGATACCTTAGGGATTTTACCATTTAACCTTTGGTCTGCAAAAGGAAGATCCCTTACAACGACAATACGCCATTTCCCAATAAAATGGTCCACGCCAATTCTGTGCCCCTGAGACTCCTGAGCTGCTCGAGTAATTTCGTCCCAAAATGCAACATAACAAACCTGCATGAGTGGAGTGAAAATGTTTGTAAAGACTCTGGATGTAAAAAATAACTGAAGTAAAACATCTGCACTCCACATGCTGACTGACCTTTTCAAGAGATGCCTCTGACATTCCAATAGGTTGATGAAGGTCATCTCCACCACCAAATGCACATGTAGACACCACAACTTTGCAGGTTCGCATGTAACTTTTGTCCTCATCAGAAATCTTAAACCCCCCATTTTCACTGTAAAACCCACAATGCAGCTCAGCTGTTTCTTTCACCTGAACCACAAATTTCCAGGCAATATGAGCAACAACTAGAATACAAAACCAAAGGATTAGAGAAGTTTAAGGTCAAAGAATCTTTTATGTTCTGCAGTTAGAAAATTTCCAAAGCAAAATCCCAGTCAACCTTATGCTGCATCTTTGATATCAAGAAAACAATGATTTATTTGATCCTAAATCAGGCCAAAGGTGTTTAGATGTAGCTTACAACCTTAAAACTTCTCTCCCTCTGATCAAAAGTTTGATGTCCAGTAAATAAATTAAATCTCGAGCCTTCTGTGCTCTGTCCGGACAAGGTAGTGTTTGCTCCTATATGTTGTGTATCTTTCTCTGATATGTACACCACATTTTTAACAGGACCACTGAAATCATCATGGATTGGAATATCCAGATGTTGAAGTTCTTCATCCGGTAGCAGCTTCAAGCAACCTGATACGATCCACAAGCTCTGTGTCACATATTGAACTACTTTTAACACCCATTATAAACCGACACAGATACCATAAATAACAGCCAATATTTAAAACTTCTCCAAACACAAAACCGTAAACCAACTAATCACATGCAACGATAATGTCAATAAAAAGATTCATCTCGCCTCCTTTCCTTACTCTTACACGTATTTTGAACCAAACCATATCTCTTGTTAATGCTTCCGTAATGGAAACACGGTTTTCTCCATTCATTTTACTCTAGCCTAAGATTTTTATTCACGAAGGACAAGCAATGTAATATTCATTAGTTTTTTTTTGTCAAGATTTACGACAACAGAGAATATTCACGCCAAAAACAACACAGTAAATCACAATGCACTTCTTCCATTCAAGTCATATCTAAATTAATTGATAAGTAAAATAGGTTTGTGCCAGCTGAGTCTCGAAAGATTAAAAAAAAAAAGTTGAACAAACTGGAGATGTAAATTTCAATAATTACTCACGTTCTCTAACACCACCGACAATGTGAGTCACCGGATCAAGCCGGTTCAAGTTCCCTTCCGATTTATTATTCCCTTCAGCTCGAAAACTAGGCTTTGTCACTTCGTTAACTCGTTCGGACGCTTTCACATCATCCAAACCCGGTTTCCTACCAATCTTAGAGGCTTCAAATATTAGCAACCCAGCTGCGGGAAGGAAGATCAAGACAGTCCAATACTTTAAAACAAATCTAATGATTCTCTGTGAAAACTCGTTCCTGACTCGGTGATGGTGTTTCTTGCGTTTTCTACGCACTCGGGCTCGCATTCGACTCGGTTCGTCTGAGTCGTCGTCGTCAGCTACGGAGATTGATATGCCACTGCTGTTATTGGAGAACGCTGGTGAGGCCATTGAGAAGGATAAATAGAAAAAATGAAAAAATGAATTTTGAACCAAAGTGTTTAAAATGAGGGTTTTGAAATTTAGATTTTGGGTAATTATGTTTCTCTTTTATTCTTATTTTGAGTTTTTTGGGAAAAAAAAAACAAAAAGTTCAGTTTTTACGAGAATGCAAATTTAATCTAGAAAAAACTGTTAGCGACAAACAATTCAACAAGTGACGAAATAAGATACATTGATTATGTTCTAATTTTGTTGTATGACTAATTTTGATGGGCCAGCTTCATGTTTTAGGCCTTGATTTCTAGTGGATCGGGTCCTCTGTAGCCTTTTGTCTGTTTGGGTTTATGCCTCCCATTAGTGTCGTTATTGCCTTCGGATTCATTAAGTAGCCATTTGGTTAAGAAAAAAATGCTGAGAATCCGAATTGGAATCGAGTATAAGGAAGGGTAAACAAGAAAAAAAATGATTTTTAATTTCTGAAAAAAAAATAATAAAGAGTGATGCAAACGAAACATGTACTAGTTTGTAAAAATTAAGTAATCTAACCGTTTCAATTCATGAAATAATATTGTGTGACCAACAATATGAATATTTTGCATTAGAAAAAAAAATTCTTAACTTATTTTGAATTGATAAGGCAATTTGTGCAGGTTTTTTTTTTTCATGATCAAACATATATATAAAATCTATAGCCAACCTAACTATGCTAATATCTATCACAAGAATAAGATATTGAAGGAAATTAATTATAATTAATATTCCTCCAATCATCATTTTGAATAATGAGTCTAAATAAGTAATTTTATATATTTGTTTAATTTTGTATTTAGGTGTTCTTGCTCGTCAAATTTGGTCTTAAATGTGGAGTAAATTGACACTTTAATTTGTAATCAAGTATTTCGCAAAAAAATAATATAGGGTTCAATGCTATCTAGTAACCTACTGGGACTTTTACGTGCTATTTCGACTTGAATGATAAGATCTGAAACATAAAAGAGAATGCTTGAGACAAAGCTGAGATATATATATATCAAAAAATACAACACTTACATCAATAATTTTGGATGATGTCATTTGGTAATTTTTGAAATAAAAATCCTAAGTTACTAGAAAATAAGATAAACACTATCGATCTACTTTGCAATAAGGTAAAGATTATTCTAAAAAAACAGGATAAAAGTAATCTTCGAGATAAATCTTATTGTCCCGTATGTCTTCCTTCCACTTCTTTTAAATCGTTGTCAATTGATAAGCTGTCCGGATTTTCTAATTTGAATGCGAACGATTATCGGGTTTTATCTTCCCTTCGTTCGTTGACGGTAGTTAATTTACAGAACCAAACGAAATTTTTATTTCGTCGATATTAGTTGATTTGTAAGACCAAATATATCATTTCATTCAAGGTTTTTAAATATTTGTTCGTCGATTTTAGTCGGTTTGTAAAACAAAACACATCATTTCATAAATCTATGTTCGTTGATATTAGTTACTTTGTGAAACCAAACACATCGTTTTATTTAAGATTTTTAAATCTTTGTTCAACGATATTGATTAGTTTGTGAAACCAAACGCATCGTTTCATTTAATTTATTGATTCCAAACGACACGTGGCTTTTAAAATTTATATATGCTAACATTTGGATTTAGCACAAAAAGAAACATTTTGAAAGTGAAATGTAGATAAATTTACTTTACTATTTGGCTTTATATATAATCAAAATGATGACTGAACCAAATGCATCTTCTTGATGCACCTATTTGGTTTATCTGTTCAATCCTTTATCTTTTAAAATAACTTTGTATCTAAATGACTCACTAATTATTTATTTCTGTAAAACCTATTGATTCTTTCTTTACAAAAAAAAAATCCCCTGTATTTTATTGAGACTGTTTTGACATCAGGAGAGATTCATGAAACTGAGATTTATCGAGCCATCGGCATTACACAAATTGAAAAAAAAATTGTAAAGCAAATGAACAGGAAAAAAAATCAATTTGATTGAACCTTATTGCTCAAAATTAATATATAAATTACAACTTGGTTTTTAAAATATGGTTATCAAAATAGTCATAAACACTTCTTGACACGGAATTCAATAAAAATCATGAAAGGATTAGAGCATATTTGACGTGAATTATAATTCGAGTAATAGTTCAAAACAAAGACATTAATTTCACCCAATTGTTGGGTTTCAGATTGGACTTTTTATTTGGTGTCCAAAACCAAGATAAAAACAAGAGGTGGGTAAAATTCAATCCAGTCTGATTAGAGTCAGATGGGGCGAGGGTTCACTTGACTTGATCTCGACCTTCGACCTTGTTTTTTAATCTTTATTTATTTTATTTTATGAAGTTGTAATTTTATTTTTTAATATAATGGATGGATCTTATCTTATTATTCACAAAGGGGTTTTTTTTTTTTAATGACTTTATGTATGAATTTGAAGTTTAGACTATGTTTGATGGGTGAAGAGTTTGAACATTCTAGATTGGAGGTGGATGGGAAAAAATAAAACCCACCTCGATACAATCCATTGCCATCCCTAGTTCAAAAGATAATTTTCTGTTAAAGAGGAAATAAGTTAAAAATATTTCTCATAAAAATTAACCAATTGAAAGAACAAGAGATAATACAAGTTAGAGTAAATAAGTTAATGAAATTAAACAATTTTTAACTTTTGAGTCAGAATTAAGTCAAAATTATTCTAAACAAATACGATTTTTTTTCTTTTAATCAAAAGTTAGAACACAATTTAATTAATTTACAACATGATACCAAACAGTATCCGAGCAACTAAAAGAGTTTACATACTAATTTTGCAATTCTTCAATTTTAAAAAACCAAAAGTAAGAGAGTTGAAACTAGAAGAACCCTATTAGGTTTAAATGCATTACAATTTACAATACAACTGGTCAATGCCACGAGAGGACTCCTGATTTCACACAGCCAGGCAACATCGACCATCCTTCAATGGAAACATCCTTCAACAAATCAAATAATCGTAATAGTTATTAAGCGGTAAGATGTAAAGTAACAGGTTGAGTTTCTGGAATTCTGCGTTTAGTCAAGCCCAGTTCGCTGCGGAAAAATCACAATTCAATGGAAACATCTATCCTATCCATTTTGATAAACCCAAAGCACCAACTTTTGAAATGGTGGACCCCACATTATTGAAAGAAGCGGATTCTAGAACCCCCTTTCACGTGGGCTCACACCCAAATCCAAAAAATACCACCACCATCTACATTAAAATAATGTAATGCGTAGAACCCGATAACTAAATACAACAACAGGAAAAGAAATGCTGCCAAAATGAGCAGCTGGGCTCACCTCACTCGCTGGTAAATTCCAAATCAAATAGAATTAAAAAAAAAAAAAATGATCCCCTCTAACAAAATAACAACTCAAAATCCAAAAATAAATAAAAAACAAATTAACCGAGCTACATAATTACGATTCAAGACATGAGAGTCGAGCAAATTACAGTGGCGAAGACAGTGACCAGTACAGGTACACTCACGTGAACAGCAGCATTGCCATCCGCCTTGCTGTCCTCGGATCCAGAAGGCGCGTCAGCTGGGGCACCATCCGGCGTCTCTATAGGCGGAGCAGGGGGTGAAGCAGCCAGCGGAGATGGAGCTTCAACACTAGCCGGAGCTGGAGTCGAAGCAACCGGACTCGGACTGGGTGCACTCACTGGTTCCCCAGCCGGAGCTGGCGACGGAGCTTTACCGAACAACTCAACCGGTAGCAGCACGTTGTCAACAGTGAAAATAGCAAGCGGTGTTGAGTCAAGGATCGTTTCAGCAACTCGCGATGGACCCATTCCAGTGTGTAGAGTGACCGAGTCACCCGCACTTGTAACCGTCAGATCGAACTTACCTGCACCGTTACTAGCCAATGTAGGGATCGGACCTTTGCTAGTTTTCAAACTCCCAAACGGACTGTAACTAGCAGTGGCATGATACTGTAAGAGCGATACTATTTCGGCGTTGGTGAGCTTGCTCAAATCAGGTACTCCTGCAGCCTTGAACGCCTCGTCGTTTGGTGCAAAAATAGTCAAACCTTTATCCGCCGCTGTCTGGTACATTTTAATAACGCCGCTAGTTCGTAACAAACCCGCAAATGTTTTGCATCCAGCCTTTTCAAGTAACGCCGTTATGTTTACACTTGACGGTGTTGGAGCCGGAGCTGTTAAAATCCCTGGAGCTATAATCGGCTGGCTGATTTCAAGAATTGAAATATTGTATGGCACTTGCTTGACAGATTTAGTGTAAGTAGAGTCAAGTTTTGAGCCGGGAGCAGCGGAGCCGAAGCCGACTTTACCACCTTGGAGATCTGTAATGTTGACGAATCCTAGGTTGCCAGGGGCATTTCCGGTGGTTTGGTAAAGAGTGGTGGATAATGTTGTGCCTTTGGAGATCTTGTGGAGTTTTGTTGTGTCATAATAATCAAGGACAACGAGGAGACTAAGAGCATTCTTGATGACTGAAAGTGGGTGTTTGCCTGCAAGTGCAGACATAGCCCCATTGTTAAGGGCCAAGACAGTTATAGTTTGGCGAGTGTTGATTTCATCGGCTAGTTTTGTTTGGGTAAGGTAGTTGTTAAACTCGGAATATTCTGGGAAGCCTGAGAGAATGGCGGTTATGTTGTGGGCTGAGATGGAGGAGAGAAGTGCAGATAATGTAAGAGAAAGAAGGAGGGAGTACTGTAATGTGGTCATGGTGGAGTTTCGGAGGAGGATAAAAGAGAGCTGTAGAGGAAGTGATAAAAAGGGGAGGGGGTGGAGAAGGGGGTTTGGGGTAACTAGAGTTGATTGGGGTTGGGTTTAAGTTGGGTTAGTAGTCGGGGGAGGGGCCCATGTGAAGGACAGGCATGCTTTGCTTCACAAATCACAGCTGGAAGGGCTAAAGGGCTTTATGCATGGATTGGTGGCAAATGGTATTTGTTATTGCTCATTTTTTCAATGGGGAAAATGATAGCTTGGTTTGTGCCACTGCCACATGAAGGTGATCATAACAGTAAGTGTGATTGCGATTGTTGATGGGATGGGTTTATAACGTCTACGAACCACGGATTAGATGTTTTATTAAACGGTCAAACTATGTTTAGAATTTGAATTTTGAAGAGCTTTTCTAAGTCAAATTAAAATTAAGGTTCTTCCCTAATCAAGTTTAGCTGAAATTAATCCTCCTCTAATCAAACCCGAAATCAATTCATAAACTGCACTGGAGCATTTACGACGATTCTTTTTGTAAATTTTTGGATTTGAATTGTAAATAATGAAAGGGGGACAAATCAACTAGTAATTGATCCAAAAGCTGAAGGATAGAATTTAAAGACTAGTGAAGACTCTAGAGAGCTTCCAACACCCTGATTCATCTTAGCAGGGGGGTTAGAAGGTGGACAATCTGAAATTATGCTGTTTCCTCTATTAAAAAAAAATCCGACTTGTTTTTCTAGATGGAAAATTGTTACCGACCATGGAAAATTATTTGAGGCTCGAATAAATTATTTTTGAAAGAAAAAATCTTACACAGATTTTGTATGGTTATGAATTATGATAAATGATGAGAAATTCTTTCCTTGCTACTTAGTACTAACGTCTGTGATAAAGTAGATTCTTCTTTGATTTTTATTTTAAACAACAAAAAGAAGAAAAGGGAGTTTCAATTCTCTTTATTCTCTCCTTGACACAGTCAACAAATTTCTGAGCGTGAAAAATCTGATTTCTCCAGATACAGATTGTCTGTCACAAAAAAAATGGTTATTGGCCTTTTTTAACTTCTGTACTAATGGGATTGTGGTGTATGGAGACACTAACAATCAATTTGATCAATTTTATCTTTAAACTATGATTATTTGAATAAATATTATTTTACTATTTGATTTGACTGTTATCATCTATTGAATTTTTTTTTATAAAAAAATCCATTATTGGAATTTTTGAACCGAAAATTTAACATATATTAATAAAAATTCAATTTACTTTTAAATTTTTTTGAAATTATAAAGTATTTTTTTATTTTTTAAAACATGAGATATTTTTAAAACTGAATGACTCAAAAAAAATTGGGCTGCCTTAAAAAATTAATTTACATTTATCTACTTAGTTTTCATATGATTCTCAAAATATTTACATAATTAAATGTGTAATGCCTAACCAAAGTATAAAATAAGTTAATTTTGAAGACCACATATGCAAATATTTTGAAAATCATACTAAAATTTTATATAAAAATTCATATGATTTCCTTGTATTTCCTAAAAAGAAAAAAAGAAGACAACTCTAGCTTATTTTCCATTTTTCTTAATCTATTGAATTTTTATTGTTCTAAAAATAAAACAACATTTTTCAAATTTATAAAATTTTAAAATTATTGTTTTGAAAATGGATTGAATTTTTTTTTTTTTTTTTTTTTTACCGTCTATGAAAAATCAACTCAAAATATCATAAGTTGAATTTTTTAATGAGATTTTTTTATTGACAATAACAGTCAAAACAAACAAAGGGAGTATATTTGTCCAAAATATGATAATTCAAAGTTACAATTGACTAAACTAACAATACAAATCTCTATATGCCACAACTTCAATAACTTAATGGCAAAAGCTTTCATTCGAAGAAAAACAGCATCACATGTTCTTTGATTCTTACAGAGGATGTTATACTTTAGTCACTGACTTTAAAGTGTATCTAAAATTTAGTTAATTATTTGTGTTTGAAAACATATAATTTAGTCTCTTGATTCTTTTTTCACAACCTTATGACAGTTGTCATGTTAAAACGTACATTGATTTTTTCTTAATCCTAAGCATACCATTTGACAGCATAGATTTTATTGAAAAACCTATATACGGATATTTTAAAAGAAAAGCTAATTGATTTTAAAAAAAAACAAATAACAGCCAATAAGAATTAAAAGACTAAATTATAGTTTTTCAAATTATGAAATAGGTTATAACCGTTTTCGTCACTGAGGAACCAAAGAATAATTTACTCATTGTTATTCATGCATTCAAAACCATGCTGTAAGAAACTAAGCTTTTGGTCAAGCTCTTAGTGGGCCAGTATTGAGTGTCTGTGCTGTGGACATGACCATCCCCACCACTCAGTCCATGCCAACTAATAGCCAGGCTGGTGTATTTTTTTTCCCTCCACCACTAACCACGTGGCATTACCATCGAAAGACAATGGCAAAGTACTTCACTTTTCTTTCAGAAATAATAATAATAATAATAATAACAACAGGTAGATTGTCCAATGTCCATGCCGAGGGTCCCTGAAAAATGTGAAAATATTAATAAAAAAAAAGATTAAAAAATAAATGAAAGTTGAAGAATTAATGTATTGAATCACACACTATTTTGTACTGGGATAAAACTGGGACCGTCAGGTTTGATTTATGGTTTTGGAGCAATCACATATTGTCGGCAGCAATGTAGCACCACATTTAAGCCAAATCCGAAATTGGCAAAATATACATAGGTTGTATTCCAGTAGATGCCACGTGACTATGTGCCCCCATTAACATTTGAAGCCTCTATTAAAAGGTCCACTTGCTATTTTGCCTCTTTAATATGGCCGCATATTCTGGGTTGGGAACCCATCCCAAGCTGGAATCAATTGGTTTTCCAAAAGTTGTTGACAGATACTGGAAACACTTGAAAAAGAAATTAAAAAATTATAAGTATTGGAGCCGGTGGGTCGGTCATTCAGAAGTATACAAATAATTCCAACTTTATTCTGATTCCAACACATTTAAAAAATTATCAGTGAAGCTACTGAATTTTAAATGACCAGAATACGACTGATTTCTACTGAACGCATCATGCCTAAAACTTGATTCTAGAGGGAGGGATGTGACGACGAATCTTGTTTCATTACACGAAAGTTTGGATAAATTTTATAATACGTAAGAAATAATATGTACAATAATATTTTTATTAGCTCACTTTTAAAGAAAAAATAAATATATAAGAGCATCTTTAATGATATTTTCTATCTTTGGTTAGTATTTTTAATACAAATAAAAAACATCATTAATTATATAGATTTCAGATTAATATCTTCTCTAATGCTATTATTTACTTAACTTTTTATTTTGACAAAATCTATAAAACTCGGAAAGACTATTGGTGAAGAGATTGAGTGGCGTAGAAAATAGTAATTTTCATTAATGAAATATAAGATAAAGAGTCATTTGGATCTCTACAATATTGAAGAACTAAGACACTCTCTATATCAATTTTAAATATAGAGATTGTGATAAAGAGAACATTGAAAATAAAATTTGGATCAAACTTCTTTATTATAAAAAAAATTTTAATATAAAAAGAGCATTGGAGATGTTCTAAAAGAAGAAAACTACACTTAGATTCACCAAAAGCTGGTACGAAAATAACGATAATTAAAAAGGAGAATACCAAACTGAATCTAAATTAAGACGAACTGAATTGTTACGAATGATTTGATTCGTTTCATTACCTGGGGCCATGACATTACGTTTTGTGGATTGAAGTTTTTTAGATTATAAGCCCAACTCTATGTTTTTTGAACAAAGCCCAACTAGAATTAGTTCTTGAAAATCCATCCATGCTCTATTCTGGTCAATTTAGCCCAAGGGTAAGTGAACTAGTTTTAGGCCCTCTAATTTTGAAAATAAGGCCGAAGCCGAGAAAAAGACGAAATGACTTGACAGTTGACGCGAGGATACTCCTTCAGTTACTGGCACAGTCCACCTGTCTACAAATGGATCCCACAAATTCATGCTAGATAGCGCGGGCCCACTAAACGAAAGTCCTTGCGGTGTCATGCTCTTGTCACTGTTATTGCCAGACAAGCCAGCACGCTGACAAGGCGCGTGTAAGCTGGCCATCAGTAGTATGTCACGCAACAAGGAGCGGTCATGTGGTGCACTTCACGCTATATTTATCTGAGTGGGGGTTTATTGTCTGGCATGTTAGAAAATGGATAAGTTATATTTTAGTTCCTGTAATTTGGTGATATTCAGCTCAGGTCGTTATACATTAAAAATTCTCACTTCCAATTCTATAGCTTTTCAATACTTCGGCCAAAACGTTTACCAGGAATATATAACTAATAATTTTAGATGCTTAATATGATAAAATAAGTGATTTCGGTTTTTATTTACTTCATAAAAATCCTGAAAAAATTTTCGGAAATAAAATAGTTTAATTGATATAAAAAACCTAATTAAAAAAATAAAATAACTTTTACGTCATTTTTTATATTTTTTGGATATTTGTTTCCTTCAAACATTATATTTTACATATGATAATATTTTTAAAAATTCTTGAAAATTCCAAGATAATTAAAAATTCAAAAATAAATCCTTAGATTGTGATTAATTATTTACGAATGAAGTATCGTCTTAGAGTTTCTTGAAGACTCTAAAACCGAGATAGATTAAACTATAAAGACCGTGATGGAATATCTTGAACTTTGTAGGGGCCAAAATATAGTTTCCCTTAGAAAAACAGTCGTTTGCATTTGCTTTTGAATATTGCCAGCAGCAAGCAAGCACAAAAGGCTGCCGAATGTTGTCAGACAATCTGACACCTCTTTACTCTTACTCATAAGGAGATGTCTTGTGCTCGTGGCTAATTTCAGAGGTGGAGCTGCTGCCTTTAGTTTTGGCTTTTGAGTTCACTTTTTAAAAGAAACCTCTGCCTCTTTCTCTTTCTGTCAATGCCCATTAAACTCACAGTCAGGTACACCATCCTGTGTCTGTTCTTGTTCCTGTAGATACACGGCAATGGAGGAAAGAGTATCTGAAGAATCAGCGCCGTCCATGAAACTCTCTCTTGGGATTGGCACTGATGATCATGATGATGATGATCAAGATGACAGACACGTGTTCCCTCAGTTAACAGAGACTCAGTTGCATGAGCTTAAACAACAAGCTTTGATATTCAAACACATAGCAGCTGGTCTTCCTGTGCCTCTTGACCTTGTAGTTCCCATTTGGCATAGCGTTGCTAGCAGCTCTTTTGGTCCTTTTAGTGGCGGTGATATTTACAGGCAATTCCCAAGCTGTAAGTCTTTATCTTTTTTAATACTGCCGTTTAAGTCATTAATTGCTTGGTTGAGGGTTGTTTTAAATTTTTTGATTTTTCTTGGGGGTTAAGCTTCAAATATGGGTTTTTGTTAATTAGGTTGATTTGTGCTCGTTTAAGCTTATGCTGCTTAAAGACTTGGGCTTTCTAGGTTTTAATTTTATGGTGTTGTTTTGTTAAATTGGTTGTTGTGGGTTTATGCTTATTGGAGTTATTTTTCTTTTATTGAAAAAGTGGTCTTGCTTTATGGCGACTGTTCCTGTTTCTATTTATTTTTCTTGTTCCAAGGATTGCGATTTATAATTATTTAACATGTTTTTGCATGTGCAAGCCTTGAAATTGTTACCAGCACCCTTTTGGGGCTCATGCTTTTTGAACAATGCTGTCTGTAACTTGAAAATAGAAGTTGAGATTTATAGTTCTAAAAAAACCTGTTGCATGCTGGGTTGATCTTATGTTTTTTTTTTTGTTAGAAGTTGAGATTTGTTACTCTATGTAATACCTTTTTGGAGGCTCGTGTTTTTTTTTCAAAAAAATGATGTGTGGTGGGCATGAAATTGAATTTTATGTTTGCTTAGGACTAAATTTTATAAATTTAAATGAATTTGACCACCTGTATTAATTTCCTTTCTTATGTCAGTTGTGGGATTAAGCCCTCAGGGATTTGATTATAGACAAATGATGGATCCAGAACCTGGGAGGTGTAGAAGAACTGATGGGAAGAAATGGAGGTGTAGCAAGGATGTAGTTCCTGGTCAGAAGTATTGTGAACGCCATATGCATAGAGGCCGTCAACGTTCAAGAAAGCCTGTGGAAGCTTCTCAGATTGCTGCGGCTTCTGATAAAAAATTACCTCACAATTCAAGCAAGAATTCAGAGAATCCAAACACTCATTCTTCTAATTTAAACACAGTAAGTTCCCAGATCAAAGCCCCACCTCTTAATACCCCTACCACCTGCTCCACAAGTAGCAATTCTGACATGGAAATTACTGGCATGAGCTTGACCAACACTGCTAATGCTGACTACAAAAACACCTTTACAACCATGACTACTACCATTGTTACCGGCTACAAAAATACCTCTGCAAAAACGATCGCTAGTGCTGTTCATGCCGATATCACAGCTACTGGTAACAACAACAAGAGCAGCAGCATCAACTTAAAGAGACACTATATTGATGACAGAAATAGCAATTGCAGCAACTCTGTTTCTTACGAGGGTATAATCCACCGAAGCAGCAGCAACAAAAAAATAAAAAATGTTGGTAGCAATATATCTCAAGGATTGAACTTCTCCCCAAAGAGTGTTCTTCAAGGTAGTATACATCGTGTGAATTGAAATCTCTTCTCATCAATTACTTCTGCTATGAGAAGAGATTTTCACTCTAGCATGTGTATAATAGACTATACTGTTCAAAACAACAGAGCATTCTTAATGGTCTGATAAGAGTTAGTTAATGTCTCAGTGAGTTCCATATTGGCTTCCTTACCCATTTTCTCACCACTGTCGGTAGAGTTTACATCCAACTGAAGAAATTCAGTCTTACTTTGTATTTCATTCAGTTTTAGAATGGTTTTTAGACTAACAATTTGTTTCTTTATGAAGATTGGATTCATTATGCAATTTGTTTCTTTTCAGTTCAAGGTTGTGGTGCCTCACGCTTTTACATGAATGATGTGGAACTTGAACCGGGGAGGTGTAGAAGAACAGATGGAAAGAAATGGCGATGCCGCAGGGATGTTGTAGCTAATCAGAAGTATTGCGAGATGCACATGCACCGAGGTTCTAAGCAGCATGTGGAAGCTTCGCAACCTGCTGCAATTGCTGCTACCATCCCTGATGTCTCTGGGAGTGTTCATACACCTTCTACCACAAACTTGCCGAGTAAAGCTGATCGCAAAAACTTAAACACCGATCTCTCTATTTCAATGCCAACAAGTCCTCAACCGATCACTACCAATGATGATACAAGCACTGCCAGCAATAGCAGTGACACTACCATCAGCGACACCATTACTGGTTCCTATCAAAACAAAATCTTTTCTTCTTAGCTTGCTGTTTGGATTATGTTGAGTTCCTTGTGAACGTCTTCCATTGTCATATGAGATCAGTTTTTAGGTATTCATACTGAGGAAACAAGGATACCTTTATTTCTCTGTTGCAATGAGAAAATGTGTAATCAATGAACACCTCATGGTGTATGTTGTTAGATTTGTATCTTGTAACTATGCTTAGCTCGACTAATTGGTCCTTAAATTGTCCACTAGAGATCAAGAAAAAATGTTTCTGTGGTGTGAAGTGAGATTCAAATGTGTTGCGCATATGTTTTGTGACTCCTCAAATTGGTCTTAGGAACGTATCTTCCTCCCTGTTTTTGCACCGCAAGGGGCTATTAAGATGCAGAAATCACGAAAATTTGACTGGATGGTATGTTCTTGGATGATTTGCGTTGGGATAAAATGGTCAAATTTGAACAACTAAATGATTGCTTCTAAATTAATTTTGAGAAAGGAGGTTGTTTCCAGAATTGGCAGGATCTTTTTTAATGGAATATTTTGATCTCACTACTAATTTGTGCACAGCTAGAGGGAGGAAAAGAAAGAAAATATGTGGAGATGCTCTAATTAATGTCATGATAAAGGATTATTTTAACTTGATATCATGATATAGGATTATTGGATGTATGATCTGTTTAAACCCTTTGTGAGAGGAATTTTAGTTTTTTAGTAAAAGTGATGATGATACATTGGGTAAAACAGAAAAAGGGATGATAATTTGTTTATTGTTGAAGTATATAAAGCAAAGAATTGTTGTACGAGACTAGTTCACCATTGTCCAAGACAAAAATGCAAATCCAACAACTTGGCCTCAGGATGCCACTTTAAACTCAACATTTATATGGGGCAGTTACATTTCGTTAAAAAAATACTTGCAAATGCGAATGTTGACTGTTCCAAAAGGCTCATCATCTAATTGTAATGTGGCCCTTGCAAATGGTTTCTGGCCTGTAGGTAAATAAATACCTGCCATCCACCTGCGAACTTGCCATTCGAAAGACTTGTGGTCTGCAGGTGAATCACTGGAAGGAAAGCTTGTCTTCTGTCGAAGTAATTCTTCCTTCTTGTCATCCGATCATAATAATTTGTAAATGATAATGATTTTTGGAAGCCAAGGGCCAAGAATTCCTCGAGAGGAGGGGAAAACATAAAAAATCACCTTCCAGACACTTCATAATACCCAAATTGCTCATCAATTCTTACAGTTACGTATTCTGTTTGTCCCTAACGCTTATCTTACGTGGGGAACGATGCAAAGAATTACACTTCATAGAGGAGTTCATAATCCGAAATGCAACATTTGCACAATGCAGGATAGCACTGGTTCGAAACTCTAAAGCAGCCGTTTCATTCTTTTTTTATTCAGGTCATGCCCATTACCGCCATTCTTCTCCTCTCTCTCTCTCTCTCTCTCTGGATGACGAGAGGCCATTTCTTCAATTTAGTTTTCTTTTTATATATAAAGTCAAAATTCTTGATAATTAATTATATTTGCCAATTTTTTTCTTATAATAATTATACTTGCCAACTTAATATACCTTGTGATAGTCTAAATGATTGTAGTGATAGGCATATATCCTTAGCTTATTGCAATTCATTCCATAAATGGCGCATAGCATGTGATGACTAGCGCATGGTAGGCGTATTGGCTGGAGGTGAGTGTGCTTATTCACCAACAATTCAAGGGAAAGTAAACACTTTGCTAGTTTGCTTAATGGTCATATTATATTGTAATTTCTTATTATTATAGCTGTTGATAATTCATTTGCAAGCTTAAATAGTTCTGTCTAAAGTCTGATTCACCATAAATTAAAAGCTTGCAAAATGGAATTTTATAGTACGTTTTCTTTACACAATATTATCTTTATCAGGAATACTTATTTTAATTTGATATTTTTAAAATATAGTAAATTTAGCTGTTGAATCTTTCTTATCAACGATATAATAATCATCTGAAAATATAAATACTCCACCAACGAGATCCAAGCCTGGCAAATATATATATTTAAATATATCTTAAAAAGAGTGTTTAATTTTATTTAATGAATCCATAAAAAAATAAAAAAATAACCATTAATTTTTTTAATATTTTAAATAATTAAAAAATCTAGATATAAAATAAAAATTAATTAAAACTAATCATGAGAATTTATTTACTTCAATATATATTATGCAATATATATATTCCATTTATGAGTTTAAATATATCTTACCAATATTTTTTATTTTGATCAATAAAAAAGGGAAAAATTACAATTAATTATTTTTAAATCAATTTATACTATAAGAGAGCTAAGTTTTAGTCAATGAGTCGGTAAAAAAAATTTAAAAAAGTAACCATCAATTAGATTATTTAATATAGCAAAGCTTAGTTGCAATAAAAACATATATCGATTTAGATTATTTACTAGCACAATGCCCATGCGTAGCCATGGGTCAGTCTTTTATATATCATGTTTTAATAACTTAAATAATTAAAAAATATAAGCATAAAAAAATTAATTAACACTGATAGTGAAAATTTATTTAATTTAATATACATTATTCCATATATATAATGGATTTTAAATATATCTTAAAAATATTTTTTATTTTGATAAAGAAAAAAATGCAATTAATTATTTATTTTAAAAAATCAAATTAGAAGAATGTTTAATTTTAATTAATAAGTTTTTTTAAAAATAAAAAAAGCAACCATGATTGCAGAAAAAAATTATTTTGAGTAAATAACAAATAATGAAATAATAATAGCATTAAAAAAAAGAGAAAAGGAAAAAAAAATCTGAACTGGGCTGACACCAAGGCTTTCTGTATGGGTCTAGAGAAAATCAGGCCCATATGACTGGGCTGGAAACCCAGCCCAGGCAAAAAAATACAGAGATGTTTTTGTAACACAAATTAATACTAGAGACTGTCTTGTATAATATAATAAACTTAAAGAACCAAAGTGTAATAACTGGAAGAATCGACAAAAAAAAAAAAAAAAAATTGAGAAACGGCGTCGTTGGTTTTAGCGCATTGGTTTATAATATAATAATTATTTATGAGAAATTTTATAATACACTGCTTACTCCTTTGTATTATAAAATTTCTCATTATTTATAACGTGATCAAAAGTTTATTTTGTCTCCCTCTCTCTGTAATTTTCTCCTCTTCTCTGCAAATTTCCTTCGATGTTCTATTGCTTTTTTATCTTTGAAAACCCCCATTCCATTATACCCTATAGACACATTACTTGTCTCATTCAGAAGATAGGAGAAGATCCCATCAGCGAAAACTACTAGATTGCCCTGCAGTTCGTTTAGATTTTGTTTGAAATTTGTGAGTTTATCTGTTCTCAGCACTGCAAAGCTATTCCATTTTGATCAGTAGTCCTTTTTTAGTTTAGTGCCTTCCTTGCGAGATTAGAGAGAAAACCTGCGCAATTGTTTTGTGCTTTCCCTGCGAGGTTAGAGAGAATACCATATTCAGGGATGTTCCATGTTGCTCTATGTCATGAAGCTGAAAAGAAAATTGTTGAACTGGGGTGGAAAGAAGTCCAAACGAAATTTCTTCCAAAAACAAATCCTAGAGCTATTCCTGTAGAGAATCGGTAGAAAAATAATTCTAGACATGAATAGAGGAGAGGACTAATGCTTGACAGAGAGTATAAAATTAATGGATGTTCATATGGGAGGGCTAGCTTGTCTGACTGAGGTCCAAATTATGTTCGGAGAATTATTTAGAAACCTGATACAGAGCATTTGAACGGAGTAAATTGGGAAATTTTTGTGGAGGACTCTGATTATCGTCATGCAGAGTGTTTCCCTTGTAAGAATATGATTGTTTTTTTATCGAGGGTTGCTTGATGATCTTGGCTCTGATGCAGAGATTGCAGCAATAATCGGGCACGATGAATGTTTCGGGTGATCATTTTATGGATCCTTATGTTTCTGTGGCAAAAATTGTTGTGGAATTGTGCATTAACTTGTGTAATTTTACTGTGTCTAGATCGTTTATATCATATCTCGACTTCAAGCAGAAACGTTTCTCTTGACAGTTACCTTATACCCTCTCCTTCGACTAGGGATACCGATATTAAATTTCTTTTCCAGAAGGTATCGCTCTTGACTTCTTGTTTCTATGAAGGGTGTTAGACTAATATTAGTTATGTAAGTCATGCCAATTACTGCTAGTTGAAGTTAAGGTTTGAAAATGAATTACATGATAAATTACAAAAAAGCCCCGCGGTTTGATACAGAATCTTTTCATGTTTAGGTAAATATTAAGAGCATAAAAATTCTCTTTTATATCCAAAATGTTCTTTATATTTTTAAAATTAGTCTAAATGACTGAAGATAGGCACAAAAACTTACCTTATTGTAATTAGCGATTTAACTCCATTAGTATTGGAGAAAATGACTCAATCATTCATTCATTATGTAGTTAATTCTGCCATCTGACATTTTGTTGAACTTATCACTTGGAGCTTGAATGTCATATCACACATCTCCTGTTAATCCGCAATTAATTCTAGTTACCATGCGATTATCACATGGAGCTTGAACAACAGGTGTAAGCAAATTAATTTCATCCTATGCAGGAATCAAATATCGGCTAAGTATGAAATATTTATTTTTCTTTATAATCAAAATGTATTTACAAATTTGTGCTTTTCAGTATCTGTGGAACTTAAAAGAAGACTGACCTTACGTACAGAATGATACAAAGAATCGAGCACTCCATAGAGGAGATGCTATTCCGAAATGCACATAAACACAACAAAGCAGCACAAGGATTTGGTTCCCGCTCCCATTAAAAAGAATCCTCAAATGCTGTTGCCTTTCTTCCGATCAGTTGGCAGGTAAAAATTGATGTGAGAAGTGCTGAATCGAGTTCATGCTGTGACAAGAAGTCAGTTAGAGCCAAACTCCTCGTTCCATCGCTCAAGCTCTTCCCACTTGCTTTGGTTTAAGCTGGGTCTAATTACAGTCAATGCCTTCTGAAAGTCTTCATACCGGAGTGGTCTTACCTAGTAAAACAAAGACCACTTAACATCAATTTTATTATTTGATGAGGTTCTAGATAAAAATCTAAAGATAATCAATAACTAGATCTAACTTGAGAAGAATATTCTACTCAAAATCGTAACCTAGAACTCATTTAAAAAGACCAAGCAATAATTTCAGGATACCCTTTAACTGCAACATATATGTGTGTGTGCGTGTGCGACTGCAACATTTTAGGCTTACACTCAAGAAGTTGCAGGCTCGAAACTTCAGGGCAACCGTTTCAAGCGAGAAGGTGCATCAGGAGGTACAGTTTTCTTCTGGAAATACTTTTTAGGAACCCTACTACAGCGGAACTATGTTTGAATAATAGCTTTTAGAGAGGGGAAAAAAAAAAGGATTATGTAGTTCATAGTTTGGACAAATTAGGGACCAAGAAATGAAGGTCAGATATCTTCAAACAGAGACGGTAAAAGTTTTAAATCTGCCGATGACACACCAAGTACGATTGCCTAAGATTATTTATGGCTCATTTACCAGATCATACATGGAGAAAACTATATATATATATTTTTAAAGCTGGATTACCTGATTTGCCTTCACAGTGAGAATGTTTGCACCAAGCTCCCTAATTGGCATCATTGCTGCTTCTTCACACAAGGCTTGTAGATCACTTCCAGAATATCCTGTAAATTAAAGAATTGAAAGATTGTGATATTAATATTTATTTTATGCAATTGATGATTGAGGATAACTTTTGTCACAGGTCTTCTAAGTGGCATGCATACATTGACTGTCAGCCAGCTATAATACATGCAGGAGCTACAGATAGAAGAGAGAGAGTAATTGATTCACACAACAGATTTTCCTATCAACAATAGGCATTGACTGTTCGATAAGTTAAAAAGAGTTTATCCTATAAATTAAAGAGCTGAAGGGATTGTGTTTTTAGTTTGAAAGTTCTTTTTCCTGCTATTAATGATCGAGGATCACTTGGTCGAGTAATTGATGGAGGACAAGAATACTAACAGAGAGAAATGGAAGAATTTCCTATAGGAGAGGGATAAATTGAATAAGAGAACACGACCCTATAGATATATCCCTATAAAAGAGGGCTGAAGAAAATGAAAGAAAACCCTATGAAGAAGGTTGGAAGATAGAAAATGAAACAGTTGTCCAATCTCAATCTTATTGACATAAAAATGTTGACTCAAAAACACATCATGTGTGCTAATATAGGCACACCAGTGCTAAGCGAGTCTCAAGGTAAAAAGGAATCCTGAAAGAGTCTCCAGTTAAAAGGAAAATAAAATCCTATATAGTTCAAGTTACTTGTAAATTTTCTAAATGCAGTAACAAATTGTAAAACTATAAAGATGTACAATTAAAACTTCAATGCCCGATTTCCTAGGGTGCAACGGCACTCCAAGTGACTCAAATACTTTGACTGTAAAGCAGTTCTAATCCATATCAAGAGCTAAAGATGGAAGAGAATAGAGTAACTGGCTTACACCCCAATGATTTCCCTATTAAATGTCATTTCTATTTCATGGCAATTTTATGAATGCAATATGCTATAACAAGTTTTAATTATCTTACCTTCTGTCTCTCTAACAAGTCTTTCAAGGTCTCCACCTGTTGCACAAGGTAAGCTGTAAATTATCACTTAAGTAAAACAGATACTAACCATGATGCATACAAAATATGCTTATCCATTGCACTCTTCTACATTATATAAACTTTTGGCAACGAAAGTTAGAGATGCCAAAATATGCTCAACGAAGTCGATTACAATTGAAGACAGAGGTTGCACAAAAGAAACATACAAGGATGCCAAAAAGAAAGAGGGGAAAAATAAATTTTCTGATAAATTCTTAAATTTGTCTTCAGAAAAAATAAAAAATAAAACTTTAAGCGTGCAAAAGAGGATTGAGGGTGAGAAATCTAGCAGGCTCTATGGTCGATTATCTTTTTATGGCTTATCAGTTATCAATTATTTCCAAATGAACATCTATTTCCTGTTTTGACAATGACTATGATAGCAGCAATCAGGCCATTTTAAACATTGATACGAATTTAAAAACTAATTTTTCTCAGGACATCTCAAAAGTCTTCTTTAATTATTGTTTCAACCTCTAACGAAAAAGGTCACATAACAAAAGCAGGACCAACATATTCTTAAAGCATTGTTAGCAAAGGTATGGTATCTTTCAAATAAAAAAGATCACAGAAAGCACGAATTAGAGTGAGAGCACATATGTACCAGGTAAGGAAAATGCTCGGCCCTTGAGCTTGTGCTTCAAAAGAACCCTCCTAACATTTCCATCTGGTAAAGGTATGTATATTCTTTTTACCTGAGTCAGGATTTCACATCAAACTCAGTTTAGGAGCGAAAATTGACTGAATTCATATAAGCAACATATGAAAATAATTTTATCCAAAAAGAAAATTGGCATAATTTGAATCTATTACCAAGACTGTTTTCCAATGTTTTTCCGCATAACAACCAACACTTACAACAAAAGCGAAGTACTGACGAGTTAGATTGTTGTGAAGTGCTAAGGAACTTTATCAATGCACGAAGAGGAGTTTATGTTCAATCCAATTAACTAACCCAGACCTAACTAGAAAAATCTGAACATAGATAGAGGAAAGAAGAAAATAGACAAACACCTACTCTCAATTCATGAAATCATGAATGCAGTTATCAGTATATTTCTGGCACAAATGCCTAAGCTCATATTATTGGAAAGAACTATCTAGGCAACATTAGGCTACATGGCAGCAACATTAAGGAAAAGGGCACTTAATTGGACAGAACAAATTGATGGCTTGAATCTTTGATGTTTGAGATCTGTGCTTACAGTAGACCTAGATGATACAAATAGAAAAAAACCCTCTCTCAATCCACACCAACGGGAAGGCACTTGATCATGAATGCCCAAGCTCAAGTTATTTAAACAGTCATGTCTTGGTAACATTAGGCTGAACAGTGGCAACATGGAGAATCGAAAGGAAAACAATATGCTAAACAACAAGCTTTTTACATCCCATTTAAACCAGGCTGCAGCAAATTCAAGCAACAGGATACTAACCAATCTCCTAAGAACTGCATCATCCAATTCTTGTGGCTTGTTGGTAGCACCTGCATTCGAAGTTCACGAGGATCTTAAATCACGAAGAACAGTATGCCTATCACAACTATTTGGAGCCAACATTAAATGTCATCTAAGATTTGAAGGAAATAAAAATAGGACTAAATTAACTGTATGTCAATTTGGTGTTGAGTTCTACAGAGTGATGCATGTTATTGGACAAGAATGGGATATACTTGTTTCTTGGGTAAAATGAATGTTTATGGCAGGGAGTGATCAAATTAAAAGAAGATGAAGCAATCACTTCATGAAGGTCCCATAAACTTCAACAAGAACGTAATATGAAAAGTAATGGATAATGTTGAGCCAAAAAAGTTGAAGTGTACAACTTGTTTCCTTGATTGCAAATTTGCAGTAGAGGAGTTTGACCAGTCACTAATGCATATGGCTCAATGACTTTTAATTCATCAATATCATTTGGAAAATTCAGCAGACACCATGACTACACAGACAAGGTGTAAAATTGAAGTTGGACCATGAGTCAACACAGCCTCCATGAAAAAAATATGGAAATAAAGTTAAACAGACCCAAATGCTAAGAGCCACAACTGGATTACACAAAGCTTACCAATAACAATTACTAAATCATTAGGATTAGAGGTCACGCCATCAAATTGTATTAGAAATTCAGACTTCAACCTTCGGCTTGCATCATTTTCATTAGCCAACCTTGTTGACATGATACTGTCAATCTGTTAACAATCAGGAAAATCAAAATCATTATATCTGCAGAAATAAGATAAGGGACTTATACATCAAAAAAGGGGAAAAAAAGAGGCAATTAACCTGATAGCAAAACGCAACCTAATATTTAACCAACGCCTAGCACACTAAGAACTAGAAAGGCAAAAATAAAATATAGATTATGGAAAACAAAGAAACTATAAACAAAGCCTTCAATCCCAAATACAAAAAGTATCGAGCTTGAAGAATAAATAAGATGATAGTAGTGTGTAGGTAGTGGCAGTTATAGAGTACAACTATCCACGAGAAACCAGTTACTGGTGCAAGCAAAACATATAACTTTACCACAACTTCTCGTACATGATATAATTACCCTAGACACTACCAACTTACAATACCAAACAAATTGGTAGTTGCTACATCAGTTGTTTAATCCACTAAATAGCCAATGTCAGCCAACTATTTGAGTCAAGCATCCATTATTCTAGACCACGTAAATTCTCCTAACACAAATTCTCCTAAATTATAAAATTACCCTAGATACTACCAAGTTACAATACCAAACAAATTGGTAGTTGCCATATCAATTGTTTAATCCACTAAACAGCCAATATCAGCCAACTAGTCTAGTCAAGCATCCATTATTCTTGACCTACGTAAATGAAAGAAACATGCATTGTACAGCTAAATGAAACAAGAAAAGCGTGGCTTCAATTGAAATTGATCCTCATAAAGTAGTTTGCAGTAAGAGTAGCATACTTCGTCAATGAAAATCACAGATGGCTGTCTGGATATAGCAACCATAAAAAGAGTACGAACAAGCTTTTCAGCCTCTCCCACCTAATTCATTACAAGTAGAACTCATTAGACAATACACATTCTTTAAAAGGAAGAGAACTGAATTTAATACGGTCAAAAAACCAATAAAGAACATTACCCATTTTGATGTTAGGGAAGATGCTGAAACATTAAAGAATGTTGCCTCTGACTCCGAAGCAACTGCTTTGGCGAGCATGGTTTTCCCATTGCCAGGCGGACCAAAGAGAAGCAGACCTAAATAACAAAGATTGAAAGTTTTTATAGATGAAAGAAGTTCTTAAGTTTTGTAATAAATCTTTCTTGATATATATATCTTTGTTACCTCTAGCAGGTTTCCTAAGGCCAGTGAACAAGTCACTTCTCCTAGCTGGCAAAATAACCATTTCCATCAAACTTTGTTTTGCCTTCTCAAGACCAGCTGAAAATGACTTGCATAAATAAGTCTAAAATGTAAAACTTGAGAAAACACAAACAGAAATAAAGAAAGAAATAAGTTCTTGCAACTCCTTACCAACATCTTCCCATTTAACAGAAGGACTTCTATCCACTATTGCTGTGTTTATCATTTCAATCAGTTTCGCCTCATAACCATTACCAGAATCTTGCGTTGGTTTTGAAGTTATAGCTTTATCAGTCTGATTCTTGATTACTGGATTATTTCTAGTGGAATGAGCTGACTTCTGTGACAGGTTTTGTCTAGAGTTTGATGTTGATGATGAAACTGCAGCAGTACGTGCATGAGTTAAGGTGTTCTGCAAATATTTTAAGAAATAAAAAAACATATGGATAATAACATAATCAATATCAGCTACAATTCAAAACACCCAACTTCTGCAGATACTTAAAAAGAAAATGATGAGATTGATAACAATAAAAATCAAGGAGAAAATGACGCAAAATTACATATCTAGTTGTATATTCCATCGAAGCCTGGATTGATCTATGTTAAAAACTCTACTTTACTACTTCTATGGAAAACTATATCTGAAAAACAAGGACAATTCTGGTTATCTTCAGTTGCTATTATGCATCGATTCCAGGTAAGGTTTTAAGTTTAATCAAACAATAGAAAAAAGCTATCCAGGCTAACTAAAACAGAACTATTACCTATTCTGAGAATTGGCAATTATGCAAGGAAAAAATAACTCAGCATTTACACCTTTTCTTTCTGCTCAAACAATTACACACACAATGCTTTTACTTGACATTCAAATATAGAATTTTGAAGAGGAAACTTTGATGTTGTAGATGACTACAAGAAGATATCTAATTTATGGTAAGGGGTGTTTCCACATGTCCACAGTAAATTCCCTTAACAATATTCGTAGTCCATACAGAAACTTCAATATCCATAAAAACCTAAATTCCTAAACACACAGTCAGCAGTTCTAAAATCAGATTTTCTTTTCTTCACCCACCAACCCCCCCCACCCAAAAAAAAAAAAAGGTTCCCATAATTAAAAAAAAGAAGCAAAAGACTAATTTCTTTATAAAGATAAACTTACAATGTTGCCAAAGCAAACCATACCTTGCTCGTCGAAGAGCCAGCTGATAAAACGAAGAGAAAAAAAAAATTAATATCATCACTCCATATTAATCATTACAATTATCAGATTTTTATTTTTATAAAAAAAAGAGAGAGAACTTGTCATAATCAATTCATGTCTAGACATGATTACCTGCTCGCCGATTTAAAACTTGTAATCTCTCAGAAACTTGATCTTTCCATTTCAATATTTTTTGTCGATACGATTTCACCTTCTCTTGCTCACTATGTTAAACAATTAAAAAAAATAAAATACGCAATAATCGTTAACTACAAAAGAAAAGAGCAATTAGGTTAATTAAAATTTCTAAACGGAGATTACCCAAAGCTAATATAAGAAGGTGAAGACGTAGAGCTTGCTTCGATGAGAATCCGTTGAGCGCTTTTGTAATGAACAATGGCATCATCAATTAATCCCCATTCTTCAGCTCTAACGGCTTTATCGATCTCTTCCGTAGCTAAATCGAAGTATCCTTTCAGTTTATACGCGACTCGTTCGTTAGAAACCCTAGTTCCAGGAGCTATGCCGTCCATTGGTGTAGAGGTAGAGGTAAAGTTAGGGTTTTGGTGTAGTGAATGTGAGTCTTCTTCAGAAACCGAGAAGATTGAGCTGATTGAGTCGATTATGCCTTTCAAGAAGCTCATATCTTAAAGAAGAAGGCATGGATGATAAAAAAAATTGGACAGAGATTACAGAGCGAGATCAATGGCTACAGCCCACTGGTGAAAAAAATAATAATAAAAGAACGAGAAATGTTCTGCATATTCAGAAAGACAGAGGCGAAAAAGTGTACTGGGTTTTATTCTACGGTTGGGCTTCAGAATATGGACTGGATTTTAATGTTTGAATCTACTGCCCAAAACTTACTTGAACCTTAAAAGCAGCCATCTCAGGCTGCAATGAAGTCTAATGGGCGTGACATTATGGAACGCCCAACACTTAATGGCTTAGTGCCCAACTTCAGAAGGAGTGATGCCAAACCAGGCGCGACCTTGCTTTTTTTTTTTTTTTTTTTTCCTTCTTATAATTTATTTTATATTTTTAAAAGTATAGCCACTAACCTCATAATAGAATAAAAAAAAGTTAATTAATTATTTTAAATCTTGATGTGTTTTAGAATTGAATCACTAAGAGACGAAAAAAAACCGTTAAAAGAATATACATATTGTTATAACATAATTGAATCTCTAGCAAATGATGTACAGATTAAGCGGTCATATATAATTAGTTCCTTCATCGGGAAAGAAAACATATATATATATATATATATATATATATATATATATTATTGGTCTCTTTAATATTCATAAACCAATATTAATTATATCTTTGACATTGATGTTAATATACATACTCGATTATTTTATTCTTATTGTTTAAATTTTTTTAATTCAATTATTTATTTCTTATTAAATTTCTCGTTAAATTAATTTTTTAATTTTTTGATTTAATTTTATTTGTTAATAAATTTGGTTTTTTAATACATGAATTTTGGAATAAAATTTTAGAATGTCAATATTTTATTTTTTAAAATATATTATCATAATTTATACAATAAATTATTTTTTTATTTTTAAATGGGTACTCTATATATATATATATATATATATATATAGAGAGAGAGAGAGAGAGAGAGAGAGAGAGAGAGAGAGAGAGAGAGAGAGAGAGAGAGTGTTAAAAGTATGTTTTAGATGGTTTGACTCAATTTTTTTTAAAATAATAATGAGTTCAAAAAATTCATAAGTTTTATTTTCTTTTTTATATATATTTATTTCGAATTTATCAAAACTAATTTTATTATAGTTTTTATTTTAATCTATTGACTTCAATATACTTTTTCAATTTAAGTGTTTTTTTTTCTATATATATATATATATGTATGTATGTATGTATGTATGTTTGTATGCGTGCATGCGTGCGTGCTTGTGCGTGTGTCATTAGTTTCGTTAGAAATTAATTATATATAGATTAGATTTATATTAATCACCAAAAATAAAAACTTTGTACTTACATTACATCATACGAATCGTTAACCTTATATATGTGACGATTATCTATCCACAACGTAACGTGCGTATCCAACTAGTGATAACTATACTTTCAGATATGATGTTCAACTAAATATAAGCTGCAAATATGTACACTTTTCAATAGACTATTATTTTTTCTGGATACTAATTAGACAACAGAAATTTCCCAAGAAAATTCTAAAGCAGGCACCACACTATCATACATAATCTATAAATGATACAACAGTTATGATCTAGCATCAGTAATAGCACATTCCTGGATTAAGCAATAAATGATTTACCTCATTTTTTCCAGGGAAAATTGGCTCTCCATGCAGAAGTTCAGCAAAGATACAACCAACAGACCACATATCAACAGCTGGACCATACTTTGTTGACCCAAGCAGCAACTCTGGAGGCCTGCTCAAAAAGGAGAGCTAGCAGGTGTTCATTCTTGCTTATCGAGCCCTTAAATTTTAGCAGGAATGAAATTGTTTATATTTCTTATAAGAAGAAATTTCATATTGAAGCCCTGTCAGAAGCTGCCTCATGTAGCACCGCAAGAGAAAGAAGCAAGAGTTAAGAGAGAAAAGGACAAACGAGAAGACAGAGAACAGCCACACGTTAAATTCTTATTGATAAGAAGAAATTACGGAAATTAATTAGGTTCCATTAGTAATACCTTAATTTGTGGAACTGAAAATCTAATCCCAGGACGATCAGCAAGACCAGTCAAATCATGGTCCATGTATTGTATTCTAAAACCATGTAAATCCCACCTTTATCTTTATTATCATCTATAAGCCATATAAAACAGTCATCAGAAGTCAACTGCCCCTGGCCTTAGGTTAGATAACCTTATACAAAACACAGAGAGAAACCAATTGATAGGCATTGCCTAGCTTCCCTTGAACATCTTTCTCAGGGCCTACAAAACAGTCCCACAACTTAAGATATCTGAAGGAAACATATCAACACTTCTAGGTGCATAAAATACAATCTCTTTCAGCTTAATTGCATTTTCATGAGGTAGCTTCTTTGGAATTTTGATTTCTCGTATTGCCGTTTAATAAAACATTTATTCTGGACTCATTGCGTAACACAATAAATGATACATTCTATTACCCCCTTCAAAATCTAATATTGATGGTAGAAAATACAAAATCCACAAGTTCATCTGAAAGCTATAGGTGATCAATAGCAAAGTCTTTCTAAATCATGTGTTCAAAAGCACAAAATACCAACGGATCTATCTATATCGATAAATATGTTTAACAAGAATATGTACCCCTTCTCTCTCATTTTCCATTCTTATTTTCTTCGAAGCAACTATTTTACCAGTCTTAAGAAATGAGGCACATAAGCGCAAGTCAAGTTCCTGCTATCATTGCCAGCAATCGTAAGGGAGCAAGTCCCAGAAACAAGGTTTACTAGAACAGAAAGTAAAAGATCGCAAGCTCTAGCAGAGGGGAAAAACTTGAACTTAAAGCATAATAGATTGCGACAGGTAGAATGTGCTCTCAACATAGTTAAGCTATATTCTAATGTACAACGATCCTTTTAATCTATTATGGAGTAGGAATGAGCCACAGTGGAGGTGGCCAAACAAGATTCGAATCGCATTTGTAGCCAGACAATGTCTCCATGCTTTTTCTATTCAAGTCAAACACACCAATCTCGGAACCTCCTTGGATTCCTTCATAGTGACAGCAAATCACGTTATCCGTGAAATATATATTATTCCTCTTCAATTCTGGAAATTCTAAGGATGATATAGACACGGAAGTGTTAAATCCTATAAAAAGCACTTCATCTCCAATATCTGTAATGTTGCACCACTTCGGACAGTTAAGCTGGTCAAGTTTAAATACATTGAAGTGAACTGTTTTACTCAGATATTCCTTTCTCGGATCAGAAGTCCTTGAAATTTTATATTGTCTTTCAACCAACAAAAGCCCGCAAGATGACTCTACTATGTAGGGTACCGAAGAGGAGGCATGAGGATGACGATACGGACTTTCTAACACAGGATATGGTGGAGATATCTGTTCTGCTTGTGGTTCAACAGGAAGAATGTCAATAACAATCAGTTTTCCGTTGTGAATCAAAGCATGAATTTTCCCCTTATAAAATATGCAATCATGAAAATTTGCCAAATTTTCAAGATTTTCAAGAAAAGGAGTCCATTTTTCATCTCCAGGTTTACAATAAGCCAATCTCGAACTCTCACCATAGATGACAATGACCACATAATCATCTGTCAAACTAGGATTTGATGACACAAAGAACTTATCCGTTAAATTAGATCGTACCATTCTTGAATTAAGAGTATAGAATTCGCCAAGTTCATGATGCCAAAAACGATACTCGTTTTCTATGTTCTCAGGAAAATACCCTTTAATATCGGGAAACCTTGATCTTGAGGGAAGTTGGATTTTAACCCTTGTGAGTGGGTTCATGAGATATATTTCATCACGAGGACCCTCAATACTAACCGTCCAACCATGGGATGATCCTCGCAACAATATCCTTTCACTCTTAATTGGTAGATCAAGATAGTAAGTCTTCCTGTCTGAAAGATTGAATAGTCCATAGGATGATAGACTAGCTTCTTCTCTGCATGGATGCAATAACCAAGGAAGCTGAAGTTGTCTGAGGTTAGGCATCCTTGGTAAGGCAGATTTCCATGACTTACAAACGGAACGAAATCGAACTTTATCGGCATACAATATAACGAAATCTACGATTTCAATTAACAAATCCGTTGGAAGATTCTCCCACCCACTGATAATTTTGAGATGTTCAGCTTCACTGTAAGCAAAAAAAATAAAAATAAAAATAAATTAAAATAATAAATAACTAAATATTAACTTTGTTTCACCCCCTAATATACAAATTAATAGGACCATATTCTTAAAAAAAAAAAAAAATCGAACTGGAATTGAAATTACTAATAAATCAGGAGTCACAGAAATCATGAATCCAATTCTAGATACCAAAAATCATACATATCTATGACTTAGACAATAGCTTAACTCCTTGGTATATAAAGAGAAATATGGCAGACCTTATAGAGAAGGTAATGTCTGGCAAAATTAGAATGAAATTGATTGGAGGATAATTTTTATTTTTCTGGTCAAGTTGTGATGTTTTCTGTAATTTTAAAATTTTATTTATTATTGCTATTAATAAAATTTATCGACCGTTAATTATTAAAAAAAAAAAAATACATAAGCACAGCAGACCTTTAGTCTAATAGGTTATCAGGAAGGAACTAAAGAAAAGAATTTATTGATACACAAGAAAAAAGGAGAGGAATTGAAGACATACCTGATACTAGAGAGACGAATTGAAGATAAATCTGATGCTAAGTTCCTCTTTATTACTACTCGAATTTGTTTTACAGGCTCATCGACTATATATGTAGTAGGGAAATCGCAAAACTTCATAGGATTTCAACGTATTAGCTTCAAACTCTTCCGCTTAAAAGGGATTGAGAAACCGCAAAACTATTTAGGATTTCTGCAGTTAGAATTTGCTTCAAACTCTTCCGCTTAAAAGGGATTGGGACTGAATTTGAATGACCGCCTCATTGAACAAACCTAATGTTTATTTTAGACTTCTCAATTTCACGCTGTTCGGCCTAGTAAACATTCCAACTTTTTGAAAAATTAACAGCATAAAATAAAATAAAATAACAGTGAAATGTTTAAACGAAGTCGAGATTGACCGTTACAAATAAGAGGAAAAAAATCAGACTAACATTTATTCAAAAATCAATATTTGAAGCAAACCGATAATAAAACTTGGAATTATCAAATTGTAATAAAACAAGAGCAATTTTGCCGTTAATTTTTTTCTTCTTTTCTTCTTTGAAGGCTTCGCCCTGCTGATAATTCAATTTTTGAACTGTCTTAATAACTTTTCTTGGTGATGATTTTCATTTCTAACAACAAGAGTTGAATCTTATTATTAATTTGATTATGAGTTTAGAACTGCTTCAGAGACTGCAAATTATCATCAAAATAACTCATTCTTGAATTAAAATATTGTATATAAAGTGCAGTAAAGACTAGACACAACTCCTTTCCAGCCAAAGCACCGCAATAAGGAGCTATAATACAGGAATCAGTCCTACCAAAAAGAGGAACATTCCTCGTTAGATTACATTTAAGAATCTGCATCATCTACCCTAATAAGCTTGATAGTGCTACTACACTTCTGTTGATTCCTCCATATTGTTTGTGCACCATGTAAAGATAGAACAGAAGGTTCAAATTACAAAGATATTTGCAGGCTGCAAGGGACATCAGTATGTAGTCTCATTTATGCATAACTACTACAGTGCATAATGATGGATTACTTACTTCCACTGCTAATTCTTTCAGCCAGAGTTCCACATCCTGGTTGCTCTGCAAATTCGTTGAAATTCTTCCTATTGCCAGTAATTCCCCACGACTCTTCGAAGTAAATATCTTAAGTTACTGCTGCCAACCATATTGTTGGTTGCGGTTTCCTCCCGTCATGTTTGCGCCACATCCAGCATCAGAACCACCATATGGACCACCTTGAGGATAATTTGGACCACCAACTACATATCCACTACCCCCACCACCACGTGGAGCACCACCACGCATGCCACCAGAAGGATATGGTGGGGCTCGTCCTTGTGGAGGATATGGACCACTACCACAACATCCTCCGCCTTGACCACCATGACTTGGGTGGTTGTATCCCCCACTTGTTCCACTTTGAGGGTATCTACCTTGACCACCAGCAGGTCCATGAGGCCTCCCATAATGGCCAGGACCTCCAACTGGGGGCTGAGAACTATGCATGGGCTGATTGGGCCCTGTCCGCATTTGGGGACATGGCCCAGACTGCTGAATGGGTGGAATGCGGGAATGTGGCTGTGGATGCTGTAGTTTTTGACGTTTGACATTTTATTCATGCTGTCTTTGTTGCTGGCGCTTTTTCTTTGTCTGAAACTCATGCGATGATTCATATTTGGGTAAACTGAACCAAGACAAGAAAGCGGGTCCATAAAATATACCAAGTAACAGTCTGGTACCATGTACTATACAAAAAAACCAAACCTCTTGGGGTCACATGGCGGTCGGTCGGTCCAGCAATACTTAGCATCAAGTGCATCCTTGGCCAAAATTCTCTGTTTAACAATAGCATCGTAAAATGATGATGCTAAACACTATAGAAGAACAAAATTAACTGCTGCAATAAATGTGGAAAATCAATTTTGTTAAAGTGAAAAGACATATATGCTTGTATATATGTATCTGTTTTGCTTGCTTGTTTATTTATTTTTTAGTTACTAATTTTTCAAAATTCTTGGTGTCTCTTTTGAATTAGAAATATATTGGCTATATCAGCAGGTAAAAAAAATATTTTGATCATTTAAGAGAATCATAAAGAAGTCCCTGCATTTAGTAAATGAGATACGACAACAAATACACCTTGATCATTTAAAGGAATCATACAGAAGTCCCTGCATTTTGCTAAATGAAATAATTTTGAAAACTAAGCTCCTCTAAAACATTGAAATCCAATCCATCTACCCACTTTCCCATTCTAGTTAAATCGTTTCAAATGATTAATATTCCATACTGACCTTTGCATGATCAAATCAATTCAGTTAATTAAATAAATTACTATTCACATAACCAAAATTTCTAACACAGCCAATGGTAGGACACAAAAGGCGTTTTATGCATCAAATCAAGGTGATCAATCAGATATATCTAATAAAAGGATACCTGTAAAGGATCGAGGACCAGTATTCTCTCCAGCAACTCCAAGGCACGGCGGTCAAAACTATGGCAAAAACACAAATAAATAGATATGGACTTTGATTAGCACGAAACCTACACACATCATGGCTGGTCCCAGTTATTTGTGCAATCCCCTTCCCTTAGGACTCAGGGGTGAGTCCTATCTACCAAAATAATAACAATGAAAATAACAATAATAATAATAACAACAGAACACCAGTGTCAAATTTTTAAAGCATGGATAAGTATAGGATAGATTGGAACTAGTTATCTTGCTTACTGTCTAAAAACCTCTCTGAGACGTTCTCTTCATTGGCCTTGTTGGCTTAAAATTGTTGTACCAAGGAATCTTTGAAACCTCAGGCCAGTTAGACTCATCTGGAGCTTCACACAGCTCAAAAATCTTATTTAGTTGTTCAGGCTACAGCAGTCAACAATATATAATTGTGACATTGGTATGATAACTATACCTTTAGCTATGATGATCAACTAAATATAAGCTGCAAATATGTACACTTTTCAATAGATTATTATTTTTTCTGGATGCTAATTAGACAATAGAAATGTCCCAAGAAAAGTCTAAAGCAGGCACCACCCTATCATACATAATCTATAATGATACAACAATTATGATCTAGCATCAGTAATAATACATTCCCGGGTTAAGCAACAAATGATTTACCGCATCTTTCCCAGGGAAAATTGGCTTTCCATGCAGAAGTTCAGCAAAGATACAACCAACAGACCACATATCAACAGCTGGACCATACTTTGTTGACCCAAGAAGCAACTCTGGAGGCCTGCTCAAAAAGGAGAGCTAGCAGGTGTTCATTCTTATTTTACTTTCCTCGTTTATCTAGCCCTTAAATTTTTGCAGGAAAGAAAGGTTATATTCCTTACAACAAAGAAATTTCATTAACCAACCATATTCTACATTCAAGGTGGTATATGATTATTTACCTGTACCATAAAGTAATAACACAATTCGTAAGGTTTGATTGGTGCTTGTTTGAGAATGATCAGGCAAGCCCAAAATCAGCAAGCTTCAGATTACCCTCATTGTCTATAAGAAGATTAGAGCCTGCAGTAAAGACAAGGTTCAGCTATTTCAGGCCTCAAGAGGTGAAGAACAAGATCCAAAAGTAAGTTGGCTAGCTTTAATAACAACTTTTAATATCTCGATGGAGCACTTGATTTATGTGACAATAGTGAAGCCCTGTCAGAAGCTGCCTCATGTAGCACTGAAAGAGAAAGAAGCAAGAGTTAGAGAGCAAAGGACAAATAAGAAGACAAAGAACTGCCACACGTTACATTCTTATTGATAAGAAGAAATTAAGGAAATTAATTAGGTTCCATTAGTAATACCTTAATTTGTGGAACTGAAAATCTAATCCCAGGACGATCAGCAAGACCAGTCAAATCATGGTCCATGTATTCTAAAACCATGTAAATCCCACCTTTATATTTATTATCATCTATAAGCCACATAAAACAGTCATCAGAAGTCAACTGCCCCCTGGCCTTAAGTTAGATAATCTTATACAAAACAGAGAGAGAAACCAATTGATAGGCATTGCACATGCAAAGTAGAGAACTTGCCTTGCTTCCCTTGATCATCTTTCTCAGGGCCTGCAAAACAGTCACACAACTTGAGATATCTGAAGGAAACATATCAACACTACAGTTCTAGGTGCACAAAGAGTACAGCACAAGTAAATAAGAGGGTTCAAAAGATTACCTTGAGATGTCACAATCTCTTTCAGCTTAATCACATTTTCATGATGTAGCTTCTTTAGAATTTTGATTTCTCGTATTGTCGTTATAGGAAACGGCAAAAATACAAGAATTGTTTAATAAAACATTTTTTCTTGACACATTGCGTAATTCAATAAATGATCCATTCTATTTGCCCCTTGAAAATCTATGATTGTTGGTAGAAATTACAAAATCCATAAGTTCATCTGAAAGCTATAGGCGATCAACCAACAGCATTGTCTTCCAAAATCATGTGTTCAAAAGCACAAAATACCAACGGATCTATCTATATAAATAAATATGTTTAACAAAAATATGCACCCTTCTCTCTCATTGTCCATTCTTATTTTCTTCAAAGCAACTATTTCACCATTCTTTATTTCTCTAGCCATGTAAACCTGGCTGCAAGAAGGAAGTAAGGCACACAAGTGAAAGTCAAGTTCCTGCTATCATTGCCACCAATCAGAAGGCAGCAAGTCCCAGAGACAAGGTTTTCTAGAACTGAAGCTAAAAGAACACAACCTCTAGCAGAGGAAAAAAGGAACCTTTTCAGTCATAGTTATCCAGGCAATCAAACTTGAAGGAAAAGCTCCACTTCAATAATCCCTTTTGTTGTACCTTCCACAGCTATTGTTAATTTCTTTTAAATAGTTTGTCAGTAGCCTGTGACATATATAGCATACACACATAAATATCCGCTTAGAAGAATGAAACGCCTTGAGAAAATGATCTCGCTAGTATTTCCAAAGTATTTCATAGTCAATAATTTAGAATTCTTATGTGACTTCCACATGCAATAGTTACTGGTGTAACTATATGTCTTGATAGCTCAAGTTTTAAATAAATTGCTGTTAGGTCAATGCTTTGTTTTGGGATCTTATTTTATGCAAGGGCATATGTGTGAAACTTCTTCCCTTTCCTGTGGAGAGGGAGTTAGTTTGGATTTTAATAGTGTCATAAGAATTTCAAGAAATTCTGAGTCTTAGGCTTTTCTTTTGCTAATATGTTTCCATTAAACCTACTGGTTTTTATGAAAATTCTTCCTATTTAGGACAAAGATGAGTCCAAGAGTGTCAAAGATGTGCGTACCAGTCAATTTCTTAAGACTTCTAAATTCTAATAACAATACTATAACTTTTTGGTTTGATGTCAAAACCATGTGTGCCTAATAGGTTTTCCTTCTTGTCTCTCTTCCCCAGTTTTCAGCACACTATTTCTAGTTCAAAAATTCCAGCAACCAACCACAAAACATCCTATTTGCCATCAAACATCTGCCAACTATAGTCATATTCAATTATGCTCTTTCCAAAAACTTATACAGTGGAGTTCCCTTTGGGAGAATGAAGCATAATTCAAGAATCGTTCAAATTAAGCAAGGCTGAGATAAGGTAATTCTTGTTGCTTCGTCATGGCATTTTTTTAGGGATAACCCTAAGGAATATACAAAGAGGTTTGCAAGATATTTTCTTTTAGTAGTCCTTAACTTGTCTCTTTGGAAGGATGTTTTATTCTCCATTTTTGTTCATTTTTCACACTTCTAATTTGTTAAAGTTTCTTTTTCTAGCAAGCAAACATCATAAGAAAAAGTTTATCTAATGTCATGCTTAACTAACCACAAGATAAAGCAAAAGCAGATCACTCCAAATACCTTAAATCATTTTTAATGACTTACTACACCCGAAGACCAGACTCATGTTTTCAAGGAAACACAAGCATCACAGAATTTCAATAATACATGGATCAACATAAGAGGCAAAACTCATGTTGCATCTTCCAATTTTAATCTCTCCAATTCATTCTCACAGCAACTACTACCAATCACTTAGCCAATCAACAACATTTTAAAACGAGTAATTCTTTGAAACATGAAAAAAATTTAATGAATAGATCACAAATACAGACATTACATAAATGACCAGGAAGTGCATTAAATTATCACTGCTGCCATTGTCTGTATTCGTGATGATACATTCGTCAAAAAGTTTTCGTGATACAAAGCATTACTCTTCTAAAATCCAATAGCATAAACTCTAGTTTTTCTCTACATGCCTGAAACCCTATTTCTCAAAGTCAATTGAAAACTAATACCCACAAGACGCAATTCTCAGACGATATTTAGCACATAATCAGTCAGAATGCTACCTTAACATGAATTAAGAAAAGTAACAGCATAAAGCCATAGTTTCTCTATATGCTTATAAACCCTAAGGCTAAATTTTCTAAACCCCACAATGCCAAAAAAGAAAACTCATTTTTTTTTCTCTACATACTTATAAACCCTGATGCTAAATTCCCACACCCAATTGAAAATCAACACCCACAAGCTAAAAGAAAGAATCTTTACTGCAAAAAGTTGTACACAAAACATTGTTTCCTGAACACTATCACAATTTAAAAGAACCAAAAAAAATCCAAACTTTAAAGACAGTAAAAAAGAGGAGATTCGAGAAAACTGTACTGACCCATAAGTGCCTTCACCAATCTGTTCTAATTTCTCAAAACAATCAACGCTTCTTGAACCCCAATAAGGTGATTCTGTCAGGTCAAGTAGGCCTGGCGCTGCTAACCTCCTGCTGCTGCCATTTTTTTCTTTTGCCCTCTCTTTCACCACCAGAACACAGAAAACACGAAAAAGAGAAAGAGCTTGTATTTTATTAGACAAAGGGAGGAGAGGTCAGTGAAAGATCTTTCTTCATTCATTAGAGTCTGTCTCTAAGAAATTAGAGTATAGAATAGTCCCTGAAATAAAGAGAATGTTCAATCGAGACCTTTAGGTTTTTTAAATTTTATTGTTTTTATTCTCGGCGGACTTTTATTTCTTGTGTTGTTCAAAATAATTAAATAGTCTTCTTTTCAAATCAAAACTTTTACTTTTTGAAATAATCAAACAAAAAAAAATTAATAATAACAATAAAGCAAAAATTTTTAAAATTTTTTATTTGCATTCGAAATAGAACTGAGTTAGTAAAAATCTTTGCAAATAATTTTTTAAAAACATCAAAAAATAAATATCTCTTTAATTTTTAATCGTTGAATTATAAAATTAAAATGCGCATAACACTTACTTTTTGACCTTACTTGTTCCATAGAGAATTAAAAATAAAATTGAAATAAATTATTAATTATTAGAAAGTTATGTTAAGGATGTAAAAGTTTGTTCTAAACATATTTAGTGTGCCGATAAAATATACGGTAAATGGTTAACAAGAAAAAAAAGAAAAAAATTAATTTTTAATTTTTTTTAAATACTACTGCATAATAGTGGGGGTATGGCCGTATGGATTAAAATTATCCTTTTCTAAAAAATAATTTTTCCTTAATTATAATCGTTATTATCCATTTATTAACCAAACAATGTTTAAAAGGTGAATTGAATACAATAAATAATCTCTTCGGTCATTTATTAGATAAATCTTGTTTGCATTTTTAGGTCTAAAAAACAATTATTTTGATTAAATAATAATTAATGAAAAAACCCAATCCAAAAAAAACATTATATGGACTTTTTGATAATATTAATTAACATTAGGAACTGTTTTATATAAAATAATAACTTGGAGGATCAAAATATAAAATCTTGTAAAATTTATAAAAAATCATTTTTTTTAAAAAAGGCGCCATTTTGGTTTCACTGTAGCAAAGGCTTAGCTACAGTGAAACCACGTCCGCTTTTAGTATATGTAAAATGTGCCACCAGTATCAAGCAGCTTAAATTTTCTTGTTCATGTTATCAAGCTTTGATTTAGCATTAGTGATTTAGGACCAATGAACTTTAATTTGAATCACCAATGTTCAGATATTTGTTATGCGAAAGACAAGGACTACTACTCTTTGTTAATTGGTTCATGTCATTTTCATCGACTAAGTTTTATAGCAATTCCCCCGCACATATTTGCCTTATCTCAGCAACCATTCATTCCAATTTCCAAGCAATGGACATTATTTCTGCCATCTACACCTTCACAGCAGCAGCACTTCTCTTTATCTCCTCAACCTTCTTGTATCTAGCACTCAAAATCTTTACTGGAAAATCTATCGGCAATCCCAACTATCCACCAGTAAAAGGCACAATCTTTAACCAGCTCCTCTACTTCAACAGGCTCTATGACTACCAAACTGAAGTTGCCAAGAAACAAAAAACGTATCGGCTTCTTACTCCGGAGGGAAGTGTAGTGTATACAACAGATACAAGAAACATAGAGCATATGCTAAAAGCAAACTTCGAAAAGTATAATAAAGGCAAGCACAATCAAGATATTTTTACTGATTTTTTTGGTGAAGGTATATTCGCGGTTGATGGAGTGAAGTGGAGGCAGCAGAGAAAACTGGCTAGCACTGAGTTCTCCACAAGAGTCCTTCGAGATTTTTCTTGTTCTGTGTTTAGAAGAAATGCTACCAAACTTGTTAGAGTAGTCTCCAAGCTTGCCACTGCTCATCAGGTTTTTGACATGCAAGTGAGTCAAATGAATCTTTTTAGTAGCCTCTCTGATTCTTTCTTACTTCCTTGATTTTAAATTTTTTATTAATCGAGCGGGTAAAAATTTGTTGTTTCATAGGACACATTGATGAGATTTACTTTGGATTCCATTTTCAAAGTGGGGTTTGGAGTTCATTTGAATTGCTTGGAGGGCTCCAGCAAAGAAGGAACTGCGTTTATGATGGCCTTCGATGATTCAAATGCTTTGATCTATTGGCGCTATATGGATCCATTCTGGAAGCTGAAAAGATTCTTCAATATTGGGTGTGAAGCCTTACTTAGGAAAAATATCAAAATCATGGATGACTTCGTAAACAAACTAATCAGAAACAAGAGGAAATTGATGGCTGAACGACAACTTTGGGTGGGTATTTATAGTATTGCCAGTCTTTGTTAATATCAAGAGCAAGTGCTTGTTAAGTTTATCAGTAACTGACTGACATTTTTATAATTGAAGAATGACAAAGAGGATATCCTATCGAGGTTTCTGGTAGAGAGCGAGAAGGACCCAATTAAAATGAATGATCGACATCTGAGGGACATTATTCTGAATTTTATGATTGCTGGCAAAGATTCCACTGCAAATACTCTCTCTTGGTTCTTCTATATGCTTTGCAAAGACCCATTAATCCAAGAAAAAGTTGCGCAAGAAGTGAGAGATATCACAGGCAGTCATGATGATAAAGTTAATGTTGAAGATTTCATGGCAAACATAACAGACACGAAACTTGAGCAGATGCACTACCTTCATTCAGCTTTGACAGAAACCTTGAGGCTATACCCTGCTGCTCCTGTGGTAAATTTTCCAAAAAACTTTATGGGTTTCGATTTTTCGAACTAACTTTTTATCTACTATTTCTTGTTTGGTCAGCACTACGTAGAAACTACGTTCTAATATTAATTAGTAACTAACATCGGTTTGTTTGAGTTCGTGCTCTGCAGGATGGGAGATGTGCAGAAGATGATGACATTCTTCCTGATGGCTTTAGACTAAAAAAGGGTGACGGGGTTTATTATCTGGCATATGCTATGGGCAGGATGCCTTACATTTGGGGAGAGGATGCCGAGGATTTTCGACCCGAAAGATGGCTCAACAATGGGATTTTCCAACCGGAATCACCATTCAAATTCATAGCATTTCATGTCTGTGTCTTCCCTTGGTTTTTTACATACGGTGTCTAAAATATTCTGAGACTTTTGGTTTTTCTGTCACTTGCAGGCTGGTCCTCGGATATGTCTAGGGAAAGACTTCGCTTACCGGCAGATGAAGATAGTCTCTATTGCCCTTCTGCGCTTCTTTCGATTCAAATTGGCTGATGACACAAGAGAAGTGACATATAGAACTATGCTCACACTTCACATTGACGGAGGTCTCCATCTCCAAGCAGTTCCAAGGACAAGTTCATGAAGTTGATTTGTTAAGCAAATGATTATTACTCTTGTGAACTAGGTTTTTTAGCAGCTACAAGCCTACAATTACTACCTCTCTGTAATGTTCGTGTCACAATGTAGCATTTCAAGGCATCATCAGCTTGAAAATCTATTGTGATTATTATTTCATTTCATTCCTCTGATGGCATTTGGATTTCTAAACCAAGGAACATATAGAACAGAAAGCTTAATTCTGAAAGGGTAAATCATTATATAAACATCCAGTAGTTTGAGGAGTTAGCACCCTCATTTTTCATCTTTACGAGGCATAACTATAATCATTGGTTGATTTTGTTTTACTTAAGAATGACACTCACTTTACAGGTAAGCACCCAAAATCAAAATTGTTAAACTTGCAGCTGTAATTTGTACTTTTGAAATGAATGCACATATATGGTAGAGATCATTGCTTGAATGATTTATGATTTAAGCTAAGTACGGATGCTTAATTGTAACAGGATTACAGGAATCGAGACAAAATAGCTTCTCTCTTGGAACCCTGTCCATTCTTGTACTCAATTGCACGTGGGTAAGTTTCATTATCATTTTTAATCGAAGTTACGAGATAGGCTTAAAGTCCAAGATGTTTATAATAATTTATCCTTTAAAACTTAATACAGAAACAATATGTTTTACATGGAAGTCTGAATAATTGTAAACTGCGTGAGTAAATTATAACTTAGTCCCTATATTTTAAAATTGATTATAATTTAGTATTTTTTATCCATTTTATGTTTTTTTTTCTCGGTCAACATTAGTCAATGTCTTGTCTTTAATACTAAAATAACTAATTAATTAATTTTGATAAACTACTAGGATTAAGTTATAATTAACTTTACATATATGAAACTATCAATAATAAAAACAGTTTTGATTTATTTATTGATAAATATTCCATGACTGATGACATGTAAAAAGTATATAATATGTTTGTCATTATTATTTACACGCCTTCAATTAAGTAACGGTAGTTAATAAATTGAAAAATACATGTATTGAAAGAAAAAAAAAAAAAAAAGAGAAAGAGAAGAATCAGCTTGAAATTGAATAAATAATTACAATTTCTTCTTTTTATTGGTTACATTCTTCAAAATGAAGAAATTGCATAAAAATGTATCTTTCATCCAACAATTCCCCAAACAACATTAGGATTATCAATTGCCAATTATCAATGCTCTTCCACATAGAATACCACAATCCAACAACAAAAGAAGGAATCAAATGAAATGCCAGTGACTACAAATTAAGCTTTTTGTTGCAAAAATAGAAAATTATACTATAAACTAAAGTAAAACATTTTTTTAATGTAGCAATAAACAGTGATTATCACTGTTCATTGATGTCCTTTAGTTTTTTATTTTATTATTATTATTATTTTGCCCAGCACCCTTTGGCTTTTTTGTTTCGTTTACTATTCATTTGAACAAGTAAACGCCTTGCTCCCCTCCTTTTTTTTTTCTTTTCTAAACACTCAACATTTTGTTTTTTTAATTTCCATCTGTTTATTGTTCACATGAACAGTAAACTGATGGCTCCCTCTTTTTTTTTTTTTTCTAAACATTAAACTTTTTTTTCGTTTCTTAATAATGTTGGGTGTTAAAATTTTAAAAGAACCAACAATTAATTGGGTGCTAAAATTTTAAAATAACCAATAATTTATTTTCTTTATTATTTATTTCTAAATTTTAAAATATCTAATTTGAAAAAATAATGTTTTTTTTTCAAAAAATAACTATGTCTATAAGCACATACTATCACATAACATAATTTATTAATTAACAATTACATAAGATGTATTTCTCAAAAGAAAAAAAATACATATATTATAATAAAGAATTTATTACTCATAGTTTGTCATTTATTACTATTTTCATTAATTTTTCGTTTCTTTTAAATTCTCATCCAATTAATTTAAAATTATATTTACTAATAAATTTGATTTATTTTAATATTATTCATCCAATTAATAAAAATTATATTCATATTTTTTTCAAAAATCGATATTCTCATCAACATGAAATAAAAAATAAAATATATTTTTCCAATTCTATATAAGCTTTAGTAATTGTTATTTTCGTTTTTTGACACAATTTTATAAAATACTAAATTTTTTTTAAAAAAATTATTTAATTTTATTTTTAGTTAATAATCCATGGATTAACAAGAATAAATCCTTTTTGTAAAGAAAAAATATGAAAAACACAAATATAAAATATTTAAATATAAAATTTTTTATTAAAAAATTATAATTATTTTTTTTACCTTTAATTTCATATATTGTTTTAGATTCGTATCATAAAACATATTATTAAACTAAAATAATTTTTTAAAATAATTTTATATATTTTATCCAATCCGCAACGTAACATGGGTCAAAAATCTAGTATTCACTATAAAAGTTTAAGATTTATCAACCTTCAAGCCAAAGTCACTTCTCTTTTGTTACTCCTCTTTAGGATTTTTATTCCAGTTATTTTTTCATACGTTTTGAGTTTAATATTGCCTAATGCTTTATTTTTCATTTATCAATTAGCTTGATTTTTTTTTTTTTTGTTATGCATTTGATTTTCACGTGTTTTTTTAACAGATTTATTAACATAACCTAAGAAGGGATGTAAATCCAAATATGCAATAGTTTAACTATTGAAATAATAAAATAAAAAAGAAAAATCTTCAAGGTTTGTAAGTCGAAACGGAAAACAATTTAGGGGGTCTACACGAACTGTCCCAAAAGTTGCAACGTGACTCTTTCTACACCATGTTTTCAGAGGTATTCTCCTACACATATTTGCCTGATCTCGTAAAATTAACAGCAATACCAAGAAATGGACAATTCTTTCTACCATCTCCCTGCATAGCAATAGCACTTCTCTTTGTCTCCAAATCCTTCTTGTATCTAGCACTCAAAATCTTTAGTAGAAGGGACAATATTTAACTACCTATATTACTTTAACAAGTTCTATGACTACCAAACTGAAGTTGCCAGAAGCACGAGACTTTCTGGCTTCTTACTCTAAACCAAAGTGAATTCTAGATAACTGACATAAGAAACATAAAGCATGTTCTCAGTGACAGACGCAAGACCAAACGTCAACAGGGATCGAAATAAATATTTATAAATTTATAATGATTTACACAAATTTATATATATTATAAATAATATATCAATATATATTTTTAAATAATCTGAAAATATAATCACTCAAAATAGAAATCTTCGTTCTTTAAGGTAACAAAATCATTTACAAGCAAACCTATACTAAAATTTTCAGCATTTTTTTTTCAATATATACCAACAAAGAATCGAAACGAAAGTCATTTTTTATTTTGTTATAAAATTTAGTCTTAACTATGCTCATAGTTGAAAATGATCGTTTCGTGATAGTTGTAAAAACCGAACAATAAGAATAAGTGTTATCACTCTATACAAAGCGGATAATTTTCAAATTTTCTTATCTTCATCAACCATCGACAAAAAATCAGATATAACCGACAATGTTTTGAAATAAAAAAGAATTTATACGTGATCAAAACGCTCAAATTGCATCTTTAATTACGGTATTTCATGATCGATAAAGTCTTGAGGATAAAATTTCTACACAAACTTACAAATGACATTAATCCTAAATGATATGTGCATCTCTCTAGGATAATTTTTCTGTGCTAAGTGAATATTTTATATGTTTTTTGATACATGAATAGTAACTTTTATGCAAAACAAATATTTTGAGTATTTTAAATTTGCATGAAAAATGTTTTATTTGCATAGAATATTTACTTGAGAGGTGTTAGATTATTCTGTGCCATTTGGTGAATTTTTTGATGTTCAGTGAATATTTTCTATGCTTGAATAGTGTTTTTTGTGCAAATTAATTATTTTAAGTATTTTAAATGTGTTTAAAAATTATTCAATGGGTATAGAAAAATCATTAAGGAGGTATAAGAATATTCTATGAACCTAGGTGAATTTTTCTGTGCATAGAGAATATTTTATATAGAAATAAGTATATTTTTATATTTATTTAAGCCCTCAAATTAATTATTTTGTTTAAAAATACACTCGTTTAGGTTAATTAGTATTCCAATTGAAGCATTCTGGAAAAAAAATCAATAAAAAAATGAATTAAGATGGTGTCATATTAAAAGTAAAATTATGACAAAATAAAAAAAAATGATGAAAGAGTGCAGCATGGCATGGGATATTTCATGATGGAAAAAAAAAAAAAAAGTTGGATCGCCCCTGCATGTTCTGGTAACAAACTTTGACAAGACCCATGCTGAAAGCAGGAAAAATAACATAGATTAATACATAATAACTAAATTCTTAATCAATTTTTATGTACAAATTGAGAATATAAAGATATCATTTTGAATTTTATGATTGCTGGCAAAGATTCTACAGCAAATGCGCTGTCATGGCTCTTCTACATGCTTTGCAAGAACCCTTTAATCCAGGAAGAAGTTGCACAAGGACTGATTGATTTCTGGTAATCAATATGATGAATCTGATGCTGAAGATTTCATGCCAAATATAACTGAAAGGACACTTGAGCAAATGCATTACCTTCATGCAGCACTAACAGGGACCTTGAGGCTATACCCTGCAGTAAATTTTCCAAAACTTTTATGAGTTTCAAGTTTTCGAACAAATCTTTTACCTGGTATTTGTTGACACTTCGTAGAAGCTCCTTTAGACTAAAAAAGGGCGATGGAATCTGTTACCCCGCATATACAATGGGCAGGATGCCTGGGGAGAGGACGCCGAGGATTTTCTGCCGGGAAGATAGCTTAACAATGCGATTTTCCAACCTGAATCACCATTCAAATTCATTTCATGTTTGTACCGTCTCTTGGTTGTTGTGTACATGGTATGTCAAAAACATTTTCTGAAATTTTTGGCTGTGACTTTTGATTTCACTTGCAGGTTGGCCCTCGAACGTGTTTGAGAGAAGACTTTGCTTACCAGCAGATGAAGATAGTATCGATTGCCCTTCTTAGCTTCTTTCAATTTAAATTGGCTGATGACACAAGAGAAGTAACTTGTCGGACTATGTTCACATTTCCCATTGATGGAGGTCTCCATCTTCTTGCATTTCCATAGACAACTTCATGAATTCTAATTTGCTCAGGAAATAGTTATCCCTTTTGCGAACTTGGTATTGAAAAGGCTATTATTTCTACCTGTCTATAGTATTCATATGAGAATTTTTAGCATTTGTATTTGACTTTTGGTGAAATAGGCTGAAAATCAAGGCCTAATTAAGCAATATGCAAACCTGTTAATGATTATTTCATTGCCATTCATCTCTTGGCATTCCACATTTGCGATAAATTGCACGTTTCGCCACTGTAATTTTAGTTTTTTATGGTGTTTGTTTCTGTACAATTTTTTCCATTAATTTATCTATATAATATATTAATATCATAAATGTATATTGTTGAGTTTAGCACAACTGATACTAGTTTGTTGAGAATAGTTTTGATACCAATAATAACTTATATTGTCTGGATCGGGTGATTGGAGTTAAAAAATAAATAAATAAATAAATAAATAAAATAAAAAAATTAATGAAAAAAACAAACAAATAAAAGCACATACTAAACAACACAAAAATTTAATGTAGTTCAACAATATATCTACATCTACTAGTTAAGACAGATCAAAATATTCATTATCAAAGAAAATAAAAATAAATGGTAGCAGCTCTAAAACAACTCCTTCACTCTAATATTTTTAATTTATAATTTTTTTAAAGGCCTTAATTATGTATTGTTAATTATGTCTTTTTCCAATATTTTTTATGAAATATTTATAATATCCAATAAGCATTTAAATATTTATAATATAAATTATAATATTTTATAAATTAAAATGAGCATAATTAAGGGTTGACCTCCTTAATTTTATAAATTATAAATTATAAAAAATTTTCAAAATTAGAGGGTTAAAAATATTTATAAAATATCTATAATATTTTATAAGAAAAAAAGTTTTTTAAAAAAATTCAAGATTAGGGAGGTTAAAAATGTTTAAAAAAACATAATTAATAACAAAATGTCGAAACGAAGTTGTTTTGATATTTTAAGTAACGATTGTATATAACGATAATTAAAGAAATTAGATCAATTTTATCCAAAAACTAATAATTGAACGTTCAAATTACGTAATTTAGTACTAAATATCTAAAATTGTTAAATCGTAATAGAATAAGAATAAAATTTTTCATTAAACCGAAAGCTAAAGGTGTATGAATGACTTAACAAAATGCATTATCTTTTTAATTTATTTGCCAACATGCATGTATTTGATGAGTTCAATGCATGCATTTTTCTTTTCCTAACATATATATATATATATATATATATATATATATATATATATATATATATATATATATATAACGCAAGAACGTTCCATGGACTTCCATCTGGAAAGGGCTTTCCGCCAGAAGGGAGGGGCGACGGAGCGTATGCCCAGAATCCAAACCGTGGAAATGTCACACTGCCACTGAGAGGTGCGATCCTGGCGACCTGTAAAACCTTAAAATAAAACTTTTAATACTGAAAAAACAAATGGATCAACAATGTTAAGTGAGAGTTGGCATGAAATTTGGCTCGATAAGCTCATCCATTTCATCATGAGAGAGGAATCAACGTCTCATTCAAGCCGATCAATCGTAGGAATTGCCCTCGGGACTCTATTTGTAATTTAAATTGCCCCGATCCCGGACCAGGAAAATATGAGCAAGCTTGGGTTCAACCAGGTCCGGCCCATCAACAGGTCTTCTTCTGACACACGTCTGGATGCAGCTCTTGATAAAACAAATAACCTTGTCTAGCAGTGTGTTAAAAAGAATATTTATGGAGACAGTGAAGTATTATGGAGATTATATTTATTTATTTATTTTAAATAAATCAACGCTAAAATATATTTAAGTTTTGATTGGTTTCTGATATATAATTTTTTGGTCCGATCATCCCAAATCTATTACTACTTTATATAATTATTTTTATATATTTTTAATTAAGAAGAATCGGTTTCCTCGAGGCCTTTTGTTTTGGCCCTAGCCATTCATCACTTTCTTGGTTGGCATACCGTCCATTGTCCCATATGGCTTCCATGGATTCTCTCTCTAATCCGTTGATCTTCTCGGCTCTAGTTCTAATAATATCAATACTCATAGTCCAAATCCTCGCTAGAAAATTGAACAAAAAGAAGAAAAAACCAAAGTACCATCCGGTTGGTGGTACAGTATTTAACCAGCTTCTCAACTTCAACAGGCTGCATCATTACATGACTGATCTTGCCGGGAAATATAAGACCTACAGGCTGCTCGCCCCTTTCAGAAGTGAGATCTACACGGCTGACCCTGTGAATGTTGAGTACATACTCAAAAGCAACTTTGGAAATTATGGCAAGGTATCTATTTGTGGATCTATTACATCAATATCCAATTTTGAATATTAACAAAAAATTTGTTATGATGGTCAGATTTGAGTGGGATTCCTTTCGACGTTTCCACCAGGATTTGTTTCTAATAACGAAAAGGGTAATGATTTAGCTTACTCAAACTCTGTGCAGGGGGACCATAATTACAACAATTTAAGTGGGCTGCTAGGTGATGGAATTTTCACCGTTGATGGTGACCAATGGCTCCAGCAAAGAAAGGTTTCAAGCTATGAGTTCTCTACAAAAGTTTTGAGGGACTTTAGTAGTGTAGTCTTCAGGAAGAATGCGGCAAAACTTGCAAATATAGTGTCTGAAGCTGCAAAAGCTAACCAGTCAATGGACATACAGGTTAGTGTTTGACAATAGTGTCAGAGAGTAAAGAGTAAACCATCTTGAATCGATGCATGACGTCATGTAACCTTCTAATCTTGAAATGAATTGTCTAGGATCTTTTTATGAAATCAACCCTTGATTCGATATTCAAAGTTGCATTTGGAGTTGAGCTAGACAGCATGTGCGGATCAAATGAAGAAGGTGTCGAATTTAGCAATGCTTTTGATGATGCGAGTGCATTGACCCTTTGGCGATACGTGGATGTGTTCTGGAAAATCAAGAGGTTTTTGAACATTGGATCGGAAGCTGCATTGAAAAAAGCGTCAAAGTGATTGACGATTTTGTTTATAAGCTAATCAAAAGTAAAATTGAGCAAATGCGTAACTCGGAAGATGTTTCTTCTGTGAGTCTCTCTCCTTGAAACTATTATTTCTTATAAATTGCAGAGGCATGAATTTAATTTGATCTTACATGGAAAATGCAGTTAAAGAAAGATGACATTCTATCAAGGTTCCTGCAACTGAGTGAGAATGATCCAACATACTTACGAGACATAATTCTTAACTTTGTGATTGCTGGAAAAGACACAACAGCAGCTGCTCTATCATGGTTCATCTACATGCTGTGCAAGCATCCAGCTGTGCAGGAGAAGGTTGCACAAGAAGTAAGAGAAACAACTAAAATGAAAGAGATTACAAATTTTGCAGAATTTACAGCCAGTATTGACGAAGAAGCTCTAGGAAAGATGAATTATCTCCATGCAGCAATTACCGAAACTCTTAGACTTTATCCATCTGTGCCCGTGGTAAGAAGAAATTATTTGTACTTGCAATTCCTGGCAAGTGTTTTCTCTGCAAAAAAAAAAGAAATTGTAATAAGAAAAGTGACTAACTATTTGAATATGTTCGAATAAATTCGTGATTATTTATGAAACCTGCAAGACTGCCACTATGATTCTTGAGAATGACACGCCTTTGATTCTCACGGCATACTTGATGTTTAAACATGCTCGTTTAGAGTTGACGATGCTTCCTGGATAATTCTATAATTTGATTGTTTCTGTATCTCAAAATTCTTTGCTCAACAGGATGCGAAGGTTTGCTTTTCTGATGATACTCTACCAGATGGCTTTAATGTGAGAAAAGGAGATATGGTGGCTTACCAACCTTATGCAATGGGCAGGATGAAGTTCATATGGGGCGATGATGCTGAGGAATACAAACCTGAAAGATGGCTCAATGAGGATGGAATGTTTCAGCAAGAGAGCCCTTTCAAGTTTACAGCCTTCCAGGTTAGTTGAGATAAAGACTTTTCTAATTCACTTGATTAACATTCAAATAAGTTTTAAGCTGCCCATGCGGTGCAAATCATTAAGATCTATTTTCAGTACTACCTCAGCTTAAGCTTGTAGACTCCCAATCTCGTTGACCAAATGTTTAAAACAAAGCTTTCTGCTGGTTAACAGGCAGGGCCACGGATATGTCTTGGGAAGGAATTTGCTTATAGGCAGATGAAGATCTTCGCTGCTGTCTTATTGGGCGGTTTCATTTTCAAACTCGCTGACGAAAAGAAACCTGTCAACTACAGGACAATGATCAATCTTCATGTTGATGGAGGCCTCCATGTTTGTGCCCTCCACAGAAGCAGAACTTAGCTTTATGTATCTGTAATGGCGTGGTATTACATAAATAAACATGGGCGTAAAACCCAGCTCAAACCATCCAAACGTAAACGAGGTTCTTGTACCTGGTAAAGCAAAGATTTGCAAAATGAGAGGATTTATGTGGAGCTGTGGGGAAAATAAGTGGTTTGCACAAGGCACTGGCATCAAAGACTCCTCAATTTGATTTAAAGGTGGATTTGGATAGTAATTTATTAATATTAGGCACAATAATTCCAGCGTTTAATGACCTCCCCAAGATGGCAAGACTTAAAAAATACCTCTCATCTCTCAAGATCGATATATGCATAGAAGTTTCATGACCTACAAACAGATATGGTTCAGGCATAGTATCGAGGTCTTAACGCCAAAGCACTCTCCCAAGACGGAAAAAAAAAAAAAAAACGTAGTTTATTAATCCATTTAATTGAAAATGCTGGCCAAAACTGTTGCCACAGTTACAAGCTTTGAAATGAATAAAACTTCGCCAGTCACAAATTAATGATGATTATAGTCCATTATGCCAGTAGGGGGTGGGGGGAACCCTGTTTCGTAACTCAAATGAAAACTAAATTGATGAACAGAGCTGTCCATAATCAAAATCTTATACATTAGAAAATATACAAGCAAGAAAAGATATTGATAACAAGATGGATATGCATTAAGCTTTCATCTTTATGATGACGGTGTTGTAGTCATAGGAGGTGGAAGATGAAGCCCTGGTCTGGAGGTCCACCCTTTACGACTCCTGTAGGCCTCAATAGCCTGTAAACGAAGCCTCTCCCGAGAAGCATCATGGACATTATTAAGGAACTGCACAAAACAGAGAACTTGTTTTAACCAGAGAATTTTTATTGATTCACATATAATATTGAAGTAACAATGACGCTAGACCTTGGAAGGGGCAGTAAGTTTCGGGGGAGTTTGGACCACATCTCCAAATTGTATTTGCTCCCGTCCAGGAAAGTCCACACTCTCCTCGGGTTTCTTGTGTTTCTTCTTCTTAGCTTCCAAATACCTACATATATTAGAATGTGATCTAGATGTTCAAAAAGCATATGCTTGAACTAGCCTGTAAGTAGAACTAAAAAATTGGTATTCTCGTTCAGGCAAATTAGAAATGAAACTGAGCAAAACTTCAGGCACACTAAGTTCACTACAAGAATCCTTGTATCATCCTGTCCAAACTAGAGAAACAACCTCCAGGAGCCATAGAGTGATATCCTCCACTAACTCCTTGGCAAGTCTAATGCATTAACCCATAGCCTTATGATTCTGCACACAGCAATTATAAGTACCACATACCCCCTAACAAAAATATTACCAATGAACCAACATTCTTGGAACCTCAATGTTGACAACCTGACCACCAAATTTCAGGTCCAAGTATTGCACTTGAACCAAATACTCCACATTTCCTAAAATAAATTTAGACAGGAATTACTGTCATCACTCAATCGGGTTCCATTACACAAGTTACACTAGTTTCCTAAGTAAAAGGAGGTTTGCCCTATGAAAAGAAGTTAACAAGACAAGACCCTTGGCACATACTTGATAACACTTAAAACATCCCAGAGAGAAACTCTGGGTGCCACTCATCGTGAATTAGATGCAGGACTAGCAAACTCAGTATCTAGCTCCTTCCTTGTGAGTTAAATCACTCTACTCAACCATGCCATATCCCCAAACACAGTTGTGATCAGTTAGATGCATTATTTCCCTCTACTCTATTCAATTTCAGCCAACTTTCTATGTGCTTTCACGGAGATATATGTTATCCAATTGTCAAGCCATTTTAGTTAAATCGGGCTGTGAAAGTCATAATACAAAAATTTCAGGTTAAATTTCTGAGCGACCACGAACTTTCACCACAAGAGTTCCCCTTCCCTGCTAACAATTTTCAACGACGCTAATAGTAACATTTATTGATTTTAAGCTAAACTTTATGTAACTAATAACACAGCCATTTATGTTGCAATAAATCAAGCATGACTTCCAAGCTGTCAAGATTTCACAAGAGCTACAAACGGAGGAATGACTTCAAAATGCTTACTTTTTCTTGCGCTCGCGACGTTTCTCAACGGTTCTCGATTTATCCAATCCCAGTTCGAAACGAAAATCGTTTACTTGCTTCCTATTTTTCTTCTTCTTTCTCTTTTCATCTCCACTGCCATCCACAATTTCTTCGTCATTTTCGTCTTTCACAACAGTAGCTTCATTCCCTTCCTCTCGCGCACGTTTCTATATAAAATCATCCATAAAAATAAAAACAAATTAAATTTCAATTAAAACCAGAAAAAAAAATTATTTAGCTCGAAATTGGAGCTTGCTTTCTTAGCATTACCGACCTGCCGTTTCGTATTCTCCTCGCCGGAATTTGAATTTTTAGCAGAGTCTAAATAAATAAGAAAACCGTATAAGTAAACCGGAAAAAAGATGAAGGGGAAGGAAAAATAAACGTACAGATCGAGAGAAGGGGGAGATTGGGTGTTGGAAGATGTAGAGTACCGTTGTGAAGCTGAGAGGTTAAAGAGATGATTTTGCGGAGTTTGGAAGGGAGAGCGTCGACTTGGGAGGGGTTAGGTGGGGGAGGGAGCAGAGAATGGCCTCCTCCATGCGCCGCTCTGTAGTTTTTTTCTCTTCTTCTCCTACCTTTACCTCCCATCCTTTATTGTTTTGGTCGCCAATCAACCCTACTGCTGCTCTTTCAACTTTTTTTTGAGGTTAATATCTTAACATGTCTTGTATATGGCTGAGTTTTTAACGTGTCCTTATATTTTATAATGAGTTAATTAAGTCCTTGTTATTAAAGTAAGTTTACAATCAGTTATTTCTGTTAATTTTTCTGTCCAAACCACCTAAAATTATCACGACCTACATGTAATTTTTTTTTTTAATGAAATTACCATTCTTAAAATGTTAAGTTTTCTTTTTATCTTTATATAATGGATTAAATCTTCAGACTGTCTTCAATATAAAAGAGTTTATTACATTATTATTATTAATTTTTTTAATAATGTATCACACTATAGTGAATTTGTTGTTAATTAAAAATATAAAAAGATAATTAGTACATATTAATATGTAAATGTTCAAAAAATTATCATTTAATATATTTTTAATGCTAAATAGTTCAATATATTATTTTTTTTTATTTACATGCTTATGAGAATAATTAACAATAGTTAATATAATAGACATTCTAGAATTAAAAACATGTTAAATGATAATTTTTTGAACGCTTACATACTAATATGCAATAATTATTTTTATATTTTTAATTAATAAAAAATTCAGTGGAGTGCAATACATTATTAAGAAAATTGTTAACAATAATATAATGAATTCTTTAGCATTAAGGACATATTAGAGACTCAAGTCATTACGTAAAAATAGATTGAAAACTTAAGTTGAGAGGACTACTTTCATTAAAAAAAAAAATTATGTGCAGGTTAGATGATATTTTCAGTTGGTTTTACTAGAAAAATTGATTTAAAAAAAATTAAAAACTTGTTTAAATAATAGAAACATAATTGGCTTATTTAAAAATATATAAAAAAAAAAAACTCATTTTATTACATAAAAACATGCAAGACTATAAACCATTTCTTTGGCTTTCGATTTTTTTTTTTTTCAATCACGGCCGTCCAAATTCGGTTTAAACACCATGCCATGGCCGTGGCAATCATCTTTCTATTCATATGCGACCTATCATATTATTATAGCTCTATTTATTGCATTTTTAATTTCGTTTCTTTTTTGTTCTTGCTTTTCTAACTATTAAAGCATCATTGAATTCGTCAATAACAAAGGCTTTCTTAATATTAATAAAATACTAATATATTTTCATGGACAATTGGGGATATATATATATATATATATATATATATATATACACACATCCCATATACCTGAATACTTAATTTTCAAGCATATTTCCGTTTTTACAAAACAGAATGAGATTTACTAATAATAAATCTGTTTGAAATGAACTTTGAATTATAATTTTTTTTTTAATCATATTTCAAAAGTTATTTTTCAGAAAAAAATAAAATAAAATGATTTTACATTAGAATTATGTTCGATAAAAATGACTTTAAACAATTTTAAAGTTAAAATCCATAAGGTTATATAAGTTAAACAACCTTTTTATTTTTCAATTCTATAACAAACTTTTTATTTAAATTAAAAACTATTTCTAACCAAAACTTTTCTTTGAATCAAAAATTAAAAAACAAGTAAAACATCTTAAATCAATTTATAAAAATCATTCCAAATATGATACATAATAAATGTTGTTGCTGCATAGCTAGACTTTTAAAATCTCCTGTCTTATCAAGGGTTTGTATTCAAACTCATGTACTGATTCCATCATTTTGGGACCATATGATCTATAAATAATAAAATTAAAAAAAAAATTGAAATTATAAAATAAAAAAATTGAACAATATATAGAGAATTCCCAACAAGCAATAGGAACTGGGTAGTCCTTAAATTTTTTGAACCAAGCTTGAATGATTAAATATTCCGTAAGCAGAAAAATTCTCTTTTAAAGAGAATAAAAGGAAAAGAAAAGGCTAGCCAACGGTTATTCAAGTTCTCACTAGTCAGAAACAGCATTTACAACGTTAAGCATAATGATTTTTGAAACATAGCAGCAATGCCATTAACTTTTTATGACTATTTAACCAGAACCTTTAACTATCTATATTCAATTTTGAAAAAGTAAAATGAGTTTATACATGTGTACAAAAGATACGAGACTGAATACTGTCATATTTCATTTTACAATATCATACGAAAAATTGATGGCCATAAATGAACAACTCAAGCCTTGGGGATTCAACTCAGCGAAAACAAGAAACTACTGCCCAACAAAGAATCAAAAACTGCAGCCCAACTGGTCAAATACATATGTTACATCCACACGACAGCAGCGAGCTATAAGTTTGGCAATCGACTTGATATTTGATCTTGGGCAGCAAACACACCCTTGTATACATTAGTGGCATCCTAGTGCGGTATTTTGTATCTTCTGTATTCAACTAAACAAAAATTTCAATGGCCTAACGCTACGATTTTATAAGTGGGCTCAACCCATCACCTTCCCAACCAAGCTTGAGCATCTGATCGACCACTTTCAAGCTCAACTGCAAGCAGTGATCAAGGAAGTCACAATAAGGTTTTATCAACAACGAGCATTTCAATCATAATCATGACAGGGTCGGTCAGTTATATCACTAACAAGTGAAACAGATTACAAAACATTGGACCATTTCCCCGAAAAAAAAATAGTTTTGAATAGACATAAGAAAGCAAAGCAAACTGAAGAATACAAATTCTGAGAACACTGTATTTACTTTAAAATATGAAGGGCCGAGCATTCAGCATTTCATATCTTGCCACGTGATGATTAAGTAGGAAATTTTTTGGGAATAAAGGCCCATTAAATGTCTTAACTAGACAGGAGCAGAATCATAGAATTAACTGCTGTTAAGAAGAACAAGTACATGAACAAATTGAACTTACAGCTGGATCAGTGAAGATTATCAACTGTTTATCTGCAGTTGATACCAAGAGATTTGTGCTATCATTGTTTAAAGCCAGAGCAGTAATATCCTGGCCTTCTCCAAGTTTCAAAACATGAAACACCTGGACACAAAGTGGAATGCTAGTCAGTAAAAATCAATTAACGGTGAGACATACCAGGTATATCATGAGCAAAAACTTAATAGCAAAGTACACTTCAGAACTAAGTTAAGTATCCGTAGGGCACCACATAAAATTTCTATGCATTCATGCCCAAGACACAAACAATAGGTCTATCCACTGAAACAGGGAGGAAAGCAGCCCTTATTTCTTAAGAATTTTAACATGCAAGCATTATTAGTTCAGGTCATAGAAGAACAAACATTTTATGGTACAAAATTTTTAGCGCTTAAAAATACTAAGATGAAGGTCATTCATTTTAACAATTTAAAATTTTATCAGTTTCTTATACCTTCAGTGTATAGAGATCCAGGAAACAAATTGAAGGAGAAGGAACATCTAGTCTGTTATTTTCACCAGTGTCCTCTGATTCCATATCAAAATCTGCTGCCCCTGGCTTCTTGAAGCTTAAATTTTGGTTGTTATTTGAGGTTCCATTGTTTTCCGGACACGAGTTCAAGCCAATTAAAGCACTCTTCCCATCCACAGAAATTTCAATGCAACTAACACTGCCAGATAAAGGAAGTTGTGCTCTAGCAATTGGTATCCCGTTAAGAGTAAAAGTGTTTAGAGAATTTTGAAATTTGTTCCAAGTCATCACAAACCCCCCAGATGAAAGACAAACAGAATGGGCCTCCACACCAACCAGCCTTCTGATCAAACGACCCCTTCTTATCGAATGCAGCAGAACATCTGATGATTGGGAGCAAGAAACAACAATCCCAAGATCTGAACTGACACAACAACACAGAATTTCTCTGTGGTGACCACGAAGGACATGTATCGGACCCTCAATACGACACCTCCTACTTTTTTCTGCCAGGTTAGTCACTAGAGTGCTACTGGCTGCAGGTGGTGTGCCTGTGACTGTGCCTGTGCTGGTGGAAGGCTCTGACATGCTGCTTGAGCTTGAAGTGAATGCCCTATGTATCTTCCAGAGCAATACAGTAGTGTCCCGTGATCCTGTGACAAGATAGTTGCTATCTGGTGAAAGTGCAAGGCAAGTGACTGGAGCACAATGTGCAATGGCAGTTTCTAGGGTTTTTGCACCATCTGCTGATAATAGCTTGACACTGTTATCTGCATGCCCACCTAAATACAGTCACAGAAGAATGGATATATTAGTCTATCAGAAAAATGCAAAACAATTTCCATATGATACCGAGAAAATTTTTAGCAAATAAAGCGACTATAAATCAATCAAAATAAGAATTCATACAACAAAAGAAAAAAATGATAAAAAATAACATAACTTATGTATAGATGATTGACTAAGGGCACGATTAAACATGGATCAAAGGGTGGAATTTTTCCTTTTGTTTTTGGGCTGAAACCCTTATTTCTAAACATCAAATTAAAGTATGAAGGTGCGAAAAAGTTTTCAAAGTGAAAAATGAGCAAATAAAACAAAATGAAAATGAGAAGTAATTCAACAATGTAATGATGATCTTTAGCATAGAATATTTTCCTTTACCTGCATAGAAAGAAAAACGAGGAAAATGCTTGTTTTCGTTTGATTGAGGATCTTGCATAAAGATTTCCAACTGTGCACTAATTCTAGATATTTTCTTTGACTTTTGCAAGCAATTTCATTCAGATTCAAGCTCTAGAAAATTCTATATTTCCTACATATTTAAACCCTTGAGGTCTTCCCTGATGCACCCCACATGCAATGACAAGTTGAGAGAAAAATAACCTTGTAAACTCTATCAGTTGGATGCACATCATTCCCTATGTCTACCATGGACCAACTCCCAATTCCGGTTCAGAACTGATTCAAAAATTTTCCGTTGGATTAAAAGTCCACAGGATACTTCTAATTCCTTTGACCTTCAAAGTTTTAAACTTCTACCTAAAAGTAATTTAAAAGACAACTGTCTAATATACTAGACAGTTATAGAGAAATAAAACACCATAGAACATCGAATGGTTGCAACAGTCCAATTTTATTTATTTTTTCTTTTTTCTTTCTCTCTGTTTAAAATAAATTTCTGGTATAAGTGAAAATAATATAAATAAAAAATTTAGAAGCCCTGGTGACCTTTATGATTTCTTGTGACCAAAAATTTCAATCTCCCAAGGCACTGAACATTGCATCCCAGGAATAAATAAACAAACAAAGGCATTGCATCTAATATCATCGCACAGCAATTATAAGTAACTCGTGTAATTCTCAGGTAAGTATTCAACATGATACTGAGTAGGACACTGCTAACAAATGACACTTCTTTTCAAATTTGAAGTGGTAGCCAAGACAAGCAAAGGATGTGAAACTTTTAAGAGAAGAATCTCAGATTTAGATCCTTGTATACTTTTTACAGTTTTAGCCTTTTAGGAGGGGAATGCAAGCATCTTATTCCAGCACTGAGTGCGTGTAGGCACTTTGTGGATCAAATGAATGCTTACCAGTAATGATTTCTTTGTCATGAGTGATGGAAACCACTGCTTTGCTTCTAATTCCAGATGAAGCAAATGCTAGTGCTTGGGGAAAATGCCACTCATCTCCACCAGACACCGATTGCCCTTTAAACATTCGCATGAATGTTCCACCAGCAGAGCTTGTTAAGGCCCTTCCATGTTGAAAGAGGAAAGGTGCACCATGGCCATCTGGTGTGTTGGGTTGCCACTTGTGCTGAGCAATGTGTGCTGCTGGTGCATTTATATCAACAATTATGACAGCATCTGAAGATGCGTGAATGGAAGCTGCAGGTAGATTGCAGCGTTCTGGGGCTGAAACAGCATATGGTTTGACTTCTTTTGGGTTCCTGAAGATAGTCTGACACACAAAGGAAAGTCTAAATCAGGAAAATGTGCTATAAATTGATACACTTGAGTTCTATGATGGAATATCCTAACATGCAACCTCGCTAATCCAAAAAGTATGCACAAAAGCAGGTTTTTAATTACTATCACAAGCTCCATCAACTGTTATCAAACTGTCCAACTTGCATCTAATGGATCAACTATCTAAATGTCTTTGACATTCCTCCAGCCTAAAATCACAGCAAGACTACCCTAGCACTATCCTGGAACAACTAATGACACATGTTCTTCCTTCAGGCTACCTGATCATCATGTTACCAATTACCATGACCTCCCCTAAAGAGCAGGCACTAGGCCAATAACAACATAGATGGTTCATACACAAAGTTTAACTCCTCAAGGACTAGCAGATGAGAACAGTAGAGTCTTTATCCAACATAACAAACTAAAACATGGTATACAGCAAAAGGCCAAGTTTAAGATGAACTGAAACAAGCACTTGGACTTATACATGCTTATAAGAGAATTACAAGCACCCACAACTGTACAAGTCTTGAAAACTTAAATCCTCAGCCAAATTCAGACCTGCAAGTGAAGAACATCTGTGAAAGGCATTCTCTTCAGGTGAGGAACAGTCAGAAGTTGGGATGGAGTCTGTCCAAAGTAAGCAATCTGGTCTTGTGTGGCTCGTTGTTGTACCTTATGTGAATAAACAAACAAAAGAAAATATATATAAAACAATAATAAGAAACAAAACCTCAGTTTAATTAACAACAGTGGATAGCAGAGTTTCCTTACCGGATCCGAGATCTTGTCAATATCAACCGCCCCTTCATAGGTGATGTAAAAGAAAACATTGTTTGCTGCTATAGCTTCTTTACCACGTTGTTTATAGCTTCATGATTCAATTCATTAAAAAGTTGAAATGAAAAGGCCAGAGTTAAATTGAATAGAAATTAAGTTTGTCCGGAGTAAAATAGTCAGATTGCAATTAATGAAACATAAGGAAGGGCAAGAATGAGAGACATTACATGTGAAACCAAACAATTTTGCTCAAATCTTACCCGAATACAAGATCAATCCATTCATGCAAATGTGCAGATACATGCTCACTCTCGAGAGCCATCCGGTGCTTGTGAATAAAATCAGTAGTATTTTCAGCCCAAGGAGGAAGTTTGACAGAATCTGAAAGAGTACATTTAATCACGCTAAAAATTTCAACTCTATAACTTCAAACTCTGTTCCATTTACTTAAAATATGTCAGAAACCATACCAAGCTTTCCACCCAACTGTGTTGTACCAAAGTCAACTGAATTTTCATTGGTTAAGATCTCAGGAAGATAAAACAGCTCAGGAACCTAAAGCAGACAAGAACCCACCAACCCCCAAAAGGAAAAAATACTTTATTAATAGCCAGTACACAAAGGAAGATATGAGCAACAACTGATTATCGTAAAAACAGAAAATTGTAAAAAGTGCATACAAGAAAAATGGGGAGCTGATTATTATTACATGAGACAAAGAATCAAAGCATATAATAAGATAAAGTGGCGCCTTTTATGCTAACTAGTCATTCAACACATGCATTATTCAAGTTGTTAGAAAGTTAATGTATCATTAGTTTACAAGAGAAAAAATTAAATTAAATTAAATTAAGTTTATCAGACTAAATTATGTGAACAAATGAAAAATATTATATAAAAATGTAAATCCTAACATAATCCTTACCATTAAAGAGAAGTAAGAACTAGAAGATGAGTTTTTTTATTTTTTATTCAAGGGTCTTAAAATTTGATGATTTTTTTGTTCAATAATAAACTTTACCCTTACTTTTTTTCTAAAAGTATTTTAGTTGAATCAAATGTTTCAAAAGAGTTCACAGGTTGGTTTAAGATTGTGAATTACAAATTTGTTCTCTATTTTACTTCATAAGATTTTGAAGAATAATTATAAAAAAATTATAATTATTATTATGTTTATCTTACTTATTTTGTTTAAACAGTTCTCATTGAATAAAATGTAGAAGATAATATTAAATAATCATCAAGACAAAAAAAAAAAAAAAACCTTTTCGCTTTTTACAAGTAAAATTTAAAAAAAGGGCAAAAAAGAAGATAAAAACATGGGGAAGGGGAAGTAGCTTAAGGTAACAATTTTTTTTTTATCAAGAAAGGGTAACTTTAACCTACTAAAAAAAAAGGTACAAAATAATAAGAATGAAGATTAATTATAGCGTTTAACTTAAGGTAACATTAACTGTCAAAATTTGGGCAGTATAATAAGAAAGTAAAGCAAGTTCAATTTAATCATTAAATTAATATAATAAGGGTTTTCTACTCTAATCAAATGTTTCGACAAAGGTAGTGCTTTTATGGATAGGTATGGATCTTCAAAACAAAACATATGGCATACCAATTCCTTCACATCACTCATGTCTTCAGTAACTCCATTCCAGGTAGCAGCAATATCTGAAAACATCCGATCTGCATGATCAAATTTTCCACCTTGCAGTTGAATTGAAAGCGTTGTGAAAGGTTCAACTCTAACAAGATAATACAAAACCTGTCACAGAACCAGCATAAATCATATAAACTGCAGTCACTGCATATCAAGCATTCAAGCTGTACAATAGCATTAAACAATGTGACCAATTGGCATTAAATACATAAAATGCAATGCATCAAGGGGAACGTGGAAATATGAAAAAATAAAATAAAACATTTGACAAACCAGAGAGGGGAAGGGGGAAGGGAACGGGGCAATCTGATTGATTACTCTTTCATAAAATAGTGCTGGCAGTGGATGATTTGGTGCATAATCCTAAATCTACATCCAATTAAATACCATAATTGAGTTAAATCCAAACTCCCCAGATACTAAAGAAGGTGCTTAAATTAAAAAAAAAAATTCCAAAAGTCAAAAAATCTCAACTCTACACTGCATAGAACATGTAGAGAATATTATTTATAATTTAAAATGAAATTTATTCATCCAAACATACATAACTCGTTTTCAAAATCCATGATATTCATCCAAAATCCGTATCTTGCAGCCAGATTCCATGTTGGATAAGGTCTGATAATTGGCATCTTTATTAAGACCAATTTGGGTAGCACCCAGGTATTCATTTACAAGATAATTATGTTGTAAATTGTGAGACAAAAAGGATTATATAGCATCATAAGCACTGTCAGGTACCCTCCCCTTCCAAAATTGGTTTTTCTTCTTCGAGATTCCCCAAAATGCTCCACTTTGATTTTAAAAAATTCTTATATCCTATAGTCACGAATACAAAAAAACTAAAGAAACGAATAATCTTCATGAGCTGAAATGTACAGGTAAAGGTGAATATGCAACTATGACATAAGGACCAACTTCATATGGTTAAGTAGGAAAAATAACTTACCGTCCCTGCACTTGAGTAATGAGAACCATAATGGAACTTTGGAATGACTGGATCATCAAAGCTAGAATATCTCTCTTGGAACTTTTTCAGCCGATCAGGATTCAAAGCACCAACAGGCTGCAAATATATATCATGCTATAATGACAGTAGAGAGATTGCAATTATATAATAAATGAAGACAAATCAAGCTACGTCACCTTTGAAAGATCTCGAAAAGAAGAAGCATCAGAAAGATCCAAACATTTTGAACTGTAATCAGAAAGAACCCATGGAAAAACTGGATACTGCAAGGAAAGGAAAGAAATTTTAGATATAACATGCACAACTTTCCAAACTAGAACAAGAAATTAGAAAAGAAACATGCCTGAGTGATGTCATTATAACTACGCCCAGCCAGAGTATTGAGCTGCATTAAATACTCAAAGTTGCTAATCTGCATAACAGTTGGGTTTAAACTTTTGTATTATTCTGAGTTGAAGTTGCAAATGTGAATGAACCTGCAATATTACTGAAGTGAATTTGAGTTTATACCTCCCACCTTGCCCAACGTTCCATGAGTTGAGTTCTCTTCAGAAGTTGTTCAGGTCTCTACAACAGGAAAACACAAGCAGCTTTCATGATATAATGCAAGAAAAATAAACATCCAACAGGTATAAAAGGACATGAAGAAATCTTTCAAGAACTACATAGTCAGGTAGAAATTTGGAAACCTGAGTAGCCAGATAAATATTGTTCAAATGAGGGGGTCTTGATTGAACAATAGCTCGGTAAGCATTTCTTCGTGCCTCAGTACTCTAAAGGGACAGGAAGGAACCAAACATTTAACCCACATTCAAGGTTGGTGGATGCAATTCTATTAGCGTAAATAAAGAAAATGGTCAGGATACATTTCAAGTGACATACCCCAAAATCAAAGAAGAAGTTTGATCGGTCAACCATAAACAATTCCAGAGCACTTCTTCTTAGCAAATACCTGAGGATCATAGCAAACAAGTATGAAGATGATTGAAGAACAAATCATAACTGAACAGAATGATTTTAAGGACTAGTGTACAATATAACAATTTATGCAGCATAAGTGCAATAATGTCAAGCATATAAAATGATACCAGAAGATATTCTTATGTTCAGTTAATGAGTTGCGAAAAGAAAAACGTTATTGAAACCAGGCCTCATACGAAGTTGAAAGAATGGACATATGCACGTCACAGGTCATTATGCATGGTTCTAATGTCCGTCAACCCAGAATTGCACCTGCTAAAGGGTGGGCATTTTGATATTGTACTTATGTCAGTACTCAGTAGGACCAGACTTCATTTAATATTATTGACAGATACATTGAATAGAAAGCCTGCTGGCATTCCAAATTCAGAAAACAACTCCGAGCATGACTCTTCAATCTTTTAAATCTAAAAATTTAATAGTTCTTAGCAATAGAAGAAGCACAGTGATTTCATGGCCAGAGAAAGATGTGTAATGACCAGACAATATGTGACAAGACTGAGCAAGTAAAAGGCTTTCAGATGATACAGCAATCACTTGACAGCAGGTTCCTTATTCCCATTTTGCATAGGTTAAGGAATGAAAAGGCCATGCCAAATACCACATCAATCCTACCAAAACAGGGAATATCATGGTTGTGCTTCAGAAGAAATTGCTCCAAAATCATTCTATCTCAGACAAGCATTACCCAACTATATGACATACACTCTAGTATCACATGAGGAAAAACAATGGAAAAAGTGCCTCATACAAAGATAAGGCTATCTGCATGAATCCCGGGTTATCTTTTTAAGATAACTTAAGAAATTGTCTACCAACAGTGCTTGCATATCAGGCTAGAATGCTAATATAACATATGAACCCAGAACAAAGATAATACAATTATCAGCTGGACCAGACTGCGAGAGTCTTAAAGTCAACCAACAGATATCCCATTAAACCAAATCAACTTGCATCCCTAGATATTACAAAAGAAACGAGAATATCAGCTTTTGTGGGTAAACTAAAGTTGCTATCTTTCCTTGTCACAATTCAATTTAAAATTATGATTCGTGACCAGCCTACATGCTACAATTGCATTCCTTTGACAAACAACATGAGGAACCAAACACATTTTGGGAATATAAGACTCTCAAATTGTTTATCTTCAAAAATAATCAAAATAATAAAGATTCATAAATTGTTTGAATTTAAAAAGGGAAAAAAAAAAAAAAAAAAAGAGGAGTAAGAAATACAAGTCCAGTTAAACTAATAAAAGCCAAATAAATTTTACCTCCGGCTATAAATCTGATGGAGAGAAGACATCAGCCAACTGTGATCCTTTTCCTGGACTCCTGATTCTGATGAATCAACTCCATCAGCACTGCTCTCAGTGGTATCAACTATAAAGTTTATTCTCCTACTAGTTACCTGAAGAAACAATCACTTCATGTGCTCAGTAACCACATCCAAATTAACAGCACAGAGTAAAATGTCAGACTTCCCAGTTTTCATGTTCTACTTCCCATCCTATTTGTTGAAAGCAGGACAGTGCTTAGCAGCCACTTTTGTGAAGCAGAAACAAGAAGATTGAATGTCACATGCCACAACGGCACAAAGCACCAGTAGGGGAGAAAATTTAAAGAAATCAGAGTGGTTTTGTAAGCAAAATTTTCAAATCAAAGGTCATTGCCACCTGTTGAACACTGCAACAAGATCATAGGGCCACATATCACACCCATAGCCATCATTTCAAATACAAGTTGAGCTTGAAAATTACCACAAATTGCATCAAAGTTGTATCAGTCACCCCCATGATCCTCCAGCGTAATTAGAAAATCGACAAGCATGAATTCCAATGTTTTTTAAAATAAAGTTTCCTGTGTCCATATATTCCAAATTCGACAAAATCAAACAAGCCCTTATTGGGTGAATTTAATTTCCAAGTGTTCCTCAACAAAAACAGAATTTCTTTGTTTCTGGTTTCGATCAACCAGTTACTAAGATCTTGATGTGGCACCATCAGAAATTATAGGACATTAACACCATAAATTTAAGATTAAAGACATGAAAAAGAGGTGGATGATTAAAAAAGAATGTCATGCTAGTCTCGTAGAGCTTACTTGAAACGTTCCTCGCATAACTGTCAGCGGTCGGACCATAGATGAAGGAAGTTCAAGAATGATTCTTTCATCAAGTTCACTGGGTACATAACCTGGTGCAACTGCAGATGCATTTTCCAAGTCTTGGTCCCTGGCAAGTTGGGTGTGACTAGATTCTGCTGAAGACTGCATAATTTGATCAGTTGCTCCAGACAATCTCAGCTGACTCTCCCCACTCTGCTCTGTATCAAAGGATCTACCATCTAAATTCTCAATTTCTGCACGTTCCCTATCTTCATTTAGTCCCTCCACTGAGATTGCTTCTGCTGCCAGAATAGGGACATTTCTTTTATCATCCTTCATCTCAATTTGTTCCTCATAATTAGCAGCAGCACCAAAATGATCAGACCCTTTATAATTCCTCCTCAAACATCTTCTCATTCTTGAAGAAGTTTCCATAAAATCTAGCTTCCAGAAAACCTACACAATTGTAACAACGGTTCTAAGAAAAGAAGCTTCTCTATATAATACATAAAAAAGAAAAATCTCAATACATTAGATTAAAACATAATAATGACAAAGGGTTTTTATAATTTAATACACTTCTATAAGTTCTCTACAACATACACGCTCAGGATTGCACAATGGATCCCCAAAGGGCCCAAAAAGACTCTTCATCTCTATCAAGCAATGTATAAGTTTGCGCCATGCACGAATTCCACTGGATAGATGATGACGAGATATCACATCAACTTGAGCAAGCCTGTCGACCTAGCAAAACAATAATAATAATGGTAAAAACTGATCCTGGTAGTTATACAAGAAATGAGAATACGAGGCTAGCATGACTGAAACCTCTAATCGCTGCATGTTTCTTGCTAAAGCAAAACTTGCAACAAGGACTGCAATGAATTTATAGGATAGAGCGTTGAAATCTTTCCCATAGACTGATCTTGTGTCAGCAGGTTGTAAGCATTCCATCCATGCAACTCCCATGGCTTCAGCAGTATTCCATCTCCTAACGCGCTCCATATCACTAGCATTTCTTCGCTGTGCAGATGTGGCCATTGCAACAGCACTAAGGCCCCGTCCAGAACCAATCTTAGCATTACGTTCAAGATCACGTGCAGCTGCCAAGGCAGCAGCTTTTGCTGCAGCCTTATCCTTGGGATGAGCTGGTGCTTTGTTAGGCACCTCCAAAGGCTCTTGAAAGCTTGAAAAGGTATGTAGTCTAGCAGTTTTTCGCTCCAGCAAGGAAGAGTCACGCCTAAGATGTGTAGTTGTTGCAGGAGCAGGGGTTTCCCCACCTGCAGCACCTGCAGCAATCATCGCCAATGCCATCGCAGCTGGTGGTGATGCAAAAGCAGCTGCCCAAGCAGGAGAAATCATGCAGAGAGCAGCCTGGAAAAAATTAATAGAAATGCCTCAAACAAGTCAGCAAAGTCTTTTTTTTTTTTTTTTTTTTTTGAGAATAATAGCAAAGACTCTAAAAAATAATTAAGGAGTGGAATGGAAACCCTAGCATAGCAGCTCCCGGCTATCCAAGGTTTAACAAAGAAAGATCCAAACAAGAACATATAACAATTTCAAAGGAAATAAGAAAGAAAAGAAAAGATGAATTATTGGTAGTATTGAGGTGTTGGGTTATAATTCTTTTCCAAACCGGTGTAATGACGACAAACAAATAAATGGCCGCTTACTTCACTATGTTCAGAAAGAAATTAAGTCACAAGGCACTAGCAACAGATAATAACCTGTGAGCTTAAAAACTAAGCAATGAGAACACCACATCGGGCAGGCGTTCACCCTAGAGATCTTTGACAGACATTCACTTCAAATTATATACCTCTGCCCATCTTCTTTCACTTTCTAACATACTAAATCATAATAAGTTCCTTAAATACAATTTTCCATATGACCTAACACTTCATATGCTTTCTGGGGCATGGGGATGCAAAAATGGTAAAAACTTGGCCTCCAAATACATCAGCAGATACAATTGTCAAAAGATTGTAAAGAACAAGCATTGGCATGGTGCACAAGAATATGGCAGCTTTCATAAAACAGAATCCCTCAAGCAAAGTATCAGAGTTCATGCCAAAAAAATACAGTCACGAAAATAACTAAACAAAGTAAGCATAGTCACTAGTTGCATCTTTTCAGTGGAGCAATGATGCTTCTCAAATCAGCAAAAAATTAAAAATAAAAAAATCCAGAACAGGTGTAATTTGACTAAAAGGAAATAAGCATTATAGCTCAGTAACCTCTATTGGTAGTGCATCGGCAGCTAATGCACGATCATCAACAACAAGAGGATTTAAACCATCAGCAGTTGCAAGCTCATGAATTCCAGCCAGAAGCGGCCGCCACCTCCTCAGCACAGCAACAAATGGTGGTAAGATACCCTCAAGGTACTGTTTACGGAGAGGTTTCCGGTCTCTGCTAACAGCATGCCATACCTGTGACATACATGTTACACTTAGTTAACCATAAAAAGAATCTGCACAAATAAAAACAGCCATAGCATCCAGCTGCTTGAGCAAGTGGAAAGGCAGAAATAAGAAACCTGTTAAATTACAAATAAAGATCAGAATGGATAAAAGGTGAGAAAATAACTACATTCATAGTCTAGTGATATACGTAGCAAGACAGTTTAATGCAGAACTAACCTCAGAGTAAAGAACACAAGATGCAACCAACACTCTCTGTCTTTTTGAATCAGAAATTGGCATGTTCAGAACAGGTGAAAGCACACTGCAGATGGATAATATAAATTCGTTCAAGAATCACATACCAATAGCACATGGAAGTGAACAGCAGCCAAAAAAAAAATTATGTTAAAAGAGTTGAGGAGAACAGAAACGCATGTAAAAACGGTTACAAAAGAGCATCTACGCAACACGTTATCGTGAATATGAATTTGAATAGATGAGAAGAGAATGAACAGGAAACACAAACACACACACAAAACAGTGCGCACACATAATGAGAGAGCTGAATCACACTGGAGAACAATGATGTTTCTTACACCCCATAAAGAAAGCAGGACTCACTTTGCCCAGCAAGCATATAAACTATTTATCATCAACTACCTATATTGGTATATTGGTTAACCTGAACAAAAACTGTAGAAGGGTCGAAGAACCCTGGAGAAGAAATGGAGAAGCAAAATAGTTGCTATATGGCACATTATCTGATAATGTTCTGTATTCATTAGCGTAGAAGAAAAACATTGAATGCCTATTCTGGATGATGTAGGTGTCCTTGCAGTTCATCCACTCTATAGTACAAGTAAGCCCAGGCAAAACATAAACTGCACTTGCTGCCCGCTATAGATAAACAACATCAAAAATCATACTGAAATAAAAAACATTCAGGTTCTACGTCGTAATAAAAAACACAGGACAAGCGTCTCCAAACTTTTAAATACACTTTTATCTGGAGAGGTGAAATAGGCAACAAAGCTGACCATAATTTCAGATCAAATAAAAAAAATCCCAAGAACGTAAACTAGGAGGTCCATCCAGTATGATGCATCAACCAAGTCAGTGTTGACTTGAGCAAGTCTCACGGGAGAGCCTACAATAATCGCACAGGGAAACACGCTATCCAGTTCAGTATAAACAATCAAGTAGCTTGGTTTCTTGATTTAGTTCCTCAGCTCCAACAGGTTGTAGCTATGACATGCGCCTAATTATTCTTTTAAGTAATTCCTATCCACGTTCCATGTGGATTTACAACCACAACTTATCTGTATTGCTTCATGCAAAGAGAACTAAATCATTGTACTTGGAAAAGAAAACGAAAAATGCGGCATAAAAGATATGACAAAAAAGAGTTTTCGATGCAAAAAAATATGAGGACGCTCATACTATGTTAGAAGAACCTCTAAGATTTCTGAGCCATAAAAACATTTTCAATTTTCTCACGCAGCATAGGGTTGTTGGTTGTTATAAGAAAACTTAAAGGAACATTTCAATGGTAAAAATTGCATTCTATTCTTTACATCTGATAGAAGTTTGGAAGATCATTATTTTATAAGAAACTTAAAGGAAAAGCGAAAAGATCAAACAAAAAACATTTAAATTACCTCCACAGCAAAGCTGATCGTGGTTGTCTCATTGGCATTCGAGCACTGTTTTCCAAAGACATGGTGTTGCCAGCTTGTCGGTCAAATCCTTCCAACATCCCATCCTCCATGCTTACATTCCGCATGAGCATACTGGTTTCCCCATTGTCCTCCTCTCTCATAGACAGAAGCACCATACGGAGCATGCATAGAAATGGTTGGTCGCTATCCAATAACTGATATAGTGCTGCCATTCCACCCATTCCAGTTCCAGATCCTCCACCTATACCAAGACCACCACCAAGTCCAGACTCATCTAATAATAGAGCTTGAAGCATGGCAACTGACTTTTTCACCAAAGGAAGTTCAATCCAGTTTCCATTTGCATCTTTTTCTAAAGTAGACCTCCAAGATTCCCATCCACTACCACCACCACCAAAGGGAGCTGTTTTCGAAGACAGGCCAACACCATACCATAGTCTGCTCCTAAATTTCCAACCCTCAGCCAAATCCATCGTACAGCTCCCATAGGACACAAAAGCACATGAAACAGATTCATAAGGCTCAGCTGCTGCCGCTGCAGTAAGACGTTCCATCACACTAGCAGAAATTTGCCCATTTGCATCAGCCATTGAAGCAAGGACCTTAGAAAGTCACAGGTTAGCGCATGAAACAGAAAATTTTAAATTCTATTAACTGAAAAAAAAATATATATATATATATATATAGATGAGCTGACAAGACATCCTAAGAATTAATCAGCATAAAGTTCATAGCTCTTCTGCTGCCAAGAGCTATGACTAGAGAGCAGCCAAGCAGAAGGGGAAAAATAAAAGTATACATACATCAAGAGGGAGTCCCCCAGAGTCACTAGATCTGCGATCACCCAAAGCTTCAAATGAATCCACACCAATTGATGCACTTGAGCGGTCATTCAGGGGAGATACAAGAGAAAGTGGAGATGGCGAACTGTCAGCAACACGTGATGCACAAGAAAGTTTGCTTTGTAATCGTAAGTGATCTTCAACAAGCATTAAAATAACAATAGCATTTTCAACCAATGCCACTGAAAGCTGAGCAGCATTGTCTGCTTCCAACTTAGCATCTTTTGGTGGCAAACCCTCAGCTGCAACACCAGCAGCCGCTGCAGCAATTACTTGAGTCTGCAGCAAAAGAAAAGTTTGATGTGGAAGCAGTGCACTTATCCTCTCATAATCCAACCAGAAAAGTTGAAAGATAGCTGTCATCATTCCTATCTTTTAAGAGTTTCAGGTAATCAAGCAGCTATGATGGATGCCACATAATGCAAATACATTAAATATAAAGTTCGCTATGGCCTTGCAGAGTTCTAACTCTCCACCTACCCACACAGTCTTTGAATTGGATGCAAATGATAACAAATTCACTGCACTCATATTTGTTTGGTTAGGAAAGTTTGTTGATATCGTAAAGCATGTTATGCTAAAGTCTGGTGGTTTGTGCTTGACAGGGAATTAAGAATTGGTAAGTGTGACATTTTGGTATGTCGTAATAAATAAAGTGCAACTCTCCACCTGATAGCATAAATTTTGGATGTAATACCTTAAAACATCATATCAGTCATCATTAGGCTAGGTCTCGTTATCGTTAGACCACGTGCCACTCGGCCACAACTGGATAGAACTCTGGGTGAAATGAACTGAGTTCCAATTGATGCCAAATTCATAAAATGGAATAAGAGATAGTTGACAAAAACTAAATTGGAAAGCAAATATAGATGAATTCATATTAAAAAAAAAAAAAAAATTCATATGAATGCTTTAAATTAAGATCAATGTGCAATTGGAAGTTTTGTCCTGCTCTACTTCCTCTCATTATGCAAATTTATCATACAGATACAATTTTAGCTTTTGGCGATACTCTAACATACTTCTTCTATTTGCGGTCAAACCTATTTACTCTTTTTAAAAATTGAAGACTCGTCCAAAATGAAAATCCAGAATGTATCAAAAAATGGCCTGACCTAACATTCCCAAAGAGCAGAGAAGTACAAAAGTTACCTGAACCTGCAGTTCTCTAGCAGCAAAGTCTAGCAATGCACCCAAGAGCCTTCTTTTAAATACAGGCAGTGATTCTTCGCGCCTTCAAATTATGAAAAAGATTAACCAAATAGAGAAATCGAATATTGACTATTAGGTATCATCAATAACAGAGGAATAATTGCTGTAGCTCAGAGTTAATGATTGCAGCAAAGGAATAAAGGATCACATAAGGCTAATGTGAAGTTCAATTGGGAATTCTATAGACATCTGGATAACTACCATACGGTTCATGTAGTACAATCAGTAATCATAGGAAAAAATTTCAGTTAAAACCAAATGGGCGAACTCGTTGGAAATCCACTAAGACAAGAATATTTATTATCAGAGTTTGAGTCAGCAAAAATAGTGACAATCATGATTCAAGGAGTTAACTGAACCTCAAAAAAGAATAAACCAATTTGAACAAAAAGGGAAACTTCCCAGAAGCAGGCCAGTAAAATAAGGGAATACCTAACTCGTTGATCACCCGTGCTGGATCCCCCAACAATAGAAAGCCATTCTGCACAATGAATTGTAGCTTCAATATCCTGTAAAGGGAAAATGAAAACTGATGTAAGCAGAGTTTAAGGGGAACACATATCAGAAAAGCTTTAACATGTAGAACGCAAGTACAAGTAAAAAATATTGGCAGTTACAGTTTCATAACAGTGTGTATCAGATATTTACACTAGCAGTATGGCTCAAGCTGCCACATAATAAGCACCATTTAGACCTGTGGTTTCATAACAGTGCATGTTACAGGTATTTACATGAGGGCAATTACCGACAGCTATGGTTATGTAATGGCCGTAAGTCCACAACCAAAATGCAACAGTGTCCTTAATTTAAAACCATAGGTAGGAATGAAGATCAACTTCCAAAGAAAACTTTATGGTCGTTTATGACTTGCAGGATTCTAAAGTCCTTAGAATTTCAGTATATTGCAATTGTCACCAAGCTGATAATTTATGAAAGTAATTCCAAGATATCATTTTAAATTCTGAAAAATGTACGAGCTGATTCCACATTGATGCTTAAATAACTCTAGTCAAATGCAGAAGAAACTATAAACATATTGAATAGAATCAATGATAGAGAAAGGAAAACATAATGGCTAAGCAATTAATATCAAATGCAGGATGTCTAGACTAAAAGTCCACAGAGCACATCTTCCAACTGGAATGGAGTAATATTACAAATACTCTAAAACAGAAGGCACATTTACTGTGCACTTACTGTGTCCTTTCACTGTTCAATGAACAGTGTTTTTCAAGCTGCGTTTTTTTTTTTTTTTAACACTTACCTATTAACATTTTTTTCCCCACTGCCAGCCTTTCTTCAACTTTTTACAAACAAGGTTTTTTTTTTTTTTAGTTTCACTGAAAATGTTTTTTCCCCCTTTGCTTTTTTTTTTCCATTGATTTAGGTTTTTTTATTTAATTTTTTAAAATTCTTAGGTTTATTTTATTTTGATATATAAAATTTTAATCCTTTAACTAATGCACTACACATGGCTTTTCTTTGCTTTTTTCATCAATTTATGTTATTTTGAAAAATCAATTTTGCTTTTTTTACCAATTTACGTTCTTTTTTTTATTTAATTAGGTGTTAAAATTTGAAAAAATCAATCGTTAATTTTTTTTTTAATCAAACTGACTATTATATAATATATACGATATTTTTTTATATATTTATATGATATATATTTTTTTTACTTATGTGTTCTTTTTATAATTTTCATAAATTTATGTTTTTTTATTTAATTAGGTATTTTATCTACTCGTATCATTGTGCGAGATAATTTCAAAAATTAATGCTTTCATCAACATTAAATAAGAATTTTTTCTCATTTGTTAATTTTGTAAAAGTCTATCAATTAATTATAATTTTATTTCTTGGAATACAATATTAAGAAAATTATATTTTAAAAGTTTTTTTAATTCTCGATTTATATTTTAGTTAAAATTATTTTTTTTATTTTAAAATGAATCCATAAAGAAGAATGATTTATGTTTTTTTCAAGCAGAAAATTTATAAAAAAAAATTAAGTGAATAAAAAATTATAATTAAAAAATTTTTAAATGATTTTTTTCTATCGAACCCACAGCATAGCGCGGGAAGGTGACTAGTAATTACAAGAAAAAGATAGAAAAACACCCACCTTCCAACCATCCTTCTGGCGCATTGAGTGCTCTAACATTATAATCAAAAAGTTGTGTATGAGGTCCTCTATGTCTCCTAAGCTTGCCGAGTTAGAATTTTTGTTTGCACCCATCTGAAACACAAGTAAAGTAATTGAAATTACATATATATATATATATATATATATATATATATATATATATATATATATAAAAAGACGAAGAACAAGAATTAAAGCATGACCAAATTAATTTAAAAGCACTCTATTAGAAATTTTTGTTTCAACCCATCTGAAACACAAGTAAAGCAATTGAAATTACAAAAAAGAAGATGAAGAACAAGAATTAAAGTTTGACCCCATTAATTTAAAAACCCTCTATTAAATATGAAGCATTTCTACCCTAACTAGGTGTCATGCCCTTACAATATAACATGTAAGTATAAAATCAAAAAAACAAATCAAAGAACGATGTTAGATAATGTTACCTCATAATTAGAGATTAGAATTTCTAGAAGCCACTCAGGCCATTCCTCCATTTTTGTTAGACTGCTTCTGTTTTCTGGATGACTGCAAGCCAAAAACAGAAGATCCTGAAATCATATAGAATGCAGCTGCTCAGAAACTAAAAAAAATACAGAGGACCTTGATCAGGAAAACTAAAACCATGAGGTTAGAAAGAGAATTTAAACTACGTATTCAACTTATTGCATCAGGAAAACTATTTGTGAAGGAGTTCCAGTATAACTACTTCTAGCAATTCAGCACATCATGCATTTCCTCAAACATTAGGTGCAAAACATTTGTAGTAGAAATTAGAATCCACAAAATATTATGAATAAACATGTTGACTAAAATAAAACTAATCATTTACCTATTTGAAACCAACTGAAGTACTCCTATTAGCTGATCAGCTAGAGGTATGGAGAAACACACTATAAGATGCAAGAACAGACTCACTGAAATATCTTATGGACTATTGAGAAATAGAATGCTATTGACAATTATAACCTTGCAGCTTCATGTCCTCCAGTATATTCCAAAAACTAGAGAATATATCGTTCATTGTTAAATCTTGAGTGTCTAAGACGGTTATCAAAATAATATATAATAAGGAACTTCTTGATTGTCACCGCTTCAAGAAAATGTTTTATGGAGGGGAAGGGGAATGGAAGTTAATTTTTATCTTTTCCTCCAAAGTCTCATCCCCCCAAATTAGGGATAATGGAGGGGAAGGAAATAGCTTTATAATTTTTTTATATTAACTCACTATTTTAACCTTATTACTTTTTGAAAAATCCAATTTAATCATTTTAGCAAATAAACCCTTTCAGCATTATTTGTCACTTCATCCCCTCACCTCCAACTAAAAGGGCACTAGTGACATGTAATATCTATAACCTTCCATTCTCTTTTCTATCCAAAAAGGAAAAAACATTTCCCCCGGGTAAAAATTCTCCCTTCCCCTCCCCTCCTACCACAAAATTTTCCCAAACAAACAGTAAAAGATAGCATCTCCCACCCTTTTCTTATCATATGCGAAATGATTGAAAATTAGCACTCCCTTAGATTAATCCACATCTGGTGTCCACCTTTAATTTTCAAACTATTTAAAGAAAGGATACTGCTAAATTCACCAATCAAATTGTTATTCCCACCACTTTTTTCTAGACAATTACCAATACACCATCCACTACACCCTTCACCAATTATCAATAACTATTATATAACAAATATTGATGGAGGGTATATTGGTAATTTTCTGGAAAAATGGTGGGAATAATAATTTGGTCGGTGAATTTAGCAGCACCCTTAAAGAAACATTAACTATTACTGCATCTCCAGCATAAAGTTTGGAAATTCCCTTTATTGGGAAATTCTTATATAACTAGGGGTAACTAAAGGTAAGTTTGCAAGGAACATATGACCTCATAGATTAACTTGTGTAGCCTTTTTTTATAACAACACTGAGGTGAAAAACAATGTGCAGACTGAATCTCAGTATGCACAACTTGGGCAAGTATTAAGCTTCATTCTTTTTCATTTTATATACCAGAAACAAATCTGGTTCAGCAATGATCATGAAAAGCCAAAAATGCATGCACAGAATCATAGCATGACACGCACAAATGGAAATACCTGCAATGCTCGACTTTGCAAAGCCCTAGATGCATAAGGGAGGGACCGCAACAGAACCAACAGAAGTTGTGAATGTTCAAAGCGATGTCCAGAATCATAAAAGTTTAGCCCCTCCTCTGTTGAAGAAGCATTAATCTGAAAAGTAAAAAGTACCGATTTACAAGATATTTTTTGAAGTTTTGGCGAATATAAAACTTCATAATGAAACCATCATAGCTGAAAAACCTTAAACCATACATTTAGAGTTTTCAAGACATTTACGAATAACAGACAATCAGAAATCTTTACAACTAAGTGTAAGGTTGCATTAAAGGATATCAGGCACTAGATCAGAACAATACAATGGAGTCTCTTATTCGGCTTTAAATGTGCTTACTGACAAAAGTTAAAATAGCATTTTTACCATAAAATATGATAAAGTACTTACGAAAGAAAGAAAATCTTTCTTATGAAACATTTAATCATGGAAAACAACATCTGACGATGAAAAAGACCAAATGCATTATTATGCATGCTACAATCTGGTGAATTCATAGAATGCTTGTGATTGATGATTGAAAGGCAGTTATTCCAAGTGAAAAAGAAATACCAAGGTGCACCAGCAATGCAAACTACCAATCTTAACTTCACCCTTGGTACAAAAAAAAAAAGGCACGAGCATCTGTTTTCATGTATGCACAAAGGACATGCCTATGTTACCTCAATGGACAAAGCATGTAATATAGAATTATGGTCTCCTAAAGACACATACTTCACAGAGAGGAACAAAAACCAATGATGATAGAATTACTAAATCTTTTGAGCTTTCGTTGATTTGGAATAAAAATCACATCAAAATTCAAAAAGATTTAGCAAGCAATATTACAAGGAAAAACATTCCAGGGTTTGTATTTGAAATCATAAAGAAACATTTATGGATTTCTATTTAGCAATGACAACAAATAATTTTAATTAAACAAAACTATTCCTTGATAAACAAGTTCACAGGAGTGGATGAGACTGGAAAAAAATTACCGAGGCTGCGAATAAAGCTGTGTACACAGTGGTAGTCATAAGCCTATTGGGTGCTGCCTGGAAAGCCTTCTGTAGTGCAAAAAGAAGTAGAGAAACTTTATCCTCAAACATTGTGCCACTGCCATCATGTAGGCCACCACCAAAAAAGTTGCTAGTAGTATCAGAGGGTGCATGTGAACCAAATTTGAAATTCCCAGAAGTTACAAGAGCACCAACTAGCCCAATAATTGCAACAACAATGCCGTCACTTTTATCAACATTGTAAACATTATTCCTTGCATTATCAGCACTGATAGAAAGGCTTATGCCACCCAAATTTTTAAGAAATGGGTTTTCGGAAACAGATGACATCCTTTCAATTTTCATTCCAGGGGAAGAAATGGTAGGACAGCTGCCAAGACCACTATCTAAAGGTCCAGATTCATAGTCTTTATCCTGGGAAATCAAATCCTTTTCCAGTTCATCATTCTGACTTCTTTCCGATGTACCATTACCAAGATCTAGTTCAGTTTCTTGAACTGGTAAGCTATCACCACCCTTCGCCACTGATTCTGGAATGCTCTGATCACCAGCTTTTGCTTCTCGCTGAAGCAGAACAAGAAGTGTTTCTATACCACCACATGTTATGAATGACTCTGCAAACATGTGAGCTCTAGCTGTATTTGGCTGTACGACTAGTCTGTAGATAAGATTCAAAACTCTGGCAACCTGGAAGAAGATTTTTGCAGGAGTCATTTTGGATAGATTATAAGCAAGAGGCCCCTACTAATGCCATGAAATAATAAAATGGACCATATAATATATCATGTCTATACAGCAAGCTTATGGACATGAATCTTATTATTTGAAAAAAAGCAGACAATGATCATAATGAAAACCCATATGGCAGGCCAATAACAGCAATTATTGCTCTCTAGAATTGGAGGTTGGGGAAAAAAACAGAGAGGAAGAGAACAAAATCATGAATATTAAATATGGGAAATACTGACTGCTGAAGTGACTGATATGCATATATGATCATAAGCAAAAAATATTTTTTTATAAAGTAGCTCACCTGATTAGGTTGAGGGCAATCCACCATGAACCCAAGTAGACAACGGAGGTCATCTGCAGCCACTGCAGGAGCTGCTGCTCCTATTAGAAGTTCTACGATCACTAAGAGTTCATCAACCAAAGCATTCAATTCACCCACTGGACGTGTTGCCTCATTCAAAGAAAACGTATTCACAGAATCCTTCTCACGAATTGTCCAATAACATCTTCTGCAGCCATCAAGCAGCATCTGAATAGCATTGGCATCTCGCATTACCAATGACTCTGAGAAAACCATGTCTGCTAGTGAGGACAAAAGTTTCTTTTGTAATCCATAGTTGCATAAGCTCCAAATTCTCAGATCCAGTAACAGTGTAGTGAAAAGCTGCACTTTGAGTGCGTGATTATGCTTCTGGGACTGGCATAAAGAGACAATGGCCGCAACAAGTTCCTCATCTCCAACACCATTGCGATTCCCAGCATCCAGTGAAGACAAAGTTTGGAGAAGATAATTTAAGATTTTTGAGAGAACCTCAGGCCCTCTGGTACGACACAACTCTTCATTGTTCCCAGGGTGTTGAATAGCTATGGAAATTATTCGGAATACTGGAGCAGCCAGAGTAGCTGTGGCCAAGTTCATGGGAAGATTTCCTTGTTCTGGTTCCAGACTATCTCTATGCACACTGCTTACTGTCAGAGGAAGTAAGGAAATGGGGCCTCCATAAGCCAAAGCCCACAAAGCCTCCACCGGTCGCATTCGTGTGGCAACATGGACTTGTCCAAGAACTTCAGCCGGCCGTCGGAGCATGCCTTAATGAACATAAATAGAAAATTTAAGAAGTACAATATGTGTGACCAAATTATTTAGGCGGCCATCAAACAGACACAAGTAGATATTACAGGTTTCAGTAAAATTGATGCTGTAGCCCTCAACTAAAGAAATTCATAATACTTATCATCACGTGATTTGGGACTGACTCTGGCAATAAAATAGTGAACCAAATGGAAGGCAATTTAAATTGGGCTTAAATGGTTAAACGATAAGAACAATAAAAAAAGGTGAGGAGAGAGAAAAGAAAATAACTATCTTCTAACTCTACTCATTCAATTGTTTGTTGCAGTGAAAACATAAGGATTGGGTAAAAATTGACTGAAAATAAAAAAGACAGGCATAGCTGCACTATCAGAGGCATCCTCAGAAATAAAATCCTCTTCCAAATAATGATAGAAGAGGCACCATGGTATGTGCAACAGAAAACAAGAAGAAAAAGGAATGGAAATAATTACATAATATACATACCTGTAGCACCAGAAGGAGAAGCATCAGGACAGAAACGCCCACTAAGCAAACTGGGGTGATAAAGAAGGTGAATGCACCCTCCAATCTCTGCATCCAAAAGTGAACTTTCCTCCGCCATAGTTTGAACACGGTCATTTGTAGCTCGCCAAGGAAGCCCTGCAGCATTACCAAAACGAGGCAGCATATCCCCTCCTCTAGAAGCTAAGCGTGTCATCCTTTCGGGACCGATTGGCTCCTTAAAGATATAAACAGGGCCCATCTCAGCAAACAAAGGACACTGCCTCCGACGACGCTGTAAACCAGCCATTGTAGGAGGAGGGTTTGTCCCAATGCAGCAAAATGCTAGTGGCTTGGAGATCCGAGGGAACTCAAAAGGACGAGTTTCATACAAGGATCCATCAATATACAATCTAAGTTCACTCTCTGTTTTCCCAATCAGTCCCTGCTTGCAAATATGCTCCAAACCAATAAAGTACCAGCATTGTGGCTTGAATGCATGAGTGAAATGCAAAGATGCCTTCTTTCCCTTTCCACTACCACTTTCAACAACCAAAAACTGAGCATGAAAGTAAGCCTCTATGCCCTGGTTATCAGCAGATAAGAAACTGAACAATCTAGGCATGTGGGCCGTCCCTTCACCAGCAAGCGCACTGGCAGCAGCTGCAGCTGACATAGCAGATGATTTTCCTGACTTGGCTGCTGCAGCAGCAGCAATTGCAGCTGCGGCAGTAGCTGTGTTCAATGTGTCTGCAAATGATTCAATATAGATCCATGTTGCAAATGCATACCCATTGGTAAATGGCCAACGACTCTCTCCTGGACCAAGTAAACCAGAGCTTTCACCATCAAACTCAAAAGTAGATGCTGGTCCCTTTGACTCCTTTCCACCCATTGCCTTCTCCAACGCTAGCGTTAAGCGATACGCCCATGAAGTAGTCAGCGTTCTCGTAATTACTTGCAACCATCTATGCAAATCAACAACATTAAGTGAATGCCCTGCTAAGTATTGGATACAGTAGCATAAAGGAGTCCCATCCCATCTCATCTGTTCTGTTAACCCACCAGCTTGAACAAAGATTTTCTCTGCTGTCCCCAAAAGTACACCCAACAAACCAGCTATAGAGCACATAGCTCTGTTTCTTGTGCAAGCTCGTAGTATAGCTAGCAACCCCCTAACCATACGTGTCCTAGGGGACATGAAAACCTCACTGTCATCTGCCCAAGGAAGGCAAGGAATAAGCTCACCTGCCACAATAGCTGCCCGAGAGTTCAGCATCACACTAGGAGGATTATGATCCTCGTCCTCAAAACTTTCAACTCCACCCATTGTGGCCAGAAGGGAATCAACAACCAAGAATGCAATGCCCTCCGCTTCCTCCCCACTTCCAAAACTCTCAACTCCACTGACAATGTTCTTCAGTTTGTCCAAGCTTTCAGGCTTTCCCATTATAGCAGAATCCACCAAATGCAATAACTCTGGGGATACATTTGGCATTGCAGCTTTTGTCTTAGCCTTTTGTGGAGAGCCAGTTGGTGAGAATCCATCTATAAAGTAACCAGAATCTAGACTGGTTGACGAGTGTGACTGCTTAATTGCAGAACCAAATTGTCTCTCTGGCCCAGGGCTCAATACAGAGCGATCATGTTGAATTTCCATGACCGGAGAAGAATCATATTCAGCACCATAATTACTGTATGAATTCGGAGAGACTTCTCCAAACCTATCAAATGAGAATCTCTCACTCTCTGAATTCGATGGTCGGTTTGAATCAATATTACCAGCTGGAAACTCACCAAAACCCCTTTCTTGATCTTTTAAAGACACCAGTTCAAACTGATCATCATCATCCTCATCAGTATCTGCAGAATCAACCCCATTCATAGCTGGATTTTCGTTTTCTATCTCCACTTGACCACCACTAAGCACATTTACATTCTCCTGACGAGATTCTCCTACACTATCTTCTTCTACGACATTGTCTACTTCCCGAATATCTAGACTTTCTCCGAGCTCCTTCTTTTCTTCTTCTTCTTCCATTCTACACTACTTTTAAATACAACACATTTACTCACCGCATGCAAACCTATTAACCAAACAGACGAAAATTCAAAATTGAATACCATTCCAATCCATCAAACCAATACTACACAATATCAATACTACAGTACGAAATGAGCCTAAACAAATTGAAAAATTGCAAAATAGCTCAAATGATTAAGAAAAACTAAAATTCAGCGGATCTGGCTTCAAAACCACATACATTTATTTTATTAAATTAAATATATACACTAATCTGCTTTTTCACTTGAATAATCACAGCGGGATTTCTTAAATCACCATGTAATCGATCAAACAACTCTCTCTCTCTCACACACACAGCAAACAATATCAAACGAAAGAGAACGAGATGTAAAATACAATGACCAAGCTCGGATCAGAGAAAATTCGCTAATGCTATTGAAATAACAGAGAGGACGCTGAAAATGCGATAAGAATCGATCTTACCTTAGAGAAAAGAATCGGTCTGATTCGATTTGGAGAAGTATACTGGTAATAATTTGATTATTATTTTTGAAAGGATTAAAAAAGAAAGAAAATTAACTTTGAGAGGAAAGGATCGGAGAAGACGAAAGAGGAGGCGAATTGAGCGCGAGAGAAGGTCGATTTAGGAAGCCCAGTCAAAAACAAATGCAAGGCAAAGGGTGGTTAAATTAATTAATGACTTAATTATTATTATTTTCTTTCAAGCTTTTTCTCCCTTTTTTTTTCGGCTCAGGATTTTGAATTTTTTTCATGGCACAAAATCTTTTTTCTGTCTTCCTCACCTTCTACGTCAAGGAAAATAAATATCTACTATCATGTAATAATATTTTAAAAACAAAAAGAGTTTAAAAAACAATGCAAGAAAACCAAGAATTTCCATATTTAGGGCTTCAGAGATATGGGCTGAATTTCCATGTATAGGGCTTCGATATATGGGCTACAATCTCAAAGAAAAAACATATATTTTGGGTTGCCCGATTAAATTCAAGAGGTTCTAATCCTATATGAAAATATGGCCTTTTGGGTTCGATTTCTAAGCGTTAAATGTGTGGGCTAGAAAACACAAATAGTACTGGGCCACTTCGTAGACGAAAACAAAAAAAATGCAAATCTAGTATCATTGAAGGAATATATTAAAAAAATACATATATATATACATATATATATACACAAAAAAATAAAATAAAATAATAAATATATATGTATGTATGTATGTATATGTGTATATGTATGTTTTTTTTTTTTCGCCCTCGACGGCTCTCGATTTTCCGAGCATAGTCCTACCCAGCTCTTTTTTCTTCTTTTTCCTTGGGTTAAATCCTACCCAACCTTTGTTGACAACGGAAATGGTTAGGCCGAAAAAATAGAACCGTATCATTTATCTTACAATTCGGTCCAAGTTAGTGCAAAAATGTTCTGTTGCTGACACAATCTCAAGCACAGTAAAGTGGGCAATGGCAAAGCTACTGCGCGGCCCTGCTAAATTGGGCAAAGCTACTGCGCGGCCCTGCTAAATTGGGCAAAGCCGAAACTGAGCTCAAAGAAGTCCGTGGTCTAGTTCGAGAATCTAACATTTCTAAGTTCCTTTACCTGCAAGCAATAATGAAAGAGAGCTTGATAGTTGCAAAGAGTAAGAGAAATTGTGACTTTTATGGTTAATGGAAAATAAATTGGGTTTGAGTTCTTCACTCTTACTCGACTCGAAAAAATTTATAGCAGGTTGTACCTTTAACCATAGCACTCGTTAGAAAATGTTATACTCCCTTAAAATTGCCAATGGCAATGATTAGGTAATTCTTCCATGCCTTTAAAAATCCTAAAACATTGAAAAGGCACTCAAACGGCAAGGAACGAGATATTCAACGCCGTTTCAATGCCTTTTAAGTCATTGGAGAAAGCAGCTTGATATAAGGAGCTCTTTTTATCCATGGAGTCAATCTGTATATGGAACATCATGTGAAAAAATAAAAATAAAAATTGGTACATTATTTTGTGCCTTATACATTGTATTGTAGATTTATCCCGAAATACTGTTTTTGTAGAACTTTTGTGGTTTCATATCATACTAGACACAGCGGCGCAGATAAGGTTTTTATTTCAGAAAATTAAAGAAGACCAGCAGATAATAACAAGATTTCAGGTGGGGGGTAATACCAAAGAAAGTCCCGGTAATTGAGGGCCTACTCCAGTCTTCCATAAAAATTATTGGACAAAATCACCAACATAACATGACATGGTGATGGTTCAATAGAAAAAAATGCTATGATGAGATTTCTAATCAGATTGATGGAGTTCCTTGATTTGTATCAAGAAAGTTTCCAAACAGTAATCATGCAGTGCCGAATGTGATTTTCTACTCCAGATCTTTTGTGACATAAACCTTTTGGACCTCTTCATAGCTAGGCCCTGGAGCCAGATTTAGTCACTCTTATAGCTGACTGAGACTGGGAACTTTTGAGTCTGTCCCCTCTCCGTACCCAGGAAAGAATGGTGGCTGGTTGACTGAGCCGGATTAAAACTTGCATTTTTTCGTGAGAACAAACTTCGAAATTTTAAATTTTAAACCAACAAACTGGAAGTGGGCTGAGACTTGAGAGGATACCTGCCTAGGCCATGGGATTTGCCTCGTGTTAACCAACTGGTAAGGGAAAGACATTGTTCACGTTCTTAACTGTCATTGACCGACAGGTAATGAAGATTTTAGTTTACCTTCACAAAGAAAACAGCTCATGCATGACTAATAATTTCTCATCCGTTTTCAAACATTTCACCTAAATTTTATGAAACTGGACACCAACTCTTTATTAGAACTGTCACAAAGTGAAATTTTGCTTCTTCCAATCATACAAATCACATGATCACGTTTCTAACCCACTTATTTAACTAATTTGGTAATCAATCAACGTTCACCCATTCGACCCGTTACAAGCATTAGAAATCTTCTTGCTCCGACCCTGCCCGTTTTCCTTTCTTCAGAATTTGACACCAGGCACAAATTTGCAATTAAATATAGCAAAACATAAAGAAGAAAAGATAGAAATTTTAAACAAGTACCTTTTTTGTCTCCCACACCCACATGCCCCACATTAAGGAATCCCACCACTCTCCTTCCATTTTACCAAACTCGATACTTGATCTTTGTTGACTCTGTACACACCGCGTTCTTTATTAATAACTTGCACAGTTGCAACCAAGTAAACCCTAGACAAGTAAATCAGTTCCTCAAACAGCAGTAAACAGCCATGACAGCAGCTACCATTTTGCATCTAACCATCGTTTCCGTCCTGATCACCGCCGCCACATCCCAGGCTCCTCCCATTAAGTACACCAACCACACAGTTGGTGACAATGCCGGCTGGTTCTTCAATTCCACCACCAACACCACTGCCACTAACTATTCCTCTTGGGCTACCTCCCAAACCTTCAATCTTGGCGACTATCTAAGTAAGTTTCGAATTTCTTAAATCTACGAACAATTGCACAAATGCTTGTTAAATTGTTTTTTTTTTTTTTTTCAGTTTTCAGAACGAACTCAAACCAGACAGTGATCCAGACCTACAATCTGACAACATTCAAAAACTGCACAATCGACGACTCGTCTGATAACGATACCTTCGTCTACAACGGAGGCAACACGGTGTTTGATCAAGCGTTGACCATACCCGTACCGTTGACTATTCAAGGCCCGAATTATTTCTTCTCTGATGCTAATGATGGCATTCAATGCCAGCATGGATTGGCCTTTGTGATCAATGTTGATCGCGGTCTTGGCCTGCCTCCTAGCCTTAACCAGCCACCTCCTCCGCCGTACAGGGAGCCTCCAGGTCCTGACTCAGCTTCTCCGCCGATTACCATTCCAGCCGGAGGAAACGGGTCAGGAAATACTGGGTTTAAAAATGGGGTTAGCGCGCACGTGATTGCGTGTGCGGTTTTATTTGCTTTGCTGGCAGTCAATGTTGGGGATAAGGGTGGTAATTTTTTACTTGTTTGTGCTGGTTGGTAATTAGATACACGAGTCGGCAAATGGGGGATTTTTATGGTGTTTGGCTGTTGATGTGTGGAAGAGCTTTTCATGGATGATCTTATGCTCCAATTTGGAGTACAGATTCTTTGGATGTGCTGTCACCGCTATTTTACAACTGAAATGAAAAGGTCAAACGGATGCTTCTAGGGACCCAATGTATTTTTCCTTTTTATTTTTCTAGTCTATCAAAATGTAAATCTCAAAAAAGTGCTTTGTTCTCCGCAACAGCTTGGGTAAAATTATAAACTAGTCTCTTTATTTTTAAAAAATAAATAAATAAATTTCTTTTGTTTTAAAAATTAATTATTTAATTTTTTATTCGTATTAATCCTATTTAATTTAAATTATTTTATTTAAAAAAATATTATTTTTTATCGATCCTTTTATTTTTTTTACTTATATTTTTCTTTATCTAATTTTAAACAAAAAAATCAAAATAACTTGAAAAAAAGAGAGAAGAGAAAATGATTAACTTGCAATTAAATTTAAAATATAAAAACTAAATAATTAGTTTTAAAATAAGAGAATGAATTAATTTATTATTTGAAACTAAAGAGACTATTTTATAATCAAGATGATTGACTTGAGTAGAAGACGTTCTAGTCGCTTAATCAAGTGGTTTCGAATTCGAGTCCCGGTGTATGTAAAAAATTCGTTAGATAATTGTCCTCTTCTTATGTGTCCGACAAAACAATAAGAGATTAGCTCGGGTTTTTGAGTTTAGGATACCGTAAAAGATTAATAAAAAGAAAAACTACTTTATAATTTACTCCAACCACTTACACCTTTAAGCAATCTTAGCTTCTTTTTTTTTTTGATAACCTGTATAAACAATCTTAATCGTTTTGCTGGAAATTTTTTACATTTGATACAATGATGAATTTAAGTGTAGATTTTTTTCCTTTAAAATTATCTCATGTAAGTAGAAAATGTTACTGATATGGTGGATATAGTTGCATCTAACAAGACAAAACATGAAATATTAATGCTAATTTAGATCATAATTATAAGGAAACTTGATAAAAAGGAAAATATACAGAATTCTAAGCTCAAATCTACGTTGAGTAATTTTGCGAGAGGAGGAAAATGCAACTATAATTGTCTCCATAAAGAAAAATGACCATTTCAATCATGTTATGGGCTACTAAAGATCCATGTCTTTATGTATGCAAACAAATAATTAATAACGAGGAGCTTATCCATAATATTTTTAAAAAAAATATTTGTCTTAAGGCGTTGTTTGATCATCAACAATGGAGAGGAAGGAATAAAAATAAAAGTTTTATTCCTATCTTGTAGTTGTTTGGCTAAGATTATTAATCAAGATGATTGGCTTGAGTGGAAGGCGTTCTAGTCGCTTAATCAAATAGTTTCGAATCCAAATCCTTGTATGTGTAAAAAAATCTTTGGGTAAATGTCCTCTCTTTGTGCGTCTAACAAAATAACGAGAGATTAGTCCGGGTTTTTGAGTTTAAGATACCCTAGAAGATTAATAAAAAAAAAAAAATTACTTTATAATTTACTCCAACCACTTACACTTTAAGCAATCTTTACTTTTTTTTTTTTTTGGTAACTTGTTTAAGCAATCTTAATCATTTTGCTGAAAATTTTTTATATTTGATACAATAATGGATTTAAGTGTCGATTTTTTTTTCTCTAAAATTATCTCATGTAAGTAGAAAATGTTACTCGGTATGGTGGATATAGTTGTAACTAACAAGACAAAAGTAAAATGTTAATGCCAATTTTATAAGGAAACTCGGTAAAAGGAAAAAATATTGAATTTTAAGCTCAAATATATATTGAGTAATTTTGTGAAAGGAGGAAAATGCAACTATAATTGTATCCATAAGGAAAAATGATTATTTCAATCATGTCATGGTCTATTAAAGATCCATCGCTTTATGGATGCAAACAGAAATTAATAACGAAGAGCTTATCCATAATATTTTTTAAAAAATATTTACCTTAAGATGTTGTTTGGTAATCAACAATAGAGTGCTGAAAAATAAAAATGAAAGTTTTATCCTCACCTTGCAGCTTGTTTAGTTAAAAGGAACGAAGTAGGAATGAGAATGAAGAGTGAAAATGAGAATGCGAATGAAAATCACACACTTTATTCTCATTTAAAATTCGAGAATAAAAACAAGAAACAAGAACAAATTTTTTTCTCAAAATAATAATATATTTTATTTATTTATTGTATATTAATTACTTCTTATCATCCCCACAACCACCATCTTTGACACCACCACCACAACCGTCACCACCAACACCATCATTACCACTACCCCCTCCACCACCATAACCACCACCACCGCCATCATCATCATCTTTATTATTTTTACAACCATTATAGTTTGATAAAATTATTTTTTTAATTATTATTTTTATTTGTATAAAAAATTAGATATTAGAAAAAATTAAATTACATTCGATTTCTTATTAGTGTTCCAAACACAGTATGGGAATGTATATATGATTCCGATTCCCGTATTCTCATTTTCGATTTTTCAATTCACGTAACCAAACGACACCTAATAGTTGTGTATCTATATTGTTCGTTTAGTAAACTAAGGTTTGAATCTTAATAATTCTAAATTTATTTAATGATTGCATGACGAGAGAAGGCTACTCCACATTATATAGTTCAAGGGCTACAAAGCTCCCGATAAATAATAATAATAAAAATTTCTTGGGTATTTTATTTATTTATTTCTTTTATTTATTTTTTTATGATGCACTTCCTATCTATCTTGGCTAAAAGGTAATTCTGATTTTTTTTTTAAAAAAAAACACAGCAATCCAAAGCCAAACTAGAAGTGAAATTGATGATGTTAACTTGTTGCTCCATGTACGGCTCATAGTCTCTTTGATGGTCAGGATAATTTGTATTGGAATTTGAAGTTAAAATAATTTTAATTATTTTTTTGTTCGTGCTACATTGCAGATCAAATGGAGCAAATAAAATCACTTAAAAAAATTATTTTAATTTGAGAGTCCGCAACACATTGCGAGTCTATTAAAATATATAGATCAAAGATCAAAAAATATTTTTACACATAATTTTATGGTTTTTCAATAAAAATTTTGAATTTAATTAATTATTTCTTGTATTTTTAATATATTTTGTTCTTAAGAAGAAAAAACATTTTGTGCTTATTTATACATGGATTCTTAAATAAAAAATTATAATAATCTAAAAAGCAAATTTTAATTAATAAAAAATAAAAATAAATATACATGCATTAATAATTTTTTATAAGATTTAATCGAAAAGCAAAGCAACTATTAATGTAAAGAAATTGCATAAAAATTAAAAATAAAAAACCAATTTTTATCTTTATCGAATATTGATAAGAAGATAGATTTTTGAAAGTATGTATTTTAGGGGTGTGTGTGTTAGTATACACGTACACATACACACATATATACTCCAAAACCAATTAATAATATTATATATATATATATATATATATATATATATATATATATATATATATATATATATATATAAAACTCTATTTGAAAAGTAAGGTATCATCGTGGTTTTCTTAAATATTATTTTAATTATTTTATTTTAAAAAAAATTGATTTCAAAATTTTTAAAAATAAATAGTAAATGTTTAATATTTTGTGTGTATATATAGATAGTTAATTTTTAATTAAAAAAATCAAATAGAATTGATTTCAATAAATTTTGATTCTCTAAGTAATAAGTAAATAAAACATATGGATTCTAATTTTTTCTTTTTTAATAAATATTTTTTTATAAGTCAAACATGTTTGGTTTCTACATAAGTAACAATCACTTCCCCATTTTTTTTCCACTTTTTACTTTTAATTAGTAATTAATTAATTTTAAAATTAATGTTTTCAAAAGCTTGAAAAATTTGTTTATCTTCCCCCTTTTTTCACTTTTTACTTTTAATTATTGATTAATTAATTTTCTCAAAAAATTTATACAATACACTTCTAACCTTTAGATTGAACATGTATACTTAGAATAATGGTAGTCTTATCTATAAATTATAAGAATCCATTATATATGGTATATATATTTATTTATTAAATAAAAGAAAATAATCACATTCATAAAAATTTATTCTAAAATTAAAATATAGAGAAAAATAATTTATATTTTTAAATAAATAAAATTTAATAAAAAATAAAAGAAAAAATCATTTGAAATATATTTTTTTATAAGAAATGACAAATTGAAGGGATTAGTTTTAAATAATAAGTGTAATATGATTTAAAATACATGTTAAGTTTAAATTATAAAAACACATCATTAATATTTCTTTTTCGTTGTGCTGATAAAAACTCAAAAAATAATGATTAGTTTTTTTATAATTTCAATATAAAGTTAAATAATAAAAAAAATTGCCAAAAAAGTACGAAAAATAAATCAAGGTAATATGGATCGTGTCAAGCTCGCATCATTGGGTTTGGAGAACTAGGTCCATGCACGAACAGATTATACATACGTAAGCCAACCTTTTATATATATGAAAAATAAAAATGGCAAACAACACGTCGACTGTGTAGTACTAATGAAAGGATGCGTCGTTGTACAACTTCTGCTGAAGTTATGAATGTCAAAAATCTTGTCAGAAAATCAAAGTACCACATTCTGACCTTTGAAACCTAATTTTACCGTCATTTTGAATCAAAACACCAAAATCAATGAAATTGACTCAACAAACATATTCGGAACTTTTAAACACATTTTAATACATTTAAAAAATACAAATATCCAAATCAAATTTAAAAAATAAAAAATATTTGGAGATCATGATCTTCTTTCTCTTATCATTTCATGATTTGAGACCAATATTGTTAATACCTGATTTTTTTCCTTGTTGTTTTTTATTTCTATTTTTATTTTATTGTAAAAATATCAAATAACAATAATAATAAACAAGACAAAAAAAATGCCAAGTATTAAAAAAAAACAATAATAACTGAAACAATTAGCTTAGACTAGTTCTAAAAGTTGGGCTAATTAAAAAAAAAATTGGAAATAAAAAAAATCAATTGAAATATCCCTTAGTAGGGCAGCGCCCTGTTGGCTAGTAACATTGCTCCTCATGCCTAGCCCTTGCAAGCCTAACCTCACGTGCACTCGCAGCCAGTGATCCGTCAGGCAGCCTTTTGCGTTGTCGAAACAAGCAGCCAACCAACCACTTTCCATAAAAAAAAATTAATATTTGATTTATTATGTTTAGCAAAAATAATATGATATTATAGATTGCGTTTGTGCTGGTTTTTGATAGAAAAAACATAGCAACAACTTTATTGCCAAACTCCTTTAAGTTGCAACAACTTTGGCAACTTTCAATGAAGTTGAAGATTTTTAGAGTTATTATAAAATTTAGAGCAACTTTGGCAATAACAGCCGCTTTGATTACTCATACCAATTTTGAAAAGACCTTCAGTCACTTTCGCAAGACCCATGCAAAGTTTTGACAATGGACAACTGCTCTCCTTTCTCGATTAACTGAATAATTTGTTATCATCAAGTAAGAAAAAAATAGAATGACACTCACATTGGATACTTGAACTACAAAAATTTTCGGGTAAAACTTTTATAATAATTGGACTTATTCAAAATGTGAATGAAATTATAGTATTTCATTATTATATTCATGGTTTAAATGTTTTTTTTTTAATGAATGTTGCTTAATTGCTATTACAAACGAATTATCGTGTTTAAGTACATGTAATTTTAATGTGAGTTATTTTATTTATTTTTTGTTTGCTCGAAATGAAGCCGTTAGTGGCTTTGTACTTATGTGATGAAGTCACCATTGACTTTAAAGTCATTTTATATGTTTTCCATTTGCTTAAAATGAAGCCGCTAATGGCTTCCCACTTATGTGGATGGAGTCGCTGTGAGGCTCCCTACTTAATTTTATTTAATTTTGAATTATTAAAATGAAGTTGTCGATAGCTTTCCACTCATATGACGAAGTTGTTAGTGGTTTCAAAATTATTCTATTTGTTTTCTCGTTTGCTTGAAATGAAGTTGTCGATGACTTTCTATTTATGTAAAGAAGCCGTCGGTGGTTTTGAAACTATTTTATTTGTTATTTGCTTGTTTGAAATGAAGTCGCTAGTGGCTTCCCATTTGTGAGATGAAAGCCGTCGACGGTTTCGCAATTTTTTTTATGTGCTTGTTTGAAATGAAACTCATCGGTGGCTTTTCATTTGTGTAACAAAACCATCAATAATTTTTTTAATTAGTTATCTACTCCTTGCTAGAGTCAAATAAAGTGATCAATAATGCTCACTTGCATGATGAAGTTGTCGATAGCTATCCAAATTCATGAATCGAAGTCGTCGATGACTTTCCACTTATGTGAGTGAAGTTATCGGTTACTCACTCGCCGATGCTAATAAAAAGGCTATCTATCTTTATAAACCCATGTACTCATCGGTAATAGGTTGTGTTCACGAAAGATTAGATAAAATCCCAACTTCCCCACCTTTTTCCTTTGAGTAGGAGGTATTGGCCTTAGACAGGTATGAACCTCAAAACTACTATATTTTATATTTAAATCCCTAAACTATCATGTTTTTACATCTTAACAAAATGATTTCATTTAGATAGGCGCAAAAGCATAACACGATAAAAACTAAATTTTTATTTTCACATGCAAACATTGCAGTTTACTTTAAATAGGACGAGATGACGGTGATGTTATATCTCTTTCATGCATAGTCGATCTCTTACTCAAATATTTATATAGACTAATACGTTTAGGGTTACCTAATTCTCTCCGATTAGCTAGGTGATGATTCCTTGTTTGCCTGCGATTCCATGTTCACCTCACAAGCACATGTCGACCATTGTGAACAAAGTTTTCTTACCAAAATAAACACAATGAAACCATAATCAATAATTATAATGGACTCATCATTATTTTCTCTCTCCTCTAACATCTTTTTTCGTTTCTCTCTCGTTTTTACGTCCAAATATCACATTATGATGAAAATAAAGTTGTAAATTAAAAATAAAAGTTTTGAAAAAAAATAAAAGTATTATATTAGCCAATTTATCACTGAAATGGTCTAGAAAGCTTAAAATCGTAAAAGTAATACTGTAAAAGTAAATAAATAATAAATTTAAGTGTATATAAATAATATTTTGCGGGAGGGATTTACCATTCATATGAATAATCAACACCTCATTTAGTTTAGTTATTTTGTTAATATTAATTATTAATACGAGATCTTTTTTAAAATAGTTTTAACTTTTAGTAAGATAATGTCGGGGACGTGATTTTTTTTTAAAAAAAAAACCATATCGGGGGCTATTTCTTTAATTTTAACTAAATACTTCAAAAGCCCTCTTCCAAGGATGCAAACAAGTTGTACCGAAAATCAATAGCTTCCTGCCCCTATCTCTAGCGTGCCAACTTTGGATTTTATTCTCTTTGTCCCCTTCAACTAACTTCCAGTGACTAAAACTTGCAGGCACGTCCATAAATTAATTTCATAAAAAATAAAAAAAGTTTGGTAACCAATTATCCACGGTCGAAGACTCAAACGCACAACACGTACTCTTTTTCTATGTAATTCTCAAGAGGTCTACATGTTAGTTTTATAAACAAATTATAACAACATAAAATTTCCTCACCTCAATCATACAAAAAAGATAAAAAATTGACACTGTAATAACATGGACTAAATCATATACTAGTCCCTCTGGTTTCAATAAAAAAAAAAAATTAATCCTTCTTGTTTTAAAAATTATAATTTAGTTTTTCAATCAGTATTAACCATATTTAATATAATATTATTTTTATTTCATAAAATCTTTTATTTTTTCATCAATTTTATTATATTTTTTTCTATTTTTTAAATAAAAATAAATAAAACAATTAAATTATAAATAAATTTCAAAATATAAAAAAATGATTAGTTTTTAAAATAATAGAGATTAATTAATTCGTCTCCTGCAATAAGAGGGACTAATTTATAATTTACTCTAATATCATGTAACCGGCTTGTACTCTCCACCAAGTTGATGAGATAAATTTTAGGAAACGGATTTTAGAGCATCTAATAGTGTCTATTTTGTAACATATTTTCTCATCCATCCTCTGGTTTTGATATTAATGTCTACATTTAATAAAGTTAAAAGAAATGAATTGATATGGATACATTGTCGTAGATAAGGATACTAATGTAATGTGGAATTAAGGAAAAATAAATGGAGAAAACAATTGGAAAGGAATTTTGTTTCGATGTACGTGTAAACTGTGACCGAGGATCGATCAACAACACAGCAACAATGTCAATGCCGTACCCAATCAACAAAAACAAAACTAGAAGCGGCCAAACAAAAGATCCGAAAAAATACAAGGGCACCACTATAAAGTATAAGCTCCGCATCTTAATAGATATTTCCTAACAAGTCCAACAATGGGTACAGATGGAGGAGGGAGAAGGAGCGCAATTAAAACAAGAAATTGAATGTCATAGTTGCTATAAATTAAATAAAAATGATGAATTCTATGGCTCCCTCCTTCCTGTGGCCTACCTGAGTCCTCAGCACCTCTTCTCCCATTATTATTTATTATTATTGTTATTATTTTTTTTTTGGGTTCATCTTTTCTTGTGGATTAAATGCCCACAACACCCACTCAAAAAAATGAAAGGAACCGTTACTTTCAAGAGAGAGTGAAACAAACAGTCTTCCAGATATCACAGTATCATTACTATCTTAGCGTAAAGGAATAATAACTGATTCTACTTCCATTTTTCTGATCCCTAATTTCTTCAACGTAAATTCAATTCCTCACTCTCTCGATTCAATAATAACAATAATAATTCATGGACGTATACATAGCTGGTTGATTTGATTTTCTGACTTTTTTTTTTTTTGACGCTAGGTTTAGTTGTGTTTGGAATCGGGGAAAATGGGGCTCATTTCAGGGATGTTTTTGGGGATCATCTTTGGGATCGGGTTGATGGCTGGATGGAAACACATGATGCAGTATCGAAGCACCAAACGAGTTGCTAAGGTTCGTTCATTTTGATTGAGATACCTGTCGTTTTCCTCTCTCTCTCTCTCTATTTGCTTGGTGTTATGTCTAGAAGTTGCTTGAATACTGTGAATTGCATTGATTTTGGAAAGTGAAATGCTCGAACTCGAATTTCTGTCTGCAGGCAGTTGATATAAAATTGCTTGGGTCGCTCAACCGAGATGATTTGAAGAAAATATGTGGTGATAATTTTCCTGATTGGATTTCTTTTCCTGCTTTTGAACAGGTTGGTAACTTTGTATACTCTAGTATTTTAAATTGAGTAGGAGCTCTAATGTCTTGTTGCATTATTATTTTGGTACTTTTAATATATTTCTGTGGAGCCAAAAGACAACATATTATTTAGTGTCTTCGAAAAATTACGTTCTGTTTTGTTGTATGGGTGTATCACAATGCGGTTTGCTACTACGTTTTTTTTTTCTTGTTTATTTTATCCTGTCATACTTTGGTTACATCTTGCAGGTGAAATGGCTAAACAAGCAATTGGGAAAATTATGGCCATTTGTTGCAGATGTAAGATTCTTATTTTTCTTATTATGTTTTTCAGCCTACAGTTAGATGTGACTGAGCAAAATTTTGGAACTGCACTTTTGTTTCATGTAAGTTTGATTTTTTTTTAAAAAAAGAAAATTCTATAACTGGTGAATGTTGTTCGTGTTGAGGAAAAGAACCGAACTATCTCTGTCTCCTCTTCTTCTTAATTTATTCTGACCAAAAAGAAAAAAAGAAAAAGAAAAATGGCAAAGGATAAGTATTCCAGAAGAAGCTGGAATTTGTTGTAAGAATAGTAATGCAGATCAAAGATTTTATAAAACTTCAGTGAGCCCTGAAACATGCTTAATATGTTCACAGGCAGCTACAATGGTGGTTAAAGAATCTGTTGAACCGCTATTGGAAGACTACCGACCCCCAGGGATTACTTCTTTAAAGTTTAACAAATTTTCTCTTGGAACTGTGCCACCTAAGATTGAAGGTATGAATCAATGGATGCTCGTTTCTGTTATGTAGTTGATGTGTTGCTGCCACTTGTGTCTGATGAAGTATTCTTGTGTCATTGACATTGATAGCTTTCAACTACGACAGCATTCAAATAATTTAATGCCTGGACCTGTAATTTTAAATAGGTCTTCTGAGTTCTGAAAGTCTTTCTGGCAGTTTAGAAATAAGTATACAGTGTGCACACATTTTCCAGGAATGCTCTTATTTATTAAGTATATGTGTTCTTGCTATTGAAATGGACTTCTTCACTCCTTTTGTAATGTTCTATTGCATTGCATCTTGATGTCCTTTATTATTACTTAATCAATGCAGGCATTCGTGTTCAGAGTCTCAAGCCAGGTCAAGTTACCATGGATATTGATTTGCGGTGGTGTGGTGATCCAAGCATCATTTTAGGCGTTGAAGCTGCACTTGTTGCTTCCATACCCATTCAAGTTGGTGGATCAACTTTGACTAACAACAAATTCTCTTGACTTTTCTTCATCCATTTGGATCTTTTTGTGTTTGGGAGTACTTATCTAAATATTTTTATGGTGCAAAATGTTACAGTTGAAAGATCTTGAAGTTTACACTGTTATCCGTGTTATCTTCCAACTTGCTGAAGAGATTCCATGCATTTCTGCTGTCGTCATTGCTCTACTTTCTGAGGTACACCTTTTTAAAGTTTTAAAATATCTGGTTGTTATCTGGCATGTTTCTTTGTAATGATGTGCTGGTGTTGATGTTAGTACCCAGACTAGTACAACAAATAAGTGGCTTCGATGGATTTTTGGCAATATGAATGATTTCTATGTATAGGAAATATGCTTACATAATTTGGGCTTTACTGAAATAGTTAGGCTCTGTTGGAATAGCTTTATCATATAGCTCTCACAAGATTTCAGAGAAACAGAAATAGAAATCACATTGCTTGGAAATGCCTCTCTTTTCCTTCTGGTGTTCCTGTGACGTTAAATATTTCAACTTCTCCTTCTTCTCTCTCTCTCTCTCTTTTCAAAATTAAGTTCTTTCTTATATAACAGATTTGTTAGTATCATTTCTGGTGGACCTTCAAGATGTTCCAGCTTGAAGGTTGCGCAAACTATAGAATGCTACAATGATGAAATCATATTTAACGAATGATTAAGCTCATGAAGAGTTGAAGTTCTTTGAGTGGTTATTGCATCCAACAGCATAACAACACACTATTCTGATAATAATTTGAAGAATTCATTTGGCAGTATTGATATAAGGTGTTGCAATTGGATGAGGGGTTGTAGTTGAATCGAGAGACAAGTTTGTTCCATTATTTTATTTAACTTCTATAGCATGCTCTATTTGAGTTTGTTCCATTATTTTATTTAACTTATATAGCATGCTCTATTTGGCGTTTAGTGATCGTCATCTGTTGGTTAGTACTTTGAGTTGGAATGAGATGGTAATTAATCATATGAATGTATGCTCTAGGTAATTGTTAACAATATGACAGTTATAATTGTTCAGAAATGACTAATTCTTGCATCATCAATCAGCCAAAGCCGAAGATTGAGTACATTCTCAAGGCTGTTGGTGGAAGCTTGACAGCCCTTCCCGGAGTATCAGATATGATTGATGTGAGTTTTTTCTTCCTTCTATCAAAATTTACATTCTTATGTTTCATTGTCAATTTGGTATCTTTACTCATTATTCTGCTGTTATCCCATTTGGTAGGATACTGTGAATACAATTGTTACGGATATGCTTCAGTGGCCCCACAGGATTGTTGTTCCACTTGGTGGTATCCCTGTTGACACGAGGTAAGTAGCAAACTGTATAGTTTTTGTTTTCAGCTCCTGAGAGCTGTCACAGTATTTCTTAATACATTTTGGTTGCCTTGGTATTGAAATGCATTTGAAATGAATGTATATCCTTATTCTAAATTACAGTAGCAGTTGCGATTGTGATTGCTATATGAAAGACACGATATAATTTTATGATTATAAGTTGCTATGAACAATCTACAAAGTAAATGTTAAAAAGTTGATATATTTGCCTTAAATCCTCATTTTAACACCCCGGGGACTGGGTCTAAACATGAGAAGCACAATGTGGAGTATTGAGACCTGATCTGCACAAAAAATGAGACAAAATGAAATGGGATGGTGAAGAAACTAAGGAAGGAACTTTCACTATGAAGGATAAAAACAAACCACTGCAACCTGCCTGCAGCAGCGCTTTTATAAGTTAATTGCCATATGATATCCATAAAGGTCTTCACATGATGGCTGTTTCACCCTGGTTCTTATGTGATGCTGATAACAACAGGCTGTAACTGAAAATGGAGACATGGGTCTTCTTGCTCTATGGTTCTCCTTTCTCTAACATAATGTAGGCAGCAGAATTGACAAGCACCTGCTGCTCTCTCTTTTGTCCTTTCCTCATGAAAAATTTGGAAAGTTAAATTCACTTAAAATCTAACCACCACTATTTAGTTACTTTATAATTTCTTTTACTTTAATTTCATTTTGTTGAATGAATGCTTGTCTTCTTCTTCTTCTTCTGCTTCTTTTCCTCTTTTTTTTTTTTTTTTTTTTTTGGGAGCTTATGCAGTGAATTAGAGCTTAAACCACAAGGAAAGCTTACGGTGACGGTAGTGAAGGCAAATGACTTGAAGAACATGGAAATGATTGGAAAATCTGATCCTTATGCAGTTCTATTCATTCGGCCAATGTTCAAGGTTAAAACACAAGTTGTTGATAATAACCTCAATCCTGTCTGGAATCAAACGTTTGACTTGATTGCTGAAGACAAGGAGACACAGTCGCTTATTCTTGAGGTTTTAAATCTCTCATACTCCTCATCCTTTTGCTCTTATTATTCTATCTTATCTTTTTCAGAATACTTGAACCCAGATACAAAAATGGAAAAGACCCCTCCCCATTTCTTATGCTTTAAAATTCAATGAAAGTCCTCAAAATACAAAAAAAAATTAGAGGGAGGGGTCTCGGTTTAGGACCAAGGACGATGAAGGAGGAGGAGTTGGTCTTCTTTGAAGATCCTTTCTTCTTTTACTTTAAGTGAATCTATCTTTTCTTTATTGTCTAAGTTGACTTCTCAAGAGAGACTGCCTTCTTCAAGGTGCGGTGAAAGTGAGAATCCAATGCTTGTGTATTTTCTGATGCAGCCCTTACTCTATATTTTGTTTTCCTGACATAATGACGCCAATCTACCTTGAATTTTATTTCCATGTGGGCCCTTATTGTAATTGTCTTGGGGATCTTAGACAATTAAATATTTGTCCTGCTAGAAATATGCACTGAATAAGTATCTAAATTTTCAGAGACTAAACTGTGAGGTCTGCTTTCTTTTCTGTTTGGAAGGGTGGGAGATTAGACCACATAATTTTCTCAGAGGTGCAAGCAAAAAAAATACCAATTTACTGTGTACTTGCACGTACAAGTGACTGCACAGTCTTTCTCTCAACGGCACTTTGTCAGATACATGCATCTGTCTCTAATTTTTCTTCTCGATCCATGCAAGCATACATTTCCCATGTTGGTATTGTATGATTTCTGTGTTTTTATTCTACGAAATGCCAGCCATTATCTTTAGGCAACAAGCAATTGAAGTTGCCAATGTTTATGGAGACCTCCTCTCTGTCCTTGTGATTCTATGGGAACTTAACCTTGTTTTACTCTCTAGAACTTAAATATGACCAATTGGGTTTTGATATAGTTGATCTCTCCTGAAAGAATATTTTATATTATCCTTTACGACAATGTTTATGGAGACCTCTTCTCTCCCCTTGTGATTCCAATGGAACTTAACCTTGTTTTACTATCTGGAACTTAAAAATGACCAATTACATGTGGTTTTGATAAAGTTGACCTCTTCTAATATTGTATATTATTCTTTATGACAATAATGTGATGAAACTCTCTTTAACAGGTCTTCGATAAGGACATTGGGCAAGATAAGAGATTAGGAAGAGCAAAATTGGCTTTAAATGAGCTGGAAGCTGAAACTTGGAAGGAGGTGGAGTTGGGACTCCTCTCATCATTTGATACCTTGAAGGTTAAGGATAAGAAAGATAGAGGAACTATCACAATTAAGGTAGCAAAATACTGCATAATTGTTTTTTATTTTCTCATTTTTTGTTACTTTTGCTTCAACTAGTATAACAGCTGGTGATAATTGGATCATATTTATATCCATTCTACTGTTTCTTGATTCTGTCTATGAATCCCACAGGTAACATAATTTTTCTAGTTTTGAGTACCAATATAAATTTGTCCATTATTTTACTCCATTTTCTCTTTTAGGTTTTATACGTCTCTTTTATTTATTTATTTTTCCTGTGCCAGAGTTATTGGTTGTGCTTATATTTTGCGTTGGATGTGCAGGTCTTCTACCATGAATTTAACAAGGAAGAGCAGTTGGTTGCTCTAGAAGAAGAGAAGAAGATCGTAGAGGAACGAAAGAAATTAAAAGAAGCAGGAGTTATAGGGAGCACCATGGATGCGCTTGATGGAGCAGCATCACTGGTGGGATCAGGTGTTGGAATGGTGGGAACTGGTGTTGTTGGTGGTGTCGGGCTTGTGGGAACTGGTGTTGGTGCTGGTGTCGGGCTTGTGGGAAGTGGCCTCGGAGCTGTTGGCAGTGGCCTGAGCAAAGCAGGAAGGTTCATGGGCAGGACCATCACTGGGCAATCCAGCAAGAGAAGTGGCACCACAACTCCAGTCAATAGTGTGCAAGAAAATGGTGGGGCAAAGCCCCTGTAGTGCCACCGCTGAAGCATGTGAATTTGGCCCCAAATATACTTAATGATTAGCTTGAGAAGTTATTTTGCTTTATGTTTTTCTACTGATGTTCTTTCTGCTATTTTGGCATAGATATTTGTCAACTGTATCATCCTAGTTGAATTTATTTTACGTGAATACGTAGCAGTCTCCTTTAACAATGTACAAAAATAAAACTATTGTTCAGTCTTGATTTCTGCATTGATTTCCCCTTTTTCTGGTAAAGGTTTCCTGTAATGGAGGTTTTTTGAGTGATTCCTGATATATTTTTGCCATCTGGACCCTATCCTTGGTTGGATTTTTCCAAATTATGGACGAGAGAAATACATTGCAATAAACAAAATGAAAACAGATGGATGGGATGAAGCCCATCCTGTACCTCAACTTGGAGAGAACTAAAATCCTGACTTGGTTTACAGGCTCAAAGCCCAGCCTGTACCGACGGTTCTAACTTGGTTGCGTTTTCTTGGATTGAAACGTACCTCTCCAGTTGTATTAAAGGCTGATGGGGCAAAGCATAATTGATGGATTCTGGGTTTAAACAGAGGAAGCCTACTATTGTCGGCTCAACAGATTGAGCCCATGCCTCTTACAACTTATTTTTTATTTTTATGAAACAGCCCAATTCAATTTTTCGATTCAAATACGTTTCAGTGCCCAAATTGAGACCAACCAATAGAAAAAATGAGGCATGCAACTAGAATATACATATCCGGTTATCCCATTACACTAATAAATATATGATCCTTGCGGTTCCATTGCATAGAGCTAAAATCGAAACGCTTTGTGGTGCGCATACAAATTGGTCACATGGGTTGATTGAGTAATTAGCAATGAGACAAAGAGAGATCTTAATTTCATCAATCGAATCCCAAACTCGTAATATTATTCAAGAAAAAATTGGAATTTACACGTAAGAAACACTCTGTTGTTCAAAATAGGCAAGCATTACATGAGATGGCACAAACGACCCTTTGGTAATCCATCCAAAGGCTTTTGTCGTCAAAGATCTGTCCAACTAAAAGTTGAATACTTCCAATACATCACTAATAAGTGGTGCTGACTGCTGACACTCATCACTTGGTTGCCTTGTTGGATGCTTGGCATCATATACCCAATAGTCTCCCAGTCTCATCAAGCTTCTCTACATACTAGTGTGCATTACTGTACTTTTTTGGCAGTAGAACTTGTATATTTTTGGGCGAATCTAAGAAGAAAAGTCCCTAACTTATAGGAGCAATCTCAATTAGACTTCCAATCTATTTATTTTTATCTCTATTAGATCTCTAACCTACTAATGGATTCTCAATATAATCCTTTAGTCGGTTCCAATTAATGAAATTATTAACTAGCCACACTAAACTTATTCCTTAATATCTTTTTTTTTTTTTTTTTGCATCAAATGTATCTCGTGTTATATACTAAACCACACACACAAAACATAAATTTCTTATGGTTTTTTACTCGATCTGTTCTATTATTTTACGAGAAAATTTTCAGTAATTAGAAAAATTATTGTTATCAAAACTACAAGGGATTTGATTAAGAATCCATCGGTATGCAGGAGATTTAATTGAGATGAAAAATAAATTGAAGATCTGATCCATATTGTCCTTCTAAGTTAGGTATTTTTTTGAGGTTTGACTTATATGCTTTTACTAATTTTTTTACCCGCGTTTTTATACAGGAGTATTCTTTTTAGGGTTAGACCAGGATTAGTATTAATTATTATTTAATAAGGTAAGCGCATTCTTTTAGATCATGATCACACCCAGTCTAGGAAATATCACTCCCTGGTCAGCCCCCGACAAGCGTGGGCTATAAGACTCGTAGTAGTAGAAGTAGCATTATAAAATAAAGAGTAGTTGGTGGGAGTCACATGATCTCACTATCAATAGTCCACTGTTTTATTCTCTTTCTGTACTGTTAGATTCCTTTCACGAAGTCACTCCAAGTCAAAAACTACCCTTAAAATTACCTTAATACTCTTAACCTTTTCATCTGACAAATCAATAAACCATGGTTATGGTAGAAAAATTCAGATGCCCTGGTGGTGTTTTGGTATTTGAACAACGAGAAAGCTAATGAAAAGAAAAGGTTTCCTTTGTACGGGTCAAAACCCATCGAAGGTAAAAAAAAAAAAAAAAAAAAAACTCTTACAGAACGAGACTCGCTCTTGGATATTGTAGCAAAAATAGTCAGCAACAACAAACACACGAGTAAGCTTTGAAAACCTGAAAGCAGACAAATAAAACCAACCAAAACTTAGCTACTACTCGAACAGAACTCCCAATTCGTGACACGATTTAGACCTTGTGGACCCCGGCCACCATAGTTTGTTTAATTTAATTAAATAAAATACTCAGATGGCAGCTCAGCTAACTAGCTTCACAATATCATTCGTCCACGTGATTTCGGGTATATCCCACGCTTATTCATTAGAGCGTGAATCACACTTCCCCAACCTGAGACATCAAATGTGTCACGCCCTAACCTATCTATCGTGACAAGCTTAACGGTCTGTAAACTGATAAGTGCAACATTAAATTGGATCCACTGTCTTCATTATCCAAAGAATTCGTTGTTTTACATAGATTTACTATTTTTTTTATTAAATTCAAATACTCCATAATCTACCTAGTAAAATATGTAAGATTGCAAAATATTTTTTCGGATTAACTTCTTTCAAACATGTGTACAAATACTTGAATTCTTATTTTTTTTTTAAAAAAAAAGACTAACTGTAAAAGATTTCCTAAACTTTTGCTAAAATCTTACTTAAAATCCTTTTTTTTTTGTTTTTTTGGTATCTCGAGTTATCTAGTTAAAGCAATCGATCAATTCTGCCAGGCTTCTAATCCAAATAGAAGAAAACAAAATTGAACTTGAAGTACCAAAATTAAAAAAACAAAAATCTAGGAATTAAGTTGAATTTTACTAAAAATTTTAGGGAGTTATTTTACGGATTATCTTTAGAAAAAACTTCCTCTTAATAAATCAGTTAAAATAAGCATGATAGACCCACCTGAAATTCATTTAACAAACAGATTTTAACGGTGTTTAAAGCGGTTAGGGGCGAGGGGTTATACCGTGGTTGTGAAACGTAAGCAAGATTAAAAAGCTATAGAAAGAAAAGAAAACTTAGATTCGTAGCTTCAAGCTACTTTACCAATACACATTTTCCATAAAAAAGCCAAAAGCGCTCTTTATCTGCGCTAGACAAGCATTCAAATAAATAACCTACTCGCTCTCTTTTCTTTACAAAAGGCTCACAGTATCCAATTCACTAAATTCACTCACATGCTAGTTAGATTAAACCATAACAACCCATCCAGAAACAAACACGTGTACTTAAGAGTTCCTCACACATCCTTGTCCCTCAACGCTGCTCCTTATCGTCCAAAAAATAGAGAACCAAATCAAAACAGACCTCTTCTCTCCCCTTCTCTAACAAACCAGTGAAAAAGAAGAAAAGAAATAGTAACAAACTGCTCACTCTGTTTCTCGCTCATGAAAATCATAACTTAAAACTACCCCTTCATTTCCTCCCTGTTTGCTACTATGCCATCTCGTCACCTCCGATCTCTCTCTCCACCATCCCCACCACTTCACCACCGCCACATCCACCTCCTCCCTCCCCTTCTTGCTGGAACACTAACTCTCATTCTAATTTTTCTTATTGTACTTCTAATCTTGTTCTATCGCAAAATCACGCGTAACCGTACAGCTCCGATAACAAAATCTCCAAATCACCACCACAACCAATGCCGCTGCTACTCTTACTCCCTCCTCCGCCGTGCAACCTCCTCATTCTCACCATCTAACCGCCTCGGCCACGGCGGATTTGGATCAGTGTACAAAGCAACACTTCCTAACACCAATCAACATTTAGCTGTTAAATTGATGGACCAAAATGGTTCACTTCAAGGGGAGAGAGAGTTCCATAACGAACTCTCTATTGCTTCTTGTTTAGATTCTCCTAACATTGTTTCTCTCCTTGGTTACTCGTGTTCGCGAAAGAAGAAATTAATTTTAGTCTATGAATTAATGGAGAATAGGAGCTTACAGGAAGGTTTGTTTGATGGGAAATGTGAAGAGTTAATGAGTTGGAAGGTCAGGTTTGATTTAGTGATGGGTGTAGCTAAAGGACTTGAGTATTTGCATCATTTTTGCAATCCTCCGGTGATTCATGGGGATATTAAGCCTAGTAATATCTTGCTTGATTCGTGTTTTAAAGCGAAAATTGGGGATTTTGGACTAGCAAGATTGAAGATTGAGGAGAGTAATGGTTTTGCGGAGAAGAAAGAGGGTTTCGGAGAGGATAATGGGTCGATTTTGGAGGAGACGGAGAGTGTGGGGAGTGGATGTGGAGAGAGTGGGATTATTGGTGTTGGTGGGGTTGAGAGATCGCCGGAGAGTTTTGGTGTTAGGATTTTGGATTCAGATGCGTCGCCGGAGATGGTGTCGGTGGTCTCACCTGAGGTTGGAGTGGATAAAGGGAGCGTATCGGAGGCAGGGTTTGATAAGATGAGTGTTGATAGTGGGAGAGAATTGATTGTTGGAGGGAAGAAAGGTGGGTCGAGGAGGGATTGGTGGTGGAAACAGGAAAATGGAGGTGGTTCGGAGTCGGGGAGGGTGAAGGATTATGTGATGGAGTGGATTGGAAGTGAGATTAATAAGGAGAGACCTAAGCAAGAATGGAATGTCGTGTCTCCAAGTTCCAGTGATAATAAGTTGTTGAGCACGAAAAGTTTAAAGATGGAGCCAAAGAAGCATAAGAAGCGATTGGAATGGTGGGTTTCTTTGGATGAGGAAAGGATGAAGAAGAAGGAGAAGAATAGGAAACCTAGAGAGTGGTGGAAGGAAGAGTTTTGTGAGGAACTTACAAAGAAAAAGAAGAAGAGAGGGCTTAGTTCGAGCAATAGTGGAGATCTATGGTGGCAAAAGGATGATGAATTTGTACCAGAGAGGAAGAAGAAGAGGAAGAGTAAGGGTAGTATTGATTGGTGGTTGGATGGATTTAGTGGTGAATTCAGAAATGGGAGAAGAAATAGCCAGGATTGGGCTAGTGGAGAGATCCCAAAGAGTGGTGGTATTAGTAGCACGCCTAGCATGAGAGGAACGGTGTGTTATATTGCCCCTGAATATGGTGGTGGCGGTCTGTTGTCGGAGAAGTGTGATGTTTATAGTTTTGGTGTTCTGCTCCTTGTGGTGGTTTCTGGGAGAAGACCACTGCAAGTAACTGCCTCGCCAATGTCAGAATTTGAGAGGGCTAATTTAATCTCTTGGGCTAGGCAACTTGCATACAATGGGAAGCTCTTGGATCTTGTTGATCCTTCAATACATTCATTGGATAAGGATCAGGCATTGCTTTGTATTACCATTGGTCTACTCTGTTTGCAGAGATCACCTAGCAAACGGCCTACAATGAAAGAAATTGTGGGGATGCTTTCTGGTGAGGCAGAGCCACCCCACTTGCCATTTGAATTTTCACCATCGCCGCCGTCCAATTTTCCATTTAAGTCTCGAAGGAAGGCCCGGTGAGTTTTATTGGATTTAAGACATCATTTTAATTAACTGTAGAGTGTGTACGGTTGTAGCTGTTGTAGGCCATTTCTAATTTATCATCTTTTGTAGAAATTGTTTGCTGAAATCGAAATGAATATACATATGTTTCATAAATTCAGGTTTGTTAACTTGTTAGTTTTTTTTGTTTAGGCCTACACGTTATGTTTCAACGTTTTTACTTTCCGGAGAGTTATGATTTTTAGGGACAACCACATTGACCTTTGCTTCTACAAGTTGTTGAGTTTTAGGAATCCCAGGATTAACGGTACTGTAAAGAAATAGGCGGTGATGGAGATATCTTTCACTTTCCAAACGGTGATCCCACCTTAAAGCTCTTAATCAAGATATTTGCCCAGGCCCTGGGTGCCAAAGGGAGCAGTTTTTGCTTTTTTATGACTTTTGGACCTAAAGGGACCCAGAAGATATATCCTTTTTTGTTGTCTGCTACCTTTCCAAAGTTATCTAATAACATGAAATTCAGTACGGGGGAACAAATGTCGGCCCAGTCTATTACTCTTGCAAGATGATTTTGCGGTCATATTACATGTATTGCTGTGCTTGTGTTTGCACCGAGCATAATGAATATACTTTGCTTGCTTAAACAACGATCGTGGGCAGAAAACACTCTTGCAGAATGTGTTTTTCCAAGCCTTTAGTTTCAAATACAAAGTAAATTAAACTTTCTTGTTTGAGGGAACTGAACAGGAACATGCCTGGGAAATGAACTACGTGATTCTAAGGACACAAGCTTATTAAGGTCCCCTCAATGCCAATACTTGCTATTTTAAGATGTTATAATTCTCCGCAATTGATTGCGCAAAAGGCATCCAAGGCTTTCGCTTGGAGTGCCAACTGCCCCGGTTTTCCCAGCAAAATACTGGTCAATCTGCTAAATATTTCCTTGGTTTTGTCGAAAGCCCTGTCTAATAATATGAACAGTGCTCGACGTTTCCTTCTGAGCTCTTTGACTTGTGCTTTTTATGTTGTTGATTACAGAATAATCTAATTCGTGTTTGAATTTTGCTTCACGAAGAATAAACTCATGGTGAGTTCTTCCCGAAATTTCAGTGGATTGTTAGTGGGTTAAGAGTCTCTACTCCCTGCTGTCAATTGGGGACCAACTACATTAAAAATTTGTCACAATTTTGTCTTTTGAAAGTCCGGGTTCAGCATACATGCTGTAGAAGATGAAAGTTTTCTAAGCTTTTAACTTAGACTGTAGAGGAGAGCATTGGAAAAAGAGAGGGACAAGTGCATCATTCTGACCTCATTTACTACATGCTGAAAACAAAAGCATAATGCTCCCCTTCCGGTTCGAATTACAGATGTATGATAGAAAATCAATGTTTTATTAATTCACTGTATTGATGTTCAAAAATAGTAACAAAAATTATAATTTTCACTGTATCTTCAGTATCTTGCAATTTATATATCTCCAATTGTGATGCCATTTGGGTACAATGTCTGATGCTTCTCTTTCTCTTAAATGTGATTCCGGGATTTAATTGTAGCCTGATCTTTTTAGTTGATTACGCATTGACCTCATGCCTTCTTTCAAAACTTTCTATAAATCCTGGAATATTTGCTATCCCATTGGTCAACAACCACAAACTTATGATTTTGAAAAAAACGTATAAAAAAGCTGTTGCACGATCACCAGAATTATTAACCATGAAATTTCTTCTGCGTTTTTACTCAAGTTTCGGGCTCCCTGATGAACTTGGCATGTGAATATCAAATTCTAGGGTTCGTTTTGCTTACTGAGTCCAAGGCTGCCTCTGATATTTCACATGGTTACTGCCTTACTGTATCTTCGCAGAAAGTACACGGTACGCTGCAGCGACTATCTAGCTAAAATCCATGCATACACGACCAACCAAAGTTACTGCTGCTAGGAAATAGCGAAGCTGAAATACTTGGCTATGAAGTTTAAAGGCTTCAGGAAACTTGCATTTAAAGGTTCACTGGGCAATTTTATTTCCGTGGTCACCAATCAGATGACACAACGTGGCTCTGAATGGTTTAGAATCTAGCGGCAATTGCCATCTCAACTGATGTACGTACAGCCCTTAACTCTTTCACTGCTGCAAGTATTTATAGTACCCTTTGACATGGTAGAATTTTGGATGAGGTCATGCTTAGGCACCTGGTTGGTCATAATTTGACTTGGAACTGCCTTTCGAATTTTGATGATGATGATGATATATATATATATTACATTTTTTTTTCTGTTTATATTCAACAAACACGCAGTCAATTTTCAAACAAGCATGCAGATGTGGTTGATATTTTCAAGAGCCTGGAGAAACATTTAGGTGGATGGAGATAAAAACTTGGCCGTCATTTTAGGACATAGGGTTACGGGTTTCTACCCACTCCAGCTAGCACACTGCGGATACTATTGGCTGATATTAATGACCCCAGCTGGTTTGGAGCTGTCAGCTGTGGTCCCAATTTCTGTCAATGTGAATTGTTCATTCTCATTGATGGTTGCAGTTGACTGAGGACCGTGAACAAGGTCGGTGTAAAGTCTAAACTCCTGAGATATGGGTCATTGATGGAAGTAAGGTGATCGTTCGGTTTCTAACATCTGGTTCGATTTATTATTAATTGAATATATATATATATATATATATATATATATATATATATAAACTGAATCTCAACCGAATGTTTATTCACGTTTTTTATTTTTGAAACCGAAATTTTGAGTTTTGGTTTTGGTTTTTCAGTACTAACCAAAATTTTGCTTTTGAATTTTGTTAAATAATGTAAATAGATTTAAAAAAAATTGCTCTATGAATTATGGAGTCTTTCCTCTAATCTAAATTAATTTATATAAAATATAATAACTATTTATTTAAATAAAATTAAAGAACAAAAAACATATCACGTAATAAAATTTTTTAAATTAAATACAAGTTCATTAATTAATGGATGAAATATATAATGATAAAAATCAATGATTATTTAAATATGTTATAAATATAACTATCAAAATTCAAATAATAATCAAATTTTTAAACATATTTTTTCGAAATAAAAATAATATTATTTGATTTTTTATAAAAACCTATTGGAAATTTTTGAAAACCAAACTGAAATCAATTTGGTTTTGTTTTTTAACCAAAATTAATTGAAAACTAAATCAAATTGATAATTTAATTTCGATTCCATAAATCAGCTTTGACCGAATAATGGTCATTCCTACCTAGAAGCCTTCCATCCATTACTATGATCTTCTCGGTGCCTACTATTGGAACCCGTACGACAAGGAATGGACGAAAATAATGCACGTAGGGAACTACTTATCTTAATTCTTATGTCATTGAATAATAATATCTTAAGGTTGGGTTTAACATTTTGCTACGAGAAAATTACGAGCTACTAAATAAACAGGTTCGATATCTGTTATTGTTAATTTTAATTTATATTGTTAAGAGATTATCAGGTACTTATAAATACCGTTCCTCTGCTCATTCGAAACTGAGACTCGTGGTCATGGATTCCACTATCATGAAATAAAATTACTAATTCTATGATTTTTACTGCATTTTCTTTAATTTCAAAAAAAAAAAAAAAAAAAACTCTGGCACCCATGGATTCTCCCGAATTAACTTAAATTTAATATTTAAACTCAGGGTCAATTTTGTAGTGATCAGAATTTTAATACAACAACTACCTATTTCTAACTTTATATAACTAAAATTGTCAATTGATTAGACTCAAATTGGATTATAATATATTTAGATTCGATTTGATTAATAAAACGGATCGGATCAAATCATATGAATTTAATTCTAGTTTTTAAAATGTAAACGTAGATCCTAACATATGCAGATCATATTCGATATTTTATCGGATTTATCACTTTGTTTTTTTTAAAAAATATGTTTATTACATTTAATATATTTCTTTAATATAACATGTATTTCAATCACTCGCATGTATAAGAAAATATATTAAAATAATATTTCATTTATTAATTTTGTAAAAAATTCAAAATATCACACAATTCAAAAACACAAAATTAAATAATCTTAATAAAACTTTATCTCGAACTAAGTATATATGAAGTACAATAAAACTAAAAAAATAAATATCAGAATAAATATTTGTCAATTCGAATTTCAAGATGTTGGTGCTACAAATCAAGGTCTGCATGAATTGGACCTTTGTTCATGAAATTATGTCCAAAATATTCGAGTATGTTCAAATAAAAAAAAATCTCTTTTTCTGAATTTATTTAAAAAAATAATTCCAATTGCACAAATCTTCTTTAAATTGCCTCGATTTTTTTTTAATAGGATCTCATTTTTTATTTTCTTCAATTTTGTTTTGATTCTAATCAATGGGTTTTTTCCTTCTAGTTTTTTGTTTTCTCTCGTTTCTTTTTTTTTTTTTAAACAAAAATAGAATGATGATAAATATAATAACACCAACTCTCGAAAGGGCATATACACTAATTTATAATTTTTTTATGAAATTAAATTAAGAAACTTTCAAGAAATTTATATATAATTTTTTTAAAATATAATTATCACTATAAAAGGATATTTTTTTAAAAAAAATTATAATAAATAAACTCTAAACTTCAATCTAGTTTTATATTTATATATTTAAATTTTTTAAAAAATTATAAAATTATGATATTTATAGTATTATTTTTAATTTCAGGTTGGTTTAATATTAAATAAGATTAAAATAGATGTAAATTTAATTCATTTAATAAAATTTAAAAATATTATTTACTAGATCTATTTAATTAGATTAAATTGGAGATAAAATCAATTTGCAGTCCTACATACAACTCAGTCCGAATGAGCCCAATTGTTTCAGTTGCCATGTCTAATTTTAAACCCGAAATTAAATGAAACTGAAATTCCCTGCAGACTGCTGCTGCCCGGTACGTAACAAACTGTAGGATCGACACATGGCAATTAATTTACCTAGAAGATAGCGGAGAAAAATTCCAGGCGTTTGTTTGTGAAAAATAAATTATAAATTACTATTTCAAAAAACCAATTAATTAATTCCATTTATTTTAAAAATTAATTATTTAATATCATAAAATATTTGTTTCCTTCTCCTTTCCTCGTTCAAGTCCTGTCTTCGTGTAAGATGATCTTGCTCCTATTTTTCCACATAATCTCATCGGTTAGAATGAAAGTTATCAATAATCATTGTACTGAGCCTCTCTGTTTGTTTCATTTAGTTGGCGAAGAGGACAGTTTCGTCTTTCAAATCTCTCAAAAACAAAGATAGAGATGAGTGTAAGAGAAACCAACCTAGAAATTGAAACCTGAATAATATCTAAAAAAAAAAAAACACAAATTATTAATGACCCATAACCAATCAATTACGATCCGGTATCCAAATTCCAAAACCCAAGAGATATCGAGCAACTAAGAACACCCTTTAAAACTAAGAACACCGCAACTTCAAGAATTACCGTCCAAAGGTCCACCCATGTTCCAATCGCACCATGGAAATGGATGAAACCAAGAGTTCAGTAACAATGAACTTAAAATCCAAAAGTGGAGATCAAAAACACAATTTTCTATATCAAAATTGGAGTCTATGACAGACGTATTGCATAAGAATTGAAAGAAAAAGAAATTGTATTAGGAATGATATGGTTTATGGGATTGGCTGAAGAGAAATGACGGACTCCATTTTTTAGTTAGGGATGGACTTTTTCAGTTCTAACAGTGCTTGCCTCACCTTTTCCGTTAAAACCATTCATTCGTGGCGTCACAAAAATGTGCCACGTACAGAAAATTTTTGTCCAAACTTAAATCAATCATCATTATTTTTTCGCCCATTCATAAAAAAATTCTTTCTATTACCAATTCAATTCATTGGGTATATTTATATTTGTATCGATTAAATAAGATTTATATAATTAATATAAATCAAAAATAGACTATTCAATCGAAAAAATTAGGTGAATGATAATGTCAATAAACACAAAAAGGAATCGATGATGGTGATAATAACGAAGAAAAATACCAGATAAATTTTAAATTATATATATATATATATATATTATCGTTATTGCACGCTTATTGCTTTCAGGTTCGCATATGGGAGAAGCCAAAGGCCCAGTGTATTAAACCCTAGTGGAGGTTGTGGAGGCAATAAATGTTATGGTCAACCTTGCATTTGTAGTGACCATAAGTGCATATCATTATGTAATTCCCCTGAACCATAGCGACCCACCCATTGGCGCTAGGGTAGATAAATCAGCACATGAAGATGATTTGAAGGGAATAATAATAAAAGTTCATTTTTATATAAGAATAAGTTAAATATTTTCTAATGATATGGTATTTGTCACTATTTATGTTTTCCACTTTGATTTTTTTCTCCTTGAATGACCGTATTTAAAATTTAAAGTAAACAAAGAACTACTAATAAACCATGAAATAACCCCAAAGGGCATGTTAAACGGTGAAATAGCTTCTTTTTATATTTTTTTCTAATCTTGTGAGTTCAAATCTAAAAATAAGCATCGGAATTATTTTTTTTAATACATCGCGTCAATATAAAAAAAATAGTTATTTTAGTTTTGATTTAAGTGCAAGTTAGTATAAGAATATTCTAAGTCTGTAACTCCAGTAATAATAATAATAATAAACCGATAAAATAGCAAATATGGGAGTCTGAATTACAAGTTTTAGCCTTCCCTTTTCCTGACAAAACAAAAAATATCGAGCAGTTGTTGCATGGATTTAGTTTATATAAACTAAAATCAGTCACATCTATCCTCGTCATGCACGATTTGAATCCATCCAAAACAGTAACCATTTATAGTTGACTGATTTATTTTACAAATATGTTACTGTCAAACATTAAGAAAATATGACCAAAAAAAACTAAAAATACAATTGGGTTAATAATGGATTAATAAAACATACAATTGGGTTTTACTTTAAAATTATGAGAAAGAATTAAAAACACAATAAAATTTACTAAACCGACCAACTTAATTGGCTAAAAAACCTCTTCGAAACTCTGTGTCACCTATTAAGCTCTTAAAAACAAATATTTAGTTGCTAGTGTATCATTACCAATGTCTGCGGTACCTTCATTTATTGTCCTCTCTCTTTCATTTTAATTCCAGATAATTATGTTGAGATAGACTAGTAAAGCCAGTAGACCGGATACTCAGACTATGAATTTAATTATAAGTTTTTTTTGGTCTTTAAAGTTTTTAGAAAAAAATATTTTGATTCTTAACTGTTAATTTTTATGCAATTAAATCCTTATATGTTAATAAAGAAATTTAAATAAATTAGTAGGTATTAATAAGATAAAAAATGAATGTCCATTCTCTAAAATCATATCACTAAGTATGTATTTTTTTTATCTTTATTCACTTTAATACTCATTGAATATTTTTAATAGATATTTATTAGATCGAATAAAGCGAGATATCCGTTTTACATCGATACCATTGTTATCTTTAAGATAGACCTTTTGTTACTCGTATCTCTTGTTGCAAACTTTATGTTTAAAATTAAGAGACTAAAAAATTAAGTTGTAGTACTTAATTTAAAAAGTTTGTTTAATAACTTAAAAAACCTTATACTAAAAATTTAAATTCGAGTCAAAATCTACTTAATCGGATAAGTTAAAGTTTTTAACTTATTACTTTTTAATTAACACGATCAGTTGAAAATTTTTTAAAACTTTTCAAATATTATTACATCGTTTTCATATATTCTTATCACTTTAGTTATATAAATCAATTGAAAAATGATTTTTACTATTTTCATTATCTAAATAAAGAGAACTTTTCCATTATCGGTGGACTTTCGCTTCCCATCTCAAGTAACAACTGAATCAATTGTTCCTTGCCAGAACGAATTGATTATACCCAAACTTCTACTGGGGTATTCTTCACTAGAAAGGGCAAGTCTGGAGTAACAGATTGCTAGTGCTATGAGCCCAAGGTCATGTAGCGGCTTCAAGAGTTGTAGCCATGTCTGTGCCTGGACGCTGGAGTCCATAGGTCTTGACACGATAGAGGGTTAGTTTTGAAGAGCATCCATTGTCCGAGGCCAGGAATTCCTCTGGTCCAACTGTCCAGGTAAGAAATAGATCTATAACAGGAAAAAAAATTGAAAATTAAAATATTTATTATTTCAATTTATTATTTTGTTAATTCCATGTGTTTTAAACAAGTGATTGGTTTGTAATAGAAAAGATGGGAAGCGAAAGTCAATAAATTTTTTGATTTAAAATTTTCTTATACTATTATTTTAGTTTATTATATTCTTTAATTATTTATTTATGATTAATTTGGGAGACTAAATTACAAATGAATTGATTATTACTTGAGATTTCATTTATTTTGTGGATGATACGATAATTATTAATGCTATCTTAGACGAGTGTTTTATTTTTTTTATTAATAATCATTTTTATTGAATATTTATTTATTTATTTATACACACAAACACATCTATGTATATATTTTTATTTGTATTAAAAAATATCATATTACAATTGTAAGATTAAAATTGACATACACATAGCCTTAATATGTTCGAGTAACAATACTTATCAAACAATCTTACTATATTCAGCACTTAATTTTTAGTAAATACTAAATAATTTGTTAACAACATTTTCATTACTTAATTATTCAGCATTTAAAATTCAATACTTATTAAATTCAACACTTAATTTTTAGTTTTATTAGACACCATTTCGGTTGGAGTATAGTGAAATGTTTTGATGATGAAGAAAAAGGTATCAAATTTTTTTTCCCAAATAGCATCTCCAGTGATTTGGGCTTTGAAGCCCTTTGAGCAATTAAAAATCCGGCCTCACAAGTCTACAAACCCTGTAAATCTTAAAAATCTAACCTGGTCATTTTCCTCTCTCAGTTGGAGAGTTGGCTTAATAGAAATCTCGTGACACATTTTATGCATAACAACCCTAAATATTATTGTAAGATTATAAACGTTAACAGAATTTTATATGCACATTTTCTCTTTTTAGATATTATTAAAGAAAATTGTTAACCAATGTTCTTTAATTACATCTGCCAAGAGAGAGGACAAAAAAAAGAAAAAAGACAGAACATTGTTGGAGTGGCAGCTGCTATTTTTGGTGAGCAATCTTCAGTTAACACCAAAAAAACCGAACGGAATAAAAATACATATTTCAGTCCGGGTTTCTATTCAAATTTATTTAAAAAAAAAACCAAACCAAATTTTAACGGTTTCGGTTTGGTTTTTTAAATTTTAAAATTGATGTTCACCGAAAACCGAAATATATATTCAATTAAAATTTATTTATATTAAAATTAAGCTTATATAATAAGCAAGAAAGCCCAAAAAGACTACGTATGATCCAGCCCAAAAGGCCCACTAATTATGGGCACAAGACATTTGAAAACTCCAAGCAAACTTAAAGCCACGAATTATGAAACTCACGGCATTGTGGCCACAGCCTACAAGTATTTAAAGGAGTGAAGTCTGGCTTTATTTATAAGCCAACACTCACTCTTCAAAACTAAAACTAAGCAATATAACACTTTATTTAGAGTTTCAAAAACTTATAAATACACATTCCGTTTTTACAATCTGACAGCCTAACAAGCAATCCTACATCAAAAAAGCATAAATTTATGATGGTTAAAGAGTCTTATAAATAAGATCAAAGTTTGTAAACTATATCATTTTCTCTAGGTTTGTCTTGAGATATTCCAATAGTTCCAAATAATCCTTGAACTTTTGTGTTGTTTGTTGATTTCGGTTTATGCCAAAAATTTAATCCGAAATATTTCGAACAGAAATTTGAAAATTTAATTATCATTTGATTCGGTTTGTTTCTCGTTTCATTGTGTTCAGTTAATCGAAAACTGAAATGAAAAATTATTTGGTCACTCCTAGCTGCTACCATATATATGTTAATTCCAAGTTGAAAAAACATATCTTTTTTTTCTCGAATATGATACTCATTTAAGTTTTGTATATTTATTTTCAATATATATAATATACACACAATTAACTATCCCTTTTTACATAACTTTTACTGAACTCATCAACTCTTTCAATTTTTGTCCTTTTCCCCTTTTATCACAATAAATAGAGTAAATATACTCATATATTTGTTTATAATACTCAAATTTTGTCATTTGTTCTTAAATTTCCAATCTCATCTCATCTGTTATTAAAAGTGTTTGAAATATTTAATTTGTCCTTAACATCAATTTTTTATTACCATATAATTTTTTTTATCAAAATATCCTTAATTGATATGAAAAAAAAATTAAATTTTAAATACTTTAAAAATAAAAAATGCACGTCTTGTGACTTCAAGGGGTCTTTTTCTTTGCATTTTAATAAAGAATATTTTGGTCAAAATATTTATCTATGGTAAGAAAAATTAATCTGAAAGACAAATTCAACATTTTATTTTTTTTAAAAAAATAGAATGCAATTAAAAAATTAAAAATAAATAGGACATTTTGAATATTATATTATTAGGATAAATAGATGTATTTATCCTAATAAATATTTAAAATTTTAAAATTTATTTTTCTCATTAGAATTCAGAAGTTTCAGTGAAGATTTCTCACTTTGCTAATTTTATGTTTTTCTTTTGGATTTTACTCATTGCTTGTCCCTGTGATCTTTGAGCTTTTTTTTTTTTTTTTGAAAAACTAAGATCCTTTGGTTTTTTATCTATTTGTTAATGAAGTTCTTTATTTAAGACCCTTTACTCTTTTTCTTTTTAATTAATTCTGTTCCTCTATCCATGATGCTGTAAGTTGATCCGTTAGTCAACGAAATGAAAACAATAAATTATTCACGTGTCCTTTTATAAGTCAAAATATGATGAATTGACAACAAATAATTTTAGTAAAACGAAAATAATTAAATTCTTAATTTTTTGAAAAAATAAAGTTATATAAGTACATAAAAAAAAATTAACAGAAAGAACTATCTAAACCCAATATGATTATATACTCGAGGGAACTTTTTCCTTTACAAAAGAATGGACAAAAAAGATTTAAAATCTTTTTATTTTCAGAAAATTGTCACATTATCTGACTTTTTTAAAAAAAAATTTCTAATTATTAAACCTTCAGAACTAAAATCTTTTTTTTTCTTTTTAATAATTAGATTTTCAATTATTTATTACTGTATCTTTAATTTTAAAACAAAGTGTCAATTATTTAATGGTGGCTTTGTTGACTTAGGAACACCCATTAATGACTTTGCATAACATCGAAGTGCCCGTAAAAACGATTCTAAGAGTAGAGAGATGGATCATGAGTTCCTTTTTCTTTTTGTTGATGCTGTTTTTTTTTTTTTTTTTTCTGTAGGAATTTTATAATCTTAATTATACATAAATATGAAGAGAATGACCTCGAATGATATATATATATATATATATATATATATATATATATATATATATAAGGAAACATAATTAAAGAATAAAAATCTCCTAAGTAAATTAGATGAATAAAAAATTAATTTTTTTACCTTGATCATTAAAAAAATTAGAAATTAAAATCACATTACCACAATTTCATAGTATATAAATGATTAAACTATCAAAATCATTATAATTTAACAAGCTAAAGATGACTAAGAGGTTGATCGAAATTATCAATGTGAAAAACACCAAAATAATTTATTTAAATTTTCTAAATGATTATCTCAAGATACAGTCATGTTAATTTATGAAGGCCTTATTCATAAAAAATTTTGATGTAACGAATCAATTATATGTTACACATCATCTTAAAAGTACAACAAACTCTATCATATTATGGTATTTAACAAGTTTGTATTATACGTAAAACTTAAAATTCAAAAAATATAATACCACTTTTACCCGTGTTTATAATGTAAAAAACAAAAACGAACAATATGTTTTTAGTGGAGCTATAAAGAATACAAATGAAATTTTTTTAAGAACAATTAATATATGTTATTATCTTTGGTCAGAAAAATAAATATACATATCGTTGTATTCTCAAAAACAACATCCTGTAGTATATAGCCAAGGTAAAAGAGTCTTTCTGCAAAAAAAAAAAAAATGATTATAGTAATTAAAATTAAGTGGTAAGAAACATTTAATTCAATATTTCATCAAAAAATAACGATTTAATTTTCTTTTGAAAGAAAATGACCAGCTTTAAATTGTTTCAGAACGTCTAAAATTGTTTTTCAAAAATAGTACGAAGTACTATTTTTTAAAACGGATGCTTAAATTAATTTTTTAAATAATTAATATAATTTTTAATATTTTATTAAAAATATTTCAACATTCCTCCACTATTTTTTTAATCAAATATTAACCATGTTTTTGGTTAAGAAATGAATATAATACATAATAAAAATACTATTAGCTTGAATCATTACTTGATGTTTCAACAATATTGTTCTTGAGCCAATAGTAAATATTATCTTTAACTAAAACTTTTCATAAAAAAAAAACTAAGTATTATCGTATATATTATATTTAAGTACTCGACAATAAAGTTCAAAACCAGCACATTACAATCACATGCTTGATCTCAACTTTCACAAATAATTTAAAAATTTATTCTCAAATAAAATAGCCTCGTTTTCATGTTCCTATACGTGTATCTAGCGTTTGTAATTGCATCATACCCGTTAAGAGTTTTGATTTTTTTTACGCGTTTTAAAAAAAAATTCAATTGTAAATTTGTTAAAAATGCATGCATTATGCTATAAGAGTAAGCATATGAGTATTGTAATTCAAATAAAGTGCATAAAATCAAAATCATTCTATACTCGTTTTTGTTTTTTTGAAATCTTTCGTCTCTAAATAGAGTATCAAAATAGGTGATTTTATTCTTTTATAAGTTTAGCCTCGTCCTTCGTAATGTATCATCAAATCTTTTTACTTTATACTTTATAGTTAAAGATTTGATCCAGCAATGTTCAATATATAAACCCTAATGATTAGGTAATAAGCATTTCTTTAATTCATTAGAGCTAAGACTGGTGATGAGAAACTTTTTAATGGTTTCTTTTCAATTCATTGCAGATAATATAATGTCCGCTTGTTTCTTCATTAGCCTAGACTTGAAGCCAATTTAATTTTCACATCTATATGTGAGCCAATAATAAACACAACAATAATTATTATTTTTTTCATCGTCGTTGTCATTTTAAAACATGATGACATAATTGTATTTATTTTTTATAAAAATGAATTTTTTTTTATAGAACCACATTAAATTAAACTCAATATGAATATTTCTCAATCTTTAGTTTTTCATACAAATTTGACATTATTATATCTCAACCGTCTATTGAAATGTCAATATTTAATTAGAGATTTAATTTTTTCAAGTCATCACTAATTGTTTTATGAAATAGGAATGTCAATATTTCGTTAAAGATTTAAATTTCTCAAGTTGTTAATTATTAATTGTTTTATGACACAGTGTCATAAAAGCATCATTCTACCTTAATTGTACAACAAGGTTGTAAGAGCCCATCAATTCCCTGTTGACATGCTGGTCAAATATTTTTAGGAGCATCATTATATTTTTTTTGTATAATAGAAATGCTTTTGCAAATACCTCTAATAGCGTCACATTAAAAATACATATGGTAAAAAGGATAAACAACATCATGAGAAAGTTGTTTTAAGTTTTTTTTTTTAATTGCATAATATTTTTTTCAAACAAAGTTTTAATAAAAAAAAACATATTTTATGCCTCTACTATTCACATAATAAATTCACTATATTTTCATTAGAAACAAGGTATGTTATGCCTATTTAAATTTCATTTTCACAAATATTTATACGTGATTACATCATAATAAAATTTTTATAGCTTTATCAAGAATTTATTGATTCTTGAATTCACAAGTTTTAAAATAAAGCATTATTAAATAAATTACACAATACAAGCTATAGAAGCAACTTGGATTTTTTTTTCAATATATATTTTAATGAAAATAAATAAATGAAACATGAATATAAAAAAATACTTAATAAATTTAGGTACTTCTATAATTCGGCTCTTACTCTTCCATAAAATCAATGAATGCTTTCATAAAAAAAAAATTGGTCTTTTTTATGCTGCATCAAATATGATCCGTATATTCTAAAAAGCATTAGATATATTGTATTCGTTGGCTTCTGATTTATTTCGATAATATGATCACGAAATAACAGATAATTTTTAATGTCAATTATTATTGACCAATGTAAATAAATTTATAAACCAAATTTCAATTTATTTATAATGGCATTAGCAATAAAATTTACACAAATAAATGAACATGGTTAATATCACCAATATAAACTTTCAATAATATCATTATTCTTCTTGAATAGTCATATTTGATAGGTCACTGTAAGTTATACATAAAAAAAAAACATTGCATGTAAATGTCTTTATCATGTAAATTATCTCATAAATATATACATAAAAATACTAGCAAATATATATATATATCATGATCTCAATATTTGTAGTGATAGTTCTTAAAATATCAATACAATTACACAAATTGATGACTAACATAGAAAGCAAGTTTGTTATCTTTAGTACTCAACAAAATAAACTAGCTTTGGTTGATATGTATGTTATTGCAAATAAAAAATTAACAATTCACCCAAAGCAATATATATAGTATGGATATAAGAGTAAACTAAAATACTAAAATGAATTTTCCATATGGTTATTTAACATCTACAAATTAATTTTTAACAAATCAAATTTGCTAGATGTATAAAACCAACTAAGATGTCAAGAAAAAATGTATATATATATATTTTAAAACTTTCTTTGTGTTCGGTAAAAACATAATTATCAAACACCATTTATTTCTTGATAATCAAAACAAAACAACAGGCGTGTAGTGACATTTACATTATAAAAATACAATATTAATTTTTATGTCAATTTTTATAATTTTAGCAATGAATATCATTTTATCTCACTTTGTTGTCTTAATGTATATAAAAAAATATAATTAAATAATAAAAATCACACAGATATGTTAATAAATCTATTGAAAAGTAAATGAACATAGAATTAGAACTTTTTACTTTGATCATTAGAAAATTAATGATTATAATAATATTTCTATAATTTTATGATACGAGAGATGATTGAACCATCAAAATCATCACAACCGAAGAAGTTGAAAATGACTTGGTATTACCTGAAATCACAAAAGTGGAAAACACCAAAATAATTTATTTTAATTTTTTTTTAAGTAGTTGTCTCGCGGTACAATCAGATTATTTTTTAGAGATGATACAAGTCGTTTGTAGAAATTTCCAATATAACCGATTAAATCTTACTAGTTTACACTAATTGTAAGACTTAAAATTAAAAAAAAAATATAGCAGCACTTTAATTTATGTAAATTTGTAATGCAAAAAGAAAAACAAAGAATATTGCTTGTAATTGAAGTATAAAGAATACAAATAAAAAACTTTCTTAAAACAATGATATATGCAGCTATTTTTAGTAAAAAAAAAAAAATAGGCATGCCTATATATTTTTGTGAAAAAACAACATCCTATATAAAGCCAAGGTAAAAGAACAGTCTCGAGAAGAAATGGTTAGATTATCAAACGATAAGAAACGTTTTATTTAATCTTTCATCGAAAAATAACAATTTAATTGTCTTTTAAAAGGAAATGGGCTACTTTAAACTGTTTTTGAAACCAATGCTTAGATTATTTTTTTAATAATTAATATAATTTTTAATATTTTATTAAAAATATTCCACACATATTCCTTCCACTGTTTTTTACCTTAACTAGTTTCTTTCAGTAGATAGTCAAGAAATTCTCAAATTCTACAAATTTTAATTATTACTCATCAACAACAATATCATTTTTTTCTTTTTTTAATGTCGCAGACAAATGAAAATTAATACTGAAATAATCTTATCTCTATTTTTATTGTCAAAACCTTTACCATTCTCATCAATTTATTTCAACTTACCTGTTATCACGTCCTTCTATTTTTCCGATAACGTGGCCAACGGAGTCATTTTCGGTTTTGGTTAAAGAAATTCAAACTTTTTGCAAAAACTGACACTCCTAATGATATTGAATTTGCGACATCTTGGAGCTACCGGTCTAGTCATATGAGATTTCAAACTGTTTTTTTTTTCCCCATACTTCTTGTTCATGATTTAATAATAGATCTCAATGAAGAATTGTAAATGACATGTAAATATGCGTGTTGGTGAGAGTATCCGAGGGAGAGCAACAATACTCTTTTTTTTTTTTTACCCGGTAAGAATCAATCCTGCTTTTAATCTAGGGAAGAAGGGGATGTGATCCACTCAGATATTCCTTTCCATAACGAGTCGCAAAGCCTCGCCTATATAACATTAGATTGGGAGAGCCTGTCTATTCGGTGCATAAAGAAACAAGTAGTTGACATCTACAGGTCACTAAAGCATTTTCATAGCAAAGAACAAGACCCGGAAAAGTCTTCCTTCAAGCTAACCTGTTTAGTCGTACTCTTACCCATTGCTTCTCGTTAGTCCCTCTCTGTCGAATACTATTATTAAATATTCCATTCTAATATCGACACACAATATTTATCATTTATCGAAAAGTAGCGTATTGAATATCATTGTGTACCTTTCATTAACTTTAAAAAAAAAAAAATGTGTGCCTGTAGTTCCCATATGGGAGAAGCAAGAGGTCCCGTGATTACATTCCATTGCGATAAAGATGAAGATTGTGTAGGCGAAAAATGTTGGTCTGATGCTTGCATATGTCAAAACCATAGATGTGAGTGTAAGCTTCAATCCTCCTTAAGCAACGCCATCCTGGAGCCCAAATAGACATGTGGATGCCATAAGAAAGTGAAGTGTTACAAATCACTATGTTTTTTTTTTTTTTTTAATTTCAGAAATAAATCACCTGGTTGTTTTGAAGATTTGAAGAGGAAATTAGTAAAAATATTATTTTTTTGAATAGTAACCTTTTACATTTACTATATATGCAGTTTTGCATATTATTCTTTTTTTTCTTTGAATGATAGTATTTCAAAGTAATCTAGGAACTCATGTTGAGCTATTAATAGCCATGAATTTCAGTACCAAATATGAATTACAAGTTCGTTGTCTTTCTTTTACAAAAAGAGGCATGAATATGCATTGTTGCATGGATCCATTTTAAACGGATTAGACCAATATCCAATTTCTTTTCTAGTTTTTTCTTTGGAAACCTATAAAATTATCTTTCCCTATTCTTTCCAATTCAGCCATGCGGAATTAAAAAGCCAAGAACACTGTAGAAAAATATGCACCAGAAGAAATATTTTAGAAAAAAATGCACCTGAAAGATATACTGCTAATTTTATGCTTCTCCCTTTTATCCAAAAAGGTTTTGAGGCGGTCCGAGCAAAAGCATTCTCTCCTCCACAACATCAGGGGCGCAAGGCACGGTAGAAGAAAAATAAAGTCCATCCAAAAACCAAGAATTAAAACAAGTGGCCCACTCGACCTATAAATGGCAGCAGCAATTAATTACCTAACTAATTCTTCATTTCCAACCACAAAAAAATCGTCATATATCTCTCCTTCGCAAGCTCAGCACACACTTCTGTGCAACAACTCAACAATGGATCCTTATGAATTCCTCCGTCTCTCTCCGAACCCAGATGGTTCCCTCACTAGAAACCCCCTTTTCCTTTAGTACCTCCACTCGATAAACCATCCAACGATCCAAACAAGCCTCAACTCGCTCTTTCCAAAGACATCCCTCTCAACCCTACAAAGAACACCTTCATTCGCGCCTTTCTCCCTTCAAACCAACCATCGAACACCAAACTTCCTGTCATTCTCTACTTTCATGGAGGTGGTTTTGTTCTTTATAGTGCTGCTTCTCTTCCTTTCCATGAATCTTGTTGTCTCATGGCTTCAAAATTCCCTGCTTTAATCCTGTCCGTTGATTATCGTCTTGCACCTGAACATCGCCTCCCTGCAGCGTACGATGATGCAATGGATTCTCTCATGTGGGTCCGGGATCAAGCAATCAACGGCGAGGATCCTTGGTTGAAAGAGTATGGTGATCTTTCTAATATTTTCTTAATGGGCAGTAGTGCTGGTGGTAATGTGGTGTACCATGCAGCTTTACGTGCACTGGATGTTGATCTTTCGTCTATTAAGATCAAAGGGCTGATAATGAACGTGCCTTATTTTGGTGGGGTCGAGAGGACCGAGTCCGAGATTAGATTGAAAGATGATAAGATCTTGCCAATGCCAGCAAATGATCTAATGTGGTCACTTGCATTGCCTAAAGATGCTGATCGTGATCATGAGTATTGTAACCCAGTGGTTGCTGGATCCTATGACGATAGGAAGATCGGACGGCTGCAAATGTCTTATATTAGAATTTATGGCGGGGACCCACTGTCTGACAAGCAGAAGGAGTTCGTGAAGAAGTTACGGTCACTTGGGGTTCACGTGGAGGCGAGTATTGACGATGATGGTTTCCATGCTGTGGAGCTTTTTGATCCCAAAAAAGCTGAAGCTTTCTACGATGAAGTGAAAAAATTTATCGGTACTGCTTCATCTGCCCAGTCATCCATGTGAGAAAGAAGACTGCAAATCTCATTGAATCTTCTTTGATTTTATTTACTTTGAGTCAGCAAAATCTCGGCAATAAAATGCTACTCAAAGATACCATTTAATCACCTAGTACTTTTTATTGTTTTCAATAATGAATTATGTGATTTTTAATTTTTCAAGAGGTGTTTGTTCCTATCGCGAAAAATAAAATAAAAAATAAAAATAAAAATCATAATTAATTAATTATAAATTAATATGTATAAAAAAATTAGAATATTTTAGTTTGATCATTAGAAAAATTATGAATTAAAATCATGTTATTGTAGTTTCATGATATCAAGATAACTGAGTTGTCAAAATTAAAATAATTGAACAAGTATAAGGATGACTATTGAAACATAGATAGGATCGCTTTTAAAACATACATTTTGTTTGCAAAATTTATCTCATGGAACAAATCAATTATATTAAATGTCATGTAAAAATATAATGTTTCAATTGTTTTTGCCGCAACTTTGTACATGTGCATGGCTTATAAAGCGAGAAATTCTATAATACTTATATTTTATTTTATTTTTATTCAAAGAACCATAATATTAAATATAGCAAACATAATGTATCAAATAAGTTTAATTTCACCATGTCACAACACAAGCATTTTATCATATATTATATTCTTCTTGACACATGATCATGTGCATACCTCTATGTATCCAGGTAGCTAGGTAGAAAATCCATTGGTCACTTTATAGCTATAGCATTATTATACAATAATTAAGAAACATTTTTTTTTCCTATAAAGACCCATTGAGAAAGTAAATTATAATTTTCTAGATTAAAATCATAATAATAGTATTTAATCATTTTTATCAAAAACTGTTTTTTAGAATAAATATTATTTTTTTATCAAAATAATCCAACACAAAGCAGTAAATATAAAATAACTACTACTAAGAATTTTTAACATTACACGTGTATTTTAGAATAGTCTAATTAAGAAATGAGTTTAGTTCTCTACATGAGATGGAGCTTGGTCCGGCCAGAGCTCTCAGTGATGAGTAAATCATCGAGTTGATGGGTTGACCAACCAAATCCATAGTATATGAAAATATTACCATCTCATATATATATATATATTCACACACAAGCACACATGTATTACAAGCGTGTCGTCTCGACGATGGATTTGACAAAAAGAAATTTCCACAAAAGGCATGGCCCTGGCGGATATATATATATATATATATGTCACCAAGTTGGCAGAATTCCTTTTTGCTCTTGACAGGAATCAATCTTGATCAGACCCGTGTGCGTTGCAACAGCCGTGATGAATCCTCAACGCATCTGTTGAGGGATTGCCTATTTACCAGAGAGGTGTGGTCCCATGTAGGACTGATGAAAGATATGTTGATTGATAAGTCACCTGATCCAGTTCTATGGTTTTTCAATTATTTCCTAGGTGATAAGAAAGGTTGTGCTGAATTAGCAGTAACTAGCAGGTAGTAATAAATTTATTTTAAAAATTTATAATTTTTAATTAAAATTTTGTATATAATTATTTTTTATGTTTTTTATAAATTTTCTATTTAAGAAAACATGTTCATTCTTCTTTGTGCATTAATTTTTTAATAAAAAATAGTAACAATTTCAGCTAAAATATTAGTGAAGAATTCAAAAAAAGAAATAAAAAATATATAATTAATATATAAACTTTCCTAAAAATTAACAAATAAAAACAATAACATTTTATTCTGTTTTAATACGATGAGAAAATTATTTTTTAAAAATATGTGTATTTGATTTATGAATATTTATTTATAAAATAATCAATAATATTACTATAAAAAAACTGTATTCTAATTATTAAGTGGTTCTTTTAAAAAAATTATTTTAATTATTTTATTTCAAAAAAATTGATTCTATGGTGTTTAAAAAAAAAATTCATGGCAACTATTTAGTGTTATGTGTGAAGATATATAATTAATTTTTCATAAAATCGATGATTCAATAGTTTTTTTTATACGTTATAACCATACTTAGTGGATTGAGATAAATTATTCAAAATATATTTTTAACTTTTCAGATTGAAGAATTATATATTTACATATATGTTACTATCATTTAAAAATTCTAAAATTCTTGATATATATTATATTAATTTATTTTTAAAGAAAACAATCATTTTTTTAAAATTTTATTCTAAAATTCAAATACAGAGAAAAATAAATTATATTTATCTACAAATAATTTATTTTAAAAAATTAATGGAATGAGAATTTTTTTAAAAAAATAACAAATTTCAATAATAAAATTTAAATAATAAAAGTATTATATATCCTTGCCACAATGCATGAATAACATAAAAAACAAGACTCGATGTTCCATAACTTTTGCATGAAAATTCTTAATTAAAAAATTAAAGGAAAAAAAAAAAAACAAACAAAGGTCCAGACCTGAAGGTTTAGGCCTAGGGCATCTACCCCGCTTTCCTGGCCTGGAGGAGCAGGCTTGTAGCACCTGGCTAGTGCAGGTTGGGATACATACAAAAAAAAAAAAAAAAAAATTGGCAACCTCAGCACTTTTCAGCGAACTCGACTTCTTTGGAAAAGGAATCAGAAATTCAGATTTCTTAATTTTCAGCATTTCAAAGCAAAACTCAACTTTATTTTTATTTAAAAACACCTCAAAATTATTGAAATAACCTAAATAAACTTGTTTAGTACTTCAAAACTTTTTTCAATGCACATAAAACACATACAAATTCAAATCACAATAACAAAAAATTCAAAATATTTTTAAATTTCAATTTACCTTTTTCAATTATTTGATGGGCTGTAACCATCATAAATAAATTCTATTATTCGAAATAAATAAATTGATAGTAATTTTTATCATCGGAGTGACCAGAACGGGTCTCCTCGTCTCCCTCTCCCATCTTAATATGTAGAGACCAAAATAAAAGAAAATTAAAGTTTTGGATCAAAAAACTTTTTTCACAAAAAGGGATGAAAGTGTAAATTACCGGACAAACAATGAGAAAGCATAATTGACGAATGGAAAAATCCGCCCACACTGCACAGTAAAAAAAAACAGTGAAACAACAAACAATATACAATGAATTAACGATACATGCATAGTGAATATACACATTTTGTTTTTGTATATTTAGAATTTACTCTTGCGCAAGGAAATAGGATTTTATGTTTTGCTGTTAGTTATTAGATAAAGAGAGGATGTTGGTTAATAGTTAGTATTAATGTCATTTTTTTTTCGTATTGATGTGTCTTTGTAACTTAATTAATTGATCCAAAAACTATGCAACTGTGACATTTTTAGGATAATTAATTGGCGATAAATGTTCGTTGTTTCTTATCGAGGAGAAAAATAAGTGTTTATAGCTCATGCATTATAAACTTTATTTCACAGATTTGAAGGCAATAGTGTAGTGCCTTCAAATAATCTTGGAAATTGCCATTAAAGAGATATATGTTTAGTGTTTAGTTATTTGATTGATTTATATACTGGAAAACTTGAATTAATTAAGGCTCACCCATCAATTTCCCTTCTCTAATAATTTTCTCAAATTTTCTCTTTATGTGGACTGAAACCTGTTGGTCAGTGTTCTTATGTTTCACTAACTTATTATTAATATTTTGAGGACATTCTACTGTGATACCATGAAATCCATTAGAACGTTATGTAATTTCTTTCCAATTAACTTAATGTATCAATTTTCGTTTCTAGTATTAGAGCATCTCCAATGGTGCTCTTTACTTTTAGCTAGCATTTTTAATGTAAATAGAGAGTATCGTTAATTATATAGATAGAAGATCAATATCCTCTCTAATGCTACTCTGTATTTAACTCTTTATTTTGATAAAATCTATAAAACCCATAGAGGCTATTGGTGAAGAGGTTGAGTGGCATTGGAAATAGTAATTTTCATTAATAAAATATAAGATAAAGAGTCATTTGGACTCTTTAGTATTGGAGAGCCAAAGACACTCTTTATACTAATTTTAAAGATAAAGATTGTGATAAAAAGAGCATTGAAGGTGAAATTTGGATCAAGCCTCTTTATTATAAAGAAAAATTTTAATATAAAGAGAGCATTAGAGATGCTCTTATGAGATACTAGCCAAGCTTTATATATAGCGTGTTAGAGTAATTTAATATGAAGAAATAGAAAAACAATTGGTTTAGAGGCTGAAAAATATTGTCTTTAAATGTGTTTATTTGTCCATGACAGAGACACACATCTCTAGAATACAACTAAATCTCTAAGATCTCTAAAATAATAAAAATAAAAAATAGAAGAAAAAATACATTTGATGTTAATAAATAGTCGACCTTTTGAATTAAACTGAATAATTGGTGAATTTGAATTAAAGTGAATAATTGACAAACCATATGTTGGTTAATAAAACAGTTAACTTTTTAAATTAAACTTAATAATTGGTAAACTAAATGTTTGCTATTCAGTTTTATTTTAACAATCACATCTGCCAACAAATAAATTATAAAAATTAAAAGGAATTAATTAAAAAAGAATTAACGTTGTTGGCCATTTTAGTTCCAAATGGTCAAAAATCAACTTTCCTGGGCCCTCATCTGCGGGAAAAAATCTCTGGCAAACGCTGGTTGTGGCGCAAATGGTAGAAGAATAAAAATTTAAGCAAAAAGCAATAATACAGCACCAGCACCATTGATGCTGGGCATGAAATGCCACAACCAAATGTATAATGAGCTAAATATAAATAAAATAATATTATTTAATTATATTAATAGATAAATTATTTATGAGTGTAGATATTTTTTTTCTATTGCTATTCATTTTTTACTTATTAATATAAAAAATACTAAAACATAAAGAAATGAACACATATGTGTGTGTGTTAGCACGCACAGACAATTGTATTTTTTTACACCATGCATTTTTATTTTGCATACCTTCCTATAATATTTCTTAAGTTTTTCTTTCTTTTACTTTGAATTGGATTCTAATTAAAAAGTTAAAATTGATGTGTTCTTATTAATAAATGCCATTCGACTAAAATATTTATCTGTCAAAATCAATGTTGAATTTTTTTTCCTCCTATCAATAAATTTAAATATTATAATTTTTACAATTATTTACCCTCCAATCATTTCTTTTATTTATGTTGAAACCTTGTCAAGTATTGGAGATTTTATTTATCTTCTTCCCAATTGTTTTAATCCCGCCTAGCCTCTTTTTTAAATATAATACCTTTATGTCATTTATTTTTAAATATTCACTGTTAGAAGGGAAAAAAAAAGAAAAAGAAAAAGAAAATAATGATGATAAATTTCAATGAAGCTTCTTTATGATCCTGATTGATTTGTCTGTGCATACTTAATAATAAAAAAATTAATAAAATCTCCAATACTTGGCAAGGTTTCAACATAAATAAAAGAAATGATTGGAGGGTAAATAAAGTATAAATGAAAACACCCTGTTAGAGAACATTTTAAGGTTACATGATACATTCAAAACATCTACCCATAAAGTCAGCAGAGAGCTGCTAATCGAGGCAGTAGAACAATGCCTCCCTGGGAATCAAAATCTAGCAGAATAACAACTTTAGGAGGGGTTGAAGTCCAGATAATAAAGCAACCTTCCTCAAAAACACCCAAACTACCCATAAAGTCAGCACATAATTAATTTAACATTTCGATTATTATTTCCTTACCGAAGCACCTTGATTATTTTAATATTTATATTATTTGTTTTGCTAACTTGTTCTCGTAATTTTGGGATTTTAATTATTCCTTAACATAATAAGATTTAATGGTCTTAATTAAGTTACACCATAAAATGAAAAAAAAAAAAACCCTTCAAATTCTGCATTCTTCTATGGAGATCTCTCTTTTCCAAGTCTTTTTTGTTTTTAATTTCAATTATTAGCCTGTTTTATCTATTTTCATTATTGACACTTGTCATCAATATTAATTATTGAATTAAATAGACGAGTTAGATAGTTTTATTTTAAAAACTTAAATATTATGATGGATGATACATTTTATAAATTTTGTATTACTTTAAATTAATTTTATGATTTTTATTGGATTGTTCTTTTGATACTATATTGAATCCATCCAAAAAACTAAGTCCTATGATGATCAGCGACATATTCTATAAATTTTATATTATTTTGTTTTCTTATATTTATTAGACGCAAGATAAATTTTTTAATACTTATAAAAATATTGTTTTTTTTTTATATTGCTATTTATAAAAGAACCAGTAATGTTGAAGAATGAAAGCCAAATTTAAAAATAGTTGCTTTAAATAATAAAACAATAAAACTACCGATGAACAGTGCCTTCGATATTGTAAGAGAGAATCATTCTACAAATAAATAAATAAAAATGGAGGCAATGTTAACTAATTTTTATTTATTATTGTTATTATTAATTTTGGTTCGGTTTAAATGTGGATGTTATCCAACTTGAAATTTTTTAATAATATTTGCAAGCTATTATGAAGTGATCAAATTGAAATAGTATTCTCCAAAACTATGCCAAATCCTCAAATATTTGCAAGATATTATGAGGTAATCAAATCGAAATGGTACTCTCCAAAAAATATACCGTATCCTCAAATGTTTGCAAGATGTTATGAGGTAGTCAAATCGAAATATACTTGCAAGATGTTACAAGGTAATCAAATCGAAATAGTATTCTCCAAAAAATATGCCAAATCCTCAAATATTAGCAAGAGTTACGAGGTAATCAAATCGAAATAATAATAAAAAAAATTTAATAAATATAATTTTTTTTTATCATTTTTAATGAGTATAGATAAATTTTTTTTTATATTTATCTTTTGTTTAAAAATAAATTTAAAAAATAACTACTCTACACATCATTAGTTATTACTTATGTATTATAAATTAGCTAACCGAATATTATATAAACTGAATTTTAGGTAGACCATATTTTGCAAGATAACGAAGGAATTTTGATGCCGAACAAATGATTGATCCCACTCGGTGGTACCGTCCAACAACTTGCCGACAACTTGCCGAATGGACGTTTTGCCTGTTAAAGAACGACCCAGATCCTTTAACGGAAGCAATATCTCCCATCAGAAGATACTCCTCCGTGCTCCTCTCTGCATTTCCTTTTTCATCATCATCACTTTCGAATCTAACCTTATCTAAACATGTCAACTTCCTCCATCAAGTTAACAGATCTCATTGATTTTGTGGAGAATCCAGATGGGTCACTCACCAGAAATAGCCCATTCCCTGAAGTACCACCGACGGAACAAATAACCCCAGATTCCAAAGAACTTTCGCTCTCTAAGGACATCCCTCTAAACGCCAACAACAAAACATTCCTTCGTCTATTTCGCCCTCTATATCCTCCTCAAAACTCCAAACTCCCTCTCGTTATATACTATCATGGAGGTGGCTTTGTCCTTTACAGTGCTGCAACTCTTGCTTTCCATCAAACATGCAGTGACATGGCTTCTCATTTCCCTGCTCTCGTCCTGTCTGTTGACTATCGTCTTGCCCCTGGACATCGCCTTCCTGCTGCATATGAAGATGCTATTGAGGCTATCAAGTGGGTCCAAAACCAAGTTTTGGATATTAACTGCCCTTCATGTGAACCATGGTTCAAAGAATACCTTGATTTTTCAAGGTGTTTCTTGATGGGCATGAGTGCTGGTGGCAATATTGCCTACCGTGCGAACTTGCTTTCCTTGAATATTGATATCAAACCCTTGAAAATCATTGGGTTGATATTGAATATGCCATATTTTTCTGCTGTGAACAGGACTGAATCAGAGAAAAGGTTGATCAATGATCCGGTTTTGCCATTGGCTATTAGTGATCATATGTGGGCTTTGTCTTTGCCTAAAGGTGCCGATCGTGATCATGAGTATTGTAACCCGATTGTTGGTGAGTCTCTTGAAAACAACAAAATCGAGCAGCTGCCAAGGTGTTTCTTCAGAGGATATGCTGGGGATCCACTTGTTGACAAGCAAAAGGAGTTGGTGAAGATGTTAGAGTCGCGCGGAGTGGACGTGGTTGCGAAGTTTGATGAGGATGGTTTCCATGCTGTGGAGGTTTTTGACCCAGTAAAGGCCAAGGCCTTGTATGATTATGTTAAAGAATTCATTAACACAACTGTTTAATGCTCATGTGCTGGCTGCAAGAATCGGGAGTAAGGTGTCTGATGGGTACGGTGCGCCTCCATATATTCTTGTGATATTATGTATTTTCCGGTGTAAAGTTTGTTTACCAAAAATCAGCCATGTGTGTTCGGCAAAGTTAGCTATGTAACGGAAGAATAAATTACGGGAAAATTTATAAACTATTGATTAAATTCATATATATTCGTTATTTAAAAAAAATTATTTGGCTATTATGTATTTTTTAATCATTTTTCCATCTTTGATGGCCTGAAAAAATTGACATTGACACTAGCCTACTTGGACAACGCATGCTGTATCTCTTTAAAAAATAATAAAATAAAATAAGAATTACGCATTCAAATAAAAGTCAAATCACAGTAAATGCTAAAACGACTCTCACTTGCTCTCTCTCCATCTGAAAACGCAGTCTCTGATCTCGATAAATTTTATTACTAAATATACTAAAACAAAATTGAAAAATAGTATTAATGTTGTAGAGGATTATAATTTATTTATGATGGTGGTAAGCAATTAAATGATTGAAAAAATTTTATCAAAATTCAATAATATTTTGATTTGATTTTTTTTGTATATTTTGTGTAAATTAAAATGAATTTTGATGTTATAAACAGATTTATTTACTTTATTTTGATAATTTTAAAGTGTTTTTGAATAAAAACGGAGCTGAATTTGGCATGAGGAGGCTGAAAATTAGAAATACGTAACCTTCCACTGACCTTTTTTTAATCGAAATTGATTTTTTTATTTATTTAATGCACCGGCCTAAGCTTTGTCCTCTAGGACCAGAAGAAGAGGGGGCTAGCTGTTCCAAACCCGGACGTGAAGGCCCATTGCTCTGAGCCTAGGAGCGCAAGCTTAGTCCTTTGTTTTTTTGTTTTTTTTCCCTAATCTATTTTCATTGAGAATTTTAAAAAATTATAGAACGTTCAACGTTATTATTTATATATTTTACACAGCATAGTGAGGATAAAATATATATACTATTATTTATATTTTAAAATTAATATATATTTCAAATTGTATTACTTTTACTATTTAAAATTTATTTTTAAAATTTTTTATTTTTTATGAAAATTCTAATCCAATTAATATTTTTTATATAAAATTTTCTTTCTTGCAAATATGATTAATTTTTCTCTAAATTTGAATTTTAAATAAAATTTTAAAATACTATTTTTTTAAAAAAATAAATTGATATAATATATATCATGAATTGTTAGATTTTTAAATTATAATTGCATATATATAAATATATAATTATTTTAATCTGAAAATTTAAAAATTTATTTCAAATAATTTCTGTCAGTCAATTAGGTATGGTCTACAAGTATAAAAAACTTTTTGAATAATAGATTGTCTTAAAAATTAACTATACATCTTCACATATAACACCAACTATTTGCTATAAATATTTTTTTAATATTTCAGAACTAATTTATTTGAAATAAAATAATTTTTTAAATGAATCAACTATTTATTTAATTATAATTTTTATACTAATATTATTAATTTTTTTATAAATAAATATATATAGATCAAATGCATGTGTTTTTAAAAATTAATCTTCTCATCAATATTAAATAAAAATATTTTTTATTAGTTATTTTTTATAAAAATCTATATATTAATTGTAACTTTATTTTTTAAATAAATACTTATGAAAAATATATTTTTAAAATAATTTTTAATTTTGATAAATATTCTGATTTAAATTATTACTAAATTTATTTTAAGTATCAATGCATAAAAAATCAAATTTTTTAAGTGAAAATTTTATGAAAAACATAAAAAAAATTAATGACATGACCTATAAAAATAATAAGAAAATTTTCACTTTGTCTATGTTTTTACGGGATAAATATTAATCATTACTCTGTTAAGTGATATAAAATTTCTCTCTAGTCTCTTCCATCATCTTCTCAAGACACCATCAAAGCAGATTGGGTTGCTTTTCTAACTAAAGTGTTTTCTAGCTTTTACAATCCGACACAAGAACTGCGCATGACATAAATTTGGTGAGAATGGAAAGCAACTAATAAACAAAGGATGACAAAATGGAACAAAGGAATCATGCGCTTCTGTCTCCTTCGATGAAATGCGCATTGAGCCGCATTGAGATCACCACCATACTCCTAATTGCAATCAAGAATCAGAAAAATGTTAATTAGAAACACAAAAACTTACTATTAAGTCTAAAATCCGCATGATTAAACATATTATAGGAAAATATAAATCTTGAACTTGAAAAAAATTCGTTCTAAATTTTGACCTAAAGCTCCGGATCCACTGCATCAAGTAGTCTGGTTATCACTTTAAATAACAGAAAAAGACTTTGGGAAAAGGTATTTGTCTGAACTAAAATTAGAAAGCGCGAGTTCCAATTTTCTTTTTCTTTTTGTGTGAAATTAAAATTAAGATAAATCAATTTATAATAATTAATAAAGAATAAATAAAAAACATAACTACAAATAATACATACTTTTTAACATAAAAACACTGACATACGAAAAAACTAAGAGATCATAATCTACTCGAATTTTTCTGCTACATCAAACAATGTAATACATAATTAAAAAAAAAAAAAAAACTCAACCAACGAATACGCATCAAAATATTAAAGATATATTCACAAAAATAGATTCCAATTATAATAATAAAAAAATAACTAAATTTTACTAAAGGAGTTTTTGATAAAATATCTAAAATTGAAAGTTTCTCAATAATTAACATCGTTTAAATTGAAGAACTCTTTGAAAAATAACATATCAAAATTTCATCTCAAATATACGAAGGTATCCAATAGCACACCTTTCTCTCTCCCTCGGCCAAAGTCCCCTATTCTGTTTTTTTCCTTGTGGCTGCCTTGTACTATATATTATTAGGTGCTTCACTTGTTGCTTGTTATTTTGATGCCCTACATTTAAAAGTCCAAATGACTTTTATAAAATCACTCACGTGACAGTTTATTGATTTTTCTTTCCCTATTTTTTCTTATTTACATAGATTTTGAGCTTCGACCAAGAGAGACCCAGTCCGTCGGGGAAAAAAAAAACTTAATTAACTTGAATTAGAAAGAATTAGCAATCAACAAACTACAACGAACACTATAGATAAACTAATTAACCAACCATGCAAACCCTAATTACATATTGGTTACAAAATCTAACAATCATAGCCTAAAATAAGTCGCAATTTCACTCTATTTTTTACTGCAATCCAATTAATAATCAAAAACCGAAAAAAAAATTACCTGAAGGTTTATTTTTAATTTTTCTAGGATTTTTAATTTTAATTTTAATTTTAATTTCTGGAGCTATTAATTGATTTTAATCATTCATGCCGGTGTTTTTATCTACTTGATCTATAATCATTATAGTGCTTTTGCCAATTAAAATAGACTGAAAACTTATAGCTCTTGGCAGGTAGAATTTTTTTTTTTTTTTATCTTGGTTACGTTTTTTAAATGTTAACGTTTTGGAAACATTGATAGTATTGAAATAATTGTATTTGTAACAAGTGTGGAGAAAATGTTCTTCCATGTTTTATATATATGTATGAAGTATTATAACTATTATTATCTTATGAAAAATGATCATGATCATCAAACTGGAAAATCAAAGAGAATTGATCAAATATTTTCATCACTTCGATCCCCTTTTGTGCATTTTTATTATGTTCGTTGTGATTCCAAATTCCTTATCTTTGGATCCACTAGCCTGGGACTTTGGTAACGATGGACTTTTAGTATGTTAGAACTCAAATTGGAGCTATCCAACACTAACACATAATCGTAAATAATGACTGGAAAGAAAAAAAAAAAAGCGAGTGGGATATTGGGGAGGACTTGAACAACAACCGAGAAAGATCGTTGATGTTTCTGAAGTCTCTCTTAGTCAGTCAGTCGGTCGGTCGTCACTCCACTGTAACAATTGATTAGTAGACTAGCACTCAATAATTGACTAGCTAGAACTTCACCCTAGTAAAAGAAGGGGCAGAGTACCTCCTCGTGAAACGACAGTGGCCAAGTCGTTTGTCGTTAACAGGTCCATGTCAATAATATTATTATCAGAGAATTAAAAGAGAAGAAGAATTGTGTCTCTGATTGGTGGAAAGTTATTAGTACAATCTTGCATATGGTCAACTTTTTTCCTACTCTAATGTACTTTTACATTTTATTTATCAGACTAGAGGAGTTTTAAATTTATTTGTAAAATATAAGGCGTTTTTGCCATCTCATTTACACCTCAGTTTTTTAATCTTGTTTAATCTCATAGTTATCTCATTTATTTTGGTCTTGTCAGCAATTGATCTCACGTCATTTTTTTTTTTCAATCGTATTTGATCTCATAGTTATCTCATTTATTGTGGTCTGCCAACGATTAACCTCACGTCGTTTTAATTTAAATTGTGTTTGACCCCACAGTTATCTTATTTATTTTAGCCAGTCAGCAATTAACCTCAAGTCATTTATTTTGACTGTCAATAACTTTTTTCTTCTCGGCTCATTGTCCTCAGCACAGCACTAGGAGGAGCACTTTTTTATATCCTCAACAATTAACCTTTTTCTTCTCTTTGTATACCCACTTCAACAGCTTTTATAACAACTAAAATCTTCAATGCCTTTTTCATTTTTGTTTAACCAATCTTAGCACAAACATAAAGATTACAGCAGCATTTTAATCATTCATGCCAGTGTTTTTATCTACTTGATCTATAGTCATTATAGTGCTTTTTCCAATTAAGATATTTTTCTAAATTCTTTTACTTCTATTTATTTTATTTTAATATATTTATTTTATTCTGGCCATGGCCACCCAAGGATAATGTGTTTCAAAACAAAAATCTGGATTTATTTATTTATTTTATTTTGATAGATTTATAGATTTATTTATTTCTAAATTCTTTTATTTTTATTTATTTTACCCTATCTTAATCTGTATTTTTTCAATTTTTTTTTCATTGTAGTGCTTTTGCCAGTTAAAGTATTTTTCTAAATTCTTTTATTTTTATTTATTTTATTTTGATATATTTATATTATTGTGGATATTTTTATAAAAGGATAATGTGTTTCAAAAAAATAAAATCTGGATTTATTTATTTATTTTATTTTCATATATTTATTTCTAAATTCTTTTACTTTATTTATTTTATCTTGTCTTACTCTGTTTTTTCTTCTCAAAGGTTTTTTTTTTTTAAAATACAATGTCTATAATATGTCTCGTAAAAAAATATTTTCAAATTATATAAATTTTTTATCATAAATTTTTCTAAATTGATATAATGCTAAATTTTATTTTATTTTTTTTCCGGTTAGCAATGGCTAATAAAAATATACATATTTTTTTGCTGCTGGAATGGATATATAATAGTTGAAAAGGAAGGATCACACTATGATAATCCACCAATAAAAGCTATGAAGAAGCCACGAATGATTAAATATCATTAATTACTACGTAAACTACATGTTGTCACATGATTTGCTAAACAACAAGTTCAGCTGAAACTAATTTGCGGATATCGTACGGTTGTACAAATATTAATGATCAAATATATTTGCTCGTGTATTGTTGATTATAGCGACGTAGACATGATATTAGAAATTCCTTCTATCCATGCTTCAATTAGCAATATTGAGTTGTATGTTGAGACATAATTTGTACTAATTAAGCGAGTTAACCACTCAATAGGGTAACACTTTACTTAATTATCCTTTACATTTTGATAAAAATCAAAATTTACCTATAGATTATCCAATTTGTTCATTTGCAGATGCAATGTATAGATATGATCATGAAAGTGATGCAAATATCAAATGTAAAGATATTTGTATATTTGATGGTATATATGTAAATAACAGCTTGATAGAAGAAAAGGCTACAAAGGATGAGAAGATGAATGAAAATGAAGCTCAAGTTGTGGCTATGAATATGACATATGAAGATGGTTTGATAAATTCATGAGAGCGACCATTTTTAGAAGACTATGGTTTATAGAATAAGCATAGTCAACCATGACATAAACTAGATACACCTTCCTTCAAATATGTAAATTGGATGGATGTTGCTTTGGTAAGTAAGTAGACTATATTATCTCAAAATTGTAGATGAAATTCTAATGATGAGTTAAGTAAGGGCTTGATTTTTGAAAACAAGGAAGAACTATGAAGAGATGTAAAAAAGTACTCTGTAAAGCAACATGAACAATATGAAGTTCTTGAAACTTAAAAAAAAAAAAAAAAGTACGAAGTTTGAGATGTAAATGGCATAGAGAAACTAGATGTAAATGAAGACTTCATGTATTCGCGTAGAAGGGTCGTGGATTATTTGAGATTACACAATATGTCGAAGTCTATACTTGTGTTTAACCAAGTATTAATCGAGAACATCACCAACTAAATACAAAATTCATATCCCAAGAAATAAAATATAAATGAAAGGTATAACTATCCATTACAATAATAGCTTTGAGTGAACAAATAAAGTCAAAATCTAATTACATTGTATATTATAAAGAGATGAAGCATGTAAAATAGAAGGCAATCGCAAAAGTATTTGGTGATTGGGATGAATCTTATCATGTCTTGTCAAAATTTATTAAAGCTATTCAAACGTATAATTTTGGTATCATTGAAAGTGGCGCTATGATTTTTTATATGATCCAAATTCAGCTTTCTCTAAACATGTTTTTTACGTGTTTTTTAGCATCTATTGAGGGGTTTAAGCACTATTGACCTATGATTAGTATTGATGGCATACACTCATATAGAGTATTGCATGGTTTTTTTCCTATAAGATGGCTTAGGAAGGGAGCTTTGTTTTTTTATTTTTGAACCGTTGGGAAAAGAAGTGCAAATTCATGATCACATACATGCATTCAACAAATTTTCTTTAATTTTCACTCCTTTCACGGCATATATAATTGCACCAAGTTATTTTGTGAGACAGCTCTTCTTTTTCTAGAAGTTTTTCAAGTATTTTATGTCGATTCAGGAAGCATAAAGCAATCTCAATCTCATGATATGAGACAAATTTTGGGCAGGAGCACGAAAAAAAAAGAGCTGGATAATTTTTTTGACACATTTTATATAATTACAGAGTTAATTGATGTTGGCGTTAATTGAAAAGAGAACGAAAGAAATTGGCAAGTGAAAGGAAAAAACAAAACAACTGACAAGACAAAAGAAATGGGCCAACAGTGGGGCCAATATAATTCTTAAAAAAGTGATGACATGGCGTAGATTGCTTTGTTCAACGTAAATTTAAAACTATCTTATTATAATAAATAAGTTGTAGAAGTACCTTAAAAGTAAATTTCCCAAAAAAAAAAAAAAAACTCAGAAGAATTGTCCCTCTTATTAGTTGGAAAGTTATTAGCACAATGATGCCTGATCAAGTCGTTTAGCTCTTTTTTGCTTGACTAATTATAAATCTAGTAGGTGTTTAGTCTTTTTAGGAACCCAGCTTCTCTGGTGTTTCCTTTTGATTTGATACTTTTACTTTGCTTTTAGAGTTCCTGCCTCTCAAGCTTTCTTCTCTCTGGACTGGCCGGTTCCTTCCCTGAGATCCCATTGTGTTTTAATGAATCTACCTAGTAAGAAAAAAAAAAAAAAACAGAGAGAGATGCAAGGCTTGTTGATGATTTTTAAAAGGTTGGCAAATGATTAAATAAATCCACTTGTTTAAAATTAGTAACAAACATGAATTCAAATCATGCGCTTAAACTGTAATGTAATGATTTGTTATTTTCTAAATAGTGTAATTATTTGAAAAAAATTTAAAAGGATGTTGCCCATTATATGATCCTTATGTTTTTTGAATTGTTTTAATTGATATTTTATATTAATATTGTTTTTTGAATTGTTTTAATTGATGTTTTATATTAATATTATTAGTTGTGAGCTGACATGACTTATTTATTTTTAAAAATATGACATGTGTCATATGTAAAACTTCAATGGAGAAACTCAATTAAAACAATTCGAAAAATACATAGATTATTTTTGTTTTGTTTAATTTTCATGTTATTTTTTCTTAAACCTCACAATAAATGTATGAAATATGTCACATGTAAGATCCTACTACTCTAAAACTTTAAAATGTTTTTTATATATAAACATTGTTATAATAATTTAGAAATGATAAAATAATATGTAAAAAAGAAAAAAGAAAGAACTTAACATGCAATTATTAAAACAAAAATTTGGTGATGTATAATATTGATCAATTACAAAGTCCTAGTTAATGAATCTAATCCTTCATAAAAAGTAAGAAATGTTGAATGTTTGACCAATTTAAAATAAAAAATGGGATTGCTCTCTCGTAAAAACTTGAGACTACACCATATTTTTTTTTATATAGATAATTAGCTAACAATCAACATTATTGTTGTTTTTATTTTTATTTTGATGAAAATATTTATTTTTAATTGTATGTTAGGTTCATTTTGTATGTATTTAATAATAATATTTTGTTTACAAATAAAGCACTTGAAGAGTTCTATTACGATGGGATCTCACATCCGACACGTTTCGTAGCATTCAAGATGTTGTCTTAAAAACAATAATATAGAAATTAAAAAAATATGATCTTTGATCCTCGTATGCTTTGAATTATTTTTATTGAAATTTCATATTTTTTGAATTGTTTTGATTGAGTTCCTCGATTAGAATCTCACGTATAACACGTGTTATGCTTTTAGAAGTGGATATATTACATTAGCACCATGTAAGCTCATCACTAACGGTGTTATGACGAAGGGATGAAAAAAAGAACAAATAAACTCAATCAACATAAAAAAGAGTATATGATCTCATTCAAAATAATTTGAAGAGTAGATGGACATATATGAGAAAAACCTAATTTTAAAATATTGAAGTAGCAACTAACAATAATTACTTGATTATTTTAAAATTTCCAAATGCAGTTGTATCTTTTAGTTTTTTATTGTGCAACATAATTTTCTCCCCCAACAGATTCTATCCATCTAATTGGTCTCTTTTTAAAAATAGTAACATTATCTATGGTTTCATGGCTTTAACCGAGGGGAGTAAAGTTTTAGGGATGAAGATTTAGGATTTTAAATTATTTTTGATTTGTTTGGATAACACGTGTCATCAATGAAATCCACCATCCCCGTAAGAGCTGACTTATGTCATCACGAAGCACCATTACTCTTTTAATTTTGGACATCCATCTCCGAAGAAGGAATGCTCCATCAATTATCAAGGAAAAAAAACATGTATTTAATGAAGATATCTTTCTAAGATTGTCTTTGTCCAATCAATGCCAATCATGACGATGTTATTGCTATAAAAAAAATCAGTCACATCAAGGCTACAAATCTCTTAAGTTGGCATTAGAGACTGTCAATGGCTAGAGAATGGACCACTTGATAGAAACTTCGTGTCTTTTGTAATCAGATGGTCTCTCAACCCAATAAAAAAAATCTTATTTTACAAGCAATTTACACAAAAAAAAATCACCAAGAATGATTATTTTCCATCGCCAGTTATCAACCATAAAGAATCATCACGTAATCTTCAATTACTGTTGAGTTTCTAGACTCATGACCAATTTTGATTTAAAAAATTAAAGAAATCTTGAATAAATTAAAGCTCCCTCGTATACAATTCTAGATAGCATATCATGCTCAACTTGTGAGTACCTTAACAGACGACAATGCCACTCGGCTCCTCAATTTGCCACCTGTAAACGCAAACCGTGACCCTGAACGGGAAGCCGATATCTCCAAAGATGCCATTCTCAGTGAGGAAGAGTTCGTATTTACCCACCCTCCGATATGATCACTAAAGACACGATCACCAGCATTGCCACCTCGGTGAACGAGAAAACGTGTTTGCCTGTAGTATTTCACTTCCAGGGTTGTTGTTAGATCCAATTTCCTTCCTTGAACATTATTCTTCACGCAAGCCGGAATTTATTTGCATTAACAATCCCAGCTATAGTCATCCTTGTTGATTCCTGTCTCGCGCCAGAGAATCGACTGCCAGCACCGTATGAAGCTAGCTGCGATTGATACACTTGTTTGGTTTCAAAAACAGGCTTTGGATCCATAAGGTGAGAAACGGTAAAGATTTTGGAGATTTTTCTAGGTGTTTCCTTCATGGGTATGGTCGCGGAGGCAACACTGCGTTTAACGCTGTCTTACGCTCTTTAGACAGGGATTTGAGCCCTTTAAGGATTGATGAAATTATGTTGAATCAACCATTATTTGGTGGGCGAAAAGGAACAAATCTGATATGAAATATGTAGCAGGTCAGATGGAACCATTACCAGCAATGGACCTGATTTGGGAGTTGGCATTGCCAGAAGGGGCGGACCGTGACCATCCATATAGTAATCCAATGGTGGATGGACCACACAAGAGCAAGCTTAGGTCATTGCAACGATGCTTAGTCTTTGGTTTTGGTATGGACTCGTTGGTAGACAGGCAACAAGAACCCGTGCAAACGCTGGTAATTCATGGGGTGAAAGATGAAGCTTGCTTTGACAAATCTGGGTTTCGTAGGTTGGACATTGTGGATTTTAAAGGATCTACCATACTTAATGAAATCGCTAAAGATTTTATCAATTCTTGAATGTCTTTCTGCAATGCTAATATTTATTAGTATTTTGTGTTGAATAATTCTAAAGTAGATGCAGAAATTTGATGATAAAAGCAAAAGAATATGTGTTTAATTACATGCATAAAATATCTCTGTATTGTCTTTAAGGTGATTAATTGTCACACTATATTGTTGCACTATAATGTTGCAGGAAAATTAAAAACAACACTTCGAAGCTATATAATTTTATGAAAAGAAGAGTTACGAGAGCAGAATGAGAGGATTACAAAAAAATAATAATAATTAATTACTTTTTGAGTAGCAGTTTTTTATTTATAGATCATCGAAACTTTTTATAATTAATAATTAACTATTAATTTTTCACAATTATAATCCAATAGTTATAACTGTTAAATTTTTAACAGTTATAATCTAACAGAAAAACATAATTGATTGATTAATTAATTATGAATTTAATTTAATCAAAAAGAAAAAAATAAATCCAAAATTATATATTTAATTTCATCCATTATCTTTCCTTCTTTAATTTGAATAATTTTCAAATTCTTTCAATTGAAAATCTTTATAAACGATCTTCTTATAAAATGCATCTTCTTTTTTATTTCTTTTTCAATATAGTATAAACATCACATTTAAAAATATTCTTTTCACTGCACTTAACTTATTATATATGCAGCCAATATTTTTCTAACATTTTGCAACCCCAGCTAATGATGCTTAAGCTAGTGCAGTTGAATGATAAGCCAAAAATTATTGGGAATGAAAGAAGTTAATTTTTTTCTTCGTTTTGTATAACATAAATATGCACGCATGTTAACTGTCATATCCAAAAATCTAATATTGTCTTGTATGTTGCTGGTTCGATATGGTCGACAGCATTGAGGATTCTGAATTCTGAAAAAACTGTTGTCCTCGACGATTCTTTAACTTTCTTGTTTATGCAAATGCTATTTATTTATCAGCTCGAATGACATGCTCTGTATCATCAGGTTTGTTTGCATACGCGAGAGAGCCAAGCTCTACGCTACCGGATGCCACCTTCCCCACCTACTGCTTTCAATGTTATTCCATCAATCTACGAAATTAAAGGAATCAAAAATAATATTCTCCTTTGCTGTATTATCGTTTTAAGTCTTGAACGTGTGATTTTAGGAGTTCAGGTTCTTTTCGGAATGTTTTTTCTGTGTGATAGATATTTCATACTTCCATTCAAAAGAAACTATTAATATTCCTAGGTGATAGTTAACACAGATCTGGAATGCAACGAGTATGAATTTGCTCGGCTTTACCAGAACAAAAACAAAATCTAATCGTCCAACCCCTTGCTGTTAAAAATCGACCTGGGGCGTGACTTGGTAGGGTCTTGGGTTTATCGATCACCTTTACTCTTTCCACTCTCAAAGTCGAAAATTTATCTTAATCAATTTATAAAACGGTACATTTTTTTGTCTAATCTAACCCAGTTTTGGTTGAATTTGACCAAATCAATAGGGATTTGATTGTGTCAATATCCTGCACCATGTACTTACAATCCGGATTTTCTTGAAACAACTTGCCTGTTCTAATCAGATTTGATAATTATGATTTAACCTTGGTTGGACCTAAAAATTTGTACTTTAATCACATTGTCTCGAAAAAAACTTCTATGGCCTCGTTTGAAGCTATGCTGGCAGCAACGTTTAAATCTTTTGCGCACCAAACGTCAATTATAGCGAGAAATTTTATATTATTATACTTACTTTATGAAAAGAGAAAGACACAAATAGAGAACAAAAACAAGAGAGATAAAATTTTTAAAAAATTGAGTACATGTAGAAAAATTCTTATAATTTTTAATAGATCTGAATATATATATATATATATATATATATATATATAATTGCAAATCTGTGAATTCCTAAATTTATGAGAAAAGTCCCTCCGTTATCGTTTTGATCTTCTGACTTTTGTATTCTTTATTTTAATTAATTGAATAGAATTTACCAAATTAAGAAAGTTACTATTCAATAAAGGGGGAGAACCATGAGAGTGAGTGATGATATTAACCAGAATGAAAAAATTTATGAGAACAGTCCCTTTGTTATTGTTTTGATCTGCTGACTTTTGTATTTTTTATTTTAATTAATTGAATATAATTTACCAAATTAAAAAAGTTACTATCCAATAAAGAGGGTGAGAATGACGAGGGTGAATGATAATATTAACGAGAATTAAAAAAAATTAATAATAACGATTCAATTGATTGAGATAAAATTTTTAATTTTAACGCATTATACTCGATTAATTAAAATAAATATTAAAGAAGTTCATTTAATCAAATCCAATAATAAAAGAATCTTTTTGACAAATTGGTTAAAACAAACAGTACAAATTGGTTTAATCACATTATCGATGATTCTTTATAGTGTCAATTACACATGTAATATATGTACATTTTTTTTTAACTCAAGACAAATGCTTTTTCAACCATAAGTTTAATAAAATACTCCTACTTTTCATCATTTTAAAAATTCTACGCTTGAGGTCATAACTTAGTGAAATGAGAATTTACCCTTTGAATATTACCTGGATTCGACTCTCTATGTGGATGTCTGTCATCCTCACGATGCCTTACATATTTATTGAGTTTACAGGATGTTCAATGGGCTTCAGATATTAATTGAGGTGCGGACACCCTGGATTAAAAAAAAAAAAAAATCTGACACTCTAAAATGTAAAAAGCTTTACTGTTCTTTAAACTGATCGCTATGGTTATGTATACTTTTTGAGTCAAATACGAACGTTGAACCTGAACCACCCATTCGAAGCTGTACTAATTTGTATGATTATTAGCATTAATTATCTTCTAAATGATTAAAAAAACTTACTCGACAGTAATAATTTTTAATAATTGAAATTAACACTTTTTATCAAGCGTGAAATTAAATAACATATACAACATATCTTAAGATATTAATTAAATAAGAAATGAACATTCATAATAGAAATATATATTTTAAGAGATAATAGTTTCATAAGTGATAATTAATTATAAAAAAACCCTAAAAAACATTTTTATCTAAAAAATCTATTATTTTATTTTTAAATTTTTTAAATTCAAAAAAATATTTTTTTATCAAAATATTTAATAATTAATTGGTATCAAATTGGGGGTTAACTATGATTGTTTTAGTAAAAAAATATTATTTTGATTTGACGAGTTTTAAAAATAAATTAGTGGATTTTTGTAGATAAAAGGTTTCTGTGATGATTATCCGGTATTACTTTACAGATGGATAGATTATGATTAGTATTAATTAATTACTTATTAATTTTTTGGAAAAGCTTAGTCCCGTAGTCTGATTATTGTACGCTTTGGACTTGTAACGTAGCGCACCAACTTGAGACGCTTTTTCCAACAACTTCCTTGCTAAGCTATATCCACGTCAGACTTGATGACTCATAGTTGTCCTCCCCCTCATTCCTCTAAATCACAATCACCAAACTACGACACAACTCCAATCAACACCGTTCAATTAACAGCAGAAAATCATGATTGGATCAAATTCTACTCCATAGATTCGCTTCTTTGCCTATAAGCATACGCACCGAATCCTCACCAACCATAAGTTAATCGATTCTAGCGAGGAAAAAACTTCACTCTTCCTGTCTTCCAACTCCTTTCAGTTTAGAAACCTACTAGTGTACCACTATAATACAATGACCGGCGGTGGAGGTGATGCTCCATCGATGCCGCCGGCGACTGATGGCGGCGAATTTCTACTCTCTCTACTCCAAAGAGCTAACCAACATCCTCCACCACAACCACCATCGCAGCAGCAGCAGCCATCTCAATGTCCTCCTCAATTCTCTCCTTTTATCACTCCACAATTACAAAATCAAAATCAGCATCAGCATCAGCCTCAGCCTCTCGGTTTTGATCCTGCAGTTGCAGCAGTAGGCCCCAGTCTACCCTTACTGCCTCATCAATTGTTGCAATCCAACGGCCGTGATCTTCTCTCTAGTTCTCCTCCTCTTTGGCCCCACAATCTCGGCTTTCCACAGAAAAACCATGCTTTTCCTCACCCCCACCCCCATGGAAATCAATTCCAAGGAAATCAATATTTAGCAGATGATTTGCAAAGGTTGGGGTTTTCAAATACGGAGATCAGAGCTAATAACAACAACAATAATAATAACAACAACAACAATTTGATTCAGCATCTGCTTCAACAAAAGCAACAGTTAGAGCAAAAGCTACAGTTTGGTTCGTTTTCGAGTGAAATTCAAAGCCCCGCTGAGGGTTTAGTGAATGCGAATTTGAAGCGAGAAGTAGGATTAGGGAGCAGAAATTTAAACGGGTTGGAAAGGAATCGGCATCTCGAGAAGCAACCAAACTCGCATTCGAGGAATTTTGAAGTGCGACAGCCAGGAGGCAGCAGTGGAGGGTGGGGAAACCAGCACCAAAACCAACACCTGCACCAGGAACAGCACCAAAATTATAGGTCTCCGCCTCCGGGTTTTTCGAATAAGCCTAGAGGTGGAGGGGGAGGAAGAGGGAATTGGGATTATCGAAGTAGGAGGAGAGCATTGGAGCATAATATGAACAGGGAAAAGGGAGATTGTAGTGAATTGAATAATGAGAAAGCGAGGAGAGGTGAGGGGTCAGTTGAGTTGGGGCTTGCGAGAAAGCTTGATCGTCCAGGTCCACCTGCTGGGAGTAATCTGCATTCGGTTATGGGTTCGGACATTGAGGAGTCTCTGATCAATTTGGATGAACATGGAAAAGATGATGGAGGGGATTTGGATGATCTTGGTGAAGAGCTGGTGGATTCTTTGTTGCTTGAGGGTGAATCTGATGGCAAGAAAGACAAGAAGCAAAGTAGCAAGGTTAGTTGGTTTTTCTCTTCTATTTGGGCTTTGAGTTTTAAATTCAGTTACTTTGTGTGAACCTTTGAATTGTATTTAATGTTCAAGGAACTAAAATTTGAAGTAACTAGGAGTTTGATATAAATCTCGGCATGCTATTGTAACTAAGGGTTTGGTATGAATCTTCCTCTAGTTAACTGAATAATATGCCTTGATGGACATTCTTAGTAATTCTTCTTAATGAAAGCTAAACTGAGTTTAGTGTAAGAAAATATAATTATTTCTTAGTAGCAGTTTTTATCTCCTTCTCTAACTATGAATCTTTCGGATTCACTTGCGATTTTGATAATCAGGAGTCTAGATCAGATAACAGGGGACAAAAGATACTTAGTCAGAGGATGAGAATGCTTAAAAGGCAAGTGCAATGTCGTTTAGATATTGACCGACTAAATGCTGCATTTCTTGCAATCTATGAGTCACTGATACCGCCAGAAGAAGAAACGGTGAAGCAGAAGCAATTTCTGATGTTATTGGAGAAACTAGTCAACAAGGAATGGCCTGAAGCACGATTATACTTGTATGGCTCATGTGCGAATTCATTTGGAGTTTCAAAGAGTGATATAGATGTTTGCCTTGCAATTGAGGATGCTGAGATTAACAAGGCCGAGGTCTTGTTAAAGTTGGCAGATATATTGCAGTCGGATAACCTCCAGAACGTGCAGGTAAATCAGATTGCTGTCATTATAGAGGATAAATAAATTCAGAGTTCATGCAATAAATGCCAGTAAACGTATCTTCTTTTTTTCAAACTTCTGAATTGTTTACTGGATGAAATAAAGTGACTTGTGTAAGAGCTCCCCCTGAGTGCATGCCTGAAATGTTTTTTTAAAATATTTTATGCACCACGTATAAACTTACCTCCTGGCATTCTGATGAAGTTCTATCATTCCTAGGGCTAGACCCTGGTTTTATATATATTTTTTTCAAATTTACTTTTATTCACGTTAATTATCTTTGCTGAACATTAGAATTAAGTTTCTTGGCATGTGTACTTTCTAGTATTGAATAAACTTCTAAATGCAGTGTCCTTATTAATAAATTACCATTGATAGTTTCCAAGATAGAATCCCTCTAGAAGATAAGATTATCATTTTTCTTATGTGATAACTAGTTCAAATATTATTTTCCCAAATCTTGGTGGACGATATGAAAAAAAAAACACAATTGAGTCCCTCAACTTTAGTGCCACGTTGGTGTAAATCGTGGGGCCTGCAGATTAAACATCCTATGTGTTGCAGGTGCTTGGGGCTGTATCTCTTCTTCTATTTATGGATTATTTTTTGTACCATAAATAGATTTCCACCATCCTCATGGTTCAAAGCTAATGAGTAATTTTAGTTAAAGGAAATTTTATTGATGAAGGAAACGGATTGAATTACAAATGGAGAAAATGACATCTTCCAAATGAAAAAGTACACACTTGAACAACTGGAATATCAGAGCCCTGAGCCCTCATCGCTTTGACATATGACCCATCAAAGAAAGCTCTGGAGAGCCCTCTGTTGTGGAACAGCATAGGGATGGCAAATTCCACAAGAATTGTTTTGGAAAGGCTCTATTCTCAAAAGTTCTAGAGTTCTACTCTATCAACAACCGCTGAAAAGGATAGAAGTTGCAAAGAAAGCTCACTTCCCCAATGTCTTGCTGTCTTTGCATCTGTCCAAACTCTTAAAATAGATCAATAACAACTCCTCCATCTTACGTGTAACGCTCCCCCTTCTCATTAGGGATATGCAATACGGATAATTGAAAGATATGCAATACACATAATGATTTTTATTGCTATCGTGAATTGCACTATTTGGCCACTGGCCACCATTTTTGGGTGTTTGAAGAGCTGTTTGCATTGTAATTATGGCTTTAAGAGGACAAAGTTGTGTGATACTACGTTTGTAGCGTGTGATGTGATGACATGATTAGATTACCATTACAACCCCATGATGAAAGGCTAATTAATTCCGCCAAAGTTTATGTTGCTGATTACAATACTTTGCAACTAGCAATTTTAGGTGTTCTATGAACTATAAGCTTGTTATGATGCCTACCTTAAATTGCTTGAGAAGTAGACCTTAGTAATAAATATAACAAGTTACTGATCATTTTGATATTTTCCTTTTTATTGTTAGGTTCCCTATTATATTAGATGTCTTCAGAGGATTTTTCTCTTGTTGCAGTTGGGTAATAAAATGAATCTCATTTGATAAGATGGTAACAGTTGTGTTCTATACTGCGTTGGTAATTTTGTTCTAGAACCATGTTATCAAGACAGTTCTGTGTGCAAGCACTCGCATTCACACGTGGCCTGATAGCAGCCCTTTACTTGTTACACAATCATTTGGATGTGTCTTCCTTTTGTGTGTATATGGCATATCAGTTCTGTGACTCATTGATTGACCTGGGTAATTTATCGCCCTGACGTTCTCCATGCTTTTTTTTTTTTATTTTCTGTTTTCCTATTTGTCCCATTTGGGCCCTTATTTTCCAGTTGGGAGTGAATGTGTTTTTCCTCTCTTTCTTGGTAACTCTATTGTTAAGGTATTGATGAGTTATTATTTTGTAAGCCTAGTGATATGAGGTCTTGGAACTATTATGTGCCATTTCTTCTTTATGAGAATAATCATGTTTCTTCCTTTTTTTTTATATTAAATTTTGTTTGCAAGTGTTCGGACAACTTTAAGATGATCAACGCATTTTCTATTGACTTGCGCAGTTCATTCGCTTAGTCATCTTTTTCAGCTATATCTAAGCTTGAGGTACCTCCAAAAAATAATTATCTTGTTGGGACAAGTGCTTCATGGGGTTAACAGTAAGAAATGTGCTCTGAAACAGTAAGGTAGAATCCTTTCTGAGATTTAAAATGAGAGCATGGTCTTGCAAAATAACTTAGATATGTAAGACAATATTGGATCCTTTACTTAAGTACGTCATTAATCCAGTTGTAACTTAATTACTATATACGATGTCTTTTTTGATCTTCCATAATTGCATCACTGTGCAGGCATTGACTCGTGCTAGGGTTCCCATAGTAAAGCTTATGGATCCGGTAACTGGCATCTCTTGTGACATATGCATAAACAACGTTTTGGCTGTTGTGAATACAAAGCTACTTCGGGATTATGCGCAAATAGATGTGAGATTGCGGCAGTTAGCGTTTATAGTGAAACACTGGGCCAAGTCAAGAGGAGTAAATGCAACTTACCAAGGGACCCTATCTAGCTACGCGTGAGTCATCATTAAAGAATTATATATTTTCCTAAACTTGTCATTAGGCCTATATGATCTAAAGGCATTTGTTCGTTAACTATGTTTTTGGTGCCTAATATTTCTCTTTTTCAGGTATGTTTTAATGTGCATTCATTTTTTACAGCAGCGTAGACCTGCTATACTTCCATGCTTACAGGTCTGTATTTCTGTTCTGTTTGTTTATTTTGGAATCTTAGATATGGTTGTTTTTATCGTTGCAGTCATTTGGACATTTCAGTATGTGCACATATCATGCTTTAATTAATGTTATTCTTCCCAAATGTTAAGGGAATTGGATGTGCTTTTGATTTCTTCACTCTTACTATATTGCTTCAGTTGAATAGATGAGTGCCCTAAAACTCAATAGTGTGGGAAATCTGAACCTTTTGCTGGTTATCAGCTCAGGATTTTGATTTTAGTTAGCGCTTACATGCCATATCATGATGTTCTCTGTTGTGTTGCCAAAACATTTGCTTTTCAATCTTATATGGTACTTGGCATTGTTTTTCGATTGAGCAGCGAGGCTAAGGGGATGTTGGGTTCTTTGCTTTGGTTTATGAAGTGCATTCCTGCTATATCGTTGTATCCGATTACTCTTCAAAGAGCAACTTATTCTTCCCGAAATAAGTTCACTGAATCAGTTTGCTGATAAATACCAACCATTGGAGTGATCTCATCAGTGGGTCCCACAAAGAACCCTCAATCAAGTGGTTATGATTTTCATTTGGGGCCAATATTTTGAACAATAATATCATTCAGCTTCAAAATCTTATACCTGAATAAAGCATTTCAAAGTGAAATTTGTTACCTGTTTTAATACTGTCTTTGCTGTAAATGTTTTTGGCTTGTTCCTTAATTTTGTTAGCTGTTGCTCTCTTTCAGGAAATGGGAACGACATACTCTGCCACTGTAGATGATATTCGATGTGCTTACTTTGATCAAGTTGAAAAACTACGTGGTTTTGGATCTCGGAACAAGGAAACAATTGCTCAGTTAGTGTGGGCTTTTTTCAATTATTGGGCATATTGTCATGATTATGCAAATGCTGTTATATCCGTTCGGACAGGAAGCATCCTCAGGTGAAATGTGCAATCCAGTGTCTTCTCACAGTATTTTTATTCTGCGAGACTGAAGTAACAAATATATGCATTGTGATTATTTTTCATACATACTATAACCAATGCTGGACAGCATTTTTTATTTATTTATATTGTAGGTGAAATTGAGATTTCAAAATATTTTCTTTCTGCTTATACTTTATGGTCAGCTTGAAATGTTTCGTGCAGTTGACTGACTGTAATACTGTGGTTGTTATTTTACAGCAAACGGGAAAAGGACTGGACAAGGAGGATTGGGAATGATCGTCATTTGATATGCATAGAGGACCCCTTTGAGATATCTCATGACCTGGGTAGAGTTGTGGATAAATTCAGCATAAAAGTTCTGAGAGAGGAGTTCGAACGAGCAGCAGATATCATGCAGTATGATCCAAATCCCTGTGTAATGCTTTTTGAACCCTATAGTCCTAGTTGACTTGTCTCTACTTGGAGAAGCGTAATAGACGTATTTATGGGTAAGTTATACTCGGCATGTAAAGTTGCTTTTGTCATCTCATCCTTGTTTTCATAGTCTTCTTCTATTCTGTCCCTGGTATAGAACTTCTAGTTTTCAGAATTCTTCAAATTGTAAGTTTAGGTTTCGACAGTCGGCTGAAAGGCAGCCTATTACTCCCTGAGATGGACTCCAAGAGGCTCCAACCATCCCAGAAAGTTGGAATTGAGGGAGGGAAGTAAATTTTTAGGGGAGTATCTTTCTTTGTTTTGTAGGCTCTTCGTCCCAGGTTGGTTTATGGGAAACTCAAAACACTGAGAAGGGAACTCTCCTGCGTTGTTAAAAATGGAAGTGTATGTGTGCAAAAATTTCCTTTAATCACAAGCTAGTCATCGTTATAATATCAGTAGCAAGTTCGAATTTAATAAATGTAACTTTATCTTTTTCACCAAATTCAGACTGGAAAAAATTCATGCTACTTTGTTTACAGATTTGCAATTCTATAAGACGCATTCAAAGAGGACCAAAAATATTGTCTGGAGAATCAACTTTTTCCCTGTTTGGGGCATTTAGATCTTTAGAATTAATTGGGCAGTGGTAGAATTATCAACTGGACGTCGCGCTCTTGCGATTCCCCTCAACAAAGAACCATCATAACCATAACTCACCACCTGGAATTCTGACGCACAATCTCAACTAACTGAATTATTGTATTGTTTTAACATAATTGAATTATTATATCATCTATGTAGAGTAAATTATAAATTAGTCTTCCTATTTTTGAAAAATGAATGACTTTTTTTTTTTGGGAAACTGATTATTAAATTTATTGACCGGGGTTGATTATATGTAATTTAATGTTATTTTATTTCATAAAATATCTTTTTTTTCTTATCAATATATATATATCTCATTTATAATAAAAAAGAATTAAATTACAATAAAATTTAAAAAATATAAATATTAAATAATTAGTTTTTGAAAAAGAAGTATTAATTAATTTGTTTTACAAAGCTAGAACTTATTTATAATCTTGTCTTCCCTTTTTTTTTTTTTCTCCTTTGAAGTGAGACAGAACTTCATTTTCAAACTTGAGAAAAATCCTTCAATACAAGATTAGAGACATGATTGGAAAACTCTTCTATCCAAATCTTTTCAGGGACAATAGGATCTGCGAGCATAAGCAAGTCTACTTCCATCTCTCTTAATACGAGAAAGATTGAAAACATTCCTCTAAAATACTAATATCCGCAATAAGAAAAACACTGCTGGAAGGGCATGTGTCTGGTCTGCTAAAGAGCCTTAACAACGGCAAGGCAATCACGAGCCAGCAACGCTCCATGGAGGACCACCATAGCTTGCGCGATATCTACTGTAAACTCAGCTGCAATGAAGACAGTGGCTGCTGACATAACCAAAAGTTTCTAGCAGCTAAACCCTGACCTGTTCCGTTATGTAAGCCAACTAAACCCAGGCGGATCAGTATTAAGTTTAAAAAAGCCTTAAGCTAGGCAGGACCATAATACTGGATGAGAATTAGGGAGTCTCCTGCATCGGTATTCCATTGTCACCTTACCAAACTCTCCATATGCTATCCAGCAAAGGAAAGTGCAAGAAAATATGTTTAGTCGCTTTTCAATTGAGTTTAGAATCGGGGTTCTTTAATTGTTTGTGTTTTATTTTTTTGCTAATTAAATTATAAATAAACCCTCAAACTTTCAATTTATTTCCCGCTAAATGAGTTCTAATCTTTAATTCCTAGAAAAAAAAAAACATAATATTTCTCTTAAACTTTCATGTGTCGTTTCCCCAACCATTCACAACTTTTTTTTTTTTGTTAAAAATAAATCATTTCTTGTCTTATGAGCATTTTGTAGTTTTTTTAATCATACATTCGTGCAATTAAATCATGAAAATTAGTGAAGAGTTTTGGTGCTTAGTTATTGGAGATTAAAGTATTAGAATGTAATTACAAAATATTAAAAAGTTTGAGGACTAAAGGAGAGAGCCAGATAGCACTTCCAGCAACATTTTCCAGGGGGTCAGTTATTCCTGTACTAAATACAATACTAAAAAAATTGATTAATCAATTCTTTGTACCAATTTAATTGTTAATTGATTTCTTATTCTGAATTAAACAATCAATTTGTTTAATACAAGTTATTCCACCGTGGTTTTGCTAACTATGTTAAGTATTATGTGTTCTTTGACTTTATCGAAACAATTATTTTTTTTATTATAGAAAATATTTATTGAAATTATAAAAAATTATAATTTCTATTTTTATAATTGTTCACCTGTGAACTTTATTTATTTATTTTTTTTGGAATTTTTTAATTATTTCAATAAATAATTTTTGTAACAAAAAATAGAAAGAAAAAATAACTAAAGAAGTCAAAGAGGTCAAAAGACATGTGTCACTTGATTATGTAATTTTCTTAATTATGTTAACAAAATCACTAATGTAGGGCTCGCATTAAACAAATTGATTGAGTATAAGGATTCAATTAAAATTTAAATTGTGATAAGATCTGATCGATCAATTCCTCATAGTACATGGACTGTATGAATTGTTGGCCCATTTTTCAAGTACCAGATGACTCTTAACACGGAGGTATTGCCTACAAGCAGAACAGCGTCAAGTGAGTAAAACCCAACATCGGAGCTTCTGTTGTCATACTCAAAAATGGCAATCAATGACAATAACACTGACTCTAACAAATCCCAAAAACAAGAAGAAAAAGATCTCCCAAAAGTAGTGATCTTCTTACCACCTCCAGTCTTTTCACTCATTGGCGAAGAATCCTTTGCATCCAACAAATTCCTCTTCTTGAAAGCCTACGACTCCCAACTCCCTCTACTCCAGTTCTTGTCCACTCACTCTAAATCCATAAAAGCCATACTTTCCTCCGGTGGTGCAGCCGTCAACGCGGACATCCTCCAGCTGCTTCCGGAGGTTGGTCTGGTTGTCACCACCAGCGCTGGTCTAAACCAGATTGACATTCCTGAGTGTCGCCGCCGTGGTATCAAGATTGCGAATGCAGGCAACGTGTATTCTGATGATGTGGCTGATTTGGCTGTTGGTTTGTTGATTGATGTTTTGAGAAAGGTTTCGGCTAGTGATCGTTACGTGAGGCAAGGGTTTTGGGCTACCAAAGGGGACTATCCTCTCGGTTCTAAGGTCTTGATTCTTGAATATCTTTATTTTATTTGGGGATTTGTTAGTTTTTTGTCACTTAAAGAATGGTAAGTGGAAGGAACACTAGACTTGATTGAATCTCTGCTTTAAGTTAGTATTTCTGGTTTAGATAATTAATTATGTCTAATTGTTGGAGTGAAATTGCTGTGAACACATAAATTGATTTTGTTTACTCCGTAACCATTCCATTTATTGTCAATGAAACTAAAGAACAACAACAAAGCCTCAATCCCAAACTAGCTGGTCGGCTATATTATCCTCTACCTTTCATTTTGTTCACGAAACAAAATGTAGATAAAAATGGATTTCTCGAAAAGAATAAAAGAAGCAAATGGAGATAAAATAAAGTTCGACACCAGCTGATAGTCCTTCAATTGCACTATCTAATTGTATCTGATTATGCGTATGCTTTGTGTTTGGTAATTTCAGCTGGGAGGTAAGCGAGTTGGAATTGTTGGATTGGGAAATATTGGACGTGAAGTTGCTAAAAGGCTCGAGGCCTTTGGTTGTTTTGTTTCGTACAACTCCAGGAAGAAAAAACCATATGTTTCGTACCCGTTCTATCAAAATGTCTGTGAACTTGCAGCTAATTGCGATGCTCTCATCATTTGCTGTGGATTAAGTGACGAAACCCATCACATGATCAATAAGCAAGTGCTGTCAGCACTGGGGAAGGAAGGAGTCATTGTAAATGTTGGACGCGGGCCTATTATTGATGAGAAGGAAATGCTGAGGTGTTTGGTGCAAGGGGAGATTGCAGGTGCTGGCTTGGATGTATTTGAGAATGAGCCTGATGTCCCTAAAGAGTTTTTTGCATTGGATAATGTTGTGTTGTCACCACATAGGGCTGTTTTTACACCAGAATCTGAGAAGAATTTAAGCCAACTTGTGGTGGGGAATTTGGAAGCTTTCTTGTCAAATAAGCCTTTACTCTCCGAATATGTGGATTAATGAATCATTTAACTCATCTGTTTGCAGGTCAGTTTCTTTTATCATCTCTCGTATAATATCTGTTAAGGATTAAGCAAAATCTGAAGAAAGCTTCGACAAGCTATCTCGTTTTCCAACATAATGAGATCAATTTTTTACCTACATGATTATTATTCTGTTGTTGGATAATCGAACCTATCTCTATTTTGTTTCAGCTTGGTAAATTTTATTTGATTCGTTCAAATAATTGTTCCACATTCTTCTGTATTCGTGCAGGAAATAAAAGAATGATGTAACTACAAAGCGAGTAAGATGAAAGATGAAAAATTGCTGTATCATCATTACTGGATAGCTGTCTTAGGAGGAGCAAGCGTGAAGAATTACCTTCTTATCAGAATTATTTGGATGCTATAGTTACATCCTAAAATCCTGGCCATGGCTTATCTGTGTTTCTTAATGCAAGCTGGCATATGGTCAGTTTATCAGACTTCATGATGGAGAAGTTAACCCTCCATCACAATGTTTTATTTTCATTGCCTGTGTATTTGCAGATATGTACTATTATAATTGCAGTAGCTGACGATTGTTTTGAATTAAAACCAGCTGTTTTATCTTGCGAGCTTAAGATATCAGTGATGGAAAAATGTTTTTCTTTGGTGAAATCTCTTGACACTGAATCTTTCTTGAACTTTTTTTTTGATGAAAAATGTAAGACATTGGCTAATTATCCAAAAAATTATTTTTTCCTTTTGTCCTTGGTTGAACGGCCTAGGCTGCCCGGCGCTTGGGCCAGTCTTGACAGCTCGCGCATGGCTTTTTTTTTTTCGAAAAAAAAATTACTACAGTAAATGAATAGTGATAATCCTAAATGTTTTAGTTTTTTCAGTAATATATATATATATATATATATATAAGTGTAAAATTGAAAACTTTGGCTAACTGTGCTAATTTCACACGAGAAATTATTAAGAATGCCAGAAGTTTCACTGAGCTTTCTCACAAAAATATGAGACCTATTATAAAAATAATTTATGGATTTTATGAGGAGTGATACAGTTCCGGAATAATTCCTTGTTTCATACAATCAATCTCACTGATCTAATTGATGTGGCATGCATCTGATGCTCTGCAACGACCATGACAGCTTCTCTCGAACTTTGATTCTGAAGCATAATCCTCGGAAGACCTCCAAGACAAGCATAAATTTCAAGCATCAGAAGACTCCTCTTGGCTGGTACCTAAAGCAGCAAAACAGAAAACGAAGTCGAAATCTCCCACTTCTTCCCTCCATTCGTCAACCCAACAACATTAGTGTCAATCATTACCGACTCTGACAAACCTGAAGAATCCCAACAACAAGATCTCCCGAAAGTTATAATCTTCAACCCACCTCCTGTCTTCCAACTAGTTGGCGAACAGCACTTTGCATCCAATCAATTCCATTTCTTGAAAGCTATGACTTCCCACTTCCTCTAGACCAGTTTTTATTTGTCTACTCATTCCCACTCTATTGAAGTCATCTTTTCCTCCTCTTCAGCACCCGTCACAGCCGATATCCTCCGGCTGCCGCCAGAGATTGGTTTGGTGGTTACCGTCGCCTTAACCAGGTTCATCTACCTGAATGCCACCGTCGCATCATAGTTGCTACTGCAGGCAATGTTTATTCGGATGATGTGGCTGATTTGGCTGTTGGTTTGATGTTTCGAGGAAGGTTTCGGCGAGCAATCGTTGTGTGAGGCAAGGGCTTCGGGCTACTAAAGGGAAATACCCTCTTGATTCTAAGGTTTCAAACCTTTCAGCTTTATCTCCTGTAATTATGGACTTGCTAGTTCTGTAATACATAATTGTCTCTATTTTTGTCCTCTTAGTTCTTGTCTTCTTGATGTTAAGTTTTGATGCTGATGTAAATTTTAGTCTTAATTACACTTCTAGAAGAACGTTGGACGCGGGGCGACCATCAATTAGAAGGAAATGTTACGGTGTTTGGTGCAGTGAGAGACTGCAGGCGCTGGCTTGGATGTGTTTGAGATGAGCCTGATGTTCCCAAAGAGCTCTTTGCATTGGACAACTTTGTGCTGTCACCACATAGGGCAGTCTTTACACCAGAATCTTACAAGGACTTAAGTAAACTTGTGGGGGAGAATTTGGAGGCTTTCTTCTCCAACAAACCATTACTCTCTGAATATGTGGATGAATGAATGGCTTAGCTCTTCTGTTTACATGTTAGTTTGTATAATGTTCTCCTAACAAGGAGCAAATTTCTGCAAATTCAAACATAAAGAGAACGATCAACGTTAGTATTTTGTTTGTGTTTTACTCATGCCAGCATTTGAATTTGATGAGAGCCACTTTAGTCAAGTGAGCTTTAATTTTTGTGCTAAATAAGCTAAACTGCTCCTGAATTTTTAGTTTGTTTGATCAAGTGAGCTTTAATTTCTAACTAAAAAAAGCCAAAATTTTCTTCAATTTTATTTCATTTAAAAATTAGTTTTTGAAATTTAATTTTGGGTTTGATTGATTGATTTATTTATTAGATTTATTCCATTATATGATTTTCAATTATCACTTTTCTATTTAAAAAAAATTTAATTTTGATAGTTTGAACTGACGTTTTGCAAATACATTGAGAAAAATCAAATTTTTTTTTAAAAAAAAATCTCTGAATTTTTCAGGATGTGAGTATATATTTTTTATTTTCTGAAAATTAAAAATATAAAAAACTAAAAAAATAATTCAATTTTTTTTTTTTTGGAGATTCCTGTTAACTTTTATTGATTTAATAATAAGGCTATTTATGTGGTGATTATTTTTTATAAAAAACTTTAAAATGAATAAAATTTCAATTTAAAAAATAGCAAAAAGTCAAATCCAAAATTAAAATTTTGAAAACTAATTTTCAAATATACTAAAATTTATGAATAAATTGACCCTTTTATCCTTTATTTCTTTGTGAACTATAGTGTGTCTCAGAGGGAGTCGAGTTGAGTTATATATATGGTCCTTGAAAAATTTGACCCCGTCCATTTCTCAAAACTTTTGCTTGCCGTTACCCTGTTCTGTCTGTGCAGGTCAAATGGATTCAGGACCCATCTTAGTTGGGATGGTTTTATTTTTGTTTTATTTTTTAATAATAAATCTGCATAGTAAAAACAATTATATGTGATAAAATAAATTGTTAATGTATATGCATAAATAAAATTTTTAAAAATATAACCAAATATATATATATATTCAAGAATAGATAGGGTTGGGTATCTATTAAGTCAGTTTAAAATGACATCCTTCTATCATATAATGTTTGAGGCCAACCCTCTCAATTTAATTTGGACCTTATGATTTTAATTGTTTGGTTTTCTTTTCTTGATCGACCAAGACGGTGAATTTCAGGAATCTTTTTCCTTGTATTTCGACTCACATAGATAAGATTGTTGTAAGAAATGTTCCCTCCATGGGTTGTCTTAGTATAGGGCAGTACCGAAAGCAGAGCACAGAAAGAAGTCCAAAAATCCCATTCACCCCTGAGCTTCTGTTCTCCAAAAATAAGAAATGGCTGTCTCTCTCCCCAATGTCCTCGTTCTCAAACCAACTCCATTTATCACTCTTCTTGGTGAACAATTCTTTGCATCCAAAAAATTCACTTTCTTGAAAGCCTATGACTCCCCACTCCCTCTACACCAATTCTTGTCAACTCACTCTCACTCTATAAAAGCCATCCTTTCCTCTGTTGGCGCACACGTCACCGCTGACATCCTGCAGCTGTTGCCAGAGGTTGGTCTGGTTGTCACTACTAGTGTCGGGCTTAACCAGGTTGACGTCCCTGAGTGCCGCCGCCGCGGTATCAAGCTTGCCAATGCAGGCCATATTTTTTCCGACGATGTAGCTGATCTTGCTGTTGGGTTATTAATTGATGTTTTGAGGAAGGTTTCGGCGAGTGATGGATATTTGAGGAAGGGTCTTTGGGCTACTAAATGGGACTACCCTCTTGGTTCTAAGGTTTAAATTAAAATTCTCTTTATTTAGTATCCATTTTGTCTTCTGGGTTCTCAATGCTAATTCTTGATTGCCTTTTCACTCTTAATTTTGTTTATCAGAAAGAAAATGTTGCCCCATAAGAAAGAAACTGATAATTGTTGAGGGGTTGGGGAGCTTAGTGCAAAGACCATCTATGCATTTAGATTGGTCCTCGTTTTAATTTTGATGCTGAAAATCAAAGATCATACTTTAATGACTAAAAGCATTCCGTTTCTTGTCAATTCGACAAAATGGAGATAGTAAATTTTCAATCTTGTCAAAGCTGTGATTGAATTTCACCATCTTATCATCCGGTTATTTATATTTTCTGATTCTTAATTTCAGCTAGGATGCAAGCAGGTTGGGATTGTTGGATTGGGAAATATTGGATATGGAGTTGCTAAAAGGCTTGAGGCTTTTGGGTGCAGTGTCTCATACTGTTCCAGGAAGAGAAAACCGTTTGTTTCATACCCTTTCTACGAAAGTGTATCTGAACTTGCAGCTAATTGCGATGTTCTTATGATTTGTTGTGGATTAACTGACCAAACCCACCACATGATCAACAAGGAAGTACTGTCAGCATTGGGGAAGGAAGGGGTCATTGTAAACATTGGACGTGGGGCTATTATTGATGAGAAGGAAATGGTGCGGTGTTTGGTGCAAGGAGAGATTGCAGGCGCTGGTTTGGATGTGTTTGAGAATGAGCCTGATGTTCCAGAAGAGCTCTTTGCAATGGACAATGTTGTTCTGTCACCGCATATTGCAGTCTTTACACAAGAATCCTTTAAGGATTTAAGGGACCTCCTGGTGGGGAATCTGGAAGCTTTCTTTACAAATAAACCACTGCTTTCTGAATATGAGGATTGATGAATGATTCAATTAACTCTTCTGTTTGCAGGTTAGTATTTTAACTTTCTCCTAATAGATCTCCGTTAGTGAACAAATTTCAGCTAGGTATCTCATTAAATGAATTTTGATCACCATATTGTTTGATATTATATCACTGGCATGTTTTCTGTAGCAAGTCATACTTTAATCTTAGGCATTTTGGCCATACACTCACAAGGAGTAATAATCTTTATCAGAGCAAAAAGGAAAAAAAAATAAATGGATGGCCAGCTTAAGATACTAATAAGGAGCTACACAAAATTAATTTCTTGTTGATATGCTAGTCTTTGGTTGTGAATGGCCTGTTTAAGACCAGACCGGATAGGGGATTGTCACCTTAGCAAAAACTGGCTGATAATATCCTTACTCGCTGAGTCATAAAAAGAAAGAAAGGTACTTAGTTAAGGTCAAATTGAGTAATTAGCTTTTTGTTAGGCTTAATGTGAGTAGTCAATGCATGCTAAATTAGGAAAATTAGTTTCATTAAGGAAAATAAATTCCAATCACAAATATAAAAAAGGAAACCTATGAATTAGGAATAGAAAAGAAAGCCAGATTATTCCGGAGATGTTCCCTAATTGAAAGGATTGCTGAAATTTCTCCCCACTTTTTTTTTGTTCCTTTTTCTTTTTACTTTTTATATTCCCATAAAAAAAACCCACCTTTTCTTATAAGTTAATGTCTTTATACATGTGGACTGATCAAATATAATGTGATATTGTTACTTGCAAACCGAACCTCTTTTCCATCAGATGAAGAAGATTGACAATTTTTTGTATCATTCTATGGTTATTTGGTGTCGACTTTAAGCACACCAATCTCTTCCTCTTTCGGTGTCTCTCTAGTAAAATTTATTATTTGATTCCTGCTGGTGATTGTCCTACAATCTGCATGCATGCAGGATATCATTACTTGGTATTTGTATATGGCATGTGTTTGAGGGCAAGTTCCACAAGTACTTTGTATTGCCGTCATTGTCAAATATTAGTTACTTAACCTCTGATCCCTGTCATGGTTTATCGGTGATGCTTTAAGGAAGACATTGAAGATTCAATACATGGTCAGTTTCTTAAACCTTCTATGCGTTAAACTCCATGCAGATGTTGGTTTATATTGATTGCCGAAGTATTTGCACTCTATTTATGATCATTGCAGGATTAGATTACACAGCTTTACTTATGCTTGATAGCTTTCGATGGCTGAAGTTTTTGTGTATATGTTTCTCAATTTGTGGGTTATTGGTTCCATATTGATAGTAGGATTGCCTCCAAAAACTTGACACGTCAGAGAAGGATTGTTGTTTCATCCTCCGTGTTTATTCAAAGTCGAGAAGGACAATTCATAATCATTTCTAAAACAGACAGAGAATAGAAGTAGAACTGTTCTTTGATCTTTCGTCATCCTTGCCTAGTCAAATTATCTATCATGCCTGTCATGATCCTGGAAATCAGCAAGGGAGAGATTGTCTATTAAACCAACTTAATTTTTTCTTATTTTCTCCACTGGCTAATTGATAATATGGCATGGTGTTTTGTACTCTGCACACATCCTGTCCCCATATTAATACATAATTTTGCCTTATTCTGTCAATCACATTACATCAGTACTTAGACAACAAATTTTCTGCTGTTTTGTTTTGATTACGTATTAGCACCTTTTCACATGATGGACCCATTTCACCTTCTCCACTCACACATCATTTCCCATTAGTTCCGTAAGAATATTGCCTTGTGTTTTGGAAAAATTAGTCTGTACATTTGTTTGTGTGAGTCATTTCTTGGTAGAATTTTCCTTAAATCTCAAATCTCCTATCTCAGAAACTGTAAAAACGAAAGCCACCCATCTCAGGATTCCAAAACTCTCAATGGAACACGAACTATACCATCAGCATCATTCCTTAGACCTTCCGCAAGTGCTGGTACTTAAACCACCAGCATTCTTCAAATACCTTGAAGACCAATTAGTCAATAAGTTCCCTCTTTTGAAAGCATGGGAGTCACCATTATCTCAAGATAAGTTCTTGAAACCCCATGCGCATTCAGTTCAAGCCATGATATGCTTAGCATGTGTGTCTGCCTATGCTGCCATCCTCCAACTGCTGCCTGCTCTGCATCTCATTGTCACTGACAGTGCTGGCCTCAGTCGCATAGACCTTCCTGAGTGTGCTACTGCTGCGGGGTTGCTGTGTCAGATGCTGGAAACATTTTTTCTAAGGATGGGGCAGAGATGACAGTGGGGTTGTTGATTGATGTGTTGAGAAAAATTTCTGCTGCTGATCAGTATGTGAGGCAAGGGCATTGGTCTGTTTACTAACCTCTTGGTTCCAAGGTCACTGTCCCTCGCCATAATCTCTCTTGATTTTGTTTGTTCGTACTGCTTAATAATGTAATTCTAATTTTGGAACATAATTTCAGTTGGATGGCAAGCAAGTTGGGATTGTTGGACTTGGAAGCATTGGAATAGAGATTACTAGAAGGCTTGAGGCCTTTGGCTGCAATATCTCTTATAATTGAAGGAAGATGAAACCATCTGTCAAATACCTTTTCTACTTAAATGTCTTTGACCTTGCATCCAACAGTGATGTCCTCATCATTTGTTGTGGATTAACTGACCAAACCCGTAACATGGTAAGTAAGGAAGTTGTAATGGTATTCGGGAAGGAAGGAGTGATTACTAAAATTGGATGCGGACCTATTATTGATGAGAAGGCAGTGGTGCGCTGCTTGCTCGATGGAGAGATTAATGGTGCTGGTTTGGACGTGTTTGGAAATGAGCCTAATGTTCCTAATGAGCTATTTGAATTAGATAATGTTGTTCTATCCCCACATAGAGCTGTCTTCACCGAGGAATCTTTCTAGTTGTGTGAACTTGTGAAGGGGAACTTATAAGGTTTCTTCTCCAACAAACCCTTACTTTCCCCAGTCATGGACGATTGAATGCAAAGTTTCTAGGCTCTGCAGACTAAATAGTATGATATCATTTCTTCTTCTTCTTCTTTTTCCCCTTTACATTGGGAATTGGATGCTTGTCAATCATCAAGAATGCATTCCAAATCCACCCCTTTTGTAGTGGAAATTATGTAGAAATTGTGAACAACTTAATTTTGTCGTTAAACAAGCTTCAGTTGCATGCCCTTATGATTAGGATTCAAGCTTCTTTTGCTGATAGTATTTGCTTTGTTCTTTTCCAAGAGCGATGGTTTTCTTTTATTAACTTTCATTCGTGTCTCGATGCTAATTCATACGTGCACGTTTCTCTTTCGTGATCAGTACAGTCGCAAATTTTAGTGGAACAGGGAGCGAAACAAAAAAATTGTTGTTGATGTTCATATAATTGACCCTCTAATGGTATAAAGCTGCAAAAGGATAGTTATGTTTGAAAATTGCAGGTTGATAACATCATGACACGGTTTCATCATCATTTTTTCAATTGATATTTTTTTTTCGAAAAACAATAAATTAAGATCACTTCTAGGCTCTCTCACCATAGAACTTTGAGTATAACCATTGACAAAAATATATTATTTAAAGTTTTAACTACAAAAGTATTTTAAAATAAATATAAATAGAAAGAAAGATAATTTTTTTTGAAACTGAAAGACTAGTATAATATATATATATATATATATATATATATTATAATCTATCATGTTATCCATTTGAAGCAATAAAACCATCATTTAAGAATTAACTCATTGACCACTATTATTAAATGATGGTTTTCTAACGATGGATGAAAGTTTTTTAACCAAGGAGGATACGGAGTGAAATTTCCTTCAATTTTTATTATGGGCTCTTATTTTTACTATACATTGACATGAAAAATGAAATGTTCTTTTCTTTTTTTATTTTAGAAATCGGTAAATCCGCGTGATAGATCACACAAGAGGAACCACTCATCAATAGAAAAGATCTTATTTTCAACAATATATATATATATATGTTTTGAAAAACACATAACTTCAAGAACTAACATGTACTTTAGGGAGGCCATGGCTCCCTCCCGTCCCAGGGTAGCTCCGTCTACCTGTAAGATTCAGGAAAGGACCAATGTGAAGTCTAAAAGGTCGACATCCGCACAATAGCTGTTTGAGTGCTTGATTTGAATAAAATATTAAAAAGAAGTCATTAAATTCTTAAGGACGCTACTAATTATTATGCATCAGCAGGGAGGTCCCAACATTGCTGGCATTTGTAAAATGCTATCTTAATCATTTGTAAGGATCCACCAAGAAATTGAGCACCAAAAGAACCCATAAAAAGTGAAAGCCAACCCATGAAAGGCCATAAGAAAAGTCATAGCATAGCATCACTATTGACAGTGACCATTACTTCATTTTTCACCATGAAATCCATAAGATACCTTTTCTTCTCTCTTCATTTGCAAGCATCCGCTCTTTTTGTTTGCCAATTTTGAGCTTGAAATACTATATATGATTGATTCTTCTTCGTTAGGACCCTCTATTTTATTCATAAAAAAAAAAAAAGACAAGAACTTTCCTTTCCCTTGATGGAGAATGAAGAACAACATAATACTAGAGATCAAAACCACAAACCCCAAGACCTTCCGCAAGTCCTACTCCTAAAACCACCACCAGTCCTGTCAGTTCTCGGCGAACACCATTTTTTATCAAACAAATATCAACTCTTGAAAGCATGGGAATCCCATCTTCCTTTAGATCAGTTTCTTACCACACACGCTGACTCAATCCAAGCCATTCTCTGCTCGGGTGCCGCTCCCGTCACAGATGATTTACTCCACCTGCTAACCTCTGTGCGTCTTGTCGTCACCGCCAGCGCTGGCACTAATCACATTGATTTGGAGGCGTGCCGCCGCCGCGGAATTTCTGTAACCAATGCGGGGACTGTGTTCTCTGACGATGGCGCCGATGCGGCGGTTGGATTGTTGATTGATGTGCTGAGAAAGATTACAGCCTCTGATCGGTATGTGAGGCAGGGGATTTGGGTCAATAAAGGAGACTATCCTCTTGGTTCTAAGGTCATGAAAATATCTTAATAATGATCATGTGATTTCGCTTAAGAATTTTTATGAACAGCCCTTTCCGTTTTCTAATTCTGTGTGGTGTTGGGTTGTTGTTAACTTCAGTTGAGAGGCAAGCGAGTCGGAATTGTTGGATTGGGAGGCATTGGCTTGGAAGTTGCTAAAAGGCTAGAGGCTTTTGGCTGCAATGTTTTGTATAATTCAAGACAGAAAAAGGCATTTCTTGATCAATATCCATTCTATTCCGATGTATGCGAACTCGCAGCTAATAGTGATGCCCTGATCATTTGTTGTGCATTGACGGACCAAACCCGCCACATGATCGATAAGGAAGTCTTTTCGGCATTGGGGAAGGAAGGTGTCATCGTTAACATTGGACGTGGGGCTATTATTGATGAGAAGGAAATGGTGCAGTGTCTGGTGCACGGAGAGATTGCAGGTGCTGGATTAGATGTGTTTGGGAATGAGCCTGATGTTCCTAAAGAGCTCTTTGAATTGGATAATGTTGTTCTATCCCCTCATAGGGCTGTCTTTACACCAGAATCTTTCATGGCCTTGTGTGAACTTGTGGTTGGCAATCTTGAAGCATTTTTTTCGAACAGACCCTTGCTTTCCCCTGTCATTGATACGTGATTAATGAACACGATCAGGTTAGCTTCTACATTATTTTATTTTAAGTCTTTTGATTCGTATTCCATTTCTGCTTGAGTGCCTGACGAAGATCCATACATTTGGTTAAATAACATTAAAAAGAATCACATACCGTTAGTCCTGGTTGTCAAGGGACACTATGCTAACACTATAACTATGGACATACCCAAAATAGTCATCGTATCCATCCGAAGATGGAGGCTCGTAGAAGGACCTCAAGGTATGAACCTTGAGTTCTCGTATTATAATAAAGCAACTCATTGTCCTGGCCAACATCAATAAGCTAACCACTGTGCCGAGGACCAGCAACTTTACTACCCCAGTTGAGCCATATATACAGAACTTTGAATCATGCTCGACGAGGGTTCTTGTTTCCATATATATATATATAGGTTTATTCTGCATTCTTTTGCCCACCTTTTATTTTCATAATCTTTCAAAAACCAAATGTCATAGATTGCAGTACCAAATATTTCAGCAAAAATAGCCAAAGAGCTGAACGGAATTGAAATAAAAAGCTTCAGGAGGAGTCGGTGCGAAAATTTCATTTTTATGTTCGAAAGAAAGCATCTTCTCCTTCTCAGTTTCTCCGGGAATCATCGAATGCCCAATGCATACCCCATCGGAAATTTCAGACAGACTAAGATGGACTGACAAAATTGCCATAATTATGGAAGGAAGGAAACAATTGCATTTTATGAAACCATCAGATCTAATGTGCCAAAAATGCAACTGTTTAGGGACTAAAAGGTCATTAAACCCCATCTTGTTAATAGTTATCCTTGGAAGCCTGTCACTCCGAGCTTTCTCAATTTTCTAGGCCCTTTCGTCCCAATTTGCCACCCATCTTTTGAAGCCCAGGAGAGGGAAGAGTCTCAGGAAAATACAAAACTGTCCCCTAGCAACTTTAAACCCAATTCGATGTTAATTTTAGGGTGAGTATTAATATTAACTTTAACTTATCAACTAAAACAAAACGAAAATCAATGTTCATTGTGTCAATTTTAGGGTGTGTATTCTTTCTATTTTTATTATTTATTTAGTTTTTATTATATCTAGATTTTCTATTCCCTCGTTTTATTTGTCATTATTTATTCAAAAATATGCAATTTGATCTTTTTTTTATTTTTTTGTTTGTTTTGGTCTCCACATGTTTAAAAAAGAGAGAAACAAGGAAGGAAGAAAGGAGAAAAGAGAGAGGGTCAACGAGACTCATTTTGGCTACTTGGATAGTTGAGTTCTGTTCGTCTGGAAGAGTATAATCTATTTGAAGTAGTGGTAAATAATAAAATAGTTGGAGAAAATAAATTGAGATCTAAAAATATTTTGAGTTTTTTTATTTGATTTTGTGTATGTTTGTGTGTATTAAAATTGATTTTGAGGTTTTAAACGAGTTTGTTGATGTTATTTTTTTATTTTGAGGATTTTTTGAATAAAATTTGCACTGAATTTGATTTTGAAAGAACATAAATTATAAAATCCGACTTTTCGGTGAAATAATGTCGTTGTAAATTGCAAAGGTGAACCTTTTTGTCTTTCCATTTCTTTTGTCCAAGCATGCATGGGCTAGGTGCTCTAGGCCCCTACGCGTGGGCTACTTGCGTCAAGCTCAGGTGCATGGGCTTATTTTTTTTACTTTATTTTTTAATTAAGAATTTTTAGATAAAAATTATGGAACAACAAAAGTTATTATTTGTATGTTGCCTCATTATTTGTATTTTTGAGGCAACATAGCCATGATAAAATATATATTATTTTTTATATTTTAAAATTAATATATATTTCATATTATATTATTTTTTTATTTAAAATTTATTTGAATTTATCGTTTTTTATAAAAATTCTCATTCAATTAAATTTTTTTACATAAGATTTTATTTACAGATAAATACGATTTATTTTTCTCTCTATATATATATTTTAGAATAAAAATTTAAAACATGATATATATATATATATATAACAATTTACAAAGTATGATAAATACGTATTAAAAAAACTATTGAATTATCGATTTTATTAAAAATTAAATATACATGTTCACACATAACATCAATTATTTGTTATGAATATTTTTTTAATACTATAAAACCAATTTTTTAAATAAAATAATAAAAAAATTAAAGGAACCATTCAATTTTTTTGTTCTAACATTATTGATTAGTTTGTAAATAAATATATAGAGATCAAATGCATATATTTTCGAAAATAATCTTCTCATCAGCATTAAATAAAAATAAAAAATTTATTTTTTTATTAGATAATTTTTATATAAGTCTATATATTATTTGTAACTTTATTTTTTTGAATGTATTCATCCATAAAATATATTTTTTAAAGTTTTTTTAATTTTTGATTAATATTTTAGTTCAAATTATGACATGTTTTTATTTAAGAATCAATACATAAATAAGAAAAAATTATTTAAAAAAAAAAGAAAAAACAATTAAATAAAAAATTTATTTAAAAAATTGTAAAAACTTGAAATGATTTTATTCTTTGGGATCAACGGTAACCGGCTAGTTGTACAGCTAGAAGAACAAAAACATCCAAAAAGGTCTGTAATTTTAATTATCTCCTCAAACCAGTCCTAACATTGAAAATGGATCGTCATCATCAAGAAAATCATGATCAAAACCTTCTCCCAAAAGTCTTAGTCCTTGAAGCACCACCAGTCTTCAAATATCACGAAGACAAACTCTCCCAAAAATTCCATTTCTTGAAAGCATGGGACTCACCCCTTCCTTTAGACCAATTCTTGACCACTCAGGCACAATCAGTCCAAGCTATTCTCGCTCATGGAACTTGTCTAATCACCTCCAACACTATAAAGCTGCTGCCATCACTGGGCCTTATTGTCACCACAAGTTCTGGACTCAACCAAATCGACTTGCAAGAGTGTCGTCGGAGAGGAGTATCTGTAGCTTATGCTGGAAGCCTTTTTTCTGAAGATCTTGCTGATATAGCAGTAGGGCTGTTGATTGATGTGCTGAGAAAGATTTCGGCTGGTAATCGGTATGTGACGCAAGGTTTGTGGGCTAACAAAGGAGATTTTCCTTTTGCCTCTAAGGTCAGGATTTTATCTTTTTCTTGCTGAAATTTTTGTTAGGTAATTGAAAAAGAATTGTTGATTGTCAACTAGACAGGTGAATTAGGCGTTGAACTTAATCGGAAAGGCATATTATTAGGAAACTCCTGAAATGCCGAATACCTTGCTGAAATTTAAAGAATGATTGCATAATTTTTAATGATTGAAAACTTGAACAATGTTTTGAGTCTTAGATTAGGTGATAATGAGGATGTCAAAACTATGGAAAACACCAAAAAAAAAAAATCAATTCGGTTCTTTTTTTCCAAACTAAAAGCACTTTCAACTGTATGCCAAACACCCACAAATTTAAGCTTCAGATCCAAGAAGTTGGAGTGCTTAATTCGGCTCCTCCCACCCCAAATATCAACTCTGTTAAATCTTTGTTTTCTTATAAAGAAGAAGGAAAAAAAAAAAAAAACTATCATCTTACATGCTAATAATTGAGTTATTAATATACTATTTCTATTCATTATTGATGGTTGTAATTTGTTTTTCGATGTAATGTTGATGGTGGTTATATCAGTTGGGAGAAAAGAAGATTGGGATTGTTGGACTTGGAAGCATTGGCCTAGAAGTTGCAAAAAGGCTAGAGCCCTTTGGCTGCAATATCATGTACAACTCAAGGAACAAGAAGTCATCTGTACCATATCCATACTATCCCAATGTCTGTGAACTAGCAACTAATTGTGATGTCCTCGTGATTTGTTGTGAATTAAATGATCAAACTCGCCACATGATTAGCAAGGAAGTCTTGTTAGCATTGGGGAAGAAAGGATTCATTATTAATGTCGGACGTGGGGCTATTATAGATGAGCAAGAAATGGTGAGGTGCTTGATGCAAGGAGAGATTGCAGGTGCTGGATTGGATGTGTTTGAGAATGAGCCTGATGTTCCTAGGGAGCTCATTGCATTAGACAATGTTGTCCTGTCCCCACATAGAGCAGCCCACACTGAGGAAACTTTGATGTCTTTAGTTGAACTTGTGATAGGGAATCTGGAAGCTTTCTTTTCAAATAAACCTTTACTTTCTCCTGTAAACATTGGATGAATGCATAAGATAATCTTTCTTTATGCAGTTGCTGGTTAGTTTGTCGTGGATTAATTCAAGTGTTTAGATATGGATATGATTGTCATTGATACATTGATTCTTTTTGGAAATTGTAAAATTACTCAAGGTCTAGAAGTACTGATCAACCCACTGAAATTTATGTCCGATCACCATTTTTACCACAACACGTTCTTTTTATTCAATCACAATATTTACTGTCAGCATTCTGTTTCCACTGATTTTGGCCAATTTTGGTTGCTTTTGGTCCGCTTTTTGGTATGTCTTATGGGTTCCTGTTTCACTGGACTCTGCTTTGTTTTGGGTTTGTTGTTTAGGCTTCTTCTGACTCTCTTGTTTTTCTGTATTTGTTGATTCCTTTAATCAATTTTCCTCGTTCTATCCAAAATAGAAAATCACAATTTTTATTTGTTTTTTTTTTATGCAATTTTACTTTTTACTAGATTTTTGTAACATTTATACAATTTGCAATTTTTCTTTTTAATCCTAATTTGAATTAACTTCCTGTAATTTACAGAATTTTCGGATTGGTTAAAAACATCAGACAAACCACAGGTGGTCGAAATTAATGAAAATTCAGAGAAACGCCGGACAAGGAGTGCAAGTGGTATGGGATTCATGGTCAGTCGCAGGATCATGGGCTCTGAAACTTGGTTTTTAGGCTCTTAGTACAAATCCAACTACTGATAACTGAGCCCTGGTCTATATATATATATATTTTTATTGCTTAAGGGTTGCTTAAAATCTTGGGCCAGCCTAAGTCGTTATTGAATCTGATGATTCATACAATAAAGTCCCACCCTCCTGGGTGGACCCAAACCGTAATGCGTAGACAAATTTTCATTTTTCTTTGATCTTTTCTTTCTTTTCTCTATTTTTTGATAGCTTGGGAAAAAATATACGAAGCACCTTGGAAGCAATAAAAGCAGCCAAGAAGAAAACAAGTTGACCTGACTCAAAGATACAGGAACATTAAAAGAAGCCAATGAAAAATACAAGAGGCAAAAGATTAAAAAGAAGGCTACAGATTAGCCAAGCAGCTAGGGGCTGGAATTAGCCCAGTAGAATGTTAGGTTCTCATGAATTAATTCAAGTATTTAGATAGAGCGATGCTCTTCTTACATAATTGTTTTATAACATCCATTTACCGAAAAAAATATTGAGAATAATTGATATATTAAATAAGTTAATTTTTTTTTAGTAACTCTTAGAATTCATTTATCGAAAAAAAATCAATTATTGGAGGAGGATATTTAATATATTAAATAAGTTATTTTTTTTAATAATTCTCATATATCTAATGATTAATATTTTTCGGTATGTGAATTTTATAAAACAATTACGTAAGAATAATATTTCATTTAGATATGCATGTTGTTACATTTTAATATTGAACATGATTTTAAATTAAATGAAAGTTAACTAAGATAATAGATTAAGTTAACTTACATCATATTTATGTAAAACTTAATTAACTTGTGAGTTAAATGATGTATTGATATATAAATAGATAAGAAATGATTCAAACTAAAAAGCCACGAGAGTGACTTGATATAAAAGCCAACCACTTCAGCTTGGTGAGAGTTAGTGCCGAAAAAAGCAAAAGAAAAGAAAAACTTTTGCCGAGGGGGAGAATATGAAAGAGAAATGTGTGATTCTCAAAAGGGTAAAATCGAAGACAAGAAAAAGAGAATGGCACATCTGCTGCTTTTTTGCGACAGTGATGTTTTCATTATTGGTAATGATGCTTATGTAAAGTTTGCTTGTTAGGATACCACTTGAATTCGGATTCAGCTGTTACATATTATAGAATTTCTTCACATCCTATACTAATAGAGACCTTGGTCAAGTTAGTCGAGGAAATCAAGAGATTGCTAGTATTGTGGGTATTAGAGATATTTTGTTAAAAACTAATAACATGTGCTAGTCTTTGTTTAAGGAGGTATATGCTTAATATGCACCTACACTTGATTTTTATAGGTATATTTGATGAACAAAATTATCATAATTTCTTTAGAAAACGGTAAATGGAAGTTATTTAAAGATTGTTTGATTGTTACTAAATACAAGAAGATATGTCTCTATATGTTCTAAGTTAAGGTGATTAAAAAAAATGAATACAATTGAAGATGTCTCTTTATCAACTTATGGCATAAGCGGTTTGGACATTTGAGTGAGAGATGCCTTAATATTCTTATAAAAAAAGACTTTATTCATTTGAAAGGTACAAACTTAAACGCTTGCACTTATTTTTTAGTAGGTAAACAAAATGAAGTTGCATTTTATAGATCAGCTATACATAGAAGATCTCATGCTCTTGATCTAGTTCATACTAATTAATATTTACTCTATAATTGATAGGTCTCTTTATGGTATTTTTTACTTTGTTGGTTTCAATGATAATTTTTCCATTTGTTTGAATTTCAAAGATCAAGATCATGTTTCTAAGGATTTTCATACTAAAGTTGAAAAAAAAATGCCAAAAAGCTAAACATGGTCTTAAGTTAGAGAAGACAATTTTAAAGACTCTAAAAGCAAAATGCAGCAATAGAGAAAATAAACATAACCATTTTTTGAAGAGAATTAGATATATGTTCTCTCGTGCAAAATTGCCAAAGTACTTTTAGTGTAAGATAATGAAGACTATAGTTTCTATAATCAACCTATCCCCATCAATTTCTCTTAATTTTGATATTCTAGAAAGAGTATGGAAGGAGAAAAGATGTTCATACGGACATTTGAGAGTGTTTGGTTGCGGGACTTTTGTACATGTTTCTATAAACGAAAGGTTTAAGCTTGATAGCAAGATAAGCAAAGTGTTTTTCCGATAATGAAAATCATAAGTTTGACTATAGATTTTGAAATTCAAAAAAGAATAAGTTTATCACAAGCGGAGATATTTCCTTTTTGAAGAGCAAATTATTAAAGACTTTGAACAAAAAAAGAAAGTTGAGTATTTCAATTATACTTTTGCTAAACGAGTATGAAGAAGGTTTTTTCCCAACTCACAAATATTATGTCGGGCATATATATATATATATATATATATATATATATTCTAACTTAAAGAATAAAGGGTTTGTGGGTTTTGATATGAAGTTGGGTTTCTAGAGAGTTAGTAAGGCATATTTCGCCTTTCATTTTAAACATCACATGAATGCTATTGGAACTATAAATTCGAGGCTACTAGATGATTGCAAAAATTACCTACCGAAAGATCGTCAAGGCATCTATTTGATAAGAATATGAAGAATGATCATGTTAGCAACAACATAGCTGAATGTTTTAATTGCTAGATTGAAAAATTTAGAGGCTTCCCTATAATCACTTTACTAAAGAACATTAGGAAGAAGATAATGTCAAGATTCCTTATCGAATTTATGAAATGAACATCTTAGCGAGACTAAGACTACTCCATTTGTGGAAGGGGTTTTTGACGGAGAAGCTAACAAGGCAAGGAATCTAAGAATGAAACTAGTTAGTACAAATGAGTATCAAGTTTATGATAGTTCACAAAGAATATGTGTTAATTTTAAGACATCCGAATGTTCTTGTGGTGAATAGAGTATGACTAGGTTTCTATGTAGGCATAACGGTTTGTTTATCTCACATAAGAAGTGAATTAACGATTACTTGTGATAGTTGCTGCATAGTCTCCAATTTTATCAAGAGTTATTCTAAAATGGTTTACCCTTTGCATGAAGACAACCTTGAACATGAAGAAGGGGAGCTTATTGTTTTGCCTTTTATCCTAAAGATAGTGTTGGTAGACCAAGAAAGAATAAAATAAGAGAAAAATGAGAAAAAAGCTCTAAGCACTATGAGGAAGAGGTCAAACACTCGTTACATACGGCATATATGTAAACGGTTTAGTCATAACTCAAAAACCTATCAAAGGGATACCGTTAAGGAGTTATAAAGGCGAGTCGGGCTTTTTGGTTTGTTTGTTTCAATCTAATTTCACTTTTATTACTTGTATAGTTTTGGTTTGTATTTTGACAAACATGTTTTATTTGTTTATTGCTAACTTGGAAGAATTGGTGGTGAAAGTGGGGTAGGAGTGGTAGGAGAGTCACCGGTGGTGCAGGTGGTAGCCTTCAAGATGGTGGAAATAAATGTGTTATTGGTAAAAGAGGTAGTAGGGGTGGTAAGAAAGAAGCTCATGGTAATTGAAGTGGCAATGTTTTAATGATAGTTCAAATAGCCTTTAACATAATAATAAAAAAAATTATTGGTAAAAGTTGAAGCCCTCGAAATGGTAAAAGTAGAAGTGCTATTGGTAGAAAAGATAGTAAGAGTGGTAGGAGAGGCGATCGTGCTAAAAGAGATGGCAATGATGTTGGAGGCAACTTAAAGGTGGTTAAAATGACTTTTTTTGTGAATAAGATAATGAATGATTATTTGTTTCTAAAATTTAATTATATGTTGTACTTTTTTAATAGTTTATTTTAAATTAGCTAACATAATAAAAGAGGAAGGAATCAAACTAGTGGCGACCACTAAATAGTGGTACTATATGTACTACTTTTGGGGTACATATTAGTTGTTCTTCTTACATAGGTAACAACTTCTTTTGACACGGATAGTTTAAATACCCTTATTGATATGTTACAACCTAGGATACACATAAGTTTAAATATTCTGTTTTGTTATTTTTGTAAATAGTGTGGGTAAGCACTAGTAATTGTATTGGCATTTTCAAGTAATATATTACCAATTTCTTGTTTTGTTAATTTTATCTTTTATGTTGCTTGTGGTTTGTTTATAACGGTTACTTGTTGGACATTAGAGGTTTGTTTATTAGTGTTGGTCGAGTTTTAGATAGTGGGGGTTTGTGGTTATATTGGTCTATTTGATAGTATAGGTTTGTGGACAATTAAGGAGAGGGTGTTATAGATAGTGAGAGTTAAGGGGTTACGGACGGTAAGGGTTTACGATTGTGTTAGGCTATTTGACAATTTGGGTTTATGGACGGTGAGGGTTGGGGGTTCTAAACGAGTGGAGGTTGTGGTTATGTTAGTCTGTTTGAGTGGTAGTAGGGGTTCGAGAGTTCTAAACGGTAGGGGTTGGGGTTACGTACAATAGGTGTTTATGGTTGTGTTAGAGTCGTTTAATAGTATGGGTATATGGATAGTAGGGATTGGGGGGTTCCGAATAGTAAGCATTTGTGGTTGTGTTGGTTTGTCCTGGATAGTAGAGGTTAATTGAGACACTACTTAAATTGGATAGTATAGGTAAGCATTTTTGTAACAATGGCAATCATATTGGTTTGTAACAATACAATGCTTTGTTTTACTACTTATTCACTAGTAACACTAATACAAATATATATTCTTATTTTACATATTATATTAGCTACTAAGAGATATTTGAAGCTTGTAGTACTTGTCTTTCAATAGATGAAGCTTCACTCACGGTCTCCTCATTTCATCTCTCATCTTGTGGACTTCATCCATAATAGGTGTGTGTTCTACTATTTTCTTGATCAACATTATATTTAGGTTCACACTAATTGATGAATAAATTCTCACAATACTTATCATCATACCTATAGAATAATTTATTTTTACGTCTCTCGGTTTCTAAAATCCTTATAGAGGCATCTTTATTGCATTTGTTGCATCAAATGTTCTTAAATCTTAATCCCTACGAGATTTGTTGATTGGTAGTGTTAGAGGAAGAGATTTCATTGTTGTAAGATAACATAGACAATGAAAAATAATGAGGGTTTTTTTAATTTAAAATGCTTCAAATGTTATGTTAGTTTTGAAGTTTTTGGTGTTTTGATATGAATTTGGATGTTTTGAATTAGATTTAGGTGTTTTGAATTGAGCTTTTGATGTTGAGCGTTTGATTTTTTTTTTTGGTATTTTATAGACCATTTCCAATGGGTAAAAAAACTATCAATTTACAATCTCAAACAATTTTTTTTCTTTTTGTTAAGACTGAAATGTTTTCAAGCAGCATTGTGGCTATTTAAAAAACATAATAGCAAACTTATAAAAATTTGGATGTTTTTTTTTATCTGAAATTTTGACACTATAAACAGAAATATAATACAAAGTGTTTTCTAATATAAATATTAGAACTTTAAAATGTAAAATGTAATATTTAAAAAATAAAAATACAGAATATTTTTGCCACCTAAATACATTGTGTTTTTAGTTATTTATCCTTAATTTTAACGACAGAAAGTATCATCAAAATTTTTAATAGATATTTTATAGCATCTGGCAGATTATAACTAGCTAGCTTAGTTAGATCTCTGACCATAACGATTTGCCAGCTTGGTCTGTTAGAACAGAAAATAATAATAATAAAAATTGCCCTGTGAAGTAGGAATTTTATGCTCTATTGAACTTTTAACGATACTAGATTGATAGAGAAGGTAAGGCCCAGAAAAAGGGAAAAAAGAATAAAGGAAGAGCATGATTGGAGGGAATCGATGCCACATAAGATTTCGAACGAATTGGAGAAAACTGGAGCTATTATTTGTCTTTAGCTACATGAAGATCATATTACAGAGATGTAATAGGGTTTTTTGTTATGTTGAGAGAAGGTATTATATGCTTTAGTACGGATCTATGACTAAACATTATTAAGGGGGTTATCAAGTGGACATTAAAAAAAGGAAGGAGCAATTAATATTGGATGGATAGCGATTATAGTGATTGAAGGGACGTTCAATTAATTTTAGAAAAATGTGCAAGACATTGTAGAAACCGCGCTCTAGTGATTTTATTTTTTCTGTTTCTTTCGTTCTTTACTTTACAAGGACATCTGGCAATGCATGGATAGCGGCATGAGGCCTTTTTATTGGCTAATTGTAGCAAGGGAGATTCTAGCAACGGGGACCTCTCCACTCCATTCATCCCATTTGATCTCTTCCAACTAGGACCGATCGTTTGGTGTTTGTGGTTCCGTTCTTAATATTTCGGTTTAATTTTAAGTTAATTCAAATCGAATTACTTTTTTGTTTTTTGGTTTCTGTTTTTTTATTTAAAATGAAAATTTTTTGAATTTTTTAAAATAATATAAATAAACTAAAAATGTCAACAATTTATCATGTATCTATAATAATGTTAAGATATTAATTTTTTTTAGTTTATTTGTATTATTTTAAAACTTTTAAAAAATTTAAAAATCAATTTTTAATTTACATTAGAACCAAATAGAAAAATCGAATCGAAAAACTCAAAAATAAAAAAAAATGATTCGGTTTTTTAAACTGTATAATGCTTATCCCTACTCCAACTTCCACTCACACAAACACACATATTTATTTGTTTATTTTGTAGAAACAAGCCTTAATTCAAGGTTATATTTAAAAAATAAAGATAACTTTTCCCTGTTCCTGGTTCTTAATTCAACCTTAGTTCTGTATATATATGAACTTTTAATTTTAAAATTACTTGAGATTTCGTCAGTTGACTTTACTATTACAATTAATTAATCTAGCTGTCCTTCCTATAGTTACTCTAGTTTTTCATGTTGGCAGTAATTTATTGTTGGATATATATTTAAAATTCAGTCAATGAGTAAACCTTAGTATAATTCATTAAAAAATCAAATAATAATTTATTGTGAGATGTGTATTTATGATCTAACCCTTGAATAATAATTCATAAAAAAATTAAATAGAAAATGACTAAATTGATAAAACGAGAAATTAAAAGACTAAAAGTGCATGTATGTGGATATGTGATTCAAATGGGCATATGACTGAACCACAACGTAATAAACAAGTATTAATTTGTTCGATATATTTAGAATTTAATTTTTATGATTGATAGTTTTTAAAATATTTAAGATTGTGTATTGAAAAATATTTTTTAACTACATTAAAAAAATTAATCTCAACATATGTGAAACTTGATTGAATACTGTTGAGAAAAAAGTAATATAACAGGGAGAAAAAAAAAGATTAAATACCCAACACTTATGGTTCATGAATATCATCAACGGAATCATGCGCGATAAGATCTCGGATGTGAAATGGTTTTGGATTTAAGTATTATTATCTTTTCGATGGTTTTTAATTCACATAAATTGCTACGTGGCTTTCAAAAAACAAAGGCCCCGGGGATAGTTGGATGCTCATCCATTCTCAAGTGCTACGTGGCCAATCTCAAGCTATATAAAAAAAATAAAAAAAATGGAACAACCAATTAAATTATGACGTGCTCTATAAGTAGACGAAGTCAATTCAAAACCGCCTTTTAATTATATTTTTTAACATCCAACTTAATATAAGTATTTTTTAATAAAATTTTAAAAACACAATCATATTAAACTCATATATTTAAAGAAATAATTCCTTTTTTTTAAAAAAAAAAAAGAATAACAAATTTTTTTAAGTATATGGACAACCTGGATTCCGATCTTTTAATTAGTACCCTTGGAAAAGAAGTGAAACCCACGAATTACCAACCAAATAAAAACAAATGTTTGCTACTTTGACTGAAAATAAGAGGCTGAAGTTCCCCTAACGTTTTACATATCATATGTGGTTATTATGCAGACATCGAGCTCGACCTCATCATCAACCTCCCCAGATTCCCGGAGGTGAGAAGTGTCCAATTCGTTGCCTCACCTTTATACGGGCCCTGTTGGTTAAAAAGGATTTTTGAGTGCAGAGAAAGATTAATCATATTCATGGAACGTGAAGATCACAGTTTGTTTTGTCATTCCAAGTAAGATTTAGCTGCCACGCCCAATGTCCTAGCTAGCTAGCTAGTGATACGGATAGTATATTCTCATGTCAGCATCTCATTCTTTATTACCTTAATACGCAAGGTTGTGAAATTAAGTGATTAAGCAAAAGAATGATCGTGATACGTGGTTCATCACAATTCACCTTGGAAAATTGCCCTTTATGAAAAGTACTCGACCGATTACTTGCTTAATAAGAGATTCGCTAAAATTAAACTGGAAATCATTTGTTAATTTTTATTAGTATTTAATGAATTCTATTTTTACAAAAATCACTTTAGGTATTTAATTTTAGTTGATTTTGTATTAACGAGAAAACGATTTATTTAAGGCTTAACCTCAAATTAGCCCCCAACCTACAATTCTGCCCTCAATTAGATCCCAACCTAGATCTTTACCAATTAGGTCCCCATAGTATCTAGGAATTATCAATTTGATCCTTCCTTGGACAAACGTGCCTAACATTATCCACTAGCTGGAGAGTCAATTGAGAAAAGGCTAAGGCAAATTTTTTAATGAAATGATCCAATTGAGAATTCTCATATGTGCTTTAGGGGATCAAATTGGTTAAAAAGTATAGATTGGGGACCAAATCAGGGTACCCTTCATTAATATTTGAAAAATATATATATTTTTTATTGCACTCTCCATCTTTTTCTTTATTTTTTCCCTGACCATTAAATAGAATCCTTTATTTAATTTGAACAAAATATGAATGTAAGGATACACTTCGAGGGTAAAATTGATATAATTCGTCGGTAACGGGTAACATTGAAAATGTCATAGATCAGGAGAGTTTTTGCAGTTAAAGAAGAAAGCAGTACTGACGAGCATATGAAAGCAGAATTTGGTAAGCTCAAACTGAAAAATTAATGCAAAAGCAACATGGCCTACACCTCATGGTATAAACAAAGTGTTTTCCCGAATTAAGTGATGAAACTACTTGAATCACATACAAAATCGAAACGTAGACAAGACATGAATTCATGATCAAGATTACATCATTTTATTTCTTTTTCTTTAATTTTTTGCGGTTTTTAGGTGGGCATATATATATGTGGCTAGATAGTGTTGTAGGAGATTAAGCAAACTGTAAACATATCGGAGGTAAGCTCATTGTAGTCCACACTCCATGTATTCTGGAGGTGACCAGTCTTTTGATGTTGGTGTTTTTTTATTGGACAAAGATGGGATCTTGTGGATGCCATGGTTTTTTGTTTTTTTTTTAAATATTTTATTAAGTGTCCAATTAGGCCCTTGAAGAATAACATTATGCGTGCCACTTAGACTTGAGCTAATCAAAGTTAGATGAAGAAGGTTCCTTTCACGAATTCAATTCTCTTAACTTTTTCTTTGAGATGTATCTAGCTAGTAAAGGCTACCGCACTTAATCATAGCTTTTAAATAGTTGGTGCAACAAATCATTCTATTGTAATGGTCTAGTGTTGTGCACACTTATCTAGTACAATTGGTTTTGCATCCTTCCATGTTTTCCTACTTTACTTTAGTTAATTTTTTAGTGTTTTGACTTGATCTCGTATCTCAAATCTAACATGGATCTCGCTATTCGAGTTGAGAAATTTTATAATACACAAGGAATAACTAGTGATATGTACGGTAGTTAATTTTTAGACTCTATTTTGAGAAGAGAGATAGACACACAAAGAGAAAGAAAAAAAAATAGAAGAGAAAAAATAAAAAAATTGAGTGGACGTGAAAATCTTCTTATCACTTTTTATGGGTATGAATATAATTTTTCTCTTTTTACGTGTCTATCTCTCTTTTCAAAGTGAATCCAAAAAATAATTACTCGTACATATCATCGACCATTCTTTGTGTATTGTAAAATTTTTTCTTCGAGTTTTCTAAATTCGAACCGTCTAACATAGACTCAAAGCCAATTCAATCCACGAGAGCGTTAAACATGATCTTGGCACAATTTATGAATGCCTTGACCTAGGTTTGACATCCCAACCTAGTCGTTTCTCGATCTTTCTCCAATACTCACTAGCCCTACACGTATCTTGGTCCCTAGCCGATTAAGCCTAACTGCCTTGGACATAGTCACCCCCCATTCTTGGGTTACCCTTACCTGGCCCGATCCCTACGGTCGCTGAAAGGTGGTTGATGAAAGCTCTCATTAATTGTTGGTTCAACTATGGGTGAAATTAAAGCCTAATTTTTGTTTGAAACCCATTTTTTGGAATTTTAAAAGTTTTGAAAAATGTTTTTTTTTTTTTAATGTTATTATGAATAGGATGAAAATTTTGTTATAAGAAGTTAATAAAGATACAAGGAATATCAAACAAATTAACTGTGAGAAGAAAAGGACAGAGAAACTAGTAAAAAGATGGCTAAAAGAAGACCCTGAAAAACCACTTTTAAGTTTTGAAAAATCAAAAACAGAAAGATAATATGGTTTCTATTTTTTATATACAAAATAAATAAGTTTTCTAATTTATTTTTAAAGAAATTGAAAAGGACATAAAAAATAGAAATCACAATGATATATACCAAACTATATTTATTGGTTGCCTTTGAAGAACAAAAATTTCAATGACAAACGAAATTGAACACGGATGGGGATCTTTGTTCCTCTAGTGGTGGCTAGAGTGACAACAAAGGGTATTTTATTTTGAGGGATGCTCATAGTTTGTGGGTTCATGGTTTTGATTATAATATTGGTATCTGTTCCATTACAAAAACTGAGCTTCTAATTATCCTCAATTCCTCATTGTTCTCCAATGCAACTTGCTTGGGATAATGGTTATAGAAAAGTGGAAGTAGAATTAGAAGTAGATTCTATTGTGGCTGTCAATGCCGTTTATTCCAAAGGTGTGCCCGTCTATCCAGATGGACAAGTCATCTCTTTGATTCAGGAGCTTCCACAAACGCCTTAGGAGTTGGGAGGTCTGTCTCCGGCACATATATAGAAAAGCAAACCAATGTGTTCATTGGCTTGCTCGCCATGTCTATACCTTAGATTTGGTTGTTTCCTTCCTAGCTATCTGGTGCTCCTTCGGGATGTAATAGGATTCTGCTATAAGACATGAGTGGAGCTTCTTTTCTTTTCTTTTTTTTTTTCCACGGTTTTTTTAGGCCTAATTGTTTTTTTTTTTTTTTTTTTTGTTTTTTTTTTTCAGGGCTTAAGCCATCCTGGCCTTCAATATATATATATATATATATATATATATATATATATATATATATATATATATATATTTTTAAAAAAAAACTCTTGCTACTTATCAGTGGAGAAATTGTTGCTGCCTAATTATGCGTGGCAATCTCTTATCTACCTGTTGTCAAGCAATATTTAATATTTCATAAATATTTTAAGAATCAAATTAAGCGGTCATGACATGAGTTTGGTAGTAGAAATTGCTCCTAACATATGAGACGACATTCTTGTTCGCCCACTGTTAGCTAATTTATTCTCTAGTCCAACGGACTTGTACTTATACTCATTCGATCATTTTTACACAAGTCAGACTAGAAGTTTTATGAAATTTTTGGAAAAAAATAAAAGAAAATAGAAGTATGAGAAGTAATATAAAAAGAAGAATGAAAGAAATCATGTACGTACGTGTATGTGTGGAACCTCTAGGTAAAAATAAATATAGCTTGATAGAAGGGATTAATAAGGATTCTCTTTAATTATGTTCTGGATATTCTATGATGCATATATAGAAACAAATAATAGCCAGTTTCATACCCAACTTAAACACATGCTAATGTCCTTCCCTCTTCAGCATTTATCATCCAATAACCAATGATGCATGGACATGCCTCGTGCCGAAGAAAATTGCCTCAAGTTTTTTCTACTCGGAGAATTCCAACGAGTAACCTTTTTCCAAACAAATAATCGTCACATCACAGAGTAAAGATCTTTGCATGTGCAACTATTTATTGTCACTCTGTTTATTCTTCAAGTGATCATTAAAAGTTAGAAACAGTTTGAGCACGTACATATTCCAAATTCTGAAATATAAAGCGAAGGGGGGCCGGTATTAGTAATCGTTAGGCCAAGCGAAAAAGACACAGCTCGTCCTAGAAGAAGAATTAATTAAAAAAATTAGCTTGACTATTTACCCGACCCTTCTTGATTTATAATATATATATATATGTTCAAATCTCTCTTGATATTTGACCAAATTAAGCCAGTGCATGGGACTCGGCTAATCGATCTTAGAATCTTCCCTGAGACTACGCACTGAAAAAAGAACGTTTTTATGCATATATGCTTTTTAATTTTTTTTCCCCCAAAAACACTCTAAACTCTAAAGCAACTCATGTTTGAATAAAAGTTAGCTAAAAACATAACCTTATACTCAACACTACTGTATATATAGATGAGTAGGTTTTAAAAGGGCCAAAAAAAAAAAAAAAAAAGAGAGAGAGAGAGAGAGAGGGAGGGAGGACCTATTAGAAAGAAGGTTCTCTGCCTTGGATGCCAACACCCACCAAACTAGATTCTGGTTGAGAGCCCTAAGTACTTACACTTCATTTAGCGATATGTTTATTTTTTTAATTTATTTTTTCGCTACCCGCACGTGATGTGTGTGTGTATATGTATATAAAATAAGGTATTTTCGAGAATTTTTTTGCATTAATTATGATTAAGGCCATCACTCCCAAAGCAAAAATAGCATTATAACATATCTGGTTTTTAGTCTACCCTTAAACTGCTTTTTAAACCAAACCAACTCAAATTCTATATCACTAAAAATAATTATAGTTAATTTTTTAGATAACGGAAATTAAAATTTTGTTTTGATAAAATCAAAACATCCATCTTATTTTTAGACTACGTCTCCGATAAGTTAACCACCTGCTATTTTATATATGTTATTGCTTAGAATTGAGTCTAATATGCCATGATTCAAATACAGTTTGGAGAAATGTCACATCTGTTTGGAAAACTATAGAACCCTTTTATATAGGGGTCATAGAGCAATTAGAAACGAGGACAAAACATGAGACCAGGCAGGGTAGAGCGCACACACACACACACTCTCTAGAGAAGAATGACGCAACAGTGAAAACAGTAAGATTCCAATATTCTTCACTGACCTTCCCAATGAACCGTCTTGGCTTTTCCCACCTCTGCCTCCTAACTTCCTATTAAACTCTACTTACCTCCTCTTTCCCCTCTCACTGATCTACTTCTCTCATCAACTAAAGTAGAGATCGGTCCTTCTAGTTCCTGTAATATATATACTTTTTCATTGAACTAGAAATTGAAATAAATATATACATTCTATGCCCGTTGATTGTTTCGCTTCAAACATGATAACGCCTCCTCCTCCTCCAAAGCCATTAATATTTGATGCTTCAATTCTTCAACACCAAGCCAACGTACCCTCTCAGTTCATTTGGCCTGACCACGAAAAGCCATGCCTTCAGCCCCCAGAACTTGCAATCCCTCCTATTGACATTGGAAGTTTCCTCACTGGAGATCCTTTGGAGGTCTCAAAAGCAACTCAGCTAGTAAATGAGGCATGCAAGAAGCATGGATTCTTTCTAGTTGTTAATCATGGTGTTCACTCAGAGCTTATAGCTAAAGCTCACGAGTACATGAACATGTTCTTTGGCATGCAACTCTCAGAGAAGCAAAGAGCTCAAAGAAAGATAGGAGAGCAATATGGATATGCTAGTAGCTTCACTGGAAGATTCTCCTCCAAACTTCCATGGAAAGAAACACTTTCTTTTCGATATTCTGCAGACAATCAGTCCTCTAACATCGTCCAAGCATACTTCTTGAATGTAATGGGAGAAGAATTCAAACAATTCGGGTAAGAAACTATATTTAATTTCATTCAAAAAATTTAAAATGTGACACAATGCTGTCTAGCTATCTGAATATTAGCAAGCGAAGACACAATGCAATAATTTGTGATTTTTTTTGAATAGGAAGGTGTACCAAGAATATTGCGAAGCCATGAACACTCTTTCCCTTGGAATTCTGGAGCTATTAGGAGTAAGTCTAGGAGTTGGACGAGAATATTTTAGAGATTTCTTTGAAGGAAACGATTCAATAATGAGACAAAATTACTATCCTCCTTGCCAAAAACCGGATTTAACTCTTGGCACTGGGCCTCACTGTGATCCGACCTCCTTAACAATCCTTCATCAAGATCATGTCGGTGGCCTTCAAGTGTTTGTCGATGAAAAATGGTACTCCATCAGTTCTGATCCGGAAGCTTTCGTCGTCAACATTGGTGACACATTCATGGTAAGACAATTAAAAAACAACTAGGGTAATCAGAATCCTTAATTTCTAATTCAGCATCATAATTAATCTTCCTCCCTCCCACGGGAGTCCATTTTACTATTTCGAGACTGTCCCAAAATTGTACATGTTTAATCAAAGAATTACTGTATAATTAATATGACTAACCAATAAAATTATTTTTATTGTTTTAGGCTTTATCAAATGGCATTTTCAAGAGTTGCTTGCACAGAGCTGTGGTAAATAATGTAACAGTAAGGAAATCCCTTGCTTTCTTTCTATGTCCTAAAATGGACAAGGTGGTGAAGCCACCAAATGGTTTGGTCGACTCTAAAAATCCAAGGATATATCCGGACTTTACATGGCTAACTTTGTCAGAATTCACACAGAAACATTACAGGGCTGACATGAAAACCCTAGATGCCTTCACAACCTGGCTTCAACAAAAGAACAACCGAGAGGGTACCAAAAATATTTTTCCCTCTTAATTAGGCTAAGGAAAGTGACATTACAGCAGTGGGCAATGCTAGGTGCAGTGAAGGAGGGACATGGTTTTTCATGGTGTTATTTAGATGAAAAAGGCAAAAGAAGAACCAAAAATATAGGCCAGTCCTGTAATTAGCTGCTAGTGTGTTAGTGTTGGAGAGAATCATATGAATGTATGTAAGAAGCAAATTGTAGGAATAAGGATTTGAATGGGCTCCATGAATGTCTTCTTATTGTTTTTTTTTTTTTTTCACTGTGTTAATACAAGACATAGATTCTGTGCACTTATGTGTTTGGCCACCACCAAGTTCTGGTTGCCTGGACTATCTTTCTATTTGGCAAGTAACAATACTCTTTAATTAGATTCCCGTAAGAAAATCTGTCGCAGATAGTACAAATCTGAAACTGTATTAATTATTGATGACAAGATATGTATATAGTGCACATTATTCAAATTTGACGCCTTGAATCACAATCCCAGTAATGGGGGTTTGTAATCAATAAAAACCAAAGCTTTAAATGCCTATGTTTAAAACATTTTATATGTTCCTTTGAGAAAATGCAAGTGCTGAGGTTCCATCTGCAGATTTTATAAGAATTTTCTGGCTGCCAATGTGTATATATCAAAGTAACATCCCATTGGCTAGCATTCGGTTTTCCATCCCACAGGTTCAATGCTGAAGCGGATGAGGATGGGAGAGAGCTAGCTACTCCCTATTATGTAACTCATGAAGCACATTAGATCGATCTCCAATGGACCAATAAAACTGGATACTAGTAGCAGGATAAACATTCATTCTCTCATATGAGTGCTTGGATTGAATTTTCCGCTGATCAACTGAAAGAAATAAAGATTGAATGAATGTCTATTTCTATTTCATTGATAGGATGATAGAATATATACACTGCACAATCTATAATTTCGTCCTAAATTATAGCATATAGATATGATTTCCTATTTACGTTTCTAATATCAAGGAGTTAGACAATAACAATTGACTTTCCATATCATGAGGATATTATACTCTTTAATGGATCTTCGTTCCTTAACATTCCTCCTCAAGTTTGGAATGCATATTGATGATTCCTAACTTGCTGAGTAGATTTGTGAAATGTAAAGAACCCAATGGTTTTGTAAAGATATAAACTAGTTGGTTTGATGTGGATATATGAGTCATCTTGATCAATCCTTCTTGAACCTTTTCTCGTATAAGGTGATAGTCAATTTCTATATGGTTTGTTCGTTCATGATAGATCGGGTTTGAAGCAATGTGGAGTGTCGTTTGATTGTCACAATATAGATTGATAGGATATAAGTATTCAATACCCAAATCTTGTAGAATTGTCTTCGACCATGTAATCTCACAACAAGTTGTGGCCATAGATTGATATTTAGCTTCGCACTCTGGATAATAATATGTCGTTTGTTTCTTGGTTTCCTAATAAATAAATGAACTCCCAAGAAATATACAATAACCACTAATCGATAATCCGGTGTCACGACACCTAGCCCAATTTGCATCATTAAAAGCCTTTAACTAGATTGAACTTGCTACAGGAAAGAAAATACCTTATCCCGGTGTTTGCTTCACATGTCACGAGGACACGATGAGTCGCTTCTAAATGTGGTACTCATGGTGTAATACCTCGTACCTAGGACCTAAATAGATTGAGAGCATTACGGGTAATGTCACACATTCTAATTGTAATGAACGCAAGACATTAAACGCCATGTCCTTAATTACTATCTAAATTATTATTGCACACCTTTTAAGTTTAAAAGATAATATAAAAGGAAAGAAAAAGCTTCTCACTCATACCCGATTTATTAAGCACACACACTAGCAAGTTAGTCTTGCTTTGGCAAAGTGAAGAACATCATTATTTTAGACCTTTTTCACCTACACCACAAGAAATAAAAGGGTGAGCTAATGCTCAATAGGCATAGTCATACATACATGTCATGTAATGAGTGATGCATAATGCAATGAAATACATTTTCATGACTTTGAAATATATTTTTTGTGATCGGATGCACCCTATCGAATATATATATATATATATATATATATATATATATATATATATATATATATATATATATATATATATATATATATATATATATATACACGGCTATCCATGAAAACAAATGTGTATAAAAACCATGAAAAGCACTAGACATGTCCCCTTTGAAGCTTGTGATGTTTACAATTATGAACTATGATTGAACCCGTGATTATGGCGCCCATAAAGAGTTGATCATTCTTTTTGTGTGCCATGATTAAGCTCGTGACTATGATTGAGACATGCCTAGTCATTTTTTTGAAAATCCATACACTAGATTTTGTCTTTGAAAACATGGTTATAACCAATTTCATGACATGAATGTAATCATTAACATGATAAATGATCTATGAAGTTTAACTAGGCATGTAGGCTAAAATCAACTATCCATGAAACACATGACATTTATTCATGAAGTATTGAATGTTACATACCACATACTTTCATAAACATTTTTGCATGAACAAACATCAAACCATCAAAATGGCCATTAGGCCGAATTCAACCATGCACCATTCCATGACTAGTCTTAACATGAAACTACTTAATTATCACATCGTCATGTCATTAATGACTTGTAAAATTATAATTTAACATAACAAATCATATCAAAACATACAAATGACTAGTCTTGGCCAAAATTACCAAGAACAAACCATGAACACTAAACTTATCTTAACCATGCTTAAGCATAAAACCAATCAAATTTCTTCTAAACATATCATCATTCAACTTAAATTAACTAACATTAACACGATTCTCAATAAACATATTTAATTTATACCAATTGACCTAAATATTCAGATTTGTTTAACATGTTCTAAAGTTCCAGATTTGACTCAAAAATAAAAACAACCATTAACCTCATGAATTTAACCATTTTTAAGCTCCTAAATCTTTTTTTAACCTAATTTCATCTCTTATTCATTGAACTAACACATGATCTAACAAAATCAATCTAAACATACATGAATTTAACATTCAATCAATCAAACAATATTAACTTTTGAATTAAGTGCTTGATCGAATATATCAAACAAATTCAACACATTTAACCAAGCATGATTAAATCATAAAACACATCAATTTATACTTGAACAACATAACACATATCAATCAACTACAAAATCATGAAATTAAGTCGATATCCTCATTTAAGCATCTTGGCCAAATAAATCTCATCATCAAACCAAGAAGCATTTTTCTATTTAATCACTTATTTCTATATTAATTCATTCATCTAACCTATAAAACAATGTAAACATTAATTAATTTCGATACCACTAACTTAGTGTTTTTGGCCGAGTTAACCAACATGAATATTCAACACTAATTTTTCATTTAATCACACCAATCACATATAAGTTTAACATAAAAACAAATAATCAAATCAATTTCATCAATTCATCCCAATTAACCCAATTACTTTCAAATTCACCTATTAATTTAATTAACCCAAGTTCAAAGATTATGACCAAAATGATCAACAAAGGTAACCAAGCCAAAATTTTCAATCAACCACTCTTAAACATACCTAATCCATCTTAAAAACACCTAAGAACACAAAATTATGGAAGTTAATGTTTTCTCCCAATTTCACTATTTTGGCGTAATGTTTTATATCAATTACCCAATCTTGATTCTTCAATCCAACCTCAATTGAACCTTCAAACATGTTATCCCAACCTTAAAAAACATGTTTCCACCGATAATTCATGAAGATATATAAATTATACCAAATCCCATCAATTTGAACAATCAATTCACAATTTCTAAACTTTAAAATAATAACAATCAAGCATCAAATTAATCACTTTCTTGTAGTGTAATGAGGATTAAACTTACCTTACTTGATGCTTGATTAAATTTCTCCTTGATTTCTTGAAGTTTTCTACTCCCTTTTCTTTTTCAAAGTTTTGACGCAAGCTTCCCTTTTTCCTCCTTCTTTGTTCTTCTTGTTCAAGTATTTTAAGGTTTTTTTTGGTTTGTATTGAAAGTAGTTTAGGCGGTGTATGGGCTTAACTTTACTTGAAATGGCTTGAATTTCTTTTGTTCTACCTTGAATCCTTGGTTAGTCATCCTTCTTCTCCTTCCTCTTCTTAGTTGAAATTTATAGAGAGGATTTTTTTGGTGATTTTTTCATATGTGAGTCACTTGGTTTTATCACAAATCCCTTCATTTCATGCTCTCTCTAGATTTCTCTCCATTTCTCCTTGATATTTTCTCTCCTTTATTCTTCTTTTTGCCGACCTAAGCTCCTTCTTTTTTTTCTTCTTATTTCAGCTTATATCTCGGTTAAAAAAAGACCAATTCTAGCTGAATTAAATGGTCCCTCAATTTACTAAAATTTTACATTTTGGTTCATAACCTTCCTTAATCATTGCAATAGAATCCTTGCATTTCAATCCTTAATCCTCTAATTTTTTACAATCCAACTCTTATTTAGGCTTTATCCTAATTTATAGTGGTCATTTGTATTTTTTAATTATTCTAATTAAGCACTTACATCTTTTAATTGTATCAATTAAACTCCTAAAATATTACAATTACACCCTTAAATTATTATAACCTCAATAATTAGCCTTAACTTACTAAATCAAGAATTAAATAATTTATTCTCCTCTCATAATATTTATGCATGCATTAGTTTATTTCTATACGAGCATTAAATATTAATTCATTTCTTAAAAAACATTTCATATATTAAATTATTCATGCAATATATATATATAACGGGAATGAGCTATATTCTTTTCTATTTCCTATTCTTTATATTTCATGTATAGTTTTCTCTTAAATTAAAAATATGCACACAATTGTATGTGTGATCTATTTACCATATATAGGTCCTTGTATCTTATATATATATATCATTGAAGGATAATTTTGTATATTGACAACTTGGTATCGTAGCTTTATCATATAATTTTTCAAA